AGGGCTCTGGTTAAGCTAAATAATATTACTAGAGATTTAAATAAGCTTAGGCGGGTATAAAATATAATTATTTATTTTTAACTCTTTTAAATATATAAATTATTAAAAGTATTTATAATATTAATCTTTATAAAGTAATATATTTTCTTTAGATTATTTAGGGTCTTTTTTACTAGGGATAGTAAATAATAATTTTTAATTATAATTATATTTAGGGCTTAGTAGTTAATATAAAAATATAAGTTTTTATCAGGCTTATTAATAAATAAAACAAAAAATACTACAAAAAATAAACTTAGGCAAATAAAATTTTTTTATAAATTTTTAAGTAACTATTTCCGGAGGGCTTTTAGTTTTTTTTTTAAAATATATTATATAGGGGGCTAAACAGCAGTTTCTTGCCAGATTCTAGAATAATTATATAGTTATAGTTTTTATACAGGGGTAATTTGTCTGTTTTTTTTAATAAAAATATATTATTAAAATCCTAGAATTTTATAAGAATATTAGGGCTTTAATTAGGATTAAGTGTTTTTTATATTAGGAGTTTCTCGGGGGATCTTTTACAGATTATTTAGTTAATTTATTTTATAATAATAGCAAAGATTTTTCTTCCCTATCTTATGTATATAGTATAAATTTCTATAAATATTATATAAATATCATGGGTTTAGAGGGCCTTTAGTGTTTTTAAGTTAATTAGGCAGGCTTAAATAAAGATATTATATAAGGCTTAGATCTTCTGGAGACAGGACAGGATATTATAATATTTTTAATAATATTAATTATTAAACTAAAGAGTATATTTAATAAAATTTATTTTAAGATTATAAATCTTAAGCTAGAGAAGTCTAATTATAATAAGAAAATATATAAATTAGGTAATCAGAAATAAGATATTTTTTTTAATATAATTATAGGTCTTTAGGGTTATGTAAGTATAATAAGTAATAATATTAGTTTTATTTTTATGGTTATTAAATCTTATAATTAATTTAGGTTTTTTTAAAAAATATAGGATTAGATTTTAAGCTTTGGCCTAATTTTTATTTATAATATAAAATATAAAATAACTGGTATTAAATATAATATAAGTAGTAATTTTATTTTTATTAGGGTTTAATATAATAAAAATAATTAATAAGTTAATTTTTTAAAATTTTTTTTTAATAAAAAATTTTTTAATAATAACTTCAGAGATTTAGTAGATTTATATAAAAGGGTTTATCTAATTATGGCTTAGATTAGACTAATCTTTTTTAATTATTTATTTAAGTTTGGGGAATACAGGTATTTTATTTAAAGAATTATTTAGGGCTAAAGAGCCTAAAGTAGCAGTAATACAGGCAGGTCTTGCGGGATAAAGTAAGACTAGAATATAGAAGAAGATTATTTTTAAAGGGGTGAATAAGACTTTAAGGGGGAGATAAGATATATAATATAATTAATTTAGTATAGGTGATTATCTGGTTTAAAATAGTCTTTAATTATATATTGATTTAATTTATAGCGGAAGTATTTATTATAATTTTTATAAGTATTATTTTTAGGATAGGGGGACGGGCAGTAAGTTAAGGAAAAATCTATAATATTAAGATTTAGGATAATAGTAGCAGGCTGGGGGGGTTTATTAATTAGATTTTTGGGATAATAGTTTCGGGTATTTTTAACTAGGATCCACAGGTGAGTACTGGTTCTGGTTAAAATTAGGGTGGGTTTCTAGGGTTAGCTATAGGAGTACTAAGTATAATAGTTTTTTAATTTTTATAAGAAAATAATAAAATTAATATAATTTTTAGCAGGCAAGTCTTAGTATATTAATATAGTTTTTATTTTTTAGTTAATAGCTTTTTTAAAGAGGATAAAAAAATTATCTTTAGTTATTTTTTTTTATAACTAGTTATTAGAATTTAGCGAAAAAAACAGAAAATTCTTAGTTCTTTTATTTTAGATTATATAAAACATTCTAGGTGTTATAAATATAGTTTAGGTTTTTATAAATATAATTAAGTATTTTTAAGATTTTAATATAATTTTTTAGCTAGTAAACTCTGTCTCTAATATATAGGAGGATTTAGGTATAAAAGAATTTTTTTAAGTAATTAAAAATATAGGCTATATAGGCTTAAAAGATTAGAAAATAATTATAGTTTATAGTTATTTTTTTTTAATCTAGAAGATAAAGCAGCGGAAGTTTAATCTAGTATTTTTAAATTTATTAAAATTAGGTAATTATTTAGAAAGGCAGGCGGAGGCAAAAGATCCGGGATTAATTAATATAAGTATTTTTATTAAAATAGCTAGGGGTTCTTTAGTAGTAGGTTTAAAAATCTAGTCTAGGATACTAACCATAGGTATAGTAGTCTAGATTATGTAGTTTTATTTTTAGATTATTATACTTTTATTAGCCAGGGCCTGGATAAGTTTAAGATTTAAATTTTTTTTATAATTTATTTAGAGAGTAGTAATTTATATAGTAATATTTATATTTTATTAGAAACAGGAGACTTTCTGGCAGAAATATTTTTAGTTAATATTAGTATTTATTATAAATATATAAATTTAGTTATAATAGATATATTATTCCTTAGTATGTTTAGTAATATATTAGGTAAATAGTTTAGGATCCTTAGGGAGAGATAGAGATTTTAGAATTTTAGATATATTAGGTAAATATTAACTTTATAAATAAGAATTATATAGTGTTAAGGTGCAGGCTGGCGGGTTAGTAAAATTAGTATAATAGGGGTAGGTAGGGCAGGCGGTCTGGCTGGTTTAGGCAGGCTAGGTTTATAAGGTTTTTGATTATTATTATTATTAGGCTATATACAGGATAATAAATAAGATATAACTTAAAAAGTTATAATAAGATTTCTAGTATTTAGGCTTTTAAGCGGTCAGGGGATTAGGATCAGGGATAGGTTCTTCCGGCTTGGCGGTTCCGTCTGGTTCTGGCAGGCTTGGCAGTGCCCTCAGGTCTGCACCGTGACATAAGCAGGACAGATAATCTAGTAAAATTAAATAAACTAGATTTATAAAATCTTTAATTATTATTATAATTAAGCTATATATAAAATAATAAATAAGATATAACTTAAAAAACTATAATAAGATCTTTAATATTCAGGCTTTTAAATAATCGGGGGATTAAGATTAGGGACAGGTTTTTCCGGCTTGGCAGTTCTGTCTGGTTCTGGCAGGCTTGGTGGTGCCCTCGGGTCTGCACTGTGACATAAGAGTTCAATAAAGCAAGAGTAAAGTTATAGTAAATTTTGAATAATTTCGGTTATGGGGCTAAATCAGGTGATTCTAGTAAATCAGGTGATGTCAGATGACCCCATTTGACAAATATTAATATTACTTAGCTTCTAAAAAAGTAATAATAATACAGATCTTAATATTATAAATAAATTTAATATTAACTTTAGCCTTTTAAGCTATAATTATAATAGTAATAATAACCTTATACTTAATAATAATAATATTATAGGCGCTAGGGGCAAAAGACACGGGAATAACACAAAAATAATAATATATAATAATATAAAAATCGCGCTAATAACACTTGTGCGCGGTAAAGATAATTATTTTTTAATTAATTTATTAATATAATGCCCTAGGTATTAGCATAATATAATTATTAAGCAGAAATATATAATAAAATTAGTATGTAAGTAGTTAGGCGGAATTATATAATAAAAATTATTATATATACTAAAATAAAATTAAGGGATAAAATCTTATATATATATAATAATAATATTATATAGCAAAATCCCCTATAATACAAAAATAAATATAAAAACTAATAATTCTTATATTACAGACCTATGGCATAATAATATATTAAACAAAACAAAAGAAGTAATAAAAATTAATACAGAATTAAATACTGAATATACCTTAAAAAATAAAAATAAAATAAAAAAATAAGGGAAATATACGAGAAAAAAAATAAAATATAATTAATATAAGTCTAATAAGGCAGAAAATTATAACCTATAATAATACTTTTAATAGCGTATAATACTTGTACTAGATAGATTTTAAAATTAAAAATTAAAAAAAATATATATATAAAAAAGTTAAATAAAGCTACAGTAAAAATTTAATAATAATTTAAAAAAATAAAATAAAATAAGAATAAAATTAATTTATAAATTAATTAATATAAATTAGCTAAAAGAAAATTTTTTTTTCTATTATAAGAAATTTTTTATATAAATAATTATTATATATTTATTATCTAAAGACTACTATAATAAACTATAAATATTTAACTATTATTATAAAGAAAAAATTACTATATTAAATAATATATAACTTATTAACACAGGAATTAATAAAAATATAATATAATTATAATATAATTATATAATACACCTTAAGTAACTATTACTAGCTATTATATATGATATATAATTACTTCAGATATTTAAGACCGCGAGAGTATAGCTTATAAAAAAAGGAGACAATTATTATAATTATTTATATAATACAAATAATATTAGCTTTAATATAATGCCTAATATAGATAAAACTTTATAATAAAATATATATTATTATATAACCTATCTATAGTACGGATCCTAACATCACATAATATAATAAGACTCGCTTAAATAGGGCCCCTTAGATTATATAACATGGCCCAAGGGCAAAACTTTACTATATTACTGGTAGGAAGAAACCAGTAATTAGTTCTATTCATAGGCACCCCCTACAATATAACTCCGCACTGCGTACTCATCATGTTGTCTACATCCCTATAGACCTTGGTCTAACACTTATCTTAGCAGGAATATTCCGGTATGCCTACCAAGGATACCGGGAATTCCCACAGATATCACTCCTTAGTAGTTACATGTTCCAACTATTCAACAGGCCAAAATGACTATGGCAGCAGCCCTTGCACTACAATAGGTATACTGCTAGTTTATGTTTAGTCTAAAATATCATACAATAGGAATAAAGTAAAGTAGCCCTATCAAAGTCAATAGTTAGACCTGAAGAACAATGCCTTTGCGACTGATTGCCTCCTCTAAATGAAAACCGAATACAAAACGATAAAGGTCTCTTAACCAAGGGAACTGTCCAGTCTGCATTGTTGACTGCACAGTGCTTGCTATATCCGCAGCGCCAGCACGAGCCTGGGGCCCTATCTCTCGAAAGGAAGAATCAATTGCAACCATCCTTTTGTAATTCTTAAGAAGGGACACTTGCCAAGCCATTGACCCAAATGCATCTGAAGAAAGGGATTTTATAAACGATGAAAGGCTCTGCGGACCATCACGTAAGTATCCACAATTAATTGCAGCCTTTGCCATCAGTACTCTAAGTCTTTCCAAGCTAAGATCGTTCGAGGAAGTTGTTATTGTGTTTGTTGAATGCTCAGAGGATTGGGTCTGTCCAGAAATGATTGAAGAGTTTGATCGCCATGCTGCTGGATCTTGTCCCAAGACAAAGATGTTTTGAATTGGGGTATCGTCAGGAGAAGCTGCCGCTATATCCTCAAATATTGTTGTAGGCGTTTCGGGGTTCCCTTGCTGGCGCAACGACTTGTTGAGACGAGCTTCGGAATGGGCCTTTTCCTTAATTTGAACAGTTTGATGGTATGCCGCTGGGCTTGGCCGGGGTGTGCCACGATCAGAATCGCGCAGACCTTGCCGAGACCAGCCTTCTCGGAAGATATCACAAAGTTCCCAGCATGCTTGTATTGCAGAGCCAAGTAATTCCTCATCTAATACTCGTCCTTCCCTATGGCTCTGGCGTATGCTGAACAGCATCTCAGCAAGTGACCAGCAAGCGCTTAATAGAGATTCTGGGTCGCTGGTCCCACTCCTTTGCTTCATAAGACGATGACACAATGTGATGTAAAAGTCTAGAGTTCTCTCTCTAAAAGCGTCCGGCAAATTTCGATCATGAGTGTTATACAGATGGTTATTGAGCTCAAAGCTGACACGAAGGACCGAGTCTGCAAGTTCATTATCGCAGTCTCTTGCATCGAACAATGTTTGGCAGAAGCTTCGGCAGATATCAAGCGTAGAGCTCACCCGTGATCCGCAATCAATGCCCTGAGAATTATATAACTCCCGGCAGAGTTTCCAGCATGATTTCCATGCCTCTTCGTGCACATCGCCTTTGCAATTTAGTCGCTTTTGGTGAATAGAGCTTAGGCTGGCTAGCGTGTTACAAAGCGACCAACATTCAGCAAGCGCTGCCGTCAAGGTCCTGATTTCAGCTTCATTATCAGGGGCGAGTTTCACATTCCGTTTAAGCCCATCTGAAAAGCCACCCACTTCATAGTCGGTCCTCAGAAGACCATCAGTTCCTTCTGGTATATCTGATTCGCTGTCAATACTAGGTCGAGACCCAACCAAAGGCCCCGGGACAGCCAATTACCTTGAGTGTTATTGACGTGGAAAGTCGCATCGACATCTTGAAATTCCTGCATCGTTTGTGCTCGTGGAGTTCCTCGCTCAGACCAATCCTTCGTGGGCCGGACAGCAGTAAACAGCGGGGGAGGTGATATAGGGCTGCAAGTAGCTTCCTAGGCGCTTTCAGTTCACCCAACCTTGCCGCTGGAGATACGTTACAAACCTTCGCTCCTCTAGTGCTCAGCCTAACCGGAGGCAGTTTCATCATCGTCATATCAGAATCCATATCAGAATCCACGGATGGCGTAGTATCTGATCTGGGAACCGATTGCCTACCGTATGGTTGACATTCTAGCTTCTGGGTATTCAATCGCAACATCAGTTAAAACACCTTCCAACATTATCCAGGACGACTCACAAAATCCCTGAATCCCGCAGGCGCATGTATGACAGACCGGGGAGGTTCATCGTCATTGAGTTTCTCGTCCAAGTTGCCGTCAGTCGATGTCGAGGTTTGTATCTATGATATGGATATACTCAACAGAAGTTTCTATGTCTTAGATACGGCTAGGTGTATTAATCATACGCACCGTTAGTTCAGACTGGATATCATTCAGCGCAGGCCGAGCATGGGAGGCAGTTGTGTATGTGTCATCACTATTTCTATCATCTGTCGCGCTGCCTTCTGTGGCACTATGAATGGGCATTTTCATCCGACAAGATAACTATCTAGGTCGTGATGCGTTTGGCGTAAGAAGGCAATATTCTGTAGGCTATTAGCGCAGGACTAATATACTAAGTACCTAATCATGTTTGCCATACAGCTTTGGAGATTCGAATTTGGAGTAACAGATTGACACAACGGAGTTTAATCCTGGAGAGGAGTTTCATGAAGGAGCGATGGACTTTATTCAAGTATGTAAGCGCCTAAGACCATGTTGATGAGATGGAACAGCCGAACCCCCGCATTGCACCTACTACCTATTGTACCACCTGATCTTGGCCACGCCGGGGCTCATTAGAGCAGATCCCCGCTAAGCGATTATCATATCTCGCATCTATCTAGTCTATGGCCTATATGTATGCCAGGAGACTCCCAAGATATCATACCCAAGTCGGTACGGGGCAAAGCTTCTTTCTGCACTCTCTTCCTTTCCACTTTGTAATATCACGCTTATCATCAAGACATGTTGACATCACTTTGCACTCCTAATTACGAGGTGTGCGAGTACCACATGGGAGGAAGGAGTCCATCCATCCTACGTTGTCTTTTTTCTCTCTCTCTTTTTTTCTTATTACAAATTCTGATTCAAGTCCTGTTGCAGGATATCCATACTATTGACTTGAGCTTTGGTCAATTGTGCTTTATTAATATGAGATATATTGATACATAATCAAGCCTTAAGAATGGATTTTCACCTGCAAAGTCTATCGGGCGCCCGTAGGTATGGTTTGTAGTCACTGAACCCAGCGCTAAACAAGGATAGGACGTAGCGAAAGAAAAACTTTGAATGATAGGCGGCATTGCACATTAAGAGGGCTGGTTTATTCTCCGCCCCCGGATATTCGCCTTCTCATTGCTCACTAGTGTTTCCCCGAACGCCAGTAACTGCGCAAGAAACACCAGTCGAACCGACCCTTGCTTCCCAAGTGAGAGAGGATAGCCGGTCCATTGCACAGACATTTTGTTAGAAGCCTTTTGATTCTGGACAAAATTGAGTTTTCGATAGACTGGAAGAACAAGCCGACGCTGCCTCAACATCGAATTATCCGGTCGCAATGATGCATTAACGGGCCATAGGCATCGATTGAGATCACTCGGCAGACTGCCTGGTGCAACTGCTAAGAACATGCCCGGACAGATGAGTGAGAAGAGATGTGAATAACTTATATCAATTGGCTCCTTGACTTCGCCCTCTCCGCCGGGTTGTAACTAAGTAGATCAGATCAGTACGACAGCTCATTCACCGGGGAGACCATAGCTACCGTAGAAGTTTCTCAATCAAATCAACATGGGTCATGATCATCCTACGGCAGCAGTACCGTTTGCAACCAAGCTGGTCCATTGCGTCACTTGAAACAGTCACTCAAAATCCAATATGATGTAAATTCTGGTTATAGGTCTACAACGTACCCATCAGGAATACCGTCGTCAAGCAACTGCAGATATCGTTCCCACAGGTCACCGACAACCTGAATATGTAACACATCAGTGAATGAGTTCAAGTAGCTTGCTGGGGCAGAATGTGACAAGTGACCTCACCTTGCCGCAAGAAAAACACCGGACAGGAATAATCATTTTTTTCGGTCTTTTGCCGCCAGGTCAGAAGGCTCGGAGAGAACGCTGTTGATTCCGAGTTGATTTACCGAAATGAGTAAAGATATCCAAGCTCTCAAGCCTCCAGGACCAGGTTGATTAACTTGGGACTCTATGAAGAGTGTTGACAGCGAACAAGGACGGACAGTCGCCTGAGTAGAAGTAGCTGCTCCGTATGAATGAAGGCATCAAGTCTTTGTTAATCGCCGGCGAGATTTTCGAAACGGATCCAGGACCCGCAAATTACTGTATAAAGCGACCGCTAACCGTATATGGCCTAGCGCACCGTCGCACTGTGGCTCGAGATTGGAGAACTAATTGGGTTCAGAAAAAATTATTGATGTGACACCAAGCGACCCCTACCTCTCCTTACCGCGAGACAGAGAAGTAAAGTCGTTATTCCACTTATCAGCTCTTAAGCTTGTGGATACGATGACTGGCCCTGATAATTCGAGCAGAGCAACAAAGAGATCTCGAGCCGGCGATGAAACCCCAATGAAGAACATGCCCTTAAATGAAGGGCGAGCGAAGAGGCGTCGCTCCTCTCACGGCAAGACTGATACTGACTCGGCCTTTGTGTCAGGCAAACGGCAAAAGTCTGGTGAAGCAGACACTGGTGTACTCCCGCGATCAAACAATGCTTCTCTAGGCGGTGTCAAGAAACCAATGACACCCCCAGAATCCTGGACTTTATCGAATACTATAGCGGGCCAATTCAGGGACATTGACCCAGTTCTTACCTCCGACGAGCAGTAAGTCTTTCCTCCTTACCGCCCGAATAGACTTTAACATGGTTATCTTTTCGCAGGTATCTTTTCGTTGCGTTCGAGGCAGCTATTCATGTCTATTCAGTTACAACGTCTCGTCTGTTTCGTACACTGCAGCTGAAACCTGGCCATCAAATTGTCGGATATGCTCTGTCACCCGGGAACCAGGAGCATCTATTTATATTTACTTCAACTGGTTCGGTGACCAAGTGGGATTGGTTGTCTTGTGAACAGACTTCATGCCTAGGTTCTCGCAGCAAGACAATATCTGTTGACTTGAGCACTTACAGCGTTGACAATCATATCGGGTTCAATCTTATATCTTTGCGCAAGCATAAAGACGAGAAGAAGGAAATAGTGGTTACTACACTGAGCGACCAGAACCCGAGTGAAGTATCCATTATTCAAACGAGTGCTCGAATCAGCCATATAAAGGTTGTGCGCAATGGACAGGTCGTTGTCGCATATGGTAGCCAGCACGTTCTTCTTGGGGTGGCTAGTTCTGAACCCACAAGCTCGATACCTTCGTACTCTTGGCACGAAGTGAAGGTACCCGTCAATATTACTTGTCTTGATTTGCGGTGCAGTAGCATGCCTTCTCGCGCCGAGGAACATCCAAGCGGAAAGTCCCGCGCAGGACAGGTCGATCTTGTTTTGGGAGAGGCCAACGGCTCTATCTTGTTGTACCATGACATTATAAGCTCATTTGAGAATCACTCTGAAGTATCAAGGAATCCAGCACCAAGACGATTGCATTGGCATAGGGGATCAGTCAATGCCGTTCGTTGGTCAAGAGATGGTATGTTCTCCACATCACAGTGAGCAAGCATTTGACCTTTTTCTAATATTATTCAGGGAATTATATCATCTCGGGCGGTCATGAATCAGTAATGGTATTATGGCAGTTGGAAACGGGGAGAAAACATTTTCTTCCTCATCTCTCATCTCCGATTTGCAACATCACCGTCTCTTCAAGTGGAAACACTTATGTTGTCAAGTTAGCTGATAACTGTATAATGGTGTTGTCCGCCAGGGAACTGCAGCCATTTGCCACCATCATTGGCTTGCAATTATGTCCAAAGGTGGCTGGACTTCAGGATCGATCAATGTCATCAGCTTACTGCCAGCCCCAGCTCACTACAGCTGCGCTACACCCACAGCATCCTGATCGAATTCTGCTCGCCGTACCGGCTTCTCGTCAATTGACACAATGCGGCCGCCCGTTGTCCAATTCTTCCGTCCTACAGACGTATGATATTAACGCGAACAGCCATCTGTCTCGTCAAGCCCTTGCACGTACAAATGCCACGACTTTGAGTATCAGTCCCGAGGGTTCGCAAATAATTGCCCCGGATGTTACCCATCTTAGTATTTCTCACGACGGGAAATGGATGGCTACTGTCGATGATTGGTGTCCTTACCCACAGGACGTCGAGGCTTTAGAGCTGAGCCAAAAACAAGCAACTCATGTTACATTACGAGAGACTTTCCTGAAATTCTGGAAGTGGAACGGCATTTCAGCTGTTTGGGAATTGGCAACGAGAGTTGATGGACCCCATTTTTCACGAGACGGTCCTCTTCCGGTGCTGGATCTCGCTGCTCGACCACGAAGCTACGAATTTGCCACCATTGGCCTCGACATGGTGCTACGTTTTTGGTGCCCAAGTATTAGGAATCGTAGTGGGTTGAAAGCAGCAAATGATACGGAATCTTTGGAGACATGGAAATGCCGAAGTACCATCGACTTGAGTGGATATTTCATGAACTATGCACCTGGTCAATCAAGTGCCGCTTTCATAAGCTTCTCCCAGGATGGCTCAGTGCTTGCTGTCTGCGCGCAGTCGGATGATCCTTTGAGTACCGGCTTGACTATTCTCATTGATGCGCAGAGCTGTAATGTTCGTTACAGCAGAACTGGCCTGTACACCGGTAAACCCTGTGCAGCCGAATTCCTAGGGTGTCATCTGGCTATCGCTTCGCAACAGTCTCTGTCTATATGGAACATCGTTGATGATACAGTGAGAGTGGTCAATCTAGCAGCAAATGGTTCCTCTGTTACTGTGTCGCCCTTGTTGTTGGCCGTGAATCCCACAACTGAGACATTTGCTGTTGCTTCCCAGGATGTGCAGGGAAACCACCCTGTGAAGAAAACACGGCAACCTCACTTCCGTGTTAGGGTCTATGATATACGCTCTTTGTCCTTGATTTTTCAATCCCCCCTCAGCCATTGCCCTTTGGCCTTGCTTGGTAACCCAAACTCGGCGGACTATATCGTTGTGGATTCTGCGGCCAATATACAACGGCTCGGTAGCACGAAAAAGGTCTCTCATTCCAACCAGCCCCCTAATACGGCCATTCATCTCCAGTCCGGCCTTGCGAGTTTGTTTGGCAGCCAACCTAGGGGGACCAGCATCCAACCCTCTAATGGCCTCGATTCGTCTCGCTCCAACCCATCAAACCCGCACAGCAAAGACCTGGCTGGTGTCTTTGGTGACGTTCCTCCTTTTGTTTTGCCCCCAGCCAATAAATTATTCCAGGATGTTGTGCATGCGCTCTCGGGCTAGTTCGCGGTTCTTGTCTAGGTCTTGCAGGAGTTGACACCGATAGAATTGGACTTGAATTTGTATTCTTATCTAACGCGCGCGGCTTGTTGACCTCTTTTGACTCCTTGGACTTCAATTGAGGGACAGCGCATTCATACGGGTTTATTCTACAGGGATCACTGTACAAATTATGCAAAATCGAAGTCAAATTCAATTTAATTCAAAGATAACGAATCCGTCTGCCGCTTTCGAACACCAACAGATCTCGGAACTCCTACTGTAGGTGATATAAGGCGATTTAGCCAGAGATCATATGCTCCATCCAGTGAGTACCATTGGAGGCTACCATCGATAACTAGATGTTTAGTCTATATCGCAGCCCCGTGCATCGTAACTAGGGATTTCCCGGGGTTTAGTGTCCTTGCCCGCCCCGATCCGTTCCCGGCGTTTTAAACTAAGTCCGAAAGACTACTGAACCCATATATTTGCGGTGACGAAGAATCAGACACGATCCAGAGTGAGGTGAAATGATGCCTTCTTGTCTTGAACGTGAGTTAAGTATGCATCGAGTTCGTGGTCCTCGTCGATGACAAATGGGATCCCATTCCCATTCTCGTCCTTATCGAGGCCTTCAATTCTAGTGATGATCCCATCTGGATACTTAGCACCGACCAGCTGCCGTATTTCAGCAACAGACCTTGTTGCCAATTTTTCGATCCAGGTCTTAGAGCCTCCGTATAGCTGACTCTGAGGATTAATACGGAGGTAAACTGGAATGTGTAGAACGGTGGGCTCCAGCATAGGGTCCACGTAGCCAAATGAGTGTCCAGGATCGTGCTGGCCTGTTGGAGCAAACGTGGGATCGTTTGCCGCTTGGAGGAGTGAGGGATCTATTTGCATATCACCTAGGTCATTTGAGGCTACTGGAGCGCTGGCCAGAGCTTGGGAAGCAAGTGTACTGATTCCATTAGTAATGTCGTTATCACCAAACGCACTCCCCCCCTCGGAATTTTGAGTATGGGGCGGAAGCACAGATTGTTTACGAGATGAATCTCTTTTTGTTTGATCATCGCGAAGTCGTTTCATGACATCGCGACAAAGAACCTCGAGAGCCTTCAATCTCGTCGTATGTTCCGAGTCCGCCGGGCCGGGAGCAAGTATTCGTTGTAGTAGTTCGGAGTTTTGGACCCACTGTTCTTTCAGCTCTTTCCAATGCTCATCGCCAGCTTCCAGTTTGCTTGTAAAGTGATCGGCTTTCAGAGTGTTGTAAAATGCATTTCGTATCTGACGGCTCTCCTCGGGATTGATTCCGAGAGCGTTCTTGGCTTCCGCGATCGTCATTCGCCGTTCAAGTGTTCTCATTCTCTTGGTAACATCTGTACAGACGACGTCCAGGGCAAGAGATTTCGCGTCCAGTTGACTCGGGTCCTCCCAAAAAACTCCCTGAAGATGTTCGGATTCCTGTATCAACTTATTCTTTGCCACTTGCCATCGTTCAGGCCCGGCGACCGTTTTTTTAATAAAGCCCGCCTCCTCGCAAATCTTTTGAAATTGATCTCTTATCTGACGGTACATGGCACTGTCTAACCCTAGATATTTCTTACTCTCATCAATAGTGGTTTCGGATGGGAAACGAGGAGGGCCTGGAGGATCGGCAGGCAGCCCGGCCCAGCCTCGGGTACGGCGCCGGCGTTTTTTAGCGGCCCAACGTTCGGCACTTTCTGCTTTCAATCGATCAAGTCGTTCTTTGCGCTTTAATAAAACCTCCGTGGATAGACCCGGGGACGGGGGAGTTGAGTTCGTGGAGTTCGGTGCGTCATCAGGAACAGTATCGGCATCATCAAATGGGCTCGACGTTTTATAAACCTCTTCATGTAGAGCAAGTATGCCTTCATCTTCGGGCATCTGGACAGAAGTCGGCAAGTTACTTTGTGACTTCATTCCATTGGGCACACGTAAAAGCCATCGGTTCTTGGCGCGTACACGCATCAGCTCTCTTTCTTTGATCTCGTAACCTTCTTCATTCAGTATGCGTAGCATGTCTCGCTGGCTGGTATTCCTTTCCCAGAGTTGTTTAACACGAGCAACAAGGCTTGCGTTCTTGTGTGCCGGGTTTTGCTTCGAGGGAAAACCCCATCTTTTGAATTGTGTTTGGAATGCACGCTTGCTAAAACCAGTCATGATCTGTTAACGAATACCAAGCTACAGCTGGACATGTAGGATCGCAAAGATGGGGCTGTTATTTACCTTGGTGCAAACTGGTAAGTGTTTCTCATAAACTCCATGATCTCCTCCAAAGCCTTCTTTTCTTTGATATACATCTGATAGCAGATTTCTCGCTTGCCCTCCCAGTCGTAAACCATGATGAAAAACCGCTTGGAGACGCCCCCTCCAAGCTGGAGGTGCGGCTCTGGGTACAAGCCCCTCGCACTGAGTGGTAGTAACGGAGGGGAAAAGGACGGGAAATGGTGTTCGGATAGCAGTGTGATGGGTGAAGGCACCTATTGTCGCTCCTGTGCACCGTAGTTCAGCAGTGGCTGTGATGCATTACGGTGGCCGGAACCCCCGTAAAAAGGGTTGACGACGCGGACCACTCATGCCATCACGTGAGCCTCTGTTCTTTTACCGCATGCGTGGATATAAACGATACCTTCCGTACTCTACATACAATACCTACGTATATTACTTTTCCAATAATGTACCTTAGGTATAGTATGTAAATTACATCCATGGGTACCTAATGTAGGTACCTACCTGTAGGTACTTACCTCCCCACCAGGAGGTACACGTACAGTACAGTACAGACAGTTACCAGTGCTACCTAGATATCCGCAGCTATAAGTATAACTGCGCCGGCGCGAAGCCGGAAGCTATAGCTGGGTCAGAAACATTAACCTAAGACATTGATTCTTCTTCTTATCTTGAACAGTCGGGTTCGTAGCCACGTCAAGAAATGCATCCATCGGTTCTTGGGCTGGGGCTTCCATGTTGCCGGTGCCGGCCCCTGTTGCGATCCAGGCCGAGAAGGAGCAGAATCGCCGTGGACTTCAGAAGGTTCCTTCTGCCATGGTTGTTCCCGACATTCATCCTGCCTTAGAGAAACTCTCCAAGGTTGTTTTTCTTTCCGTCTCATTTGTCTTGCCTCGGCCCTCAACTGCTGTTCTTCTAATTTGCGCGCTTTGGCCGCCTCCTTCTCTTCAAATGCTTGCCGCGCCGCCTGTACTGTGGCTGCGCGAGATATAGGATCCATACTCGTCCTCGTCCTAGATCGAAAGGAGAAATCTAAAGACGACCTTGAAATAGGAGAAGCAGCATCCAGGATACTCCCAGTGTCCCTGGAATAGCCAAGGGATGGACGGCCGGTAAGGTTTGTTTGTGAGGTACCATGGAGCTTTATGAAAGGATCTTCTTGGGTCTGTAATGATAAACGCGGTGTTTGTCCCGATGAACCACGCATGGATTGATGTAAGCTTTCTGATCCCCATTGTGCCTCGAGTTCTTCCTCGACATGGTCTCCAGTGGCTGCGTCGTTGCTCTCCGTCGTAGACATCTGGGAGGACTGATTTAATGGCATTGTATACGTGCGAGGGGCCTGGCGCATTGGATGGACATATTGTGAACTTGGTTTGCTCATGCTGGAACAGCTTGCTGTCGACAATTCGGAAGTCCCACTGGTCGATCGATGATGGAGACAACTCTGGTTCTGAGTCATTGCGCAATTAACAGTTTCACCATTCCGACGTCCGTCTCTATCATTGCTCGGAGATATCCGCGGACCGTCGTTGTCGATAGAGGCTCTCAGAGAGGTCGATGACACAGATGATGAATGATCCTGTGATATCTTTCTGTATACAGTATGCGTCGTTTCTATGCTGTCATTTTTCGGAGACGAGTTGACGACTTTGGAAGAAACATTTGAAGCAGGTAGATCTATGGGCCGACTGAAGCTTGTATTCAGGCAATTCTCGCGGACTGATGAGCCTTGAGAAATCCCATCCGATTGGGCCCAAACTTGGACATCGGTTTCGGGCAAATTCGGTGGGTGGAACACGTCTGACAGATGGCGTGCATCCTTGGAGGTACCAGACGAGTGAACCAGCACCTGTCTATCGTCACTAGAGGGTGTTGAGAGGCTTGTAGAGCCAGGAGCCGTCGGATAGGCAGAGTGAGCGTTGCACCCGGATTGGTTATTTGGCGCAATCTCTCCGGTCTTCGGCCGCATGGCGTTCGATGGAAGCGGTGAACCTCGAGCGAGACGGGTCTCGGAACGCGGCATGGGAATGAAATAGGGGCCCTACAGCCTCTGCTTTCTGCCCGTCCTCCTGCCCGGCTTCCTGAGAGAAGTGAACCCCTTTCTTCTGCTAATGGCGTGCTGTTGGACACATCTTAAACGACGACGGCTCTAACGATGGGACAAGTACAGGTTGCGACTCCGAATCCTCCGCTGCACCAAGCCGTCGTAAACCGCACAGCGAGGTCAAAGGCAAGGCACGTAGAAACGGGGTTCGAGGATCGACGTCGCAGAAGATAGTGCAAGTAAATAGAACGTTACTAAACCCAGACGATTGTGCATGAAATCAATGGTAAACTTCCCGGGGGAGAGGGAGGGACGACCAGAGTATGGGAGTTAGCACGAAGCATCCAGACTGATCCGAGGATCTGCCCTATCAGTAAGCATCCTTTCCACCCTTTTCGGATATAGGACCAAGGAAACCCAGAATACCCAGGGGCATAACATAAAAGAGATGGGCGGGGACTGGGGGCTGGAGGGGGGAAGAAAGAGCAAAAAGCGCGCAGAACGGCTCGCTCCGGAGTGACGGACCCGCTCGGTTCGACAAGCCACTCAAGGCGAGCGACGGATGCGGAGGGGGACTTACCTAAGGGAACCTACAGAGTACGGAGTAGATCATTTATCTCTCCTGCAATTTGGCACTCGTACGGTGCGCCTGGTGTCACTAGTTACGTACTACTACTACCCTGTACTCTGCACTTCTACGCAATTCGGCCGCCATCGTCCCGTGAGCGGAGTGCACTGCCCAGTGATCCGTATATCCAGTGGTATCTACTCCGTACTACAGGACACCGGTAAAGACAGGGTGGAGACTGGAGCCACTGGCTTGAGACAGTGGCTGGAAATCAGTTGATCACATTCGGGAGCTCACTACGCAGTAGTACTCTGCATGGTTGGATGGATACTAGATAGTGCCCTCTCGGACCTATTCCAGTCCTTGAAGTGTGGATGGCATATCCCCGGCCATTCGTGTCAGACCATTTCCTTGGAAGAACCCTAGCAGAAGGCAGTAACTGGTAGATAGAGAACTCCCGCCAAGCTTGTCGGTGTCGGTCTCATGCAGCCAAGATGCAAATGGGGCAATCACGTTCCCCTCAGGCCTTCCCGCGGAGGAAGTAGACCAGCAACATCCCCCCACCTTCTGTCTGTCTGTCTTCCTTTGTTTCTCTCTTCGTTGACGGAGTACATGGCGGGGCAACTACTCGCTTTTTTTTTTTTTTTTTTTTTTTTTGCGAGGCCATTCTGTTTGCTGCCCTCTCCCCCCCTTCCCCCTTTCTCTTCTCCCACAACTAGAACCAAATATACCGAGGTGGGATAACTCTGCATACACCAGAGTATCATGGATTCCCGCTTTAAGATCCCATATTTCTCTCTCTTCGTTCTTTTCACCCTCTTCCAGCAGACCCAAGCCTTTGGCGCGGGGAACATCGCTTCCATATCCCGTATCGAAGGGCAAAATTGGCGTCATGGGGATATTGAAGATGCCCTATTAACTCTATTCCTGGCCCGCGTTGCCGGTGGCCGGAAATTTACCAAGCTTGATGTGCAGCGCGTCTATTTTGGAAACTGGCTGCGCGACTATAGCCAGGCTGTCGACGTCGGAACGTTGAAATACGTTAGTACCGAAGCCATTCGCATCTTGATATGGGTACTTGGCTTCCTCAGTTTCGGGTAATACTTCTCCCTCTCTTGAATATCATAGATTCTCCGGCATGTCGAAGCTGTCCTGACGTTCTGCTCCTAGATACGGAACCAAAGAGTTTGAGGTGACAACAGAGCGTCTTGGATGTTATGAACCAACGGAACACATCGATAACCCTCTTGGTTACGCCGAAGGGGAGGATGCCCGAGATTATGACCGCAGACTGAGAGGCCCAGTTGATGAAGAGCGTGAACTTTCCATTGATCCAAGAACTGGTTCGTAAGGTCGATTTGAGTTAAATGCGAAGGAGTCGGGCTGACCCACGTCTCGACGATGAGTAGGTCTCAAAAGTTATATAGCCTCCGAGGACCTGGGGATTGCAACATCCGCAGGCCTGGTGCGACAGGTTTTCCATCGATCTATCCGATTGGCTCGCCAGTATGCAAATTCGAGAAACGATGAAGATTTGCATGAAGCTCTCCGCCTTCTCGGAACTGGTTTGCACTGCCTTGAAGACTATGCGGCGCATTCAAATTACGCGGAATTGAGCCTTATCGAGCTCGGTGAAGAGGACGTGTTCCCTCACGTGGGCCGTGACACCAAAGTGGAAATCCAGGGCGCTCAGGAATACGTCTACCCTATCATCACAGGAACTTTTGGCGGAGTTGATTTCTTCCATTCCGTGCTTGGTGAACTATCCGATAAAGCGATGCAGTCTGAAGTTCAATCTCTGGAAGGCGTTATGGCTGAATCACAGAACGGGACTCCTTCTGAGAGCTTCATACAGGAGCTTCTCGGGAAAATCCCGGATGGATTGATCGGTGATACCGACGGCCAGGCCGACAAAATGAACGAATTCAAATCAAAGTCGGAATCTGCCAAGGAGGCCAACCGACAAGTTTCACCCCGAGAGCCCGAAGAATGGACACGGTACTTGGACGATGTGCACCAGCAGATCTATCCAATTTTGGAGTGGCATGACAACCTAATCAAATCTGTCAACAGTGCGATTGAAAAAATTCCAGTTCTACCGGAGCTGATCGAGCAGATTCAAGAACAGATAACGGTATTCGTCTTCTCTGTCATTGCACCTTATGTTCTCCCCATTCTTCAGCAAGTGAAAGTTGAGCTGCAAACGGGGTCTTCCGAGGTCATTCAAAGCAGCAAAGAGCAGCAGCATATTGTATTTGACGATGACTCCTCTTCCAATCCGACGCACTCGATGCTTTCGAAAGACCACTTTTCGAATCTGCTTAATGAGCCGGCGGGCCGAATAGCTTCTCAGGTCATCAAATGGGTGGTGCCGCAGCTTATGCAATGCTGGGACAATGAAGATATTGATGTTGACAGAACGCTGGATAGGATAATATCCGGTGTCTTCCATCACCCCGCCCTCCGCGCGTTCGGTGAAGACGGTGCTGCCGATGTCCGTCAAACCATGTTTGCCACTGTTGAGGAATGGTGGGATGGAAAAAGCGAGGAGGAGAGACAGGTATTACGGGGAAGCCTATCTCGGGACGGTGTACTCCAAGGGAAAAACCATAGGGAGGGGGTTCATGACTCGGGTCACGGATGCGGCAAGCCACTAAGTATTCAGAAAAACAAAACTTCCAACGAGAGTCCCCAATCGGATAACAGCAAATTCGGAAGGCTTGCAGCGGAGGCCGCAGGTGGCGGTGCTCTTGGTGGACTTGTTGGTGGACTTGTGAGCGGCGTTGGGTCCATGTTATTGAATAATGGTTCCGATACACACGAGAATCGACCTCAACCGGATGATCAAGAGCGACAACGACCAACTTATCATGATGACGACGAATTGGAGCGACACGAGGATCGTCCCGATTATGGCTATGGCCATCGACAGGCTCAGGGACGTTTCGATCATTCAGGTGGGAGCGAGTATGTACAGGGTCATTCGGAATTCGCCGACATCCAGTATCGCGAGTCGCAGGAAACGTTGACCTACAGGCGCGATGACTATAGGAGCGAGCACGTCGACCGCCATTACGAATATGAAGGCCGTCCCAGATATGAAGAGCAAACGAGTGATTACACTGAATCGCGCTATGAAGATAACCGCTATTCCACGTACGAAAGCGCGGAGGGGGGCCGGAACGACGACGGCAGATGGTCTCAGTGAGTGGAATATGAACCTATCCGTACTTGACGTACGTCCCGCACATATGTTCTTGGTATTGATATTCGTCAAGGGAATATGCACCTCGCTATAGGCCTTCTCCAGACGTCAGCGACAGACATGGGGGTGATGAATACTCTGGAGAGGGACATGAGAGTTATTCCAACAGCAACAGTGAGAGTGTCGAAGGTTCGTACGGATACGGCGGATACGGTTCTCGCTACGATGCCAACCCAAGAGGATATGGTTATTGAGCGAAAGGCTTGTTTTGTTTGACAACCAATAGTTGGTTTCGCATCGGTTGTGCTTGATTCTGAAGATAACTCGGGGCCGGAATCGCCTGGTTTAGCGCTTTCAACGAGGGAATTTGAACCTCCCATGATTAGTTAATAGGATGAGATGAGTAGCGGTAAACTGCAAGAGCGCTAGGCTCCCAGTGCAAGCACAATCACCATTCTTTAACTTCCCCGGGGACTGGACGCTCCACCCTAACGACCTTGTCACAGTTGAGCAGGCAGAGGGGGTCAAAGGCCAATTTTAACTGTAGGAGATCCAGAGTGTCAGCAACTCGGACTGCGTGGTAGCATGATGCTCGCTGCATCACCGACTGTTGAACTTACCCGCCGCATTGCATCAACAGTAGACTGCCCAACTTCGTGTTCAAGGTAGTCCCGTTTGATGAGGCCGACGCCATGCTCTCCCGTCACAGTGCCTTCCAATTCCACCGCGCGTTTCACCATTCGGTGAACAACCGCCTCTGCATTTGCTCTTTCGCTGTCATTGAAGAGAATGATCGCTGTTCGCCAGAGTCATTTAAATTAGCATGCAACAAAACCAGTCGATAAGGGTGGCTGACCGTGAAAATTGCCATCTCCGACATGGCCACAGATGCCTGCCAGCAAGCCACTTCGAGTCATGTCTTGTTTGGTGGATTCTACAATGTCAGGCAACTTGCTCATCGGAACCGCCACATCAGTCGTCCAAACATGATCTTCGGGACCCCTTCTCATTGACATTACACTCCAAAGGGCCTGCTTTCGCGCACTCCATAATTCTTGCATCTCCTCTTCGCCGCGCGCAAATTCGAACGACCGACCGGCAGCGCCAGAGACTATTTTTTGAACCATGCCTATTTGCTCCTTGACGCCAACAGGTGTTCCCGTGAATTTGAAAAATAACGTGGGCGATTCTTTCCACCGCCGACTTGTCGCCTTGCTGTCGTTGATGCACTTCATCTGAACGTCATCCAGTATTTCTACGCCAGCAACTGGGATACCTTCCTCTACCACGCGTGTGACGCACTCAGCTGCGCTTTGGATGGTGGGAAAGCTGGCCACAGCAACGTTCTGGCTTTTCGGTCTGACAGTCAATTTCAGGGTAGCCTCGGTCACAAGCCCAAGGGTTCCTTCACTTCCAATGAAAAGTCTGGTGAGATCGTAACCGGCGCTAGACTTCCGGGGACGCTGCTTGGTCTTTATCACGGCCCCGTCCGCGAGCACAACAGTCAGGGAAAGAACCCATTCTCGCATGGTGCCGTATCTGTAAGCATTGGTTCCTGAGCAACCGGTGCCCACCATGCCGCCAATCATGGCACCGGGGCCAGGATCAGGCGGGAAGAATAGGCCGTTGGCAGAGAGCTGTTCATTCAAATCCTCCCATCCCAGGGCCGGTTGCACTACAACATCAAGGTCCTTCTCATGAACTTCCAAGATGCGATCCATGCGGCGAAAATCAATGCATACCCCGCCTCGTGTGGGTGCAAAGTGGCCCTCCAAGCTGGTGCCTCCGCAGTAGGGCGTCACCGGAATGACCCTTTGGTGGCAAACCTTCATGATGCGGGAGACTTCCTCGGTTGTTGAAGGGTAGAGAACCAGGAAAGGTTTCTCGTCTTCCTTCCGCGTATATGAAGACCAATCCGACCCCGAATGCATTTCCAAGTCGCCATTTTCAGTCGAAACATTCGGCTTTCCCAGGATCTCGACAAAGTCGGCCCAAGCGGCCTGGAGATTTGATTGAGAGACGTTGTGTTGCAATGGTTCGACATCGGACAGGGGAGTTGTTGATGAAGTTGGGAGACTGGCGGGTTTTGCAGACCCTAGGAAGTAGGCTCCCGTCGAAAAAAAGGTCAAGCCTGGTGGTCCAGAAATTTGCAGATGGTTAGCCGTGGGTGCACGGTGGGTAGTCGAGCAGCAACAGGTGACAGGGAGCACCTACCAAACAAGAATGCAGCATAGCGACCACCCTGGGATTGAGTTTGGTACTGGGCATGCCGCTCCTGTTCCGCGCGCTCCCGCTTCAACCGCTGTTGCGTGCTCTCATATAGTTGGGTTTTGAAGGACTGATGCCGCTCGGTGGCATTGCGCGGGAAAGAAGCATGAATGTGCCGTGACTGCGTCGAAGGAGAAAGCGGGAGGCTTCTGCAGCAGCCGGCTCTAGATTGACATTGAAGTGCACGGAAGGTCCCTCGAAAGGGAAGAGGATGCGGTCTTACCATGACAAAGGCTGAAGGGATAAAGCACACAGGGTGGACCGGAGATAGATATGAGGAGATACTTCAGGCTGCTTTAGCTCTAATCCAGCTCGGGGACCGGCGTCTTATGTCATCGCCGGAGTACATACGCTGTACCTTAGGTAAGGTACCTTACCTTACTAGGTCACGTACCTACAGTAAGGTATGCACAGTACCTTACATACCTAGTGGTATTGTTACCACCAGACACGTATAAGATACCATCCATCTGTATATTACAGTATCATGTGGTATCAAAGAGTACCGTATAGTACGGAGGACACTGCCGGGTAAATGCGGTTAAATTCCCCATTGTTCCCGAGCGCGCTCTTCCTTTCTTTCCCCGCCATGACGACGGTGGGGGGAACAAATACGGGCCCATCACGGAGCACCGAGAACCTACTTGACTGTGTACCTACGCGTTGGTACCTCCTACCGGTCATGTACTCCGTAGTACAGGCTGCGTCGCTCGATTTTGTATAGTTCACTAGTCATCTCAATTTTTCTTTTCTCCTCTCCCCCACTTAGAAAGCCATTACTATAAGGCAGGCGTCTCCTGGATAAACCGCCCCTCCTCCCCACTTGCCCTCTCCCATTCTCCCATTCCTCCCTCCACGCAGTTGATCAGTGTTCTACTTCCCATACATTGCATTGAAGAGCTACCTACGGCGTCTCTGAAGCCCGCTACACCGGCCTCTAATCTACCAGTTCTCACAATGAGCGCGAACGCCCAGGTACGTTGGGTGAACAAGATCGATGAAGGAACGGATGAAACTAATAGCCACCTGTCTTTCCAGAACCTTTCGTTCGTCCTTGAGGGGATCCATCAGGTCAAGTTCGAAGATCGACCTATCCCGGAATTGAAAAGTCCTCATGACGTGCTTGTGAATGTCAAGTTTACGGGAATCTGCGGTAGTGATGTACGCGCTCCCCGGCGAACGATTTGATCTCAACGATTGACTGACGTGCCTCGCCTTCAAGGTCCATTACTGGGAACACGGCTCCATCGGTCAGTTCGTTGTCAAGGAGCCCATGGTACTGGGCCACGAATCCTCGGGCGTAATCAGCAAGGTCGGTTCGGCCGTCACCACTCTGAAGGTGGGAGATCATGTTGCGATGGAGCCAGGTACCCCCTGCCGCCGGTGCGAGCCCTGTAAAGCGGGCAAATACAACCTCTGCGAGAATATGGCTTTCGCTGCCACCCCACCGTACGATGGTACCCTCGCCAGATACTATGTCTTGCCCGAAGACTTTTGTTACAAACTTCCGGGCAACATCACTTTGCAAGAGGGCGCGGTCATGGAACCTCTTGGCGTCGCCGTGCATATTGTGAAACAAGCCAATGTCAGTCCGGGACAATCTGTCGTGGTTTTCGGTGCCGGTCCGGTGGGATTGTTGTGTTGTACTGTGGCCAAGGCTTTCGGCGCCTCGAAGATCATCGCCGTGGACATCCAGAAGCCAAGGCTGGAGTTCGCCCGGAAATATGCTGCAACGGCAACGTTCGAGCCGGCGAAGGCGCCTGCCCTGGAAAATGCGAGCCAAATCATCAAGGACAATGAACTGGGCTCGGGTGCTGATGTCGTCATCGATGCCTCGGGCGCCGAACCGTCGATACACACCGGCATTCACCTTGTTCGGCCCGGTGGCACGTATGTGCAAGGCGGCATGGGCCGCAGTGAGATCACTTTCCCGATCATGGCAGCTTGCACAAAGGAGCTGAATGTGAAGGGCAGTTTCCGCTATGGCAGTGGCGACTACAAACTCGCAGTTGATCTAGTTGCGTCTGGCAAAGTCAACGTGAAGGAATTGATTACCGGTGTTGTCCAATTTGAAGATGCCGAGCAGGCGTTCAAAGAGGTTAAGGCAGGAAAGGGCATCAAAACGCTAATCGCTGGTGTGTAATAATATCCTGGAGACTGAAGTTGGCAAATGGCGCAAGATTCCTCGGGGCGTGGGCATGATACTGAAAAGCGAAGTTGGGGCTGAAAACTCCCCTCATAATATAAACCAAAATGATAAAATAAGGAATTGAATCCGAAGACAGCTAACGGATGAAACGCGCGCTGCTTCATTTTCGGTCCTTTTTTTATTTTTATTTTATTGATTTGGCAACATATAAATTCGCATATCATTAAAGGAGGGCATTTAGGGTATCGGTTAGTGCAGTCAATGAGCGAAGTACCTCACGCGCAAATACAAGGGTTAGATAGAGCCAGAGCATTTCGCCTCTTGGATCCGAGAGGGAATAGGCATGCGGCGAGGCAAGGTCAGCCGGCAACTTGAACATTTAGCAGCATCCACCACCTTTCCTTTGATGGGAGCCACCTAGTCGAAACACATCCTCCCATTCTCTCACGCCACCTCTCCAGCGGTTGGCACTCCGTCTTCTTGAGCCCTTAGGATGCAGATGCACGGCATTCTCATCGACGGTCATATGGCTGCGAATGCTGGAAACATCACTGGTGCCGTGCCCGTAAAGGCCGCCATCGCCATATTGTATCCCACTCTGCGGGTCGTCCGGATCAATTTCGCCGAGTTCAATCTTTGTAAGAATTATACGGGCCAATCTATGGAACAATTCTTCAACGCCTTCTCCCGTGAGCGCCGAAACTTCCACAGCAACGGGTATGTTCGATTTGGCCGCCCAGCGAGAAGTTTCTTCACTGATAACCTCTCGACCTTGAGGGGCATGAGTAGCGGTCAGCCGCGTGCCGGTTGCCATATTGCTGGTCGAACGCATCGACCCTCCGCCCGAATCGAACGGGAACGAGGATTGTCGGCTGGAGGTACTGGATGGTGTCTGGGGGGGTCTCAGGCCATCGTCGACGAAGCTTGTATGTGGTAGGGGGTCAGTCGCAAGATCCCTTTTGTTACCGGCCAGCAGGACAGTGAGACTCGGGGAAGCAAGAGCACGCGCATCCATAAGAAATGTTGGGAGGGATGTGAAGGATGAATGCGAGGAAATGTCGTAAACTAAGATGGCCCCCGCGGCGCCACGGTAGTAGGATCGGGAGACCGACCGAAACCTTTCTGTCCCCGCCGTGTCCCAAAGCTGCAATTTGATTCTCGTTCGACGTGGGCCGGTCCCTAGCTTGATGATCCTCGACGAAAATTCGACCCCGATTGTTTGTGACGATAGCACTCTCCCTATAGGCGCACGGTGCATTAGCGAGCCGGTTATTCCGTCGGGATATAACAGGCTCAGCGGAAGGTCGGAGCCGTACATTCATTTTTCACGAATCGATGCAATACACACGATCTAAGATGCGCCAGCGCCCATGTGAGTATCGGAACTTTCAATCCGTGGCGGGGAATCCGTCTCCAGGCACTTACTTTCCGGCGCCGCTTGGCCCAAGGAGAATGACTTTAGCCAAGTAATCATACATACTCTCCAGCTCCTAGTAGCCATCAGAAGAAAGCCAAGCGGGACAAAGGTGCGCATATGAAGGGGGTATCGGATTTGGAGGGAACACGGAGACAGGGATGGTTGTATGTACCTGGTGTCTTTCCGGAACAGAAGAAGTCGAAGAAGCATCAGAAGGAGTCCTTCTGCGCACCATGATGGCGGACCCCGGCTGTTCCAGTAGAAAGAAGACGAGAAAGGGTAAAAACACACACAGTAGGGTTCAGGTCGTTGCTTGGGAGGAAGGTGGGGGGGGGGGGGTGAAGAACAGGAAGGCCGTCTGTTTGTTGGTGTTTATCGCTGGTCCGTGGGTTGTAAGCGCGGAAAGCGGAAGGCTGATATGACGGAAGACAAGCGCCGAGAATCCTCGGTTGCTTGACCTGGATAGACAATTTCCGCGTGCTTATGGTCATTAAAAATGTATACAGCCCCAAGCTCAAGGTAGCAGCATGGGATAGCCAGATCCTCGAAATAATGAACTGCTATGTTTGCAATGAGAATACCCTGCCCTTGGGTCAATCGATACCCAACATCCACGAACACCGAGGCTACATACAACAAGTACTATCGTGTCAACCCGAGCTTCTACCCTCGCATCCGACCTCTAAGATTGTTTTTCGCACAGATGAACAGCAGTGGTCCATGCCTGGCAGCATGTCTTACTGATACGATGCTCGCACCAACAACATTTCACAGCCAAAAATGGCGGGGGCATAGCAGACGCCGATTCCGGCTTCTTTTGACTGGAGCTCTCGGTATTCCTTGAAGATCGACCCTGGGCATTCGTTGACTTTTTAGAGAGGTGCCGACTATTGGAACGAGTGATCTGGCTTCCCGAGGAGGCAAAAGAACGGTCCGTGGATGCATGGGAGACAGCAGAGAAAGCTAGTTTCCTATACACTTCCGACGGCATATCGTGCCATGACTTGCAGTGACAACAGATAACAAACAGCTTTGCAACTGATTGTCCATAAACCGGGTATTTTGCCTGATTAGACGGCCCCTGAGATCGTGGAAGAACTGCACTGGATAGCACATTCATTGGGCTCTTTTTCTCTAGAGAACCCTGAGCAGATCCACGAAGGGTTCTGGCTGAAAAATAATCCACTGGTCGTTGAGCCGGGGCGTCTTCGTCTCGCGACGGAGACGGGACTGATACGGCTTCATCTGCCGTGTTGTATTCCTCTGAACCTTGGTCTTGGGACACACTGGTTGATAATGAAAGATTTGACATCTTTGTGTCACGGCTTGGCGAATTCTGTTCTGCATTGACACATTTCAACTCCGGATGGCCTTCAGCCTTCGTGTGTCCCTGAATTGCCCGAGGTCTGGCCTTCTCTGAAGCAGGCTCAGTCGCTGCGCGTTCACCCTGTCCGACATATCCTGGGAAATGCCAGCGCTGTGATTCTTTTCTCAAGGGGGAACCTATAGATTGATTTGGTAATTTGGTTTTATGGTTGTTTAAGGTCGACATAGAACCCTTTTTTGCGTGGGATGAAGTGGCAATTTCACCTGAGTCCAAGGATGGTCTGCCGCCACTGCTTGACGATTCCAGTAAATGAGATGATGAAAATGAGTTAGTGTTTTTCTTTTGATTGGTGATATCGAGAGGAGAGCTATGGGCCCCAGTTCCTGGTCCATTCGGTTTATCTGTAGTGTGAGAAGAAAACAAGGCATGCGAGCCTTTGGTGCCGGACGTCCGTTTATCGGAAGCAGCTGTGGGTGCTCGGAGTTTTGTACTTTCAATTGAAGCGGCAACAGAATGGCAATCAAGGTCATTGACTGTAGGAGCTCCTGCAAGGGGGGATGAGGTAAATTTCTTGGAGTGTCTCTGAGGCATGTTCTCCGCCAATGATCGTGTGGGGGCATTCCTCATTAGACTCGGATGTAGACTAGGAGTGATGAGCTGGCTATCTGAGATGTCGGCTCCGTGGTTGGTACCAGGTGTAGTCGAAGGCTTTCGGCGAGCTTTGGTGTTTTGCTTATGGGAGGCTTCCGTTTGCATGATATCTGAGTCTCGACCGAGCTTTAAAGTTGCCGCGAAAGAAGCGCGATCAAGGTCAGATGAGATATGCGAGTCCACCAAAGAAGCCTTTTTTGGATCAGTTTCGCCGTGGGGATTGGATCCATGTCCTGCATGGGAAGCTACTCCATCCCCAAGAGTAGGTTGATCATTTACACTAACAGAGGTATCTAGCGAAGTTGCGCCAGAGTGGGAGTGGTGTGCTTGAGACTGTGCTGATTCCTTCGGATGTGAAAGCAAGGCATTGTTTGTGACAGCCAATCCTTTAGATATCGCCGCGCCAAGACGCACCGGTAGGGTGATGGGAACAGGAGATGCAGTACAATGCCGTGGCTCAACCGGCGATTCATCCTTCGTTGTCACCTCGGTTCCGATTGACTGGCGTCGCGATGAGCCATTGTCGCCCCCGTTCATGGAGCTTGATCGGGACCGTGATGTACGTCTTGAAAAAACGGAGGAAAAGCGTGAATATGATTTAGTGTCGTCGGCGCTGGCACTCGATGTTCTACTTGAACTGCCTAATGGCTGTTTTTTTGTAAGGCGACGCGATTCTCTTCGCAAAGCGGTGGAATCCTGGGCATTTCCCGCTTGTTCAAGTTTCAGAAGTCGTTTCTCGAGCTCGATCCGGTCTGCCTCTAAGCGCATTGTTGCTCGTCTGTCCTTCTTCGAAGTGACATTCCCGCCATTACTTGACCCGAGGGCTTCTTTAGTAAAAGGTGACTTATCCGCATGCTCTAAAGATCCCGAAGCAAAGTCCTGAGTTGTGTAGAATCGGGACTCTGTTTCATGTGGAGCGGCATTGATGGAGCTCAAAGGGGCATGGGGTTGATAGTCGCAAGCATTCGTCCTCGTAGCGATATGAGACTCTTGCTCATCTGACATTCGCTTCGAGTGGGTTTGCTGGTAGGAGACTGGTCTCGTCTCTAAGCCTGCACGTGCTTGAACATTATCGCTCTGTCTTCGCTTGGAGGCATCAAGACACATTATTTAGTGATGCGGTCTAACTTCAGAGCGAAGAGGACTCACGTTGCCTCCTTTATCGAGATGCAGTACGCGTTGCAGATGTTGTGTAAATGATGACCTACGAGGCCGTTTGGACTGAACGGCTAGATCCATTTCGTCGAGCAACTTAATGGACAGCTTCACATGGAGGCGTGCCTAAACCCCCAGAATATCACGGTAGAGCCACCTGATAATATTAAAGCGAGGAGAAATGACGAGTATTTCAGAACTTTGGATTCTGGCAGAGCATAAACTTGTGCTGAGCAGGTGTTCAAGGCCATCCACTAAGAAAGATACGCATTGAAGATGAAGAATCTCTACTGTTAGCTAGAGCACACTTGAAGAGCCTTACATGAGTGGAAGCATAAACAGGCCTTGGAGATGCAAGAAGATTTGGGATATTTGGGGAGGAAGACGATATAGCGGAGGTAGTAAACCTCTAATGATCTTATTTTTCATCAAGCGCGGGGAGGAAATCGAGGTTCACAATTAGGAGGGGAGAAAAAATAAAGAAGACGACCGACGTGGGATGGCAATCGGAGTAGCGGTGGCTGACAGGGTACGATTCATGATTGGGCTGAGGCTGCCAGACTAGCCCTTCGATCTGAAACCTCAGCCTACCGAGATATACCTTCACTGCAGTACTCCGTATTGCTAACTTGAAGGCAAATGATACTTTCTACCTTACGGATGGGCCATCAAATATCTCAGCATAGCCACTCTTGGCACCACCTGCGTCTTCATTCCGGCGCATCGCATTATTATTCATTCACTGATGCGGTTCCAAGTATCCGATGGCGCCTGACGTTTTGATTCGTCACAGAGGATCATGTGACTGTGGACATAAAAGGGCCTTGTCGCCCGCAGTGAAGTTCATCCTTTGAATGACCTTGCACGTATGAAACAGGGCCTAGAAACCTTGGAGCAAAGATCGCTGCAATCCAGTGTCCATCTGGGTTCGTCATCATGGCATCCCGGAATCAAGACGGGTTTCGCGAGCCACCACCGAGTTATCACGCTTCAAACCCCTCTGATGATACAAATCCGCCTCCCTACCACAACTGGCAGGAAGCTGTCCCAGATACAACCACCTTCCCTCCGCCTCCGATAACAGGCTACTACTGTTCCGGCACGGGGAATGCTTCTAGTAACGATGCCAAACGTGCCCATGAGTTTTGTGACGGGACCCCTCTCTATACCCCAGTTAAACCGTCTAATGCTGTATACAATTCCGTGCAAGTGCATGATGTCCGTCCGGTGCAGCCTCAGGAATTCTCTGGCAGCATACGCCTCCTCTCCCCCGGACGTTGGAAAGTGGCCACAGAAGATGGGAACCGTGACTGTTCGATTTGGACCAATTTGCCTCTCTTCTTTTCTAAAGCAGACTCGCCTTGGCTGACAAATAGAAGCAAAACCATCTATTTCGAAGCGAAGCTGGTTGGCCTCCGCAGAGGACCAGTGGCAGATTCCAGTGGTTTCAGTATTGGCTTTTTAGCACAACCTTATCCTAGCTGGCGCTCTCCGGGCTGGGAGAGGGGGAGCCTGGGGGTTTTTTCTGACGATGGATGTCGTTTCGTCAACGACTCATGGGGAGGAAAGGATTTCACAGCTGGATTCAGAGCCGGGGAGACAGTAGGCTTGGGGATGACGTTCCAGCTTCCGGGAAAGTCCGAGCGAATCGCACAAGGTGAAAAGAAAAGTCTGATGACTGAAGTATTTTTCACTCGAGGGGGCCGCAGGGTTGGCGGCTGGGATCTCCATGAGGAACAGGATGAGGAAGCTGGGGGCGTGAAGGGACTTGAAGGTGACTTTGACCTATATGGCGCCGTTGGATTTTTTGGGGGTGTTGATGTTGAAGTGAATTTCAACCGTTCGCACTGGCTCTGGAACCCATTGTCTTGAACTTTCATACACTTTGTGTTTGCGAGCCCTGCCGGATTAGAGAATTCAAAATTTTCTTTTCTTTTCTTTTCTTTTTATCATAAGAATTGTGCCTTAGATGTATGTTTGGGAATCTGTGAATGATAGACATAGATGTCACGGCATGTCTTGGCAAGAGAGAAGATCACAACACCCCTCCCTGGTCCTCTACCCTTTACCCCACTCAAATCCTCAAAAGAATCGGATTTCTGCTGCGGTATTTATTTTCTGGGCCTCGTCAACCACTTAAACGGAAATTCTTGGACAACTGGCAAGGGAGTGGAATGAACAAACGACGTGTTGGTCCGAGTCCCCGGTACTTTATCATGCGAGGAAGAAGAGTCCTTCTGGAACGCCGACTGAAAGGCCTACCGGGACCTACCTGGCTAACACCGGTACATTAGTGTATCGGGGGGAAGCACATGCTGCATTTCCGTCTGAATCTTATATGCTTAAGTGGTCAAAATTGGTTTGGTTTGGACAAGGGTGCGTAGGGCAAGCAGGTTGGAGATTGAGCTGCGCCTCTGCAGGATTTGACGTCATATGTCTGTACGAGCCCTAAAGGATTCTCTCGAATCGAGAACTTGGACTAGAGACTAGAGCGGTTCTATGGATGTCATGCATAGAGTAACAGTACGTGCCTATTTGACTGACTTGTGGGGACGTGGGATGGGGGAAGGTAAGCATGACCCCCACCCCTTACCAGTCTATGGATCGATCAGGCTCAATGACCATGAAGCTTTCTTATTGACACTCTGCCCATCTCGCAGGCGTTCTAACCCCGGTATAGGTGGAATGCACCATACAAGAAACTGTGGCCATGGTATATAGCCACGTCTCCGGAGGTTCATGGGAGGCAATGGTATCATTTTCTACCAATAGAAGCCATGTCATCTCTCTAGGACTCTTGTAAGGCAGTATCTTTGGATGTTTGTGAGGTATTGATTATGGTAAGGGAAACCGGACGCACCAGGTGCCTAGTCATTTAAAGCACTATAAACTGTCGATAAGTACACGAAGGGCTCCTTAGCTGAGCATTTAAAACAGCTCTCATTCGAGCGTATAGTTGTCATGCGCTTCGGCTAGAGCTTTCCCCAGTGAAATCCATCTGTTCATAACCGGTTTTATTCAATAATACATGCTATGTTTGATGAGTGATAACTACAAACCAAAAACCAAAATTCATGCCGATAATAAGACGCCGGAAAACCACGAAATAATCAAAGGTGTAATTGTAATTACCATAGTTCTGGCCGATCAACGTGTGTGCATGCATGTGTCTGTCTGAAGACCCTCCACGGAGGAACAAACAAGTTCAGAGATTCTCTTCCCCGCCCAAAAACGGAAAATTAACTCCAGTAGATCTTACGTACTCCGATGCAGTACGGAGTATACACCGTACGCACACGAGGAGGATTGCCTCAAAGCATGTGGGCAGAGGAACTGTTCTCATCTTCAAATGAGCCTGCTCCTCGGGATTTCCAAAGCAAGAGAGCGAGGGAGAGAGAGAAAAAAAAAATAAAAAACCTCTCTGACCCTCCCATTCTCTAGCGAAACCATCTAATTCGTGGCTCTCGATGTAATCATTGTTGGCTACGCCGAAGGTGGAAGGTTCAAGGAAAATGAAATGATGGTGGGGATCTAGGTTAGTAGTTGATGATTGGCTTAATTAGCTGCATAAGAGGTGCATTAGCCGGTGTTACTAAAATGGCCTCGCCAGGCCGAACCTTGAGTGTTACATTCATTGTTCCATATCCAGCTTACTGCGTAAATAAGATCCGGTCATCGATTTACGAAAATTCGTACTCCGTACACGAGTTGCAACCACCCCCCAACACACCACATTGCCAGTCCAATCTCATCCAGAGCAAAGAAAAAATGGACGATACCATTGAAGGTGTGGTGGGATGAAGGGTCAAAGATCGCATGAGTTTTTGGACGGATGGATGTATGTACTGTACTCCAAATCCACCGGCATGATTACACTCCTTCCGACTCCATATGTAAGGTAAGGTAGGCAGGTACTCCGTATGTCCTGTAGTATGCACGCTCGCTTGGCAGACTGAGATCCCCCCTAATCTCATGGCCTCTGCCGCCCCATGTCGAAAGAAGGCATTGTTCCCATTTCCATGAAATTTGCGTTAACGACACTACCCCGTAATTTGCGACCTTTCAATGCTGCGATTCGCCTTTATTGGTAGCTAAGAAGCCGAGAGCAAAGAGCTAATCGCCCATCTTTACCTAACACGTAGCGGGCGCAGCAGAACACCGCCTCTACTGGACGATGGATTTGTTACCCTAGTGTATCGCCGACGGGGTGTTCTGTAATAATCAATCATCTGCCAACCGGGTAAGCGAGCCCACAAGGCTCATGGTGGATCAATGAACAACTATACTCAAGGAGTGGTCAATCCACTACCTACCTGGGCAGTAGGTAGGTAGGCAGGGACCCCCGTCATACATCTAGCACCGTTACTAGTTACTACGTGGTATGTGTGTACATATGTGCCTACTGCGTACTTCGTATGATCACTCCGTACTACGGAGGATGGTTGAGGCCACTTACCCTAGGTATCCACCGGAGACTGGCGTCAACCCCATTGCGAAGAGTTCCACCAGTAAAGCGCTCGCATCTGTGCACTGTCCGCTTGCACTAGCGCTAAGGTTCTGCCTAGGTGGTCGTTAATAATATAGCATGCTCCGTAACAGCATACGGAGTACGCCTTAGACCAAGGAGAACAAATCGGTCTATTATTATTGTCATCGGACCATTATGACTCGGCACTCGGCACTGGACGCAGCCACCTTGAGAATGCAGGACAGCAGCCAGGCTCCGGAGTAAATTTGGGACCCTTGTCGAATGGTTCATTTATATCCCGCGTGGTTATGAAAGGTTTCGAATATTTCCAAGGGCCATCATCATGTCGACCCCTGCCGCAAGAAGAATGGACAAAGGGAGGGGGAAAAAAGAAAAAAAAAAAAGGATCGACAGTATAGATAGGATGCATGTCATTTTTCTTAGTGCCCCATGGCGGGCTATGGACATTGGACCTACTCCGTACGGCGTAACCAACTGAGGGCCGTCAAATACTCCATCCTTATCATTTAATGCTATTATTTCTAATCCTCCCCTCCCCCCTTCGAGGCTGCGAACGAACACCACCCCGGCAGATTAGAACATTGTGGAAATTAGGTTTGATAGGAAACCTAATATTCATCATCACTATCATCATCATCATCGAGGTGCTTTAATGGTCAATTCGCACGGGACACAGGGCCCGTCTACAGACTACAGAGTCCGCAGCCATCGACTCGGGGGAGGTGGACAGTGCACTCCAAGGTGTGGGTATCCAAACCCATCAACGTCCCACCCACCTAGTCAGTTTTGATTATTTACTCCGTAGTATTTAGTTTCACACGGCACTCTCCATTTGCCAACGGTTTTGTGTGGACATTTTCCTCCGAGCTCTAGGTTCACACATCCCGCACGGGATGAATTTGACTCTCGATGAGGGAAGGGCGAGTGGCTTCTCTCGCTGACCGGGAGGCATTTCCTCCGCCCGGAGTACCCTCCAAAGTCCAAACGCATTCTCGGCCATTCCCGGGTATGAGTGGAGTGAGCTGGGCGGAGTCCAGCCCGTGCAGCCGAGAAATACGCGTCTGTTTCACTCTCCCAGAGTACCTAATAATACTCCAGAGTACTCCGGAGTAGTAGGTAGGTAGGCAGGCAGGCAGGTACTATGCGTACTTGCGCTGTATCTATAGTAACACTGATTAATGATAGGTACTACTGGTTACCTAGGAGGACTCTACTCGAATCGCTTGCAGTCTCGGTACCCCTAAATGGTCCGTGCCTACAAACACCACGCCCACCGTTGAATTTTTATGCACTCTTGTAGGTTTGTTCTAAATAAATAAATACCTGGACTCGGTAAACGGGATTCCGGAGACTCAGTCCCAATGGAAGGTACCTTAGGTATCTAGTAGACCGACCTACCAGAGCTCGATTCTGTCGTCATTTCCGTAACGTTAGTCGCGCTGAGAGCACATGTCTCGAATGCTGTATAGTTCGAAAGTCACCCAGATTATTTCATCTCCATCATTGAGGGAACCAGCGCAGGCAAGAAGATGTGCTCTAGCACCCTCCTAGTGCTGGTTGGCTGGACCGACCGACCGACCGACCGACCGTGGTGTATTTTATTACATCTCGGTAAATCACCGCGGTTTCGGCCTTGCAAGGTATGGAGGATGGACAAGTCGGGGATTCTAGTTCCCTCCGTATGCAGATTCATGTAGCTGCTATCATTTGTGGTTAGGGCCCTTTTTTTTAGAGTTACTACAAAAGTACAAGGAATCAGAAGGCACCCGAGGTAGTACCTACTGAAGCAGATTGCCGTTTGGGGTAGGTTGCAGGGGAATTAGTTCTCATCGGCAGCCACCAAGGCTGGCGGACTGCTGCCATACATATGTACTCCATACTCCGTCCACCCGTGCCCTTTTTCGACCTTTCCCTGTTATGGGTATCATGTGAGCCTATCATCACCTCCTCCGGCCGACGATTAAATTGGAGCTCGGGCCGCAGGAACCTTGCTGTTCGACCGCCCTCGTACCTTCCTACCCCCGAGATACCTCCCTACGATGTGCGGAGTAGTTACCTACAGCGTACGGCGTAGGTGGTCAGTAGGTAGGTAGTAGTCAGTACCTTTTGCGAAGGATGTCGTGATGGGCGGAGAATTTACCTGGGGCCTCGGAGATTACGTTGGCTCCAGGGGTGATTGGCTGGGCGTTGCTCGGATATCCAGCGCCACTCTCCAGTGTCTAAATGAGGAAGTACCTACAGCTGCATGCAGTTCAGCTAGTGGAGAATACTTGTTTACTTCTTTAATCTCTGGTTTGCATCGTCTATGTAGGCCCATGCATATTCCGGAGTAAAACCCAAAGCCGGCCTACGAAGTAGTGTGTATTATCAGCTCCCCCTGTTTCTATTTTTGACTGACCGTGTGGTCAGCTCCATGTCCAGTTACTTCGTGCTGCGCGCATCCAAAGCGGCGTCCATCGTAGAGCAGATTATACACCATGTCTACTACTGCGTACGGTGACCGGTGTCTTAGTCTTGAGGTTGCAAAAAATCGAAATGGAAGCCAAGGGACTCACCCGTATGGGTTCTAGCGCCCGTACAAGGAGAAATACCCAGTACCTAACCATAACGTCGACTGCTGTAGCCTATGGAACGCCATTGCTCCTCCATCTAAGCTTTGTGACCTATCCACGGTTAAAAGCCAGACATATGTAGGCAACACGAGGCCGTAATGGCAGATGGTGGTAGCAAAAGGTGGGAAGATCGCCGCTAGCACCAACGTCGTGCACATTTTGCATCTGAAGCCTAGCCGTTGTAGTGAGTGGATGTACGTACCTAAGATAAGACTTTGACTTTTGACAGAGTTATGATTCATGGTTCGACCCCTGGTGATTATGTAATACTTGGTTGTTGATTAAAGTTCAGAATCTAGAAATCGAGAGGCTATTGTATACTTCAACACGCGAGAAATTCTTGTCTACGCCCCGACCAGCTCCCTTTACTCTGGAGTAGTGATTATATGCATGACAATGTAGCCAGGCAGGGCAACGATCTAGTCTAGGTTCCTTGAAGCGTATCGATCTTTCAAGCACCATTTCCCTCTCCTTTGGTCTATCAGTAACAATCAACAGCTGTCTTAAACATGGTGGGAAATCATGAGCTAACATCCAATTGTCCTCTCTCGCGTGAGAAGCTAGAGGCATGAAGAAGTACAATCATCGGAATTAGGTACTAGGATCCAGGCTTTATACTACCTACGTCTCTGATGTGTCTTTTGGCACCTTGATCTCACCTGTGCTTTAGATTTTGTAATGGAGTAACTCGTAGTCCTATATTACTACGGAATGGAAAAATGAATTATATCCGTGTAGCAACAATTTGTAAGGGATAATGAAGGTCAGCTTGAAACCTACTTCTATTGCCATAGGTTGTAAAGATTTTGAAGTTGATGGGAAATATGACTAAATGGTCTTTAATTGAGACGGCTACTATGACCCGCGCTTTTTTTTCTTTCGTTTTTTTTTTTAAAAAAAAAAATAGAATCCTGTTTCGCTGTTTCTCTTCGCCCCAAAAGTCAAACAACGCATTAAAATAACCCGAACTTACATTTACGGAGTATGGTAGACTATATGGCTATCATTTTCTTGTTAGAGACTAATACGTCCGAGCATTTCGGAGACATCCACTATACCTACTAACCAGAATATCCTTAGCTCATTCTTTAGTATCGTCATCTTGCTTGAGGAAATAAACCCACACACCATCAAGTGTCTCCACCATCTGGCCCATGTCAATGCACCGTAGCTGCATGGGCCGCCGCCAATCCCTTCTCCACTTTTAGTGCTCTCCCTCAATCCATCTAGATCCAGGGTCTCTGACGCACGAGGCAAAAATACAACCTGCATGACACTCAAAATGACAAAGAACTTGGAGCGATTTTTTTTTCTAAAAAAAAAAAAATGAGAAGAAAAACCCTCCCCCTATCCTTTTTTAGGGATTGGTTTAATGGATTTTGTCTGGATTGCGGTCTTTGGACATGTGCCTTCCCTGCCATCGACCCATCTGAACCAAATAAAAGTCCGTAATGTTGCATGTCGGGAGATTCACTTATTTTGAAAAACAATTAACCCGAAAGATTTCTCCTCCTGGGACTTTCCGTTTTGACTAGTAGTTCTCGAGGAGCTCTCCGTCATCCAGACACTCGTTCGTTACCTTTTATGTCGCTCCCCTCCTTCCGATTTTCTTTCTCTCCTCCTTTCCTTACTACCTCACCGAGTGCCCTTCATTTTGGCTTTTCTTATCTTCTATTTAATCTCCCCTTCTCACTCGTCCCTAGTGGCAATTGATCTTCTACAGGCATTGCTGCAAGTTGAACTTACGGCATTGACCCATACCTCTGTACGACTTGAACCTAACCTTACGCATTCGGAGAACATACAGAGAAGGACTCGGGAAACAGACCACCAAAACCTTCGTTAATTTGGCGGTTTGGTGTCATACACAGTCGGGTCAATATGGAGTTCCCATTTATGCGAGCTTTTATCGCTCTTTTGTGAGTATTCAAATATCTTTCCTTCTTCCCGTCAGGATTTCCACCATTAGGTGACGAGTTCACCTTGTATCTGCACAGTTCCCTCAATGACTGGCATCTTTTTCTTTTTTCTTCTCTTTTCTTTATTTTTTTTTTCTTAAGTTGAAATAAAGCTAACGTTTTTGGCGTCCGGCAGTCTCTACCGTTATTTTCGCCTTATTGTGAATCTGGTTTCATTTTGGACTTTCAAGCCGATTCCTCCCCCCGAGAACCCAAAGTTAACTGCGCAAGATGTTACGGTGATTCTCCCTACTCTTGAGGGATGCGGCGATGAATTGGTCGAGACGATTCGAACGATTCTTGACAATCACCCATATGAGCTCTTGTTGGTGACAATCGAGGCCAACCGAAAGAAAGCCGAGAACATGTTGAACTTGATGCCTGCTTCGAAATCAAGGATCCGTCTCTTCACCGTTACACATCCCAATAAACGCCGTCAAATGACAAGAGCTATTCCGGAAGTTCGCACTCCGATTACAATCTTTGCAGATGATGACGTGAGCTGGCCGCGCACCGTACTTCCCTGGATCTTAGCTCCTTTTGAAAAAGACGAGCGATACGGAGGCGTGGTTACCTGCCAGCGACTTCGTCGTGCTGCTGCACCGACCTTTTCTCAGCGTATTTGGGGGTTCCTTGGTGCTCTCTACCTGGAAAGAAGAAATTTCGATTGCGCAGCTACGACACATATCGATGGCGGACTCCCTTGTATGTCAGGGCGCACTGTTGCATACCGGACAGACATACTTCAAAATGAAGGGTTTACTTACGGTTTCACCAACGAGGAGTGGTGGTTTGGCAAATACCAATTGAATGCCGACGATGACAATTTCATCACGCGCTGGATGGTATCGCATGGGTGGGAGACCTTCATGCAGTACCACCCCGAAGCTGAAGTTCTTACGACTCTGGAAGACAACCCTAAATTTCTGAAGCAATGCGCGCGGTGGTCACGAAGCAACTGGAGGAGCAACCTTACGAGTATGTTCCATGAAAAACACATTTGGTAGTAAGTACTCGATACCCCTTTCCCCTCAACCTTCCTTTTATTTTTCTTCCTTCCTTCCTTCCTTCCTTCCTTCCTTCCTTTTCCTTTTCTCTCTCTCCCTGGCGGGGGACTCGCTCGCACATGTGGTCAATACGATCAGAAACAGCATGGTTATGAATGCCTTGGCAATTCCAATTTGTGGAGCAATGTTCCGCCGCTAGCAAGACAGCGCATGATGAGGGATTCATTGGAGAATGCGTTCAGCTCGAGCAACCCATCGTTGCAGGAAATATTCGTTTAGACCACGCACTAACAATTTGGTTCTGCATTACTAGTCGCCAGCCTTGGAGCGCATACGCCGTCCACCTGACAACCCTGTCGCCTCCGGCTCTTTTGGGTGACTTGCTGCTTGTTTTGTTATGCCACAAAGCCACAGCGTCTTGGGACGAAGGCTCGCACATCATGGCCATGCAAGTCCTCGGTGTATGGATGTTTATCAGCAAGTTTATTAAACTTATCGGCCATTACATTCGTTACCCGGTTGATGTCTTGCTACTGCCCGTTTCCATACTTTTTGGGTATTTCCACGGAGCAATCAAGATGTACGCGGTACTAACACTGAATGTGGTAAGTTACATGATTAATAGTCTCGTTTCTCGTTTGATTTCCTCGAGTCTACACAAACGCTTGTGCGATACAGGTCCTGAAACCCACTTCTCGGGGCCCTGGGCTTGAAATTTTAGCCCAGTTGTTACCGCAAAATGGGTTCTAGACTTTTGACCTACTGAAACCTTCATCCATCTTGGTGTATTAACCCCTCATGAATTGGGTCATGGGTCTCATCTGGCCAGGTTGCACTTTTGATGCTCCGTCTCTGGGCAGTTCGGCTCCGATGAGTCGAGTTTATTTTCGATTTTCGATTTTTTGTTTTTTTCTTTTTCACTTCCCTCCAATTTTCTTTCCCACAATTTTGGTTTCCCACTAATTTTCTATTACCCTCGCCCTATCTGACTATTTTGGTGGACGGATGTTCCCCTCCACCCCAACTTTCATTTGCCTGTTTCTATTGCGAGATCATTACTTTTGGCCCCACCCTCTCTTACTACCTCGTTTTTTGCAACTTGCCCCCCTCTTTTCTCTCCTTAAGTGAACCTTACTAATCCATTTATCTTTTTACAGACTACATGGGGTAGCAGAGATGGTGCCGATGACTACGACGCAGAGCGCATGAAGAAACGAACAGGCAACGACCGGTTGAAGCAACCGTATTATCCGAGGTTCATCACTCAGTAAACTCGGTTCATTCGATAAATTCGATGATAGCAAGCCATTTTATCGGCATTTCAACAAGCCTGCAAAATACACTTGATGCTCTCAATCTATCAATTTTTTATCTGATTGGCATCAATGGTAACTTGTTATCTGTTTTCTTTTACGATGCAATGCCTTTTATGACACACTGCTTGGGGACGATTTTTTGGCTCCTAACCGGAAAACTATCATCTCGATGAACACTATATGTCAACATTTCATTTTCATTCAAGAATATGGCGAGTAGGGTCACTTTTTTCTTTTCCTCTTTCTTTTCCTTGTGGTTTATTTCATTTTCTATCTCGTTGGGTTCTTATTCGGCGTCTGTCTCGCTGCGACGTGACAGTTACCAGGGTTAACAGAACCAAGCCCTTTGCGCTGTTGGCTTATCCATGTTCCTCCCCAAAACTAACGTTGTCCCTGGAAGACATTGGCCTCCAAGGGTTTCTTTCTTGTATATTACAAAAGCGTGGACGGGCTCCATGGTCGCCTGTTCAGTTTTCTTGTTTTCTTTTGGTCATCATTTGTCGACTTAGACTGAATGCTGGGAGTTTTGCTTTTTTTATTATTATTCAGATTTCCTCCTTCATCTATTATGGCATTATATCCCCTTTATTTCAGCGTTAATCCATGTTGTTCATAACTTCTAATGAATTTGATTCGTGACTTGTTGGGCAACCTCTCGATTAGGTGGTTAGGCTAGATTAGAATCGACTTTACACTGATGATGCACATCCAGCATATAGGTGTAACCAGGCCGTAGTAGATAAGAGATGATGGTATTGAATTAGTGTTTCTTTTCTTTTCTTTTACACTTTCAAGTTGCTTGGTTATAACCACCCATCCGACTTGCGCTCAATGGGGGCAACTCATGCGTTGACCGCCAACGGGCGGTGAAAATAGTGTCACTTCCGAACTCGCCGTAAGGCCATTTTTTCTGCTATCTGCATCAAGTCGCCGCTTGAGTGGTTCTACCTGGGAGGGCTTCTGTTTCATATCACCTCATTCGCAATTCATCAAATAGGCCCATCCATACCGGATATTCCTTTTAGCCTTTTAGGCCAAAGAAGCAATGTCGGCTTTTCAGATCGTCCGAGTTTCTTCACGGCAAGCAATTTCATCAACCACAAGACTCTCCGGTCGACAACCGCGTGGTTTTCATTCCTGTTCATCGAAGGCCGCCATTGCCCATCCCATCACCGCTCATGGCCCACCACCCAAAGCTCCTTCTGCCGCACAAGAGTTTAGTGGCCGTGTAGAACAGCAAAAAGCCCAGGAGGACGAGCTCAAGTCGCAATCGACAAGGCAACGAGCGTCGCTCAAAACGCGTTTCTGGAAGGATGTGAATGTCGAGAAGAAGCCGGGTACGTGTATCGCGCAATAAGAGCGTTTTGGGCCATCCGTAGCTGATCATCCGTCGTTTCGCCTGCAGAGGGAGATTACCGAGTTCTGTTAGACGCTCGGCCCGTTCGAACGCCTTCTAAAGACATTCTCTCCATCCCTCCCACGAAGCCTCACCTTGCCCATGCGATTGCCCTGGAATGGGATGTCATGACGACCGCCCAGCAAGCTTTGAAAAACCATCTCATCCCACTTACCTCTCTAACTGCCCGAGCGGCAGACATTGTTCGCGAGGATGAGCAGGGCGAGACAAATACCCGAGACCAAATCGTAACAACCTCAATGCGCTATCTGGATACGGATACCTTGCTTTGCTGGGTGCCTGAACAGCCCGAGGAAATCGACGATAATGGCGTGAAATCAGAAACCCTTCGAGAGGCTCAGATGAGAATAGCCAAAGACACCATTGCCTTCTTGAGCACAAAGGTCTGGCCAGGGATTGAGATTAAACCTATCTTAGACAGCAACAGCATATTGCCTGCGTCCCAGTCCCAGGCTACAAAAGACATCATTCGGCTCTGGATTTCAAACCTGCATGCGCATGACTTGGCCGCTTTGGAAAGAGGAATACTGGCATCGAAGAGCTTGTTGGTTGCCGTTAGGTTGGTTGCTGAATGGAGTGAAAATTTCCGGTCGATTCAGCGGTCGGGTTCCAAGAAATTCGGCATTGATGAGGCAGCAGAGGCTTCTAGCCTCGAGGTCAAGTGGCAGACAGACATGTGGGGCGAGGTCGAAGACACTCATGATGTCGACAAAGAAGATTTGAGGCGACAGCTTGGGAGCGTTATTGTCTTGGTGAGTGGCGATACCAAATGAATGAGTGGATGGATAGATGTACAGGTTTGTATTATATATATGTGTAGTTTATAACCTTCGGTGTATATGGCATAATATGATCAATGGTGTTTGTTAATCGGGTCTCTCTCTCTGTCTCTTTCTCTCCCTTCGTCTCCCTTAGAAGGAGCCGACCCAAATCCTCCAGCGGCGTATGGTCTAGTGGTACCTCGGATGAAGCAATGCGACGACTGCAGTCACGAGGCGGGAGGGGGGGGGGGCTAGTTGCCAAGGCGCGGCAGCCGTTGTTCAGACGAGGTAGAAAACCAGTGGCCCCTCCCATGATTTCTCGTGATTCCAGTGGAAGTTCAATTCCGTCCACCCGCCATATTGACCCGAATCCGGACTACGACCTCTCGCCGAAGTTATTTTAATCCACATATGCCATTCACACCGAACTACTGGTCGAACTTGAAGGTGGTTGCGTGGTGGGTCAGCGATGACGGAAAAGGGCGAAGGGTAAGTTCCCTCCGGCGTTCTAGGGATGGTCGACCCTGGTTCCATGGGCCGTGGCATGGGAGGCTGTGTCCTGGGCCAGATCATCCCAGTCACAATCATCTGACAGCGGAACCTGGGAAATGTACACAACTCTGCACGGCTTGTTTACTACTGTCCTTTTACCAACGAAGGTCTATACGGGGAGTCTCGCTAATGTATAATGCAAAAACTCCGCAGGCATAAACGTTCTCGAAGCTCCCTGGCATTCGCAGTCTTGAATCGTGACAAGTCAAAGGACGGTCACGAGACGGCTGTTGATCGCGACAGCGGCGATTCTCCTCGGCCCTCCATTTCTTCATCAGCTGGGAACAGCAATCCGTCTATCCCTCTTCCAATCCCACGAAGCTCGAGTCGTCGAAAGTCCTACCAGGAGGCCAGGCCGCCCTCGATGTCAGAGGCCCCCCTGGAGCCAGTGGGCTCCAACCAGAGTGGCGACAACATCGAGAAATTACCGTCGGGGACACAGGTGGACAGTGGGAGCATGTCCCTGGACCAATCCGTGCGTACGTTTCGGCTCTTTGAGACGCTACGCAGTGGGGACACCAATGTGATCTCGAAAGCAATCCGAGAGACCAAAGATTCCCAGGGCGCGGGTGCACTCTCTGGCACAACCATACTTCACCTAGCGATCCAATGTGCCGAGCCACAGGTCGTGGAATACATCCTCTCCGTTGACGAGGATCTCGACATCAATGCACGCGATCGAGACGGCAACACTCCCCTTCACCTGGCTGCCCAGCTTGGTAGGGGGCCATTGGTGCGCGAGTTGCTCAATCGACCGTCTCTCAATGACTCTATCGTGAACTACCGTGGCCAAACTGCCCTCGATGTTGCTCGCACCCCGGAGATCTTCCAACAACTTCAGCTAGCACGGTCCCTCTTCATGGATCACAAGACCCAGGAAATACAGCGACTCATATCCCAGGGTGACTACGACAAGTTGGAGAAGCTGCTGGAGGAGCCACGTGTGGAGGGTATAATGGATGTCAACAGTCTGGATTTGGTGACTGATCCTGCTACCGCTCAGTCTGGGGGTACTTTGCTGCATGAGGGGGCGAGAAAGAAGGATACGAAACTCATCCAAATATTTCTCATGCACGGCGCCGATCCTTTCCGGCGCGACAAGAAAGGAAAACTTCCCCAGGATGTGACGAAGGACGACAGGACACGTGCTATTCTGAAGAAGTCGCCCGCCGCAGTTATTGCTCAACGCGGGATCCAGGAAAAAGCCATTTTGGGGACGAATTCTGGCCAGGGAATCTCTGGCCGGGCTAGCACAGGCGAGGCCCCCTTTGCGGGTAAAGATGCTCGTGAAATGAGAGGCTACCTTAAGAAATGGACCAATTATACGAGTGGTTATAAACTGCGCTGGTTTGTCCTCGAAGACGGCGTTCTGAGTTACTACAAGCATCAAGGTAAAGCGTTTAATCCCTACAACTCGATACACCGGCCTCTAACTCTACTTGCAGATGACGCGGGATCTGCTTGTCGTGGCGCGATCAATATGAAAATTGCCCGGCTCAATATGGATTCCCAAGATAAGACGCGGTTTGAAATCCATGGGAAATCTTCCGTCAAATATCACTTGAAAGCAAATCACGTAGTTGAGGCCAAGCGTTGGTTTTGGACTCTGAATAACGCCATTCAGTGGGCAAAAGACGAGGCCAAGGAAGAACAAAGACGCCAGACGAGAGACGCCGAGGTCCTACGACAGGCGAAAATCGAGCAGACAGAGGGTCGACCGCTGGAGAGTCCCTCTGATTCACCCAGTTTAACAGCGACAAAGTCAAATGGCAAAGGTCTCGCCCCTCCGTCTCTAGGGGTTCCAAGTAGCAGTGGCACAAGACTGAGCACGTACGCTTCTCGCACAACGTTAGAGAGTACGCCGGCAGATGACGATGGTTCAATATTTGAGCCCTATGACCAAGGTGGTGCACAGAGCGACATCAATCGAGTTTTCAGCCACGTTACCACTGCACCTGATGTAGAGGGTGATGATGACGACTACGGGGATTATGCATCCAGCCGTGAGATGCCGCCGGCTGGTAAAGATGCCCTGAACATCACTGCTCAATCTGCAAAGATCCAGCTGGATATTCTGGCGAGTGTCTCTTCTTCGCTGCAGGCCGAGAAATCGAGCCACCCCGACATGTCTCTCCGTGATCCGGCTGTTGACCAAGCCCTTGGGGCTTATGAGGCAGCCGTGAGCAGCCTTCAAGGATTAGTGCAAAATCTACTGAAGATATCTAGGGATCGCGACTCATATTGGCAATATCGATTAAGCAGAGAGGCACACTTGCGCAAAATGTGGGAAGAGAGTATGGCACGAGTTGCCCAGGAACATGAGGAACTGCAATCGAAGATGGGAGAGTCTGAGGAGAGGCGACGGCGAACCAAGCGGGCCCTTAAGGAAGCACTGGAAGGCTCGTCGGCAAAATCTGGTCGCGCGGCTGATCAAGCGTCGTCACATATGAAAGACATCAATGACGATCTCGACGAAGCTCCGCGAGAACAGACCCCAGTTGCCTTGGAGGCAGCGTCAAAGAGCGAGTTGCCTGAAAATGATGAACCCCTACGTCGAAAGAAATCGACACTCTCTCAAATTAGCAGCCTTTATGATTCCGCATCAGATGATGAGGATGAATTTTTTGATGCGATCGATTCCGGGGAGATTGAGGTCGAGAATCTCGCCACCGCAGAGACCAAAGACGACAAGCCGGAACCCGAAGAAAAGAACAGCGAACTCCGTGCCGTGAAACATTCTCAGATTGTCCCTTCATTCAAGGGCTACGAGGAGCCCATCAGGACCAAGTTGAAAATGGACTATGATAATCGACCAAGGATCTCGTTGTGGGTAAGTTATACCCCCTCCCCCTTTACTGGTCAGCAGAATACCTTATAACAAAACTTCGCAGGGCATTTTGAAATCCATGATCGGAAAGGACATGACCAAAATGACCTTGCCGGTTTCATTCAATGAACCGACGTCGTTGCTTCAACGTGTAGCCGAGGATCTGGAATATGCAGACCTTCTTGATATGGCAGCTGACCGGTCTGATTCGATGGAACGTCTGGTTTACGTCGCTGCGTACGCCGCGAGCGAATACGCTTCGACCATTGGCCGTGTTGCCAAACCTTTCAATCCCCTTTTGGGGGAGACGTTCGAGTATGCTAGACCCGACAAAGGGTATCGGTTCTTCGTCGAACAGGTCAGCCATCACCCACCAGTCGGTGCGGCATGGGCGGAATCAGCAAAGTGGGATTACTATGTAAGAGACAATCCACCCCTCCGGTTACTGCCATCCATGGTCATCATTTGCATCCCACTAACCACGCTTTTGACAGGGTGAATCGGCTCTCAAATCTAAGTTTTACGGGAAGTCGTTCGATATCAACCTGCTCGGCACATGGTTTTTGAAGTTGCGCCCTGCATCGGGGGGTGAAGAGCTCTATACCTGGAAGAAAGTGACGTCTTCCGTGATCGGAATCATCACTGGCAACCCCACGGTTGATAATTACGGGTTGATGGAAATCAAGAACTGGACCACTGGCGAGATTTGTTATCTGGATTTTAAACCGAGAGGTTGGAAGGCTTCGTCAGCATACCAGGTCACTGGCAAGGTGGTTGACCGTGAGGGGCTACCGAAATGGAGCATGGGTGGCCGTTGGAACGACAAGATCTATGCCCGTCATACGCCTGGGTTTGAAGCACAAGTATCAGGCCAGGATCCGGAATCGGCCAAGTTGGTATGGCAAAGCCATCCCCGTCCAAGCGGTGTTCCTTTCAACTTAACCCCGTTTGGCATCACACTCAATGCCCTCCCCGAAGACTTGAAGCAGTATCTACCCCCCACGGACACTCGTCGCAGACCCGATCAACGTGCCATGGAGGAAGGCGAATATGACTTGGCTGCCACCGAGAAGCATCGGGTTGAAGAGAAGCAGCGAGCGAAGCGGAGGGAGAGGGAAATGAAGGGGGAGGAGCATCAGCCCAAGTGGTTTACTCGGGCGAAATGTCCGATTACTGGAGAGGAGTATTGGGCTCATAATGGAAAATATTGGGAGTCCAGAGAGGCGCAAGACTGGAGCGCCTGTGACGACATCTTTTGAAGCACGACGGCCATGTATTAATCGAAGTAAACGGAGCATGCAGCTAGCTGGCTTGTGTGTTTTTTTTTTTTTTTTTTTTTTTTCTCCCTTGATTGCCTTCTGAGGGTGATATACCGTATCCACAGCTGTGTAGATAGGATTTTCTATCATGTTTGTAATGTAATAAGAGGAGATAACCCGAACCCGGAGCAGGACATTTCTTGCATGCAGCCACTCATGCGGCCGGATCACGTGCCCCAGGTCTGGATCGCGCGGTCACTGCTTGAGCCTCACAATTGACGAAACTGCCCTCCTCACCTCTCGAACAGCACACCATGGCCGGCGAGTACACCTGTGGTCGCTGCCTACAGGTACTGCAGCGAGGAGCCATTGGATCGACTTCCCTTGCAACAATGCTACCAAGGCTGCCGGTCTCCAGGCGATGTCCCGCTTCTGTGCGAAGCTTTGGCTCACGAAGCTTGTCGTGCAAGAACCTGCAAGGGCAGGCAAAGAGAGCATCGCCCCATGGCCTACAGAATATATCTTACAACCTCCAGTCATTCAGGTCCAAGGCTTCGTCTGCGACGTCTAGCCACCTGTCGCCGGATCGGGCGTTGCTGAAGCCTAACAACCTATTCCACCCTTTTACCCAGTCCCCGGCCTCCGCAATCCGACAGCGTGCTGCATTCATCAAACAAAATTCATTCTGCCCTCATCCGAGCCACCAGCAAACACGCGCGCCCGTCTCGCCCCACGACCCCGAGTCGCGCAAGTGTCAACACGAGTCGAGTCTTCCACCAGCCCATTCCCACTTTGAATGTCCCGACTGTGGTGTCCCAATCTACTGTTCGGAGGGGCATTGGATGGATGACTTCGAGGCGCACCTGGAGATATGCGAGACCATTCGACAGATCAACGAGGATGACCATGATCTACACTCGGGGCGCTTCTTCCCGGAGTTTGCCTATCCGGGTCTGCAGGATGATAACTATGTCATTAACATGACCAATTGGGACACCTTTCTCTACACACGGGAGTTCGACGCGATCAACGATGATAGGAGTATGCGACAAGTGACTAGGATGCTCACCTACCCGCTTACGATCGGAAGCGTTTTGCACGAGTTGAGCCCTTATAGCGTTCGGAAGTCCGGCAGACTCACCGTCGAAGGCCTCAAAAGTGTGAGCGGTAAGCTTTTCTCTCATCTTCAGGGTCCTATTCTTGCCCCAGTTGACAGCAGACTGATTTGGTCCAATTAGCTCTACGATACACCATGCATCCCCCCAAGACCGGAGAAGGCGTCGATATTCGAGGGCTGCGTTTGAAAGCCCCGCCCGTGCGGATTTTCATTCTGGGAGCACGCGCCGAGTCTTCCTTGCCCCGCGATGTTTGGCTCCAGCTCAGTCACATTTTCCCGCGGTCACTTATCCACCTGATCTTCATCGGTCCGGAGAGTATGGCCAATCGAGATGCCGAATTCCCCCTCCCAGAGCGAACGCCCGAGAACCCATTTGGCGGGATCGTCGAAGACCGACTGGGCGGGCAGTTCAAGATCACGACGTACGTCGACTACTTCCACACGATGTACAATGCGCAGTACTTCCAGCCATTCGATCCGTACCTGGATTGCTTTATGCTCTTCCATCCTGGCCTCGGTCACCCGGCGAGCTCCCACGAGTGGGAAGAAACCTTGCCGCAGCTTCTCGAAACCAAGGTCCCCATCCTCAGCACCGGATACACTCAGTGGGACATGGAGCGGGACATCAAGTGGGTGGGTGAGAAGTGTGCCGGGGAATTCGACGTCTTGTTGGAACCGGGAGAGAACATCTTCCGCAGTCTACGATGGGATCTCAATGATCTGGACCCCCACGACGTGTCCTGCGGCAATTGGGGAGTATGGGCATTCCGAGGGAAAAGGTACGTGCCATTCTCTCGCCTTCGGTCTCCACGGAGGGAGACTCCGCGTATAGTCGAACGGGTTGCTAACATTGATTCAGGTATGAGGCCACTTTCAAACCAACATAGCACCGTGTACTTTCGGCGAACCCGTTTCTCCATGCTTTCATTCCTCTTGGCCCTTTTCGCTTCCTGCGCCGAACCCGTCTCTTGTAAATTTATGCATAGGAGTGTAATGCTTTCTTTGCCCCTACCTATCCCCCCAAGGCGGACAGGGTGGAGCACACACGCATCCAACTCCGCTCATTCGAATGTGTTAATATATATAACAATCTGTACCCTATACTTGTCTTGCTGCCACGTAGAACCACACACAGGGATTTTACATTCGAAAAGAAAACACATACAAACACATGGACTGTATTGATTCAGGGAGAATTCCATTTGCGTCCTACATTCGTTACTTCGGGACAATAGTTGGGTTGGGGGTCAAGCCAGAAAGATAAGAGGACAAGTAAAGGTTGCTAAAGAAGTCGAGCATGTCAAAAGGGTATAAACCAAAGTAGAAAAAAAAAAAAGAGCGCCAGGGCCGGCGGCAGCAAATAAGAGTCAACCTCAAAAGGAGGAGATCGGAATTAAGTAGAATACAAGAAGATAAAAGTGCAGGCAATACCCGTCCCAACACATGAATACCGTCAAATCCGTCATGTAGAAACCAAGATGGCCTCGGTTACGAGTGTGTACAATAGAAATAGAGATAATAAAAAATAGAAAAAAGGGGGAAAGAAGAAGAGAAGTGAAAAAGAAATGAGCACATGAAAATGAGGCAGAAAATGCCATGGAAAGAGCCGTGAAGCCGTTGAAGATTCGGAATTTCCAGCCTTGCCGTCCGATCCTGGTCCTTGCATGCATGTCGAGACCAATGGATAGCTCAGACGAAGATCGCCCAATTGCGAGCCTGTCAGATATGTCCCGCGATGATGTCAGGAGCCTAGGAAACGGTTGGAGACCAGCCATTATTGGGGAACATCTCTTAAATCAAGAGAAGTCCAGCCACGGCGAGGACACCACCGGTCATCGCGCCGGACAGCTTAACGGCCGGGGCAGCATCGCCCGTGAAGGGAGCGACGGACGACGAAGCCGGCGGCACGGCGGAGGTTTGCGACGCGCGGACGGAGGAGCTGGAGGCTCTCCATTTGGGCGTGGGGGACGGGGTGGCCGACGAGCTCGGGGTGATGCTCGCGACGCTGCTGCTGGTGGTGGTGGTGGTGGGCAGCAGCGACGAGGTCGACGACGAGGTCGTGGTGGAGGACGAGGGCTGCGCGCCGACGCTCTGGACGGTGATGACCTGAGTGACGGGGTCGGCGAGGGCGAAGGGCGCAAAGGCAGCCGACGCGACAAGAAGAATGTTGGTGATTTGCATGGTGAAGGATTTAGATCTGCGGTTGGATGCTGATTCGGAGTTGTCGCAAGAAGAGATGTGGATCAGATCGTCAAGCGACTTCTTGTTTTGATTTTGGATATGAGATTTGTCCCTCCTTTGTGGTATAGGGTGCAAGCCAAACAAAAAAGAATGAATGGAGCTGGAAACGAGTGACAGCTCTTGTGAAGAGAAGGAGCAACAAGGATTGACTGGGGGAGGGAAAGAGGAAGAGGGGATTATGAAGGGGCGACACGAGGGAAAAGGGGGAGAAGGAGCCCGCGCTAAAGCGCCGTTAGTGAGCAGTCCGGCCGTTTGGAAGAACCGCTAAATTGCGCATACGAGAAATTGGATCCTTTGATTGCAGCGTGTCGATCGCCTCGCCCGGTGTCCTTGGCGACCCTCCTTTCGGGTCCATTCTGGCGAGCGTTCCTGGCGAGATCCATGGATTCGCTTCTTTCCTCGTGCTCGGCCATACTGCCCTAATATAATCCAGACGAGACGGTCCTAGAATGCCTCCTGGAGAGAAGTTTTAGCGCAGAGAAAGCAATGCCATTGTCTGAAAACTGAATCATCCTGCAACGCCAGAATCCGGGCGTGGGTATCTATCAAACAAACCAAAGCATTCTATAAGTCTAATGAAGCCAAAAACGCCCGCCCAGTGTTTCAAGCCAATTAATCCAGCACAGCTGCTGTGTCCATTGTCATTAGAGCCGTGGAACACCACAGTTCGGCCCAGAGCAATGAAATGAGTGTCAAGGAGTGACGATGATGATAGAGGGTTCAGGAGCGATGGTAGGAGTGCGGAGGAAGCCAGACTCTTTTTTCGCTTTTCTTTTTTTTGGGGGCCTCTGGTCCACAGCAACCCACAGCAACCCACAGTCAAGCAACCACCCAAAAGCAGAGAAGGAGAGACCATAAATTTCATAAGAAAAAAAACAGAGAAGAAACAAAGAAAAAATAACGAAAAAAAAAATCAAATCATAACAAAGCATCAGAGACCCCAGACAGTACCGGCCACCAGCGCAGCCATCAGCCAGTACCCGCTGGTTTCACGCATTTTCGTGGCTGCCGAGGAATCTGCGGATGGGTCATCCACCGTGGTGCCGTTGGGGAGGGTCCCGTTGATATAAATTGACTTGGTGCCATTCACCTCGGCAACCGTGACCGTGCTAGAGTTGACCGGTTGAGTTCCGTTAAAGAGGTCCTCGTAGTAAGTGTTGTTGGAGTTGTCGTCGCATCCGCATTCGGAGTGTTTCTGGCACAGACAGACCACGGGCAACGACTCATTTCGGTCATTTTTCTCGTCCGTATAGTTATAGTGATGGTGGTAGGGGTAGGCGTATGCACCGTATAGCCAAATGCCGGGAAAGAAAGCCAGGGCGGCCACTGGCAGGAGGAAAGGTGCCACGCCCAACGGTGAACGTCCGCCGGCAGCAAAAGGAGTGCGAGCACCTCCGGCGTAGTAAGAGCCACCTCCGTAGGCGGGCTGCGGTCCGGATCCTCCGCGAGTAGCTCCTCCAGAGTTACTTGACGAGCTTTACGAGAGGAAAATGCCAGGTTAGCGCGACGGTCAACACAGCATCTATGGCCTGACTTCTGAAGACTTACCCAGTCCGAGACGAGCCACTGCTGCCGCCGGAACGACCACCGGAGCTACTACCAGAGCTGCCTCCACTTCGTCCGCCGCTACCACCACCACTTCCCCCTCCACCACCTCCTCCGCCGCCTCGTCCTCCTCCTCCGCCGCCGCCCCGACGCTTCTCCAAGTCGGAAATCAGGAGGGAATGCGGTTGAGTGGCGGCGTCCGACACAATCAGGTCCGAGCGAGGAATGCTCAGACCTGGAGTCGTCGCAAAGAGAAGAGCGAACACGGTTGCAGCAGTGATGATTTTCATGATGGCGATGAGTTGTGTAGGGTGAGAGAATGAGAAGTAAGGATGATGATGGAAGGAAGTGAGATGGGTCTAGCGCATCGTTTTTGGGTTGGGTTGCATGAAAGCGTACAGTAAAAACTCCGGAGAAGGCAATCCCTTCCTAATAAGTAACAATGATTTCATTCTGCACAGACCACGTGGGAGGCGCAGCCCGGATTACTTCATCAACACGTGCTGTTTGCCGTCAACTAAACGGATACGGACTCACTCGTGGTTCAAAGGTTACTGCCGATTTGACTCACTGGTTCAGACAAAACCACACAACTTGCAATAACCCTCAAGCAATTACGACACTCTGAGCCTTGCACGCCCCGATGACATGGCTTGGGGTTCTGCGCCCGATTACTCCGCACCAACCAACATCATTGCCACTAGTGCTAAACTCTGACCAGCGGCCTATAGACCGGCTCCCACATCTGCACACGAATCCATTCGTCCAACTCTTTCTCGTCCGTCGGGACGTTCTCCTCTAGAGCCTCCCCCTCTTGGACGGCGGTTTGGATCACGGCCTTGGCAATATCCACGCTAATTTCTCGTACATCCTCCACATCGGGGAGAAGAGGCTGATTTGAATCCTGGTGTGCGGGTGAGCGAGCAGCTAGTGCCTTGACCGCTGCCACAAGCATCTTGTTCGAAACAATCCGTGTTCGCGAGAGCACGGCACCAAGACCGATCCCCGGGAAGCATGTCGAATTGTTGCATTCCGCTACGTCAGCGAGAAAAGGTGGCAAACGTCAGCAAATGGCGAGAAACAGGTGGTGGCTGTGGGCTGCAGGGCACTTACCAATCTCGTATTTCTGGCCATTTCGCTCCACGGGCGGGAATGGACTCCCCGTGGCGATGAGGGCTTGGCCGTTGCTCCAGCGGTTGATGTCTTCGGGACAAGCTTCGTGAAGCCGGGTAGGGTTGCTGAGTGGGAACACAATCGGCCGTTCCACATGTTTGGCCATTTCTCGAATGATCGCCTCTGTGAATGCCTGGGGCTTGGTGGACGTGCCGATCAGAACATGTGGCTTCACCTCTCTTACCACGGAAAGTAAATCCGCGCCCTTCTCTTTGGACCACTCCTCGTCTTCCCGTGCAAACGGGACTTGGGCTGGCGTCAGCTGGTCCTGGAGAGACTTCACCAGCAGTCCCGGCTTATCTAAACACCTATACCGTGCTCGGGGTCAGCAATGTTCTTGAAAGGATTATTTCAACGGATTGGATTGTCGGGTGAGATTATACCAGATTTGCTTTGAAGCCTCCGACTTCGACTTGCCGGTTTCTGTCGCGATACTGTCGGCAATCTGCTCTGCAATGCCAGTTCCAGCCGATCCGGAACCGAAGATGACGATGTGCGCATCCTCTAACTTGACCCCACTGACATCAAGGGCTACGATTAGGGCGGCTAGGGTTACACATCCTGTTCCCTGAATGTCATCATTAAAGCAGGGAACCTGCGATCGGAATCGATCCAAAATTCTTTTGGCGTTCTGCAGACCAAAGTCCTCGCTGGGTTATTTGTGTTAGCTTCAGATACATCCTGGATGCGGTATACACTCACAAGTGAATATATGCTCTGGGGAACTTCTTTTTAGCAGTAGTCAAGAATTTGTCCACAAACTGGTCGTATTCCTGGCCTCTGGCTCGCCGTTGTCGAAGACCTAGATATAAATCGTCACTGAGCAGTCTTTCATTCTGTCATCTCAGTCAGTCTTTGCAAAATGCGCGGGGATGTTCATTCGGTTTGCTGGGCTTACATCGGTACCGCAGTCCAAAACGACTGGCAACTGTCTCGAGGGATGAATTCCAGCGCAGAGAGTAGACAGAACCAGTTTTGCAACGGAGATCAGCATAGCTCCCACTCCTTGGTCTCCAATGCCCAAGATCTGAAGGTGAAAGTGTTAGCCAGCCATTTCGAAATACAGGGGAAATGTCTCAACGTACCTCTTCGCCGTCACTAACAACGATATAATCGACCTCATCGCTGCTCCCGAAATTGGAAAGACACTCTTCAATTCGATCCTGGTCATTGATGTTCAGAAAGCAGCCCTCAGGTTTCCTGAACAGGCTTGAATAGTTCTTGATCGCCTCGCCTTCTGTCGGGGTGTAGATCACGCCGAACATCTCCTTCAGATGAGATTGTAGTAACTGGTTCGCGAAAGTTAGAAAGCCGAGCGCAGATTAATCCTCTACATCTCTCCATGCAATTGACAGACTTACCTTGTAGTACAAAACCTCATTTTGAGCCTTCATACTCGCCATGAAAGTGTTCTTGGCCAGATCATCTGGGCGGCTGCTATACTGCTGGTATGCCCGCCGAACCTGCTCCTCCAAGGTTTGTACGTTTGGGGGGAGCAGGCCGTGTAGCTTGAAGTTCTTGCGCTCTTCAAGCGTGAAAGCGGAACCTTTGTTGAACTGTCCTGACGCAATGAGGCTTCTACCCTACTGTCCTAGTTAATATACATTGCCTGCTCGTCGATGTTCCAGGTGGGAGGGGAGGATCATCACCTCGTAGGGACATTTCAACGGCCCCGATGCCGCTCGCGGAAGATGCTTAAACTTCGATGCCGTCGACGGAGACATGTTTGCCAATGGGAAATAATAGTTTAATCGCTTGAGAGATCAGGCGCCAACGAAGGTGCAGTTATAAGATGAATCGCGCCGGCCTTGCTGGGTGAAAATAAGCCTTGCCTGCAGGTTGCACGACATGGTCTCGACAAGTGCTCGGTGGAGAATGACGTCGAGAGAAAGAGGGCGATTGACGGATCCCGGTTTGAGCGACCGGAAGCCTGGTGTGGCTTCGGGCCGTTCGGTCATAGTAACATATGTTGGTACGGGTCTCTTATGAAGTTATGGTGGCCCGAATTCAAGTTCGTTTCATTTCACGCAAGGATTCAAGCCTTTTGATATCAAACCAGCGTTACAATTCCACCCGCAACGTCATCGGGAGATAGTAGTAATGACGTCGATCGTTGATATCAGATTGGGACCATGAAATGGGGATCCATCATTCCAAGAAGCCATCGGTGATTGGTCAATCCCACTCAGCCCTGCAAGGACGGGGTACATGCATCCGATGCAGACAGCTGGAGATGCAGATGCAGATGCAGACGAGCTGTCTTCCTGTGAGGCACTGTCGACGGCGATAATCCTGACTAAGCCAGTCATCTGTCACGTGGCCGGCTAAGCGAAGAACAACGATTCCTCCTTTCCCGTCTTTCGTCCCCTCCCTCTTCTTCTGTGTTCCCCGTCCCGCGCTGCTCTCGCATTCCACGCAGCAGTGCTCTGCTCAGTACGCACACGAAGGATAAATGAATCCTTTTGCTGGTCAGATTGTTTGGACGCCTATTCAAGATCCAGACTAACCGGCCTTTCGCGTTCGCCTCGGACGGTTAGCTGTGGGAGGCGGAAAAACAAATACTCAACAAAACAAACAACTCGAAGATGGCCTGGGATATTATTCGCACCTATTCTTCATTTGCAACTTACACAATCCAGCTGCCCTAGTCTGCGGTGGCTCGATCGGTTTCCCCCGGGAATCCCGTTCGACGAGCAGACAACTCTATCACGGGCCCTTCGCTTTGAGGGACAGTTTTCATATGCCACGTCTTGTGGCTATGTCTGACTGGAGCTGGATTGTTAGGGGGACTTGTTCACGCAAGTTTCCCTTCGGGACTGGGGTCCAAGTTGCTAGAGGGATTCTTATAGGGCCTTCATAGTTCATGCTAGCTCTTTCAACTCCCCACGAGAGCATGACTCCTTGCGCACCTACATTCTTTGTGCTATGTCGTGTAAAGATATGATCTAGGTTTAGGGAATATATAGACTTTATTTAGGTACATATCAAGACAAGGGAAACCGATCTCTCCTATAGCTTGCTCTTCGTCCCCGCCTCGTCGTCGATAATCTTCACCACCACTTTCCCCCATGTCTCCCGACCTCCGAGAGCCTGCAACGCCCGGGGCACGCTCTCCAGCCCAACGAAACTCTCGTCCTTGAATGCCGTACCCCGGAACTGACCTTTGGCCACCAGATCGAAGATGCCCTGCCACACAGCACCCACGGTCTCCTTCTCAAACTTGGCGTACTGGCCCCAGTGCAAGCCGACGATGCTCACATTCTTCAGCAGCACGCGGTTCAGGGCCACCTTCTCGATCTGGCCCGCCGCGAACCCGATCACCAGCAGGCGCGCATTCCACGCCACGCATTTGAGACTGGCCTCGATCATCCCCACGGGGTCGTACACGATGTCCACACCGGCCTTGCCGTTCCCTTGGCGGTGCCGCGCACACAGCGCCTTCACCTCCTCTGGCCACGCCCTATCCTTGTAGTCGACGACGTAGTCCGCCCCGAACTCGCGCGCCACTTGGCGCTTGCGCTCCGTGCCAGCCGTCGCAATCACCGTCGCTCCCTTCGCCTTGGCGATCTGCACCGCGGCCAGCCCAACGCCGCCGGCCGCCGCGTGAACCAGCACCCAGTCGTCGCGGCGGACGTTGGCGCGATGCACCAGGCCACCGTACGAGGTGGGTGCCGTGACGAAGAGCCCGGCGGCGTCCTCGTAGCTCCAGCCGTTCGGTACGGGCAGCAGCGTGGCCTCCGGGGCCAGCACGTGCGTGGCGTAGGCTCCCTGCGTGGCACCGAACACGCGGTCTCCGACCTTGAAGCGCGGTGGCGACGGTCCCCTGGCCGTGGGCACTGCCAGCACGGTTCCGGCGAATTCAGCGCCACCGACCCACGGCAGTGGTGGCTGGTGTTGGTACTTGCCGCGGATTTGGAGAAGGTCGAAGAAGTTGGTGCCTGCCGAATGGATTTCGATCAGGTAGTTGGTTGGCGAGGGCGCTGGCGTGGGAAGTGTGCTGACCTGGAGATCCAGGGGTCCCTGCGATCATGGGGAGTTCATGTTAGCCATGAACGGGTGGGAATTGCCGATAGATGATTTGCTTATAGATGCAGATAGAGAGGTATGGCCATATCGGGTTTGTCGTAGAGAGGTTGACGGATTGAGACAGCGATTTGGCTTACCTGGACGTATTCTTTGACTTGGATGGCCCTCATAATGATGGATGTGGTAGAATTCGAGATGGGGGGACAATGGTGAGAAAGAGTAGAGAAGAAGGGAGGAAAGAGGAAGGAGAGAAAAAGCGTCGCTGAAAGTACCGAGAGCTGCGGCCTGCAATTTTCCCCGCGTCTTCGGATGGGCCGAGGTCCCTTCTCGGGTCATCCAACAGGGGGCCAGTAGTGTCTGCTCGGTCCCCGTCGCACACGTCGACTTGCCCCAGTCTACGAGCCCTTCTACGATTTGAGGGAAAACAAAATCGTCTTAATAGTATGATCTTCCAATTGAATATAGCCGTCCCGGCTCCTAGAACACTGGGTATTGTCTGTAAAGACACCGTACATAACATATATCGACATGAACTCGGTTGTACAAGCTGAAAGAACCCCAAAAGATAAAAACAATAAACTCCATCTTTGCTGCAAATGTGGATATCAAGCGGGACAATTCCCAGGTCCTGGTTCGGTGCCCATCCCCTCCGGTACGCCAGAATTCCATGCTGTAATCACAGTGCATGGTGAATGTAACGAGCCAACACTCCTCCCCTCAACCCAATTTTCATATCGAAATACCGAGATGGTGATGATGATGAGTCGGGGATTCCAATGACAAACCCCGGAAATAAATCAAAGAAAATATCGAAAATAAAAGACATGAAGAAAAGAAAACAGTGTGGGAATAATATCGAAAGTGATGGTGAACAATCAGACAAGACAAGAAAGGAAGAAGGTTCGTAGTATCTAGAAATCGATACTTGATGGCTTGTGTACAAGCGGCTCTGGGCCTGGGTAATGATACATAGGAGCACACATGACGGGGTGCTGACCATTAGAGTAAAAAGGCGATGGAGGAGTCATCAGGCCAACCGGAGGCTGGCTGGATGCTTTGGAAGACAGCGACGGCTTCCCTTCCAGAGGGGTGTGCTGTCTGCCCTTGGGGTCCAACTTCGGATGGCCGCCCGCGGCATCCGAGATGTATGGGACAGAAACGGCGCGTTGCCAGGACTTCGCATCCTCGTGGTAATTAGGCATATGATGCGTAGAAAAGCTGGAAGATCGAGGCGACTGGGGCGCGTAGACGCCGTGCGGATGCTGCGGCATCATTTGCAATGCATGGTCGATCGGCGGGCTCAAAGGCGCCGTGTTGAAAAAAGGCATCGATGGATGTTGGGTCCCGGCTTCCAGAGCCATGGAGTACCATTGAGGGATTGACCACTGAACCGGTGCCGTTGTCGAGACCGGTGGTTGCATGCCATCGGTGGTGACAGCGTACGAGGATTCATGGAATGGAGATGCCATTGCAGATGAGTCCAGCAATACCCCGTCTACGAGCGGCGAAGTGTGGGATGGATCGTAGGCATGAGACCCAGATAAGACAGCCACCGATGGGGAACTTGTCGAGGAACGTCCGTCAAACGACGCCGTGGCAGGTGGCCCGCCGTGGCGAGAGTAGACACCATTGCCGATAAGCCATTCGGGCTCGACATCAGTCGCGGTGGATTGATGCATGGGACGCAACTTTGTCTTGGGTGATACCGAAGAGGATTGATCCCGTTGACTGCCATCGTTGCCCGAGGCCTCTTGTTGGTCATCCTGAGATTTCTTGCGCGTCTGGCGAGAGGGTTTGGTAACACGCCATTTCTTCAATCTGCTCCGCAGTTGTGTTTCACTGACGAGAGACGAGATCAGTCAGCGTTTCTTGCGTTTCTGTAGGACGAATCCGTCGATGGAGGGGTCTCACCTTGGATTAAAATCATCCGAACGGATCTTCTTGATAACCTGCTTCAAAGGCCACTCCTCATCTTTATATAGCTGCGCAATCATGGACTTCTTCCTCTCCCACACGTCCGATGGGATTGAGTTCTTCATTTCCCGGTTGGTTGTTCCCGCGAGCCCGAGAAAGGAGATACAAGTTTGAATCAAGTGGTGAAGCAACGAGACGAAGGGCCCGGAGCGTAGTAGTCCAAAGAAGATCAACCACGGGTATTTGAAAAAAGAAAGGAAGGAAGAGGATGGAAAAGAATAAAAGGTGGGAGGAAGAGGCAGATCAATAAATGACGGGGAAGTGGATAGATAAATCAACGTGGTGGATGGAGAATATTAGAGAAGATGGAGAGATGGGAAGACAGCGAAGGGGGAGAAGAGATCTGGATATATAAGTACTGAGCACGGAGGGATGCGTAGCGATAGACAGAATGGAGCCCGGCGTGGCTCTATCTAGAGCAAAGAGGGTCATCCCAAGGACAGCTACCTTGGTACTAAGGATTTAGTTACCTACCTAAGAGGTACATACATCCGGACCAGCAGCACGCGATGAGGAGAAGTGGGTAAGAGGTCAAGTCACGATGAGGAAAAGCTCGTGCCCACCGTCAAGACAGGGCAAGCAGTTCTTCCGGGGGGAAGGGAGATCGACCAGCACGATGATGTCCAAGGAACGGCATCCTCAGGTTGACCGAGGTGATTGGCACCCAGGCCCAGGGACCCAAGTGGACTGCAGTGGTTTAGTTGCTGGTGGCACGTCCATTGTCTCGGGTCCTGTCATTCACGATAATCCAGGAGGTATTTTTATTATCATTTTCCGAAAAAAAAAATAATTTGTGTTTAATTATTATTATTATTATTATTTTGGCCACGAGGATTGGGAGGCAAGCTTTCTGTCGATCCCTCTCTGAGTCGGTTTTGGATGGAATTTTTTTTTTTTCTTTTCTCCCTAATTTTAATCGTTGGAGTTTGGAACGTTGGAAGGAACTTTCAGACCACGCTGCATCCAAGGTTGGACAGTTGGAGAAAATGAATGATAACGAACTCTCTTTAGATGGTTGGCTCTCGGTCAATAGGAAGTTTCTCAGCACAACCGGATCTCTATCAGGATCACTATTGATGTGTCAACTTCGTGGCCACCAGTGTTTTCTTTTTCCGTTGCCCTGCAGTTGACCCGTCCATCTCATCGGACCCTCCCTCCCAATGGGATCCCGCCAATAGTCCGAATTGACCTATCTCAGTCCAAGTGTAGGTAGGTACTATATCCGCCGTCGGGGGAGAATCTGCCCAGCCCCGTGGTCTGCATGCATCATGTCAATGCAACCCCTGACTCGAATCTGCCTGGTGAGTGTTCCGTAGATGAGGATAATCATACCAATAATGATCCATAGGATCTGGATTTCCGACCTCAAAAATGTCCACCCCCGTCCGGACGTCGAGACTCGAGAGAGTCAGACAGACTACGGAGTCAGACGAAAGAAAAAAAAAAAGAAAAGAAAAAAAAGAAAAAAGTCACGATCTCCATCGCGTTACTAGCGCCATACCGTCCGGTACCGCACTGGATACCCAATCTGGGTAACACTAGGCCTTTCCGGGCGCTTGGCGCAGCCACGGGCCGGTCTAATTGGATGAGGGACCGGGCCAAAGGCCGGTTGGAGGCAACCAGACCCAGGAATGATCCTAGCGCCGCGTACGGACAGTCGGTATCGTCCTAAGGTTCTTCCTGTGGAGAGAGTTCGAGTTGGAGTCCATCCGTCGACTCTGGATAGGCGATAGACTCCGGAGTAAACACTAGGTAAGGCACGCCTCGATAGAGTGCAGTCCAGGCACGGGCGATGTGCTAAGTGACTTCTGCATCGATCGAGATGCAGCTTGATTTCGTCCTTCCCCCACCCCTTCAAACACGCCGGCAAGATGAGCCACCGCAGGCATCGTGCCATCGCCCAGCATCAGGCTGCAGCATCCCGGTCGATGGTGTCGCGATGAAACGTGATTCATCGACGGACAAGATTCGGCTAAGAGGCGGACACTCATGACTGATGAACCACCTAAAAATACCTCGGGCCCTGGACGACGTGGTGGACACTGGCTCGGAGGCGTGGGGATCTACGGTGCAGTCCAGTCCAGCCCAGAGTCAATTAGATTAACTCGGGCCTCCTATCAGTATCAGCCTGCTTCGATCTCGTTGGGGAACCGCCTCTAGTCAATTAGTACCTACCAACTAACTACTTGCGCTGTAGGTCCTGCCTAGGTACCTTACGTAGCACGGAGAAGCTACATGGGCTTCGGATGGATCTTCATTGCAGGGCGCTATCTGCCAATCATGGTTTTATTTGTCCGCTCGACTCCGTAATTGTTTGATTTTATTTTTTTTCAACATCATTGTTTCTAATCTCGCCCGCTGGAGCTCTCTTGGACGCTTCCACTCCCTTAATTTAATAAACTTCACTCGCCGCTGGGATCTCGCCGGATCAGGTGATCCCACTCTGAAGATGGCGATCAATCATCGTTGGTCAATTTCGTTTGTTCTCCATCTCTTCTCCTCGAAACCAAGGAACTCCCCAGCTCCCCCTCGGATCTGCTCAACGGCACTTCTTCAATTGTTGACTTGCCTCCCTCACCATCCCCACTTTGCCTCTCTTTCTTTCCTTCTTTTTTTTTCGTCTGCCTTTTCCAACGTCTCTGCGCCAATCATTGGAAATCGAACATCACCACACGTGGGCGAGGGGAAAAGAACGGTGAAGGATGGAACTAGTTACGTGATCCTCTCGATGTAAGAAATCCCACTAGTATCGGGAAGGAAGAAAACTCGTTAGTTCCGTTCATTCACCGACCCTTTACGCTATCGACCTTGCTCAATGCTGCCAGGAGGCGAAAAGGAATAGCGTACGCCCTAGTCTGTCTAGCCTTGACAGAAGTGGAGTGGTCAACATGAGACAGTCCGATTCACACGGAGTGCATGCCAGTCTTGCCAGACTCTGCCTTCGTGCATGGATTCCGACCCCTCTCGGTCCCAGGGAAAGGATTTGGCTAGTACGGAGTTAGTCGGTGGTCTTTGGAGTGGAGCGGCTGCAAATCCCTCCAAGACGCCTGGTCGATCTGGGTCCGTCTGGGGACACCATCATCATTCGTCTTGCACTAGAGAAGATCTCTTCCCGGTGGATCGCTCCTACTGATCTTCCCGAAGGTCCTCAATAGTCCTGCCCTCCAGGATTCACCTTTGTCCAGGCGCAAGGGTGGAAACGCCGGAAACGACTATCTCGTCATCTCAACATTCCTGCCCATGGCGCACGGCACACTCCCTCCATCTGTCTATCTGTCTGTCTATCACCAACGGGCAGAGCATTACCTCGGCCCTTGACAGCCGTGGGGCTTCCTTTTTTATCTTTTCTTTTTTTAATCAAATTTGCCCTCCTTTCGATGAGAAATGTCCCACTGGTCTGTGCCTCCTTTTGCGTCTCCGGTACACCGTCCCTGGTTAATTATTCAGTACCGCCATCTGTCACGCAATTGTCGGTACTTAGAGGTGGTTCTAACCATGTCCCAATGATAGCTTGGGTCATATCTACTCTGTCGTGGGTTCTTCACGGGCAAGCAACACAACGGCAGAGTCGATCCATGGAACCGTCCTAACCAGGCGCGCCTGTCTGATCTGGGGGGACTGCAGAGGGCGATAGCGGAGCCATCTCGTCACCATGCTATGCAACGGCATGTTAGCACAGTAGATCAACCCGTGGCCACCGACCATGCTCACCTGACCGCCGATCCTCATCCGAACGTGTGCTCTTTTCCGGGCCGGCTGAAGCAGAGGCTGAAAGGACCCCAGTAATCTACGTACATACTCTCCACCCTACGAATCACTTGTGCGGCCGAAAGTCGATTATACGGGCCCGCGATGAACACGGACAACCAACAGGCGCGAGGTGGTGATTTGTTAGAGCAACGCCAAAAGGGCTCTTGCGTGCTGTCAGTGCCTACTCCGCTGACCAAACTAGCGAGGCCGATCAAGAGAAGGATTTTCTGCCTCGTACGACCAAGAAGAGAATTTCCGAAGCCGTAGTCTTTTCCATCAAGTCTGCTGGCCTTGGATAGCCTGTACTCCCTCCACCGTACGGTATGGGTTGCCTTGTTACTTTGGCCCAGTCGAGATCGACGATATCGGAGCGGTGGAGTCGCTAACGGATTATGAATCACGGAGTTATTCTCAGGACGTCCTACCGCGGCGACTGCGCTTAAGATATCGGCAAAAGGTACCGAATAAGGCCAATTAGACCGTTAACCAGGGGACGGATTGACTTTGGTCGTGCCTCGCGGTATTCATACTGAATGCGTGCAAGAGCACCGAAAAACCCTTCGCGCTGGAACAGTTGGAGATCCGTTCCAACGGCGAATATCAGGGGTGTTTGGCACCCACGTGGACGTTTCACACCTGAATTCTAAATCCAAAGAAAGAGAGGAAGTATAGACAAACCAGCGCCACAGCGCCTCCAGGAGCGGAACCAAGGCCGTCATTCCGTAGGGCCGAGAGGATCTCTGGTCCATGATGGAAGGATCCCGCAGGCGGATCACGTCTGGCAGTTGCTTTCATGACATACGGAGTAGGGGAATACGGTGTAGAGATGAGTGCGGCAAGCAGGAATCCGATCCCTCTTCTGCTGAACCAGGTTCCTTTCAGGATGAGGGAGAATCTCTGTGGCCTAAAGAGGTATCCAACGCGCAGATCATGAGGTTTTCAGACGTGATTCCAAATCCAGCCAGCCATTGCCTACTTTTTCTTTTTTTTCTTTTTCTTTTTTCTTTTTTTCCCCCTCTTTCTTTCCCCTCCCCTAAAGTTCCTAACGGCCTTCGCGTGTACGCTAAACCAACCATCAGAGCGAACTCCCTTCGAGATGGGAACAACCAGGGGCAATCCTTGCCCAAACAAGCATTGTGAGTTTCCTCTCAAACTTAGAAGAAGCTCAAGCTCACCAGCCCTGGAAGTCTTCGGATGCGTGCGATGCTCCGATAGGTTGATACTTTTGGGGTTTCGTCCGAGTGCACGACGGACGTTTTTCCTTTTCTCGGCATGGAATGAGATCCGGACTGTTGCCATGGTCCGAGTGTCGCTCACCCACGAGGGCCAACAAGATCAGCTCAAGGACAGAGGATCCTCAACCTCCATGTTTCTCCAGTCCCAGCCCAGCGCTTCTCTGTCCCCGGTGCTGATCGGTGGGTAAGTCATTGTGGTTCCATGGTTGAGTCATTAGGGGCACGACAGACCGTTGTTGTTCGTGCTGAAAGTTTCGCGGCGCTGACTCCAACTCGGACCACTATCAACTTCCTCGGTTCGGGGTTTAACCTTAATCAGAAGTTACACAACGCAATGAATAATATTGCTCCTCTCTTAGGGTTCTCGGAGGGCTTTCGGCAGTTTGACGCCCTTCTCCTTTCCGGTTACCAGTGTGCTTCTCCGGTCTTCGCATCATATCGGCATCATCATCCGTCTCCCCTCGGTGCACGTTTTCCGGATTCCTGTTCCTACCACTGGGTGGGAGGAGAAGAGGCAAAAGAAAAAAAAAAATAAGATCAAAAAAGACAAGAAAAAAAAGGGGGGAGGGGTAAGAATGACGGTCTGTCTACCTCTCCTCCATAGCTCAGAGGATAACTTTTCTCATCCGACGCTTTCCGGTGCATCACCTGCCTGTTTGAGATAGACCGAACAGTATATTCCTCTTAAGTGGGTATGTTTCAAACGAAAGCTGTATAGTTGAACTTAACATCTACTCTCCTTCTGCATAGGGAACGCTTTCCTGAACGCCCTAGTCCACAATCATAATAGTCCTCCTTATAACCGACCATGTGGAGGTTTCAACAATCTAGACCCCTCCGTTCGGTCCAGTCAATTGAATCAGAGCAGGGCCTGCGCTTTACTCCAACGAGCATCGTGGCGACTCACACCTCACGAGGCAGCCCAGATCCTCTGCAATCTCGAAATTAGCCTTTTGCATCCCTGCACTCTGTGCCCCAGTCCAGATCGGCGCGTCATATCAATGGCAGACAGGCCTCGGTCTCAGACCCTCTCTAGGTGTTTCAGAAATCTCATACGTAGTACAAAACTATGCTGATGTTTGGGATTGAATGACATGGGATTCGCTAAAGGATGATGTTCGCTAAAGGATGCTCGTTTTTCGTATCCTCTCACAATCCAATTTTTAGTTGCCCTTTGGTACACAGTCCCTGCACTAGTCTTTCCAAGAGTCCGCCGTCCAAACTCTGTGGTGGAACAAATGAATCCTCCAGCAAGGCAGACTCCCTCACCCGGGGAGGGGAGTTCATTCGAAGGAGACGGCGGAAAGCCAAAGAGTGAAAAGAAACCGTTCGGATTAATCTGAGGCTAGGGCCAGTGAGAAAGAAATGTGTTGACACAACTGGGCTAACAGTCATCTGGATATCATCGTAACGTACAGAATATGTATATCCATCGCCCAGGGCGTATTCTCCCTCCCCGTCAAGTAGAATAGTTTAGACATGGAAAGGAACAACTGCACCCAAAAAAGAAAAGAAAAAAAGAAAAGAAAAATACCCTCTACATGTAAAGGTTTCTTTTGTGTCTCATCCCTGATATTAAAAGACGCCATTCCAACTCCAGACAAACCCCCTTTTAGCTCATGAAGAGGGCAACGCACGCACATACACAAAACACAATGATAATGAAGGGGAGAAGACAAGAAAAGAAAAAGAGTAATACGTAAAGCACAGATAAAATTACAGGGGACTCGTTAGTCCATCCTAGCGACGTCTTTTGTGAAGCCGATGTTCCTTGCCCTTCTTCGACTTCTTCTTGCTTTTGTCCACCGGCAACACCAGCGGTTCATCCTTCATGTTCCATTCCATGAATCGTAGAAGATAATCATCGACATGGCCCGGCTGAAGCTCGGTGTCGACGAGTTCGTCGACCCCTTGCACATTCGGCGTTGTCGAGGATTGCGGCCCGGGGGCTCCGTCATCGGGGCCTGTGGCCATCGGCGTACCTGCCTGGGTCTGAGCGGGCGTGCCTTGCGAGACGCTGCGGTCCTCGAAATCGCCGTCATCGGCATGCTCCAGTTCCTTTTGCGCATTCTTGGCCGCATCGATATCCTCCTTGTCTTCGGCCTGCTCGAAGACCACCCGAGAGCCGCCGGAAACCCGATTTTCAAGCACCCGATCCATAGCGGCGCTGGCCTCGTCCTGGCTCTCTAGGGCCTCCTCGTGGCCGATCATGTCACGCACATCCAGCTTGGTGAAGTAATCTGTTGTGAATTCACCCTCCTGGATGACAACGTCATCCAACATTCTCTTTTGGTTCGCTTTGCGGAGAATGTTGGATTCGATGGTGTACTCCGAAACAAACCGGTAGATGTGCACGTCGCGCGTTTGCCCGATACGATGGCAACGATCCTGGCACTGCTTGTCCATGGCTGGATTCCAGTCAAGATCGTAGAATATCACAGTATCCGCACCTGTCAAGTTAATACCAAGTCCACCGGATCGACTGGACAAGATGAACGCGAGGATACGATTATCATTATTGAACCGATCGGTAAGAATCTGGCGCTGTTCGACCTTGGTGGTACCGTCCAACCGAAGATACCGATGGCCATGAATATTGAGGAACTGCTCCAGGATATCAAGCATCTTAGTCATCTGGGTGAAGATCAACGCCCGGTGACCGCCAGCCTTCAAGTCTCGCAGCAGCTTATCAAGCCTCTGTAGTTTACCGCAGTCATACTGCAGCAACCTCTTGTCGGGGAAGGCAATGGACAGGCGCATCTGGGCTTCATGGAATGGGTCATAGGCTGGCAATCTTTCCTTTCTATTGAGATGTCGCGTCTTGATTGGGGTCAAGGCCGCCTCGGTAATCCCGGAAGCAACTGCAGCCGGGGTGATGCAAGCGTATCGCTGTACATAGCCATCCAGATTCTGTGCGCGTTCCTCAACGGATAGGATCATGGACGCCAGGACGGAAGATCGACTAGACAGCCAATCCGCCAGTGAGTTCTTCCGGAGGGGACCGTTCGAAGTTGGTCGCTGTTTGCTGTCCGCCGTAAGGAACTGGAGCAGACTGGCTCCGTATACTGGGCGACGACCGTGACGTTTTGATTCGAAGTATAGGCATCTTTCCAGCTCAGCCATTCTTACTTTTCTGCAGTCGTTTTCCAAGGCTTGGAGTGCGGTTTGCACCGTAGACCCGTCGAATTCCATCTGCCAGTTCGTCCGGTGATACTGACGTTCCCGAAGTATGTTAAATGGACCGTAAGCCATGAGTCTTGTACTATCATCTGCGAGTCGTCGAGATATGTCCTCTCTCGAAATAGGGACCAGGTTCAGGAAGTCCAAATCCAGCCTGTTGAGCGGATGCTCATATAGCAACCGCCGGCGAACGAGATGCTCCTTTATCTCGAATTCAGTGGCCACAGAGCGTGCCATCGCAAACGAGGTAGAAATTGGCCGGGTCTCGAAAAGGTCCGGGTGGTTGCACACCTTTCGCAACTGCATCAAGCAGTTGATGATGGAAAGATAGTTCCCCGAGGCAAGGGTTTCTTTGGTCTGCGCCCTGGACATGAAGCCGTCATACAGATAACGCTGGCGTTTCGAGAGCCTGCAATAAACGACATGTTCATACTTTCCGGGCATCTGTTTCTCTACATCGGCCTTCAGACGTCGTAAGATGTAAGGCCTCAGAACAGTATGAAGCTTGGTGACAACTTGCTTGGCTTCGTCGTCCATCGTTTCCCGGCCATGCTCCAAGATCTGCTCCACCGGACGCCGGAACCATTCAGAAAAATTCCTTAGGTCAGCGAAACCCTCGATTCCAGCTTCGCCGCCATCCGTGGGCATCAAGAAGAACAATAAGGACCATAATTCCGTTAGGTTATTCTGGAGAGGGGTGCCGGTGAGTAGAAGCCGCGCGCGAGTGCGGAAAGTGAGAAGAGCTTGCCACCTCTGGGAACGGAAGTTTTTAATATTGTGCGCTTCATCCAGAATCATATAGTGCCAGTTCCTTCGTTTCAAGACTTGCTGATCCTGTAGGACTAATTGATAGGAAGTAATCAGCACGTTCCAATTAGTATCATCCATCCATCCCCTGCGCTTCTGACGGCGCTCCTCTTGATTGCCATAGTAGGTCATGATTTTGAAACCCGGACACCACTTTTTGAACTCCATTTCCCAGTTCAGGATCACACTGGTAGGGACGACGACTAAGTGCGGCCCCCATACCTCATGCTCTACGGCCAAGTGAGCAAGCAGAGCAATCGTTTGTATGGTTTTCCCTAGGCCCATCTCGTCCGCAAGGATACCATTGATTTGGTTCGTGTAGAGACCGGCGAGCCAGTCCAGACCGAAGTGCTGGTATTCTCGGAGGTTTCCGCGGAGTAGATGCGGCACTGGCGTCTTCAATCCTGGAGCCGGCGATTCGCTTGGCTGGCGGCCCTTTTCTGCTGCGGCGTCATATGAGGAGACTGACTCAGGCTCGGAAGGTTTGGTGGCAAGTGTTCCTGGGGATGCCTCACTAGAAGGCTCGCCACTATTGTAAGCATCAGGCTGGTCCGGATACATCTCCTCCCGGGAGTCAGTATTGGTTTCAGTAGTTGCTTCGACGATGGCTGGGCTCTCGCGAGGAGGGCTTTCAACCATCTCAATTCCATTGGTCTGGTCGACGTCGATGGGAGCAATGTCGGCGGAGGCATTGTCACCGACAAGGGAGGTCTCGGCGATATCCATATCCTGGGGGGTGGACTCTCGATTGGCCGGTCCGTTAGGAACAAGAGAAACCTCGTCGGGGTCACTTGGTTCTTCGTCCTCATCATCAACCGAAGTCAATTTCATGTCACCGCCATAAAGACTTTCGAGGTTATCGTCCGCATCATCTAGATCGCTTTGATGTTGATCGTCGTTCAACGCAATATCTTTCGCAGAGAAAAAACCGAACAATCCGGGCCCATCATCCTCGTCAGAGTCAGCATCACCTGAATCTCCCTCCTCGTCAGTCTCTCCCATATCGTCCTCCATGTCTGTGGATGCCTCATCACTGTCGTCCATGAGCATGGGGTCAACTTCCTCCAGCTCGACCGCGTTGGGGTCCACCTGCTCGGAAGGCACTTCAGAGTCAACTGCATCAGGTCCGCGTGAGACACTAGCGCTGTCCGATGGATTCGTCTCATCGGATGCCAAAGACATGCGGTCTGAGACTTTGTTAGGCTCCGAGAGATTGGCATACTTCAACCGGAGTTCTTCAGCTGTTAGCCCCTCGTCATCATCAACGTAGTTTCCCCCATCGCTTTCAGAGTCCGTCGACGACATATTGCTTTCGTTATCTTCATCGCCCGACGAAGCATCTGTTTCTGCTTCCTCGCCTTCGCTGGATTCAAGGGCATCGCTTCCAGTTTCGCCAAGGATTTCCATTCGTCGCTTTTCAAAGAGCATAGTAGATTGCTTGATTGCACGATCCAAAGCCTGTTGGTCCTTCGCTTTGCGTTCTTCTTCCCAGTGGGCCAGACGCATTCTGTCCACCTCTGCTCGAGTGAGATCGAACATTTTCTGAAGGTCCTTAGCCAACTGCTTGCGCTTTCCTCGTACTTCCTCCTGCTGTTCCCTGAGAATGTCTTCGGGGTCCTTGTTTCGCTTCCTCCATGCATCGGCACACCATTGCGCAAAAAGCTTTGCCATGTGGCGATGACGTCTATGTTCCTGGTCAAGAAGCTTCTTAAAGTACAGGGCGTGCGCAACCAGATGATCCTGGTGCGAAAACTGTTGCGGTGGCTCTTCTTGCTGCTCCGGGAGGTATGCAGAGCATACATCTGAACTCAAAGGGCCGCCCGGCTCTGCAGCGGTTGCGATTCGGCGCCTCTTCTGAGCCTCTTCATGCGCTTCCTCTGGTGTGAGAATTGTGTCATCCCGCGCTCGCCCGTCATCGCTATCAAGCCATTCTCTAAACGATCCATACTTGCGAGGGGGTATAACATGAGAGGGGTGTTGGACGCCGATCGACGGCTTCTTGACCTTGATCCGCAGCCGAGGGACTCGCTGGTGGGATTCATCACCCTCGTTCTCGACGACCCCGTAGCCTCCTTCATTGTCATTCGCTCCATTTGTCACATTACCAAAACCGTTGAGTCCTCCGTTTGGAAGCCGACGAGCGGAGTTTGGCGTCCCGGAGCTTTGGGATCTTGTCCGCGTATGGGTTTGTTTTGGCCCCGGCGATTGTGATACGCGTGGTCGTCGAGTAGAAGCACCCCGGATGGTGACGCTCCTTGGTGAACCATTAGCAGTTGCGTTACCACCAAGGGGCTTTCCGTTAATCTCCGGGTATGAGGTAGATGTCGATAAGGGTGACGATGCAGCGCCTTCCCCCCGGCCAGCAACATTCTTGCCGACTAATGATTTCCGGTTCGCTCGCGTCGGCTTTTTATCGGACGGAGGCTGTAGTTGGACGGGTACGGAGTTGACTCGAGAGGACTTGCGTCGGCCATCTTGGATGAAGGAAGTCGGACCATCGACGCCGGGTTTCTTCCACGGAGGCGACGCTGCGCGGGAGCTCGACCGACGCGAGGCGGCCGAGTCCGCAAGCTTTCGCCTCTTGGATGGCGGACCTTCCGGGTGGTTGGGAGCGGACTCGTCTTCTTTGGGCACCGAAGGAATCGAATCACGAGTCGCAGAATCGACGGGAGGATCGGGCGTAGCAAGAGCAGATGGGGTTGGGTCGGGATCGGGGGTCACGCGTGCATTTTGGTGTACAAGGCCATCGGAGCTGCCGTTTTGCATGTCTCGTAACGACGGAGGCAGGGGCCCTCTTTTCAGCCGACCCCAGTTTTCCCAACGAGGACAAGGTCGAAATGGGGAAAATTGGCATCAAAGTGTAGCGGTAACTGAGTCGAGGTGCCACCCAAGGTTTGGCATAGTTATCGGCCCTGTAGCGCGACTGGGGACGGAAAAAGCGGGTGGATGGACAGATAGCGTGGAGAGGTGGTTTTTTCCTTTTCCTGCGTGACGAGGAGAACGGCGACGTGTATGTAAGCGCGTCCTGCCTCAGGCCATCGCCGCTTAGCTAATCCGTCCCCGTCATGATCGCTTTGAACTTCATCCGCCCTTTCGACTTCAAGTCCAGTGCCTCCCCAGTGCCCCCTCCCTCCATATCCTCGACTGACAAGGTTCGCTCCAATCCCCCAGTGCCGACCTGATCTCGCCCCGTCTGTCCCCCTTGCTAATGCCTGCCACCAGATGCTGTCCCAGCGGCTCTTGACCAGGCGCCTGCCTCAGGTCGCTGCCCGTTACGCCGTCCCCCGCGCCTCCTTCTCACACGTCCGGTCTCTTGCGGCTGCGGAGGTCAATGATCCTTTGCAGGTATGATGCGGGCCTCTAATTGCGGCCAATCCGCTTCCCCCGTGAGAATTGGCCTCGTCTGACCTCCTCTAGAACAACAACTACGAGAACCCTCCCCGTGTCAAGCGTGCCTTCCGAGACCCCTACGGTGGCTGGTGGGATCAGCAGGAAAAGCGCAACTTCGGAGAGCCGGTTCACGAGGAGAACGAAATTCTCGGTGTCTTCAGTCCCGAGCAGTACACGCACGTCTCCGCTCGCCGAGGTTTCTTCCACCTGGGAGTTTTTGTCGCAACCTTCCTGGGATTCTGCGGCGTCGTGAGCTTCTACTACCCAGACAAGCCCAGTGCTCCTCGAACATTCCCCGACGGTCTCGAGAAGGAGCTTGGCGGATCGAATGCCGCTTTGGTGCGTTGAAACTTCCCCCTCTTGAGGGAACAAATTTCGGATTGCCTCCCTCGTCTGGTTCTGAACCATTGGCTAATGATTGATTTGACTGTTTAGGCTCGCAAATCCGGCGAGGAGACTTGGTAATTGGCGTTCAACTTCATGTTGTGTAAATGTAAATAAATACCAGTACGATTTGGTCTTTCGGCGTCAATCGAAGGTCTGATTGTCGATTCATTCAGGAAAAAAGAGGGCCGTTCCCCTCGTCAGCTACTTTTTATAACCACGGTGGATTTTCCGATACGTCCGGTCCCTGTGCCAAGTTCTTATACGGAGGAGATGAAAACTTGCCGAGCAGGTACCTGATTGATCTGCGTGCTAAGCATCGTGGGGACGAACGGGAGCCAACTATCATGCTCCTTGAAATATGCTTTTTTACGGGTGATCATGAGCCTAGATATAGTAAAGACTGTACTGCGGTTATTACAGCCATCTAGTGTTTGTATGGGATGCTCTGTTGATGGACAAGGGCAAGAAATCACGAATACGGAGTAGATACGAACAAAGACACCATGGATCGTAGCAACCAAAAATAAAAATAAAAAATCTTCCCATATGATGACCCTTATCATTAATATTTAATTGTGGTGTAACACTGGGGCAGCTTTTGCATTGTTTCAGGTCACCCAAGGACCAGCGCGCAAACCAACCAAACCAACCGCCCCTTTCTTCCCCCAAACCGCCAAACCGCCAGCCCAGCTTTCTGCAGCTCCGTTCCAACCCCCCCTCGTTCTTTCTCTTCCTTCCCCTCCTCGCAATACAAAGACGCACTCCCCCCGGCGCCTCTTGAATTTCGCGGGCTAGGAGGAGTCTTTCCAGTGGTTTATTAATTTGCTTCTCCCCGGGCGGTTTTTGTTTGAATCCTGAACTGTTTACCCATGGTGCCACGTTCCGCTCCTCCCCTCGCCCCGAACGCCGCAAAATTGAAGACACGTCCGCTCCATGTCGACAGCTTCTAGCCAGTCTCGAGGCGTTAACCGACGGATTAACAGCCTCCAGAATGACGTCCGCCACTCGCGCAACCTTTCGGCCTCCTCCCGCAAGCGCCCCGTGAATTCATCCACGGCCTACAACTATGCCCTCCGGGTGGCTTATCTCGTCTATCTCCTTCAACCTCGTATGCGCCGGTCTCAGACTGCGCCAGCCCCTCAGCAGCGGCCCAAGAGAGCGACCACTTTCCACGATCTTATGAGTGATTTCTCGCTGGTCCGCGATTCCAAGAGCACGAGGTTCCCCCATGGCTTCATATCGGAACTGGAGAAGCGGTTGACGGGGATCCTGACAAAGAAGGAAAAGAGGAAGGAGTACCAGGACCCGTTGGTTGTTAGGACATTCGCTGCCTTCCTCAACGCCTTGAAAGACCAGTCATTCAAGAAGCGCATGGAGAAGGACCGACGCGCGGAGGACCTGGTCTTGATCTTCTATTCGAATGCCACCAAGGAGCTGAGCAAGGGCAAGGACCCGGATGATGACCACTGGAAGTTCATGGTGGACAGGCATGTCGCTCTTTTCGTCCGCCTGTTTGCGCTGATTTTGAAGAACAACGACTGGGCAAAAGACCGCCCGGACTTGGCAAACCGACTGTCAGTCTTGGAGAACAAGCTTCTTTCTCAGGATCAGGATCTGGTGGAAACGAACGGCACGTCAACCGTGGAAGTCCTGGCCCCGCTGAGCTATGATGTGAAGGACATGCACCTCGTTCAACATGTGGCGAGGATATTCGGCATGAGCACTACTCAAGTGCAGTCGGACATCGATAAACACCGAGGTGTCTGGACGGCACAGGCGGCTATCAAAGACCTGAAAGCCTACCAGGCTCATTTGAACCTCAACACTCGGAAAACGCTATCAAAGGAGGATTTCGAGAACGAAGAGGCGTATGAGCATTGGAAGAAAAGCGAAGGCCCTGATCTGTCCCAGATGATGCTTGCCATCATGCAATCAAATCCCGAAACTGCCAAAAGCACCCCCGGCTCTCTTCCAAAATTCAACGCAAACGCTGGCGATAGTAGTAACCTTGATGCGGCTCATGGGGAGCTATCAAGAACAAACTCCGATAGACCGATATCCTATGTTATTGACCAGCCCATTGATCTTAGTTCGTTGTCGCTGAGCGAGGACGTTACCAATGAATCGGACGAGTCGGATACGTATACCTATATACCACCGGATCCGCGTTCAATGTACAGATACATCCTGTCCCAAACATTGAGCCATGACCTTAGGGATCGCGACATCGAAGCTACACCCGAAGCCCCCTCGCTGAAGCTCCTTTCGAAGCAATCGTCGGAGCTCTTGAATGAGATCTGCCTGCGATGGCGGCTGCCCAGCTTCTCCAGGGTAGCACTCTTCTTGGATGTTGCGCGATCAAAGTTTGTCGACAACGAGATCGACCTTGACACCCTTGACTCAGCATTTACATTTGTCAAGGAGATGCCGTCGGATGGTAAAAAACGCAGCAGCTTCATGGCTTCGGTGGTCTTCGACCGGCAGAAGTGGACCATTTCCGATCTTCTCTTGATGCGTCAAATACTCTCCTCCCTGCATGAAGCTTTACTGCGGGAGCTATATGATGTTATGATGGATTGCTTCGAGGCAAAACCCCGTCCACTCGGCCCCGTAATGTACGTCCTAGAGAACCATATTCAACTGGACCCCGACTACACGGAAGATTCAGAAGATATGGATCGCTTCTGCTCGTATGTGCAGGACGGGCTTGCGCAAAAGGCCACGGAGAAGTACCAAGCGCTTCTCGGGCAGGAAGTCCCGGTGGAGCAAGAAGCGTGGGAGCTAAACCACATCATTCAGCTCTGTGATGCTATTTCGAAACTGGGCCAAAAGATTCGAAAGCGCTATAGACACAACCCAGAGATCATGGGGTAAGGCTGCCTTCGTTCCCGCAAGCAATTGACCTACGAACTAACCGAACGCAGGGTGAATCCTTACACAACGCTGCTCTCAAATGTGCTCCCTATCTTCGCTGAAGATGCCCACGAAATGGTCGTGAGGATTCTCGAGCAGGAAAAGATCCAAGGCGAAGAAATTGCGATGGAGGATGGATTCGACCTCTATAAGCAATTGACGTCTATTCGCTCTCTTTTCACGGAGGCGCTCCCAGAGTACGTTCGACCCCCATCTATCGTCCACGTTTGTCGCACTAACACTCGGCCAGTGTCCCATTCCCATTCCGTGTAGAAGACCTGCTGGAAGATTTTGTGTGGCGATGGATCCGTTTAACCGACCAGAAGGTCATGGACTGGGTCGAACAGGCGATCAGACAGGATGCGTTCACTGTGCGAGCCGATGACCCCGCGGATGTGGTTCCTGAAGACTATCGGCACAGCGTCTCCGTCATCGATATCTTCCGTACCTTCAACCAGGTGGTGGAGCAGATGATCTCACTCGAGTGGGATGATGACCTCCAGTATGCCAAGGTCATGACTGCGTTGTCCAAGTCGATCGGGAAGGGGCTCTGGAGATATTGCGAAGCATTGGAACAAATGTTTGCCAAAGAAATGGATCGACTTTCCCCGGATCAGGAAGCTGCCATGAACCAGACGACCCAGGAGAAGTTGATGCAAATTGCCAAGGAGGCCTGGGCAAGCAAAGAAAAGATCGAGCCGTTCCAGTTCTTTCCCGAGGTAAGGATACTTGTGCAAACACACTCTCCGTTTCGCTCGCGCCATGGCTAACGATCGACCACAGTCTTTGGTAAAGCTCAACAATATCGAACATGCGCTTTCTCAATTCGACAAACTCGAGCATGAAATCAATGTCGACGGATGTGCGGACGTTATAACGCAGCACGCCCCTCCGCAGATCCAGCAAAAGCTACGCAGATCGACCACCTACGTATTCACCATCAAGATCGTGGAAGCTGAAGACCTAAAGGCTTGCGACATGAACGGAGGCAGTGATCCTTACGTCGTATTGGCGGATGAATATCAGAAGCGCATTGCCAAGACTCGAATCATCTATAACAATCTTAACCCACGATGGGATGACACCGTCGACATCACCACGCAGGGGCCGCTGAATATCATTGCCACCATCTGGGATTGGGACGCGGTGGGCGATCATGACTACGTGGGCCGAACTTCCATCAAATTGGACCCGGTGCATTTCAGCGATTTTCTGCCGCGGGAGTACTGGCTGGACTTGGACACCCAAGGCCGACTGCTTTTGCGGGTCAGCATGGAGGGTGAGCGAGATGACATTCAATTCTACTTCGGCAAAGCGTTCCGTACACTGAAGCGCACCGAGAGAGATATGACACGCAAAATCACCGAGAAGGTAAGTCCTGGAGGAGCCACGTCCTGCTCGGATCAAGACCGGTTTTGCTAACGAAGCCCTCGCCTCTAGTTGTCCGCATACATCAGCCATTGTTTGTCGCGCCGAACTCTGAAGTCTCTACTCTCTCAAAAATTGAGTATATCCAGCGTATCCAACTTCCTTAATCGAAACCGGGCACAGTCTTCCACTACCACGCCATCCAGTGCGGACGTGGAAAACGCACTGACGCCGCTCTTTGACTACTTTAATGACAACTTTGCAATCATGAACAAAACACTCACTTCGGAAGCCATGAAGATGGTCATGGCTCGCTTATGGAAGGAGGTGCTGAGCACCATCGAGAGCTTACTGGTGCCTCCTCTATCCGACAAGCCGTCACACCAGAAGCCTCTCACGATGCAGGAGGTCGACATCGTCTCGCGTTGGCTCGTACTTCTCTTGAACTTTTTCCATGCAATCGACGATGAGACCGGCGAAGCCAATGGCGTCTCGATCGACATCTTGAAGTCGCCCAAATACCACGAGATCCAGACCTTGAACTTCTTCTATTTCGAACCCACCGAAACCCTTATTCGGACGTCCGAGCGGATGGCATCGGCAACAATCTCGCGCCAGCAAGCAAGCAAAAACCGCGCATCCGCACCGCCCCATATTGGATCGAGTGGCACGGGCAGCGTTCTGGGGCTTCCCAGCCAACGACGAGCCAAGAGCATTATGCTCTCCCGGAACCTGGGCACAATGCGGAAGATGAAGGAAGAGAAGCGGCGTGAAGCCCAAGCGGAGCCCAACGACGACATGATTCTGCGCATCCTCCGTATGAGACCGGAGGCAGCGGGCTACCTGCGCGACCGAAGCCGGCAGAAGGAGAGACTCGCGGCGGCTGCGGCGGCCGACGCCATTGTGAAGCAGAGTCTAATGACGGGGGGAGGACGAATGACGGGAACTCTGGGACGACGGTAACTCTTGAATTAAAGCCTCCATAGTAACGTTACTTGCCGCATTTTCGCATTCCTTTCTTTTTTTGTCTGTTGTTTTTCCTTTCTTGTCATGAAGCTGCGCGTCCGAGCATCGTTTGGCTATTCCGGTACTAGCATGATGATTCCCGATTCTGGTCTGCTTTTTTCTTGCGACGTTACGATTGTTTCTTGTGCCTGCCAGGTTGTATCCAGCTACGGATTTGCAGTGCTTACCTATAATGAATTATTTAATCGAGGAACCATCTTCTCGCCATGACAATAAGCCGACAGCGTACACCCTGACTACATTTACCTCGTTTATGTCTAGCGAACAGCCAAACCACTTCGACATCGCTCACGACTGCTATTTCTTCCAACCGATAATAAACAGTTAAACATGCATTTGCTCATTCGATTCACAGATATATAGTCAATTCTTTTGTTTATTTCAAACACAACAACCCTTTACTCCAGGGCAATGCACTCAATCTCAACGGGCACACCCTTGGGCAGCTGAGCGACAGCAACGCAGCTGCGGGCGGGCTTGTGGGTGAAGAACTTCTCGTAGGTAGCGTTCATCTCAGCGAAGTTGGCCATATCAGTAAGGAAGACCTGAATTCGGCATTAGCGACGCCCATTTTCACCGTCGCCGCGAGATACGCAACGAGGCTGGTCTTGTCTCCAAGGCAGAGATGTAGAGAGACAGGGGGAGGGTTCAACGCACATTGACCTTCACGATCTTGTTGACGCTGGAGGCGGCGGCCTCGACGATGGCCTTGATGTTGTTGCAGCAGGCCTGGGTCAGATCGCCGATGTTGCCGGAGACGAGGTTTCCGGAGGCGTCGGCGGGGATCTGGCCGGAGACGAAGACCTGGCCGTTGGCGCGGACAGCCTGGGACTATAGGAGGTGGTCAATTGACGTGTGTCTTTGGTATGTAGCGGGGTGGGCTGTGACGTAGCCGCGTGGCAGTGGCTGTTGCATGGGCGATCTCGATGCTTGCATGGGAGAAGGATTCAAGGACATTGGGAGTGACTCACGTAGGGACCGGCAGCTAGAATGGACGGTTTGGTTAGCATTTGAGCAGTGGTTCTTGAAGGGGAGCGGGGGACCCGCGGAGAGATTTTAAAGACGACGCCAGATGAACTTACGAGGGCAGGCGCCGGCAGCAGTGACGTTGGTGATGGCAGACATTGCGATGGATTGGGTTGAGAAATGGTGACGAGGGAGACGAGAGGCGAGGATGGGAGAGAGAGCAGATGAGGGGAGGCGAAAAGAGAAGAAGAGGGCACGAGGGGTGAACCGAAGCATGAGGGGTGGAGCCGAGAGGGGCAAAGCGATGGATGATAAGTCCAAGCAAAGGATAAGACTGGAGTATACTAGACTTAGTACTACTAAGGGAGACTGTGAGGTATTCCGCGGGAAACTCTCCCGCCCGCCTGGACGCCGACATCGGGGAACTGCGTGTTTTTGAGTGGTTACAAATTATCATCATTCATTATTGTATGTACAGTTCCATATATCCATATTTCCATATACATGTATATACACACATATATATACCTCTCACAGCCATCAATCACCCTGGGTTATGACCGAGACTGCTTAACTGTTGTAGAAACGCCGCCGTCTGGTCTGGCGAGAAGCCAAAAAACACCGGCCCGTTGAAAACAACCTGCGCCGGGGGATTGCTGGACGGGCGCTGGAATTCTGGAGGCGCTTCATAATCTTGTCCAGTAGTATCCTCGGGCGTGTCGTTCATCGGATCCGGATTGCGGACGGTCTCAGTCTCGGGGGCCATGTTGTCCGCCGGCGGTGCTCCATGACCGAAGGGACACCGACCGGTTTTTGGAGGCGCATCTGCCACGTCGTGGGACGGGCCTTGGAGCGGCGCGATAGAAGAGACATCCGCATCGGCGTGGTCTGAAGACTTGGGAGATGCGTGACTGAGAGAAGCCGGGACTGGAGCCGCCGGCGAATGTGGTCCTGCAGGCACCGCAGGGAAGGGCGCAGGGACAGGGATCCCCCAAGGCCTGCTGGGAGATTCCCCGACTCGAACCTCCCGTAATGGGCGATCAAAGTGTCCCTTCCTCTCTTCCTCCTCCTCTTCCTCCTCCTTGATCGATGGCTGCATCTCCGATTTCAAGCCAACGTCTTCGGCCCATTTTTCCACCCTCTCCGCGGAGGAATTGGACGTGGGCCCGTCACTCTGCCCGTTGGGCGGCAGGAACGCCTGGTGTTTAACGGACAGGCCTCGTATCATACTGATCAGATTACCATACTTTGCGTCTAATTGCCGCATGCTCGACGAGTCTTTCTGGTATCGTTGCACACAGATGGCATGACTCCGAGGTATCTCGTGTTTGTGTCTCTCGACATAGTCGGCAACCTCCTCCGGACTATGCTGATCTAGAAACCTAATGGGACACCTCGAAACCTGGCATTGCGTGGTCGAGGATCGTGCAGAGGGAGTCTGGACGGAGTGTTTATCCTTGAGCTCGGCTTTTATGGGATCGAGGTCTTCGTGTCCACAAGCATCATTGGGCACATTCGAGCGGTCCTCGATCCCGTTCGACACCCCATTTTCAGAGGGTTTAGCGCGAGACTTTGCAAATGGGCAGCGCAGGCTACCCTTCATGCCCCTCGTCGTGAAATCCTTTTCCAAGGGACGAGGGGCACCAGCTCGGGTAGCAACGACACATTGGTTGAGGTCAGGCAACAGTCCACCTTCTTGGGAAGGTACGATGGTCTGGTAGCAAGCCAGTCCTTCCGTGATGGCCGACAGAGCCTGATCTCCTACGTTTCCAGACTCTGCGAGGGTTTTTACTACAGCCTCGGGACTCAATGGCTCCTTCTGAGTATGATCGAATTCGGTGTATCGACCGAGGATCTTCTCGGAGACGATTTTGGTATGGGTATCCGGCCCATTCGGGAGTCGATCTGCCAGCTTCGTATACTTCAAGAGTCAATGTTAGCATTCATCACCAACGAACGCATATAACCAGAACAACTCAAGTGGGGTAGTCTCATTCAGATAATACATGACTTGTCCGTCACTGACGCTTTGAAAAGCGTCTCCTGATCTAGAGCTAATCATTTTTTCTCATCATGAGAGACATTGGGGGTTGAGGAAAGTGTGCGGGATGGCAGGAGAGAATATTTACCTCATTGTTGGCATATTTCAGCCTTAGCTGCAAACTTTTCTCCTTGCAGCTGAGTTGCTGGGTTGTTAGCAGAAGAGCTTCAAAAGCTCGGGCCAGTGTTTGTAGCGAGTGATCGGGCTGCATCTCAGCGACTGCAGGTGCAGGAGACATGACGCAATCAAGCAAGAATGTTACAGTGGGAGATGAAAATCACATCTGTTGAACTTCGCAAGCACTTCTGCTCTGAGCAGAAGCACAGGTGGAAGGGCATGGAGAGTGGGATAAGGGGGAAGCAAGAGGGAGAGAGAAAGAAGAAATCGGGCGGCAGATCGTTGCCTGAAGATATGGCGAGATCCGGAGCTAAGCTAAGCGAGATGGCCCGTGCAGTCCACGTGATGGTAAATAGCGGTTGTCTTGGCTTCCGTATCTACTACTGAGTAGGTACAGTCAATTGACAGCATCCTCGCGTGATAAAAGACATGTCCTTATCCCCATGGCCCTCCATCCGCTGAGGGCGGCTCACTAGCCCTCACCAGCCCTCACCAGCATGACTCTCTCCTTCTGCTAGAGATATCTCCTCCTCGTCACTTCTTTCCATCAAGACTGCAATAAAACAATGTAAAACGACTCGAGATCCGGGGTACTAAGACTCAGCACTGCCTGGGAGTTTCTGTTAGCAGCCGTTCCTTTGCTCATACTGGCTGGTCAGAATACTTACATGTGAACTAGGAACTTTTGTTTCTGCTACTGTCTTCAAGCACTAGTAGCCTCGGGAGCTACTTGGTTCCGTTGGCCTGCGAGTGGTGAGGGTAGTTTGCGACAGGAGAAGATGGTGGAGCCAGCAGGGGCTCCGGCGATTCGGTGTCGCTGGTTGAATAAACCCGTCTGCGCATAGGTGGAATGTTTTCCTGGTTGTGATGCTGAGCAGGGGCAGTCTGAGAAGATGCTTCGGTTGGCATCTCGATTATGGGCTGAGGCTCGGCGCCCCCTTCCGCTTTGGGACAGGCCATCTCCTGCTCGTTGCGTTCCTCGGGAATCACCTCCAAGCCATTGACATGCGACGACTGGGTAGTATCGGTTTTCGATTCCTGACCAACTGTGTCGATGCAGCGCGCACTCAACTCGGGGTTGTTGGCGATCTCCTCGTGCAAGCGCTCTGCGAGCTTTGGAAGCGAGTTATGGAGGGCGCGGCGCAGCTCCTCTTCCTCCCAGCTGCTCTGGTAATCGGATTCGGGGCTTGAGGGAGGTGCGTTCATTGTGATGGCTTGAAACCTGTGTTGTTATTGCTTGTTTGGATGGCTTGAAAGAACAGATGGATGATGAGATGACGAGGTGATGAGACGGTGGATGAGGCAGCGAAAGGGAAGGAGGTGAAGTGTTGGTGGAGGAAGCCCGTCGCTACAATGGTCACTACGCCTACCCTGAGTTGGTTCATGTGCAGTCACACCTGTATGTATGGGTTGCAATGATCAATACGCCTCCAGTCAGTATATGACTAAAGAGAGGAGTTATTGACTTTTTCATGGGCTTCATTCTATCCGAGAGCCGACTCTATGACAGTACATGGAATACCACATGCGTCAGGCCCACATCAGCCCTGGCCGTATGTGAAAACTGCACTTTTAGGGCTGATTGATATGCCTATGTGCATTTGCCGTATTTACTCATCAAACTACTGAGGCTTATATGCTTGGTTTTTAACTAATCTTCTTGTTTGTCACTTTTGAAAGAACTAACAGCAACAGTACAGAGAAGTATGTCACGTTTCTGGCAGGTAGGTGAAAGATACGAGCAAGACTATCAATTTTGGAAGATCATTAATATTAGAGCCTACTATCATGTGCTGCGTTTTTCAATAGTTAAAACCGGTGAGCATTTACAATCATTTATCAGGTTTCTCCGAGACAGAAATGTGCTGCTATATGCGCAATTTTAATGATAGCGTCTGACAAGTCTTTCATCTCTTCCGTAACTATAGCAAAGGACTGTAGTCTATTAGTCTCCCCAGTTTAACCGCCGCCGAGAGGATTGGCTTGGCTCATACAATATATGGTGACTCTTCCTCGAGGCATCGAGACTATTCTGGAAGGGCATTGGTGACCAGGCAATGCTGCCAACCCATAAATAGATATGAAACCCTGGATTGCGAGACATTGATCCTGAATCATGCGTACTACATTAACTACTAACCCTAACTCAGTACCCTGGAAGCGCTAAGGCAAGATGTGATCTCCGCGGGTGAAACGGGTTAGTCGGTTTTTATTTAATGTATTCTATTTCAACATACGCGGTATTCCGGGCTCGGGTGCGTGATGGATTACGTTGCATCCATCCCCTCGATGGCGCTGCGCAATCCATGCCACTTGGAGCCCAGACCGACAGGGAAGCAGGACCTCGGGGAGGCACGGTCTGCGTTATGCATGCGGACTGGAGGGACGACGCTGCAGGTGGCTGCAGGTAGGATGCAGGAGTGGGGAGACAGCCAGGCGTTGTCGGGCCTTCCTCGTCCCGATTAGTCGGATGGCGTGTTCCGTATGGGGTCATGATGCATAAGGGCCGGTCATGGAGTCCAGGGTCGATCGCAAGGGAAAATTGTCCAGTAGCCAGCGTGGACTATTCATGATGATCGGGTAAATCATGATCATGGACCGCGGGGGGGCAAGGAAGGTCACAGCTGAAGGGGGGATTATTCCGGGAAGATAGTCCCATGCACCGGAGCATTCTAGGCCGGATTCTTTCGGATATGCAGGTTGAGTGGGGATGCAAAGGGAGTTGTGCCTGGATCCTGCCGACGCATCTTTTTAACGTACTTTTTATTCCTGTATTTTTGCTTCCCGATCATTTTATTTGATTTGATTTCGACGGTCTGTTCAGGGACGGGCCAAAGCGTCCGAAAACCGGCCATATAGATGGGTGTCCTGCAAAAGACGGACAGAAGGACCCGGAAGCCGGGTGGCACCCGTTCAAAAAGTCCGGTCAAGGACGTAGTAATCGTAGTAATCGTAGTAATCGTATCGTGTGAGGTGTTCATCTCGAAAAACCGGCGTGCCTTTACACCGACAGAAGGACCCTGGCAAATCATGGACACCCACGGTGCCCACTCATCGTACACGGTATCACCACTGACTCTCGCTGCGTTGTCGCGCTGAACGGGGAGTTGCCATTTGCCGTGGCGAACGACCAGGATGCGACGGTGGGCAGACCAAGGGCGATTAGTGAGGAGGGATCCATCCAGGCAGCGAGAGCCAAATCAGCTCCACCGGGGACGAGAGGATGAAATGGCAGCCGGCCGTCGAGCGGACGATCGGGGGTGGCCTTGTTGATCCATGCCACTAAAGGAGTGCAGATGGGTGTCGTGCTAGTTCTTACACGCTAAACGGAGAAAATAATCAGTCATAGTTGAGTTGCCTGCGGGAGCTGTTTAGTGTTGTAGTGGGCACAGGGGAAGAGAGCAATGCAGGATAGAGGGGTTGATGTAGGGTTAGGGTTACGGCAGAAGGTAAGTGGCAGTCCTCCTGGATGGAGATGAAGTTGAAGATGCAGATGCAGATGAAGAAGAGTTGACTGAAAGAGACAGGGAATAGAATGGAGGATGGAATTACATCAAGACCACCGATGAAGAGCCCGAGAAGGAAGGAGGAAGGATTCTAGACTCTCCCAAGGAGGGGTTGCCCGTAAGGAATACCCCGCCATACTGCCTGAAGGGACGCTGGCCACACCGCCGTTCCTCGGGCGGTGTAACGGTATGTATGGGATTTTTTTCTTTTTTCTTTTTTCTTTTTTAATTTTTTAATATATTATTCTATTTTATCCTACTAGTATATTTTTTTTTTCCTTTTACCCCTCTGCCACCATCCTCTCTTCCCCCCTCCTCCTCCGCTTATCACGTCCTTTTTCACCTATTTTTACCTTTTGCTATCTTCTGCACCCCCTCACCTCATTTCTCCTTTCCTTTTTCTCCCTCTTCTTCCCTCCTCTTCTTCATCATGTCCCAATCCACCTCCAGCCAGACCACCCAGACTCCCCATGCCGCCGCCCAAGTCGCCGGACAGTCCTCCTCCCATGCCTCCCGCACCGCCGAACTCGCCAGTCTTAAAGTAAAGTTGCGCTCGGCTCTGCGCCAGTTCCCCGACTTCCCTTCTCCCGGAATCCTCTTCGAAGATATTCTGCCCATCTTCGCCGACCCCTCGTTGCACGAGGCCCTCCTCCGCTGCCTGGAGCTTCACATCCTGGAGGTCCATGCTGATCAGAAACCCGACGTTATCGTCGGCCTTGAGGCCCGTGGTTTCCTGTTCGGCCCTAGCCTGGCCCTGAGACTTGGCGCCAGCTTCGTCCCCGTGCGCAAGCAGGGCAAGCTCCCGGGCCCCTGCCAGACCCAGGCCTACGACAAGGAGTATGGCCAGGACTTTTTCCAGATGCAGTCCGATGCCATCAAGCCGGGCCAGAAGGTGATCGTTGTGGACGATATCATCGCGACTGGTATGTGTGTCCTTTATATACTCTACTCCCATTATTCCCCTTTTGCCGCCCTAGAGGGCATAAGGAATATTTCAAATATGCAGACGGTGAAACAGAACGTAAGCTAACGGTGCTAAACAGGTGGCTCGGCTTATGCGGCCGGTGCGCTGATCAAGAACATGGGTGGTGATCTCCTGGACTTCATCTTCATCCTTGAGCTCGAGTTCTTGAAGGGCCGGGAGAAGCTTCCTGCCCCCGTTTACACCCTACTTTCCGGCCAGGAGGGCAAGAACTAACTCCCATAATACAAAAAAAAAAAAAAAAAAAATAATGCCTGTTCTTTCCTTTGTCGTGTGACGGATCTGATTTGCATAGCTTGCCGGCGGGCTTGGTTACCACAAAAAAGAAAAACAAGAAAAGAAAGAGAACAAATATGGAATCCCCTTGCTCAGGTCCCTTCCTTCGCCTCTTATGCCCACTCGTGACTATCAGTTTTGATTTGGCCGTTCTGAACACTGCCTTTCGATCATGAATTGGGCTGCATCCCGCAGTGGAGAATCTGCATGATCTATACATGCATGGGAGCCGTTCAACCCGCAGGTCCTCACACTGCGACGGTGCTTCCCCCGGCATTCGAATCCCCCTTTCATGTCTGGATGAAACACCAGGTCTGATTGGGACATTGGTCTACGTTTGATGTCATTAGGTTGGGAGATGGCATCGTTTGGGACACTTGAGATATTGCATGTCTGCCGAGGCAATATCGGCATTCCTTGTTTATTTTGTTTATGTTTTCCTCATACCTGAGTACCTCTATAGACTTGATTGAATACAAGATTGTAATCCGATCTCAAACCGCATGATAGGGAAGAGACACTGTCTAACCGAAATCTCACTGCTAGAGTTTCTTCCTTTTGAGATCCCCGTCTCTAATTCGGCGGAATAAACTGCCTCATCACTTCATCCGTCCATTTCTTCGGGAACCCAATCGTCTCCGCCTCTCGCATCGCACGATTCATCCGCGGAATATACTCAGCTCTCGGCGGAGCCACCCGAACCCGCTCCTCATCCACATACACCAGCACCGTCGTCGTCTCGGACCCGTTCTCCCAACGCCTCCGCTGCTCCTCATCCAACCACTCCGTCACCGTAGCCGACACATACCACTTATTATAGTCCCCATCCGCCTGCTCCCTCGGCCGCACCCCGCGCGGGACCTTCCCATCCTGCCACGACGGCGGCGCCCGCCGATCCACGCCCTCGTACCCATCCAGCAGCGCCTCGTCCGCCGCGTCCATCTCATACAGCACCCCGTACACGGTATCCTCCTCACCAGACACAGGCACCTTGCTCCCCTCGTCGATCTGCCGCCCCACCCGCAGCCCAGCCGGCGGCACCACGTTGGCGTACCCGGGCTGGCAGATCAGCCAGCGCCAGCGGTCGAGGCGCGCAATGGCCACCGGCCGCGACGAGAGGTCTGGGTTGTGCGTGCAGCGCATGCGCATCTGCGTGAACGAGAGGTTCGAGCCGTACGCGAAGTAGAGCGCGCGAGCCGGGGTTGTGTCGGCGTCTGTGGTGATGGTGATGGCTGTGGTTGGGGAGGCGGCGGCGGTGGTGGTGCCGGTGGAGGAGGGGTCTTGTTCATGCATTGTTTGGGTTGGAGGGTTTTATTTTCCTGTGGTGCTGTCTTGGGAGGAAGAAGGATTGGGGTGGGGTGGGGGACTCTAGAAGAGAGGGAAGAAAGGGCAATGGGTATTATTTATGTCAGGAAGGTGAAGGTCAAACTAAATGGCTTCCGTATTCGGCGGGATTCACGTGGAGTCTCGTGCCCCGCCTTCAGCCTCTTATCGATAAAAGCCTGGCGGTTGTTTCTTTCCGCTCCTTCCTTCGCTCTTCAGAAGAGACTGGTATGCTGTACACTTGAATTTCTGTTGGGATATTCCGATCATGAGATTTCCCTTTTCAGTTGGCTCTGCAGTTCTTGACGTCTGAGACGTGGATTACTAAACCTGCACGGAATGGGCGTGATGCCTGGCCAGGCACGAGCACGCACGGATTGACTAAAATGAACTGATTAAACAATATGTTCAATAATCTATCCAACTACAAACTATACAAGAAACCCAGCAGTAATCTACTAAATAACGTACAAATTATTGATCGGAACGCCCTGCGACCGCACCGTATATCGCCGCTTGATGCCGATGCCAGTCGCGCGCCGTAACAATTCATAAGTTTCGTCGCCCCCGCCAACCATCAGCATACTGATTAGATGGCGCCGAGGCGTCCCCCCGGTGGACATTTGGGTCTCATCGAGGTAGGGTCGAGCGAGATATGGCCCTGCACGGATGGCGGCCAAGGTCGGGGACGAAGATGTGGGATTGGGCTCCGAAGCCTCGTCCGTCGGTGGCTCGTCAGACGAGACCACAATGACGAGCTTCAGCGCATGACGTGATGGCGGGTATGCTGCAATGTTCCGCAATTTTTGCGAAAAGCTGCACCCGCCACGTTTGACCACCAGCACTTGGTGGCTTTGCGCGATCTCCCGCGGGATGCGCTGATCACAGAGCTCCCCGGCGAGATAGACCGTAGACCAGGAGAGACGGGTCTTGGCGGGGTCGCCTGTGATCGAAAATGTAGTGGCATCGCCCACTTCCGGTAGAGGAGCAGACCCTAAACCAGAGGAGACGGCGGCCGGTAAGGCCAGTCGCAGCGACGGTTGTTTCGGGGACGACGACGACCAGGATAGATGCGCTTGAGGGTCGTCGCGAAGCAACGCAGAGACCGAATTCATCAGAGATGACAGTACGCTTCTCATGCTCGGCGAAGAGGGATCTATGTAGCCGAGTTTATCGTCGGTGGACGTGGCGGACTCGTGGATGATGGGGTTTTGGCCATTTTCTGCCGCAGCCGGTTCTTGACGATCATTTGAATCGTTTCGTCGACGGACGGTTTCTGGGATAACGTCAATGACGATGTCAATCATTGAGGAGTCACGCAAGCGGGTGAAGTTCGGATCGGTGGGATCCAGGACATCAAATGTGATCTCTCGCGAGAGGAATACCTTCTCATCTTTTCCAAGCGGCACGTTGTTGATCACCTGGATCCGGAACTCGTCTTCCGCCGGGTTCTCCGGCGCATCCTGAGAAGGCACGTCTTGCACCATGCTTAACCGCAGTCCGCTGATGGCTTTGATGAGAATGCCCTCCCGAATCCGTTCCAGGGAGTTCGATCCCAGTACCATGCCAGGGATGCTTGGGAATGAAATATCTAGCGTGGGCCGAACAGTCATGGGAGAGCTCGTCGCGTTGAACGGGACCAGCTCAGGTGGCAAGGTCCACGGGAAGAAGGTATAGTTGGTTGGTGAGGACAGGTCAGACATGGACACGCTTGGGTGGTCCTTGGCGTGGTCCAGGAGAGGTCCTTCTGCCGACCCTCGGTTTGGCATCAGGTGTAAGCGGGCCAGAGTCGCAGCATGAAAGACATCGGGCCGCGCTGCTGTGGATGATAAGCCGAAGGTTGGGGGCAAGGGTGCTGACTGACAAACGGAATCCTTGTGCTGCTGCTGCGACTGTTGCGACGGCTGCTGCTGAGGGCGTTGCGTTCCAGTCGTGCTCTTGGGTATAATGAGGGGATGTCCTTCGGTAGAAAAGACGAATGGCTGATCCAGGTTGTTCAGAGGGTGTGCCGGGTCGTAGAGCAAGTACATATACTTGGTAGTTTCTCCCAGGAAAAAGCTCTCCATCCTGTCACTAAGCTCGCCATTGCGGACGTCTTGAAGACCCGCCCATCCACACTTGGTCCAGCATCGTCTTTTAAGGTCCCGCAGCACCATTTCGCCGACGTGCAAATACCATGGGTCCTTGGTGGCTTGGTAGAGGTAATAGGTAGACTCGACAAACTCCGGGCGGCCGCCGTACCAGCCTAGATTGCCTTCAACATTGCCGGTGACAACATTCCACCTCTCGGGGAGGCCGGAGAAACGATTCCAGACGGCCGTCGGCAAAAGGTGGATTCCGATGGCCTCGTCGAGCTCTCCTGCCAACGTCAGAAGTCCTGGATAAAAGGCGCTCAGGCTGTCGATCCAGAACGCTCGTGTGGCGCCAGTGAAGACGTCTCCTTGGATTAAATGGGGGTGTTGATAGCCCTCTCCTCGGTATAGATGACGTTTGATCGCCGCATGGGACTCGTGCCACACTTGCAGAAAGGCGTCTGCTGAGTGCTCATACTCGCTCAGAGGGCCGAAATGATTATCAAATGCATGCCACGGACTGTCTAGATCGTGCGGAGGCCGATCGCCTGAAGACAGTAGGACGTAGGATTTGAACGCGTATTCGAAAAAGCTGTCGATGCCAGCACCAATCTACGAAGTCGGGTTAGGTTAATTCTGGTCGTCGTTCCAATTCGCGCTTTCAAACAAGGGACAACCTACCCCCGTATATGAGTGAACCCATCTGCCCGATTCGGCGTCAATCCCCGAACCAATTAACCCGATTTCGCTTCTTCTCTCCCACACTGCCCAGAAGGCTCTTTTTGCCAGCTCCTCGTATCGTCCGTCTCCCGTGAGCCTGCTCAAGACAGTAAATTCGAGGACTAAGCTGCCAGCGCCAGCGCTGCATGTCTCCGTGATCTCGGGCGGTGCCGAATGGCGTTTCTTTTGACAGTATTCTTGGTCGGGGTGGTGGCATGGTTCAACATTCAAAGGCGAATTCGCGTAAAATGGCTGCCGTTGTACTCCGTAACGCAGGTTTACCCGGGGGTAGGGAAGACCTGTTTCCGTGTAGAATGCCGGTATAATGCGGTTTGCCAGGTCCGCGGCAAGTCGCAGAAACTGACCATCGTAGAAAAACCCGTTCTCCCACTCTATCCCGCGACTGTCATCCGGGAAGTTGGATTTATCCCAAGCCTTCGCGTAAGTCGCTTCTGTCTCCGGAGGATTGTAACCGGCAATGGGAAGATCGCCCACGGCAAAGAGATGCGCACTGAGTAGACCGCCTACAAAACAGCGATGTGAGCGACGAACGACGAAGCAGCCAGTCGAGAGAGGATCTTCGTACCTAGCCCACGAATCACGGTTTCGAAAACCTGGACTTTGCTGTCCCGATCGAATCCCCTTCCCCTTTCGCCCTGTCCAGCAGGGCCGTCAGACCCATCCCCATAGAGCCGAACAAAGTCCTTCACACCATCCTGAAAATACCCCCAAGCGCGTTTGCCATCATCGCCACTGGAAGAGAGGATCGCAAGCGACGACAGGCTGTCTATTAAGGTCAGGGAATAATTTCCTAGCACGTCGTTCAGCTCGGCGTGTCCTGGGTTTTCTCGATCGCGAACCAATGGACTGCAGGAGAGTGGACGTAATTCATCTTCAGGAAAGGCGTGTTCGAGGTAGTTCTCAAATCCGTGGTAGAACATATGCTGTGTCTCCTTCCTACAGCACCAACCGCGTCCGATCCGTCAGTTTCAGCTGGAGAGAGTCGCGGAGGACGCAGGACGCGGAATACACACCTGAGTTCATGGATCTTTTCCGTCCTCATACCCTGGGCCAGGGAAAGCCATAGCGACAGGAGCAAGGCCCAGGTTATCGTCCATGTTGAGCGATAGTCAAACATTTGGGACCAGCATCTCGAGCGCATTACCGCAGTAATGGGATGGCTGAAGATAACATGGGAGCGTGATGAAGTCCCGAGCGTTACCACAAGGCTTGTGTTGGGGAATTTGGTCTCGAGAAGGGTTCATTGAATGTTTGGGGGGTCGCCATTTGGTGGTGGCAGCTGTGTCGCACGTGAGGGAGGGCCAGATATGCTACTCCGCGGGGCGTCCACCAATGATAGCCGCAAATATATACTATCGAATATTTGGCACAATTGACTACTAGTATTATGTACGTGGGAAAATTTAATCACGCTCAAATCAATTTATCAGAAATCCTAAACACTGACACTATATACATACATCACTCGCTGCTAATGCAAATGGTTCAAAGCTTGTACAACCATAGAATAACGCCCGCTTCAATCACATAGTTGTGCTGAAAATAAAAGAACAAAACAGAGATATACATGTATAAAAAAAAAAAAAAACCAAGGATATCTTCCGAAAAAAAAAAGAATAAAAAAACTCCAGAATAGACGATGCAACAAGTCTCCTCGAATTTCGCTTGAAACAGAAATGCATGATTTGATGTAATGGTGGTTAACGATGTTCAGGCTCCTCGGGAATGTTCCAATGTGAGAATGACCGCGGTTGTGCTTCAACAACATAGTCAATACCATTGTCAGAGGTATAGCTAGGCGGCCGTGGGGCCGTAGCTTTGCTGTTAGAGGATTGGTCCGCTCGACTCGTGCGCTTTGACTTCGACTGCGCCTTCTGGTCGACTCGTTGCCAATATAATAAATCTGGGTTTATTCTCTGTAATCGTCTCAATTAGAACCCCGGCTGAAGAGTGAAGGTCTAGGCCATCGAACGTGTGGGCCAACACTTACCACGCTCTCTCTCCAGAGTCCATATGCTGGAGGAGGTACGGTGACTTTTTCCCGACTGGGACCTTGGCTTTCGGTTAAAGCCTCCTCGTCGCCGGCAAGAACAACAGGGATAGGACGCTCTGGTTGCGCGTAACCGGCAGGTCCTGCCCTACTGGGGATGCGATTGGTGGCGAGCGTCCTCGGATCTCGCAAGACAACCATGATAAAGCGAATCAATGAATGACATAAGACAATGGCGAGGATTAGGATCATGAAGACCAGGAGAATATGCAGTTCTCGTCCCAGGTTTGAGTGTGAAACAGCAAATGCAAGATCTAAAAGCCCAGTCAGCACCCTATTTCCAAAGACATGTACGAGAAGCAGGCCTTACACAAAGCGAGGACAAAAATAAGAAAGACTGCAGACGTGATCAATGTAATGAGCCTTCTCCGAGTGCTCTTTTCTTTCAATAAAGATGCGCATGACCGAGGACGATAACTGCGATGCCCAGACGCATGTCGCTGGGATTCGGCTTGTGGTCCTTGACCCAATCTATCGCTCAACTGGGTTTCTTCCGTTGTCGACTGCGGATCAATTTGGACGTACGAACTCCGTGGCGGAAATGCGAATGCTAAACCATTGGCTGCAGAGCGATGCAATGTAAGTCTTCGCGATTGCCGACTATTTCGATGCGAAGACCGATCGGTGGGAATTTGCTGTTCGGGACTGGTATGGTTGCCGAGATCAATCGAGGCGAGAGACTGCTCATTTGCGCCGGCGCGATTATTATTCGAGCTGAAGGATGAGGTGACCACTGTGGGCGACCCCAAAGCGTTCGGATGCGATGATCCTGATAGAGACCGCGGAACCGATTCCATGTCGAGGGGTATTTCAGTTGGATGGGAACATTGAGACATGAGCTGATGAGAGAGTAGGATCGATTCGCAAAAGGTCTGCTCAGGCGCGCTGTTTATAGCAAAATTTTGTTGTTCAGTTCACGGCCGAGTTTGGCATTCAATGGCATGTATGGTTCTATGCCTACTTCCGCATCCGTTAAAACACAAATATCGGGGGATGTCCTGAAGGCGACGACAGTTGCCTAAAGCGGAACGTCTGGTGATATGGGGAAAACAAATAAGGAATAAATCAAATTGGAGGTTTTAAAAAGGGGGAGAGAGCGCAATGCGCCGGTCAAGGCTGTCAAGCTGTGGTTGCGACGGAAGAGATTGGCGGAGCTATACATTCATAATGAGGACGGAAGAGGCAGCGAGGGACGCCAGAAGCAGCATTGGCGATAGGTATAGGTATTCCAAAGAAGGGAGAACCTGGGGATAGGACTTCACGGGGATCGGAAAGAATGTGAGGGGAATTTCCAAGAAAGACAGAGAGAGAAAAGGAGCAGAAGGGCAAGATAGCAAACGAAAGGACAGGGGCTCCAGGCCACCCAAGGATGATAGATAATGATAGATAATAACGACTGGGCTGATATCTCGGGAAAGACGAACGGTGGGAACCCGAATGACTGGTATCAAGGATACTAGAAGCAGAGATCACGATGCGCCAAAAGAAAGAACAGAAAGAAAATCAATAAAAAAAAATACAAACACTAAAAAAGATAAATTGATTGACAGGAAATGAAGGAGAGAAGGAGGGGAGGTAAGACGGAGAGCCATCGACTAGTCCGGCCCGGAGGTGACTTACCCCTGGATGACCCACGTTGGTCCAGCCGATTCCCAGGGGCTGTACGCAGTACCTTCTTACTACTAGTACTCACTTCTCCGTGCCTGTCGTTGGTTATCTGGCAAGGTTTAGCAAGGTCGACTCCAAAGGACTCGGTCGACCCTCGAGTGCCCCTGCTTCAATCATGCCCGCATACCAGCACATGGAAATATGCACGATTCTTGACTCCTGCAGTCTCACTCCTGACCCCCGAAGTCCGCGCGGTCGGCCAACCAATTGTTGCCAAGAAGCTGACGACCGACTTGAAACTGTGGATGTCATGGCGATAGCGAGAGATTCTAATTACAGACCCGACTAGTCCCGAAGGAGGTAGTCGCCTTACGGTGGTTCGTCGCTCGCAATCTTCCGGACGAAAGCACGGGGTCCTCGGTAGACTGAGTCCTGGATTGGGTGGATGTAGTATACAGAGCGCTGCTAATCGGACGACTGATGGGTACAGAATTAGTTACATTTCAAGATACATGGTACATTGCAAACATCATTGCGAAAATATAATGTATGCCCAGACAGGGTTCGTGCGAAGGTTGCCAATTTTCTCATCGCGGTGGGCCTATACTCTAAGCCATTGGTCATTATCCCATGCGAGAAGCGCAAACGTATACATCGGTTCGCTCGTATACATGGTTCCTTTTCTAGAACCTGAGGAATGGAGTTTCGAGTTTCGCTAGGCTTAGCAAGCAGTCGGTTCTGTTGTCGGAAGAGCGCCCGATGTCCCGCCAGCTCATGGAAATTTGAATTCGGTCATGTTGGGTGGTATCAAGAGAAATGCTGCGGTTTTGAAACGGGTTCCCGGGTCCGCTATTAGGTTGTTAGATCTGAAGCCGCCTCACTTGCCCAGTTCACCCAGCATAAGGCCTCGATCAGACGATGCGGAGACAACTGTGATGGAGGTTAGTAAAGATGTAGAGGTGATTCTGGACAGGCGCATCTTTGACTTACTGATAGGCTCGGTGTTGGGTGAGAACCGAACGTCATTGACAGTTCCTTTGTGGCCCGGAAGCTTGTATAACAGTTTTCCAGACTTGGTCTCCCACACAACCACGCTTCGGTCACCGCTTCCTGCGGCAATCTTCTCACCACTCGGATCCCAGCTTGCACGGATGAGGTTCTTCTCCAGACCGACGGGCGCACCGTCATAGGTCTTGATATGGCGATTCGTCGGCGCGAAGGGTCGGATATCCCAGGTGCGTACGGTCGAGTCGTGGGAGTTGGATAGTAGAGTTTGCGAGTCGGGTGAGATTTCGAGAGAGGTAATCGTGTCCATGTGCCCCGCCATCGAGTATGCCACGGCCTTCTTGCGCAGGTCCCAGACGTGGATGGTATTGTCAATGCCACCACTGTATATTTCATTACCCGTCTCCGATAAGGCCACCGCAGTGATGGGTAATTCAGACTCCAAGTACTCGACCGCGTCCTTTTGTCGCGGATCCCATATTCCTACACAGCCGTCGTCACTGGCGCTAACCAGGAGCTCCTGCCCTCTTTTGCTGATATCAAGGCAATTGACAATCTCCTCGTGACCGACGTGGCGGCGAATTCTTTGCCCGGTCTCCAAGTCCCAGCTTGCAATTGTCATGTCTGCCGACGCGGAGAAGATCGTCTTGGAGTCGCGGGACCATTGCAGGTCAAGGACGGCTCCTCGGTGACCTGAAAGAACGCCATAATTTTCGCATTGTCCGTAGGTATTCCAGAGCACTGTTCACGTAGCATTTAGCGACGGTCGCACTATGTAGGGGTTCTGCAAAGGCTCTCGGCGGGTAACGTACTGATGGATCTATCCATTGAGCCGGACGCTATGTGCTGCGCGGTGGGATCGAATCGCACGGAGAAGATTTCGCCCGAATGACCTACAAGACTTTCTGTTAGTACAAGTATCTTAAGGATCGTAGATTTCGAACGTAACAATTCTCACCTGAAAGCTCCATAATCGGGGCATCCAGCCCACTGGTGCGGGGAACCTGGACTTCGTATTAGCGATATCCCGGTACAAGAATGACCCTATGGCGTGCTGGCTCAGACGAGAACATACCGATTGTACTAGAGCTCCATTTTGCGATGAGCTCTTGACAACAGCTGTACCGTCATTGAGATCGGCGTCGGACTTTTTTCGCTTCACAACGACCTGGTTAGATGAACCAAATGCCGTCTGGGCGGGTCGCTTTTCTCCAGACATCATCCCAGTACGGAGGCGTAGCCCGTGAGAGAAAACAAAGACTGGGGCGGGGGTGAGGTTCAAAGAAAGAACGAAGGGGGAGAAGCGTAGCAGTCAGTGTTAATGTTTCTGACGACGGGAGCATCGATGCGGACTTCTGCGTAGACGCGGAATGGCCGAATGATTAGCCGCGCCAAACGCGAAATCCGGCCCACCAGCCGCGCGAAGCTCCGCCCTCCGTTCCTCCCCCCATCGCTCCACTGACTGCGCGGGGAGGAATGTGCTCTGACAACGTTGTTTCGAAAATATAACCAAGTGCCTAACTAACCCTGATCTACTTTCTATCTGGACAAGACTTGATCTCTCAAGGGCACGTCTAATACCCGCGATCTGCTGAATCTACTGGCTTACAACCCGGTAAACATGTCTACTACAAAGGCCTCAAGGATCGGAGAAGAGTACGTCGCATGTTCTTGAACCCTGGGGATGACGTCTTCAATTGGCATAGTACTAACAATATATCTCTCATATAGGCTATGGAAGTCAGTAAGCTGAATGCCGTTATTTCTTTCCCCACACTTCACCACCAAACTGGGGAGCTCGGTGCCATGTTCTTCGAGACTAACATCTATGATAATGCTTTCTAGGACAAGGGTTGACAAGGTCAATGCGGAGCTGGTGACATTGACTTACGGGACAATCGTTGCGCAGTTATGTCAGGATTACGATAGTAATTACCAGGAAGTGAACAAGCAACTGGACAAGATGGGATACAACATTGGGATGCGACTTATTGAAGACTTCCTTGCCAAGTCGGGCGTTGGCCGATGTGCGAATTTCCGAGAGACAGCAGATATGATCGCCAAGGTACGAATTCCGTGTGCGCACGAGCTTCTCCACGTTGTGGGCTTTTCGTTCGGGAATTAACAAGTATTACATCGAGACAGGTCGGATTCAAAATATTCCTCAACGTCACGCCCACCGTGACCAACTGGACCAGCGACAATAACCAATTCTCACTGGTTTTCGACGAGAATCCTTTGGCCGATTTCGTGGAATTGCCCGACGATGGTAGGGCACAGGACGAGCTATGGTTCTCCAATATTCTGTGTGGAGTTCTCAGAGGCGCATTAGAAATGGTTAGTAAATGGATCTGAGGGGTTCCTTTTTTCTCGTCCGGACCTGTGGCTAGCCCCAACCGCGGATTCCTTGGCTAACTCCCCTGTCTAGGTGCAAATGCAGGTCGAAGCACACTTTGTTAGTGACGTGTTGCGGGGTGACGATACAACGGAAATGCGGGTGTCTCTGGTGAGGTATATCGAGGATGAAATGCCCCCGGAGGAAGAGTAGACGGGGGTTTCTCTTCAGTAATGGTGACAGTATAAACATCATGTGGCGTATGGTGTTCTCGCGTTTTGGGTCTTAATTTATTTCTTCTTCTAACCACAAATTTCCCCCGTGAAGCTGGTACAACCAATACATACCGCTATCTCTTCTCTTTAGGTGTGAATATGATTTGTGTGATATATTTGAGCTGCCACTCTGAACGCAGAATGAAGGAGGGAACATATGTGGATATGTTTCTCGTGAAGGTTATTTTTTCTTACAAACTCCTGGCTAAATGTAGGGAAGTTGATTTAAGTAGCGGTCAGTAGGCTGGGGGGTAATAGTTGACTGAATTGAGCAAAAACCCATAGTCCATGTTCAGTGAAGAGACCGCCATGAAGTGTAGAAGAATTAAGATCTACTTTATATAGCTCGAGGAAACTAGAGCGATGATCGCCAGGGAACCTTATGCCAGCTTAGTCATCCGACTGTGACAGGCTAGACACGGCAGACATTCATTACTTCTGTTATGATGCATACATAAAAATCGAGATCGCGTCAAGCATAAGCATGTCTGACGGGAGGCATACGGTCGGATGGTGACGAGAGAAGACCGGGATAGCCTCCGCGAGAGTGTATAGAACATGAAACATGGACATTCGAATTGAATTCCCAACCGATCCACAGTCCGGGGAAGGAGCAGAAGGAGCAGCAAAGCAATCCGCAACGATGAAAATGATCTACAGAGGAAATTCTAATCCGCCGGAGGGGCACCACGTGATGCGCCATACCCGTCGAGGCCGATGCCGTTCTGGGAAGTACGCGCTGGAATCCAATGGATCGATTCGATCCATCAATCCATCCGTCCTTCTGTAACGCCTCGTCAGGTTGATTCCTCGCTCATCCCGCTGTCTGGCTTGCATTTGTTTGAAATCATTCGACTCCCAGTGAGAATTCATGGTGCGCGCGAAATCTTGATCTTTCCGTCTGCATCTCTGGAGGAGGGAATTGAACCTCAACCCACCCGGTCCATTGTATTGCACCACTGGTCGGGAGAACATTTCTACGCCATCATTACTCCTACTATGGCAGGTTACTAAGTACTACAACCTACAATCAGATATTCTGCCCTGCCTCTTTTTTTTTTTTTTTTTCTCCGTCGGTCTTTTGGGTCGCAATTCCCTGCCTTTTCATTTTCCTTCCTTTTCCCTTTCTTTTTTTTTCTGCATCGCTCACGGTGATTGTTTATTCACCAGCAACTTCGCATCTTGATTTCAATTGCAAACCTCCATTTTTCTAGGAGGATCGCCTCTCATCACGTCTATCGGAGTAAGTACCATCTCACGATCTCCCGCCGTACTATCGGAGTGCATGCTCAGAAATACGCGAGACAGCGGCATCTCCCAGCCCTCCCGCCGGCTTCCGAGAGAGATAATCCGCGCCGAACAAGCGATTCACGCCCAGCCGGCAGTGATTGAACAGCCCAGCACTCCAGGCACCGCGCCTGATATCCACGTCCTCCCACCCACCAGAACACCTCAGATCCACCGCAACACCTTGTCCTGACCTTCGCCTCCCTCCCCCCCCCCCCCCCCTCCACCACCTTAACTTATCCTGACCGGGTCTCGCCGTGTCTCCCTTTCCCTTTTCTGCAGGGACCTGACAGTCGCTCTTGTCATCTGGGACTTTTCGGCTGCTTCAATTTTCCAGTGGGTTTCGGTCTTCCTCTTACTTTCTTCTCTCTCCTAAACGCCGTTCCCGTCTGCTCTTGTGTCGCTTGTTCGCCGCCCTCCCCCCGGTTGATCCTACCGCGCATTTTTCCGCTGGATCGTTTGAACCGATTCCTCTCTCATCCTCTCCTTCTAGACTTTTTGTTCTTTTTCTTTTCTTTTCTTTCTTTTCCCTCCTTCACTCTGTTCCCCTCCTTTTTATAATCTTTCTTCTTCTGCGGTGGCTTGCTCCGTCCTGCGCCGTGAAAGCAACGTCAGATTCTTTCGTTTTCCCTATCTCGCATTCTGCTCCTGAGCGGATCACACCTGTCTCCCTGTAGGTGATCATCGCAACACCCTGCCTCTGCGTTGTCATCGATCTAGTGGATTCTTTTCCGACATCGGTCAATTTGCCATGAACCCTATCGAGATGCCATGTTGCCATGTCTCTTAGCACCAAGCCTTTGCACCAAACCGCTCGCGCATTCTTATCTAACTGGTTTCCTCTCTCTCTCTAGGGCTGGAAACATCGGTGACTCCGCCTCTCTGTTGGATTACCCTTCCATATCACGCCTGCCACGCGCTCCTCGTCTTACCTTGTGGTGAGCTCCCTCGCCTCGAGACGGTGGATGCGCGTTGAAGAAAAACTCTAGTTCCAACGCTCTTCATCGAGGACAAGCATAAGGTGAGGGTGGCTGAGCCCCGTGTGCCACCATGAACCAAATGAACGTCGCTGGGATGAACCCCGGAGTCGGGGGCCCCGTCGGGGGCGTCCCAATGGTCAACAACGGCTCTGCAGCTCCCCGTAACGACGGAACCATGAATAACATCTCCGAGCAAATGATCAACAATCTCAACACATACATCTATGACTATTTTCTCAAGCGCGGCTACCACGACTGTGCCAGGGCCCTCCTGAAGGACGATGCAATGAAACTCAGCACGGAACCCCCAATCAAGTCGAGTCCCGGCCATCGTCGTGATAACGAAGTGAACGGAGTTGATGGCGATGCCATGATGACGGATGGAAAAGACGGAGAGAAAATGAAAATTCCTGATGACCTCCCGCGCCCCAACCTTCCTAGCGAAGGCCAGCAGTCCCCTTTTCTCTTGGATTGGTTTAGTCTCTTCTGGGATTTCTTCTGGGCCCAGCGCAAGAAAGGGAACAGCAATGATGTGAGGCAATATCTTCAGCATAACCAGGTACGCACCATCGTCGCGCAACTCATCCGGTGTTTCAAGCGAAAGAGAATAAGTAGAAGGAAAGAGAAAGAAAGGAAAAGAAGAGGCATGGCTGACCATAAATAGAACTTGATGCGTCTCAGAGAACAGCAGCATAATCAGCTCTTGCGACAGCAGCCCATGATGCCCGGACAAATGGGACAGATGAACATTCGTCGGAATGGGGTGGTTCCTCCCAACCTTCAGAAGACAGTGCTGCAGAACAACACGACTACTGGCCTGTATGCTTTACCCTGATATCTTTGATATTCCCACCGCAAAGCAAACTGCGAGATCGACGGGCTAACTTGTATGATCATCTGCAGCTCTCAGCAGCAGCTTGCGCAGCTCCACAAGAACCAGCAGGTGCAAATGATGCAGCAGATGCAGCGAGAACACTCCGACATCGACATGAACGGCCACCGCCCGCAGTCCCCGTCCTCGGCAGAAAACGCTCCCTCCCCGTCGAAGCGACCCCGGCTTGAAGGCGCACACATGAATGGTCAGCAATTGGCACCCAATGGACGGGGTCAAGGCCAGGGCATGCCTGCCCAAGCGAACACTCAAGCGATCTTGATGCAACAGAACGGTCTCGGCCCACGGACGATGAATCCGGCCCAGTTCCAAACCACTTTCCCACAATCGGGCCCTGCTGGTGGTCAGCAGCAGAAATCTATCCAGGTATATGCTCAGAATTTAGCCCTTCACCACTCACGCTCAGCATTGAATAACCAGGGCATTCCGAATGGTTTGATGAATCCCGGTGTCATGCCAAACCAGACGGATCTGGTACCCATGCCAGATAGCCAGGGTATGTACCCGATCAACGGCGATTACTATGGCAATGGTCAAATGGCCCAGGTTCGGGCTGGAATGCAGACACCTGGCGGTCAGCATGGGAACCATGCACTCCAGGATTATCAAATGCAGCTTATGCTGCTTGAACAGCAGAATAAGCGGCGTTTGATGATGGCTCGTCAAGAGCAGGATAGCATGGCCCGTCCTGACGGCCAGCCCCCAATGCCTGGGCAGCAGCAGGCTTTGCCACCAGGCACCTCTCCCCAGGGCAGCAGGGCGGGCACGTCACCGAACCCCAACGATCAAATGAAGAGGGGCACGCCAAAGATGCCCCAGACCGGCCTTCCCGGATCCCCGAGTGCCGGCGACGCGATGGCTCAGGGCCGCGCCTCGCCCGCCTCCATGAGTTTCAACGGTGGTCAGATGCCTCCTGAGATGGCCGGCCAATTCTTCGTGAAGGGCATGCCCGACGGTATGCCAGGCCCCAACGGCATGCGACCCCCGAGCTCGAACCCGGCCTTCACCGGCCCTCAAATGGGACAGCCGATCCCTGCGGGCGCGAATAATCGGGTGCCGAGTGGTGGCTGGCAGCCTCAGCAGGGCCCCCAGGGTCAGCCCATGGCGCCGCAACCGTCTCCGGCGAGCCAACCTCAGACCGGAACTCCGCAGAACAACCCGATGCCTCCCCCTCAAGCGCCGCCAGCGGCCGGTGGCAATGCCGGTCGAGCTTCGCCTCAAACGGGCGCCGCTCCCCCGACGCCGCAGCAAGCTAACAAGCCCGCACCCAAGGGCAAGAAAGATACGAAAGACAGTCGCAAGGTTCGTGACCCCCCTAGTGGACAGTTTTGCTCTAGGACTGTCTTTATATATGCTAAACGCGATTCCAGCGACCCAACAAGAAGGGCACGAACGCCGCCGCAAATGCGAACACGGCGGCCACTCCGTCGTCCGAAGCGGAGCATCCGCCAACTCCCACCCCATCTACCCCTATTACGCCCCAGCACCCCAACTCGTTTAACAAGGCCGGTGCCAATGCCACGACGACTGCTCCTCAGCCGCCAACGTCTGCGCCTGCTCCGCAGCCGCTCGTGCAGCAGCCCCCTGACCAGAGCCAACAGTCGTTCAACGACCTCAGCATCCCGGATGTAGGCTGCTTCTTCCCCCAACCCCCCTGCTTGTACCATGGAAATGGTGCTAACTTCGTTGGCAGGCGTCTGCTTTCAACCTTGATTTCAGCGCTCTGGAGAATCCTGATATTCTGGAGAATTTCGACTTTGACACGTTTCTCAACACCGACGCGGACACCGCCAGCTTCGGATTCGACCCTAACATGTCCTATCCGACCGATGGTGTTGAAACCGGTGCCGGCGATAGCTTGTAAACGAGTCCAACGGATATCCAATTCCTCCTCATATACCCTTCCTTGTTTTGTACATTTCTAAATCCTCCATTGTGGTATTCGGCTTCTTTCCTGCTTTTGAAATTCCCCTCTTTTTCTCCTAGTCTTCCTCCTTTCTTTTTTCCTTTTTTCCTTTATTTCCTTATCTTTATTTCTGTGCTTTGCTGTTGTCGCCATGATATTGGATATGTGTCTGTGAGACTGGCGTTGGTGTCCCCATTTCTTGCATATCCTTTCATTTACCGAACCAACGAGACGTTCTGAATCCCCCCTTGAAATGGATTTGTTTGTGGCCAGGCTGATTTGCTGTGACTTTTGATGTCCTTTCGACTCGATTTCTTCCTTCTCCTATTATTATTATTACTACTACTACTACTTCTTACTACCATTATCGGTTAATTCTTGTCTCTATCGCTTCCCATGGGCCACACATACTGCGTGATATTCGTCTAGCGTTAGTCATTCTTCATCTTAATACTTGAGATTATCACCCTGGCCTCTCATCTTCCTCTCCTTTCGAGCTTCTCCTTGATTCTCTTTTTTTCCTTTGTCTTTGTGCTTTTTTTTTTTCATGGCGTTACCCACGAGGTCTTGGTCTTCTTCCTTGACGACTCCTCTCTGGAAATGGTTTTATGAATTGAGAAGCTACTCGTGTTCATGTCTTGTTTCCGACTCGTCCTGCCTCAGTATTTTCTGTCTCGCGCTTCTGCTTGGCTTCCCCTTTTCTCTCCTTTTTTTTTTTTTTTTTTTTTTTTTTTTTTTCTTCTTTCTCTCTTAATCCTTTCCCTTCAGCTTTTCTCCTTGTCCTGGCTGCTGGAAACAAGAAAAACAGGAGACTACATTGTTCTCACAATACAGAAATCAACCAGCCCAAATCCAATCAATGTCTTCGCCATCATTTGTATCATTAATGGATCCTAAATGTTGGGAAAGAAAAGCATTTGTTAGCAGAATACCCTTCGGCACAGAAAGCGTCCATTGCCCACCGTTTTTCTTTTCTTTTCTTGGAAGGAATTGACGTAGTTCCCTAGAGTATGCTTACCTAGTCAATTTGCATCGAGTCAAGGTAACAACCTCTAGGCATCGCCCGTTTCAGAGCACGCGTTCCCCATTGCTCTCGGTCATGACGGGCCCTGGCCGCGGCTTTTTCTAACAGCATGTCCTCTTTCACCATATCGACAAGGTACCGAGCCACTCGCTCGGCACACATTTCTTCGATATCGCCGTAGGTGCAGTTCGCAAAGCAGACCTTCCCAATGGCCCCGGCACGAGCGAGGAACGGATCCTTCTGGAAGAATGCTGCGGCGTAGTAGTATCTCTCGGCGGCGGTAGTATTTTCATTTAATCGTTGGACTTGGATTTCGGGATATTCCAAAGAGAGAAGATGGCATATTCCTAGAAATACATAAGTTTGAACGGCCCCTCCAGCGTTGGAAGGACACAAAGATATGGATTATTAGCAACCATATCAGCATGTTGTTATCAACAGGGAGACGTTACTTCGAAGCCTTTCAATGTGACCTTCCACCCCCGCAAGCTTCTGTTTGATTTGCTGCGGGTTTACTGGCCATCTGCTCGTTTCTTTTTGGACAGGCACGTCGATTGTTGCAATCCTGCAGTTGAATACTGGAAGTAGGTTTGCGTTCTTCGACCACTGGCTGTTGTTTCGTAGCTGCTTTTTTCTTGCCCATGCTCTCTCACGGACGGCACGTAATCCATTGCATTCTCGTGTCATTCGTTTATAGGCGACTCTGGCATTTCGCTTGGGGTATCTTTCTGCGTATGAACGTAGTCCTGGGACGAGTTTCAGCAAATCCTTGTAGGAGTTCTGCAATGTGAGCGGCCCCAGCGCATTACGAAATGAACCTTGCGCCGATATCAGCGATTTGTGTAAAGCCCTCAGCGCTGTGGCGTTCTGCGACTCAGTCTCCTCGGGATAGGACTTGAGAGCTCCAAAGTATGTCACGCCCCCGACTTCAGCCTCGTGACGGTATCCCTTCCCATGGAAGTACTTCGTGTACTTTGGCGACTGAAGCCCATTGAAGAGGCAGTAATCTGAGTATGAACTGTTAGAAGGTCCAACCGACGATATGGTATGCATCTTACCGTGTAAAAGCTCAGTCCAGTTCCAATCAAGCCCAGGAGACCAGTCGATCGGCACTTTAGGGAGGATCCATTCAGGGTATTCAGCCCTAAGCCTATCCAGAGCCTCGCGACACACCTCCACTTTGGCCTTTTCTTGGGCCTCGTCGTCTTGTAACCTGGTGATTGAGTGGCCATATATGGTGAGCGTGACTCCCCAAGAGCTGCCCTGTCCAGTATTGGTAAAATGAAACCGAGGCAACAGGAGCTTCTTTATTGCAAGTACGCCAAAGTAGAAGAGTACGTCCTCGTTGTCTAAAGTCATAACATCAAGAGAGTCTAGCCGCAGGGGAGTGGTGTGGAACTATGCAAATAGTGCAGTTAGAGGGCACCAAGATGGGAGAATTGATTGAAACTTTTAGCATGGCGAGAGACAAACCTGGAAATGAGGTACTGCATTCAAACCATGGGTAATAGGCTCCGGATTCTGCCTCTCCTCTTCGTCGATTTCACTTTTCGAATCGGCAGGGGTAGGGGGACCATGCGTGGATGAAGATGATGATCTCAACGCGGAAAAGGATTGAACTAGATTGCAGTATGGGGAGGAGTCATACGCCCAGCGAGCAAAGCCCAATGGGTTGCAGAGTGAGGAAGAAAATGGAAGATTTGCAGGGATATTATCGTAAGAAGCTGGTACGCCGGAAAGCAAGCTATCGTTCGTGGATGCATGCTCCATGGAGGGATCTCAAGACCGAAAGAGGGAACTAGCAGAGTAGATCAACGGGGGAAGTCTTGCAGGGAGGAGAAGAGTGAGGTGGAAGAAAGGCAGAGCTGAGGAGAAGGAGAGGGTGTTGGGCAAGTCCCGCGTGGAGGGGGGCACCTTCTTCAATGGGATTGCAGAGCCAAGTTACGCCGGAGTCGCTGCGTGCACTAAAACCGTTGAAGACGATAAACAACTTCTGTGTTTTGTATGTATGGCTAAAAGAGAAATGAATAATACATGCGCTGGTAAAAGGCCATGACGACCTTCAGTGAGTGGAACTCGGGTCAAGTGACAAGTAGATGAATGCGTTGCATTCGGATAACGGAAGAAGAAACACAAAAGGAATAAACAAGAGCATCATCCCCAATAAAGATATCTTTAATCGATTGCAGCCACCTCAGCCGTGCTCCCCATGAGCTGAATGCTAGAATCGAGAAGTTCGTCCAAGCCGACTCGACGAACGAGATCGTCTGGTGCGGACAGCTCTTGCACAGGCGGGCATGAGACTGATTCCCCTTTCGAAGGCGTGATGATGCCCTCGCCGCGCGCGGAGCTCATAGACCGCTGTCTCCTAAATTCAGTTGGAGAGTCCATGTTCCCGCTCAAGCGCCTAACCGTCCGGGTCGGAGTGTTATTGAGTCTTTCGGTCTCCTTGCGCGGTGTTTCTCCGGCACTTTCGTTTTCCTTGTTGTCTTGGGACATTCCCTCCTTCCTGCTCTTGACATTCACATTGGGGCTGGCATGCAATTTGCTTGTTGCCGTAGTCTCTGCCAAAGGGTCCGGCAGGAGGCTAGACTTGATGCTAGACTCGGACGCGTTTCTAGTTCCGGCCTGGGAGATTTCCTTTAGAACGAACGACCGGCTGCCATCTCGGGTGTACGATGCCGAGCGCGCTTCGGCGGCAGCTGAGGGTTTGCTGCCCACCGGGGCCACGCTAGACGGAGTGTTGGTGGGCGCATGGGTGCCGCAGGCCAGGGGTTTTGGTGGGCTCAAACCCTGGACCAATTGGGCATATGCGTCCTCTTCAATCGGCGCGACGATGCTGGCGTGCTTACTGTGCTCGTAGCTAATGCCCGTCATGCTTGAGAGGGCCCGGCTCCCGGTCGTGCTCGAAACATAGTCTGGCATGGAAATGTCCTCCCAAGATGGTCTAGCACCGCGATGTCGAGCAGATGGGTCGAGCAAGTAAGGATCTATGAAAGCCTCCTGCATGAGAGGTGGCTCTTGGGGCGCCCATTTTGGTTCTCCCAGTCTGCTGGGCCATTGAGTCACAGGAGGCCCCTGATAGGATTTGTATTGCCAAGTACTCTGTGTAGCGGGATTGGCCATCTGGCCCACAGATGCGGCCTGCTGGGTGCTGTGCCTGGTTGGCGAGTGGGTGTGAGTATCCTCTGGTTCCTTCAATTCGCTGGCTCCACTCCCAGAGTTGTATTTGAAGAGACGAGGTTCACGAGTCCACATGCCAGCGTTTGGCCAGGCAATGCTAGAACACTCCAAGACATCTGTTTCCAGTAAAGAAAGAGGAGCAAAGTCAGAGTGAGCTCTCGAAGGGGGTTTCTAGACCGGCTTACGAAGAGGAGCATGCTGAAAAGAAAATGCCACAACTTCCTTGACTCTCTCAAACGGCGGAGTGCGGTGTGGTCGAGCGAAACCTTCGGAGACTACCACACGAATTCTTCCGTAGAGTTCGCCGGCATCCCAATATCGTTGTTCTAGAATCTCTTGATGAAAAGGAGGAAATCGCAGCGTGTCCTGGTTGCCAGTCTTGTCGACATCTAAGGGGTAGCACATTAGCAAGCATCTTCCCCGGGGGCAAGGAAGGTGTACAGGAGCTCAAGTCTATTTATTGGGTTCTCACCTGTTAGCGAGAGGGCCATGTACGTATGGGGGGTCTAACAGCTTACCGATCACATGGGGCCAGCTGGTCCTCTGACTGAAAACACTACCCCTGAGCAGGATCAAAGCCATTGTTAATTTATCCTCTCCATTGGAGTTGCTTTTGGGACGATTGTTGAAGACTCACGAGACACATAACCCGTCGATGAATATTCGGATTTCAAAAAGCGGGGCATCTTCAGGCTGTAACAGGCCTTCCATCAGTCGGCTGGGGCGAGGTTTTTCCCAGCTATGGACGGACACCCGGAAGGAGGTATTCGGGGCGATACTGGGGATGAATGTGGTGAGAACCGGCAACAACCCCAGGTTGCCTTGGGGCAAATAATGCGAGGCCGGATTGACGAGCCCAGGACTATGTAGGTATGGGGATTCTGTGCGCGAAGTAAGTCAGCGTGCACTTCCCTGCAAGCGGGAAGAGGATAAAACCTGCCTGTGTCCTTGATCACGAAGCACTGGGTCTTGAACTCCTGCAGAGGCACCTTGGAGCTCTCTGGAAACAGAAGCACATCCCAGTTCTCGTAGCGCATCCTGCCTGATGTATGGATTCTGCTGCGGGATAAGATGCGAAACGACGTGTCTTAGGTCTTAGAATACTTAGGATATCAGAAGTAATGAAAACAGAGAAAAAAAGGCACACCGACAGAGGCGGGTGGGGAGGGGAAGTAGAAGGGAAGGACTGCCTTGGGCGCTGGATATCTATCAATCAACCACTTCGATCACGGGGCGTTCCTTCCGCATTGGACAGCGCGAAGCAGGCAAGAAAGAGGCAGGTGTGAACAAAAGCAAGTCCGACACGACCGACTATCTTCCATCCTATCTTGGTCCACATCAGTTATATCATAGGAAATTCACTATGTTCTGAAGACTATCTCGAGTTCAGAAGGGAATAAAAATGAAAAATAAAAACTCATGGCAGAACGAAGGGGGAATCATCCAGGAACAAACGCGACTGTCCGAAGGGTGTCCGAGAGAACTGGACACGCATTTACGGATGACAATGATACGAGAACGCCCATCTAGGAATCGCAACGTCATAAAAAGAGACCGCCGCCGACCTCCGAAGAACCGCATGCAGACAGGAAGCGGTCCTCAACCGAGAACTCCGTAAAGGGCGCGAAGGAACCCAGCAGACTTTCCAACCTCCCGAATAACTACAAGAACGAGTGCTCAATGGCAAGAGAAAGAAGGTCACCCATCTCGACATCGTCACACGACACCGATCGCTAGAAGCAGCAGCAACAAGAGAAGGCAGAAGAACAGACCTCGGGGAGATAGGCCACGAATTGACTGGCCAAACTCAGATGCACAACCACACAAGGAAACGGCGTCGCAAGGGAACAATACTGAGACGAGAAGCGGGGAGACCAAGAAAAGGAACAAAGCAATGTTGTACAGGCCGGTCTAGCAAAAAGGCATGACGTGGTATCCTCAATGCGGAACACAATTCAATTTGAACTTGATGGACTTTTCGCAGAATGCCTGCCCAAGGATAGAAGAAAGGAAGAAGACGAAAGAAAAAAAGCACGTGAACGATACGATTGGGTGTGTCATACGCATAACAAGAACCTAAGAGGAATATAACGAAAAGAAAATAAAAAGGGGGGAGATGAAATCGAAGAAAGAGAAAAGATTTGGGGGAAGACATTGAAAGTGGTAGATAGTGGAAGACGAGCATCAGAGCATCAGGTGAATGAAAATGGGGATAAAAAGGAAAACAGGATAAGATGAAACCATAAGCTCGGATCTTGCTAAAACGGAAGCGCTCACATATAATGAAGTACGTAGCACAGGAGGAAAAACGCCCATCAGGAGCTATAGAGGGGAACTTTCGCAGAGAGAAATAGCAGACTTAGGACACAAAAGACCCATCATTGGAAAATGACGCAAAAACTCCTGCTGTTGCTTTCAAAAAAAAGGAACGCTTTTTTTTTACTAGAAAGGTTCGTTAACAAGACTGGATATTTTTTTTTCTTCCCACTAGATGCGGATGGCAAGGATTTCAAGCAGTGTCTTCAGGGTGACCACCAACCTTCATAGGTGCAAAACCGCCGTACTGGTGGGCAGGGGGCATGCCCATAGAAGGGTACATCGGGGGCGGAGGGGGAGCAGGGCGGTAGGGGCTGCCGGCAGGGCCGGAGTTGTTCTGAGAGCGGCCCCAGCTGAGGCGCACACGCGAGTTACCGATGGGGTATCCCTGCATCTGGTTGATGGCCATTTCGGCAGCGTGGCGCTGGACGAACTGGACGAAACCGCAGCCCTTGCCAGGGGGGATCTTGACGTAGGTGATCTCGCCGAAGCCCTGGAAGAAAGAGCGGAGCTCATCCTCGGTGACGTAGCCGGAGAGTCCACCAACGAACACGGTGGTGTTGTTGGGGTCGGTGAACTGGTTCATGGGCTGGGGAGCACCGTAGAAGCCCATGGGAGGAGCACCCATAGGGGGGTACATGCCCGCGGGACCGGGCATACCCATGGCACCGGGGACAACGCCGGGACCCTTGTTCTTGGGGGTGGCGGTGGAGATGCGCATGGGACGGTTGCCGCAGTAAACGCCCTGCATCTCGCTCAGAGCGCGCTGCTGGTCGTTCTCGTCGGAGAAACGAACGAAACCGTAGCCACGGGACATGCCGCTGATGGGGTCAGTCATGATCTTGGCGGACTTGCAGGACGGGAAGCGGCTCTGGAAGAGAGAGACGAGAACGTATTCGTTGACTTCGGGGCCGAGGTCACCAACGAAGATGGAGTACTCGGGGCCACGGTCGTCACGGCTGTCGGACAAAATACACATCAGTCCCATTCGGATTGGAAAACCTCCTTCGAATCAAAATATCTTACCTGCGGTCGGCAAGACCACCACCAGTAGCCCAGTTCAGCTTGAAGAGGCGGTTGGTGTTGGGCATGGGGGTGCCGTTCAGGGACAGGGCCTTGGCAGCGGCGGCGGGAGAGGCAAAATCGACGAAGCAGTAGCCGGCATTGCTCCTACTACCATCATTAGGATCGCCTTCAAATCGGAAAGGTTCAATTCCCAGCTACTCACCCAGAGAACTTGTCGCGGATCATCTTGACATTGACCTGCTCGCCCATCTGGAACCACAGGTTGCGAACGAAGTTCTCGTCAATCCAAGGCTCAAGCTCGCCCATCCTATGGGGGGGAAAAAACACGGTCAGATCAGATATGCCACGTTGTGTGATGCCAAGGAAGTCATCCGTACCAGAGCGTAGTCTTGCCGTCGTTGCCCTGCGGGGGGACAGCGGCAGCCGTGGGTTCGCCGGGAGCAGGACCCTGGAAGGGAGCGGTGGTAGGGTCGGCCTGGCCGGTCATCGCCGTGTCCGCGGGAGCAGGAGCGCCGGGGGCGGCAGCGGCAGCGTCAGCCGCGGGGTGCTGGTTCTGGAAAGAATCGAAGTTCTGGAAAGACATATTGACGTGAAAATCCGATGTTCGTGAAGATGACTCCGAGAGCGGTATCTGCCCAAGGTTTCACTGTTAGCTCGAGTCCGCCGTGAATGGATGCGAATCGCTTCGTCGTCGCCAACTGAGCGCCCGGTGCGCGTACCTTAAGAAATTGCAAGCAAATGAGCAGAAATCCACACAAAAAACTTTTCTATTCCGAAAACGGTCCGTGCGACTGAAATCTCGTGGTAGTCGTCAAGGAGTGAACAGCGTATGATCGTTCAGCACTTGGAAAAGGACTGGGAGGGTATTTTCAATTCCTGCGGATATCCAAGAGATGAGAGTTAGTTTCCCTGTCCGGTCAAGTGAGAAAGTGGATGTCCAATGGTGACGTCCGTGACTGATCGATCAGATGAGAGCAAAGCAAAAGCAAAAACACAAAAGAAGAGTGGAAATGAAGAGAAAGTACGGGGCGATCCAAATCGCAGATGGAAACAGATTCGAGATTCAACGACAGACAATTCGCGAAAAGTGAATGGTTCCGACTCGCGAGCAAAGGACGGGATGAGTTGGTGGAAGAATCGTCAAGGCGGATGCAGCGTATCAGCCTTGCGCGGTGCTGCACTCTCGTTGCCAAGACCAGGATTCAGCTAGCGGCGCTTCAGGACGTGAGGGCATAACCGAAGGACTCGAATTTCGGACACAATTCAATTCTTCGGCAGATCAAGGGCCGAAGGCACGGCGCATTGTCGCGGAGATTGAAAGGCGTTCAGCAGGTCGCAGCCGCTTTCGTCGATAACTCGTCCCCGGATTCATCCTTCCCGATCGCGACCGTTCTCATCGGTCTGTGCCTGGGTCCTCGTTGATCCTGCACAAGGCCTATTGTAAAGCCGCGGCCGACAAAGGGGTTTCAGGGACCGCCGACCAACGGGAAACTCTCCATCGATCATCGAGTCACTCTCCGTAACCACGGCAAAATATCGATCGGCTGGCGCATCGAGCCCGCTGCTGAATCCAATCGGTCGGTCGAACACGAGGCAAAAAGGTGCGATGAGGTTCTCAACGGCAGGTAAGGCCACCCGCGCTATCGCAGCGACCCATGGAAAAGGGCATGGACCTCCGGCAACGCACCAAATAGGGGGGGCGAAAGGGAAGACGGCCCAAGGTTGGACGGTGTATGATCATCACGACACGGGAAGACAGGAGGCAAGAGATGGACGACCACGACGAAGCGACAGCAACGGCGAGACAAAAGGAGACGGACTTACCAAGCAATAGAAATGAAAAGCAAGCTCGTAAATAGTTTTCACAAAAAAAGAAAACGAGATGGGATGCGCTGGATTGACGTGGCGCAAAAGACAAGTAGTATGCGTTAAGACGTTATACTGGAGAAAATCGAGAGAACTCCGGCCAAATGAGGCGAGAACTAAAAAATAAAGAAAATAAAAAAGATAGAAAAGACACTGAAAGCGTTACTAAACTATCCGCAAAAACCGACTCCGTCTTTTCCGACAAGAACAAGAAGAAAGGAGAGGGAAGTATGAGGAAAGGGAAAAGAGAAAAAGGAAAAGGAAAAGAAGAGGGGTAGAAGAACTAGCAGATAATATTCTTCAGCGATGGAGGGGGAAAGGGAAAGGGAGGAGAGGAAAGAAAAATGGGAAGAATCCGCGAGAGAATAATGGATTGCTAGTACTAGGGCAGACCAAGGACGGCAGAAGCAGCAGAGCGATTAGACGAACGAACAAACGAAAATGGGAATTCAAATAAATTCGACAAATAATAATTCTTTTATTTTCTTTATTCGATTTTCTTTTTCTTTTTCTTTTTTCTGTTTTTTGTTCCCTTGGATCGTAATCCCAATGAAAAATACCGATTTCCAGGGGAGCAGCCAACAGGGCGCCAGCAGGAATACTCAGTAATACCTGAGGAACGGGCGAGGGAATGAGGGGCGAAAGCACTGCCAGCCGGTGGGACATGAAAGTTTGCCGACCACTGAAGCTGATTTTCTTTTTCTTTTTCTTTTTCTTTTTTTCTTTTTTTTTTTTTTTTTTTTTGGTCTGGTTGCACTGCTCGGCCCAGCAGAGGGAAAGCAGTGTAGATCTGGATTTACCGGGAATTCTGGCTCGACGGTATTCTGGTATGTAACCATCGGCAGTCATTAGGGTTGTCGTAATAGAATAGAAGAGGTGGAATGATTTAATTGGACTCGATGCATGTAATAACTAGACTACTCTGATTGAATTTCCAGCTACCAGCCATCCAATGGGTCTATCTCTGTATACTACAGAGTAGACATGAACGAGGGCAAGTACTCCGGAGTACGTAGTCCGATTCATTCAATACGCAGATCGGCAGTGAGCAGCGAATACACTTACAGCGGTACAGCGGTATTTAAAATACCCGATGACGGCCGCCGTCTGCAGGTTTGCAACCTGACATGATTCTTATTTCTCCCCACCTGCGCTATTCATTCAAAAGCAAGCCATGAACCCTTCTGGCATGACTTCGTTCTCATGGAGCAACCTTGCACGCGCTGCTGGCCTTCCTTCGTCGGACTTCCATTGTTCCAGAAACAACGTACCCCGGCTTTCCCACCGCAGCGTTGGGTATACACCACACACTATCCGCCGTAGGAACCCACCCTGCGATGCTCCATGAGGTCACCGTCACCCCAGGGGACTTCCGGCTGGATCCTTGCACCCGACAATGTTGTTTTAATAAGGATCTCTCAGCTTATGTAGGGGGTGGTCCCAGTGAGACAAGCGAGACAGCATGAGGAGCCTGAGTGGAGGGGAACCGTTGTTGTCCCCAGCCCTGTCGCCCAAAAGCAAGGGTCGGGAAAAGGCAAACCATGTAGGTATCATGGTTCCTGGTGACACTACCAACCGCGGATACACGGATTGGAGGGGAGGGGAGAACCAAGGCGACCTAGGGAAGCTCACCGCAGCAACTGACCAGGCAGAGGATCTTCCGGATTCGTGCTTCACGAGTCCCTAGCTGCAAGGACCGCGAGTGATGCGCACATGCAGCAGCAGAGAGGGTTTACGATGGATGTCGAGCAGGTTGAGGCTTGCGACTTGTTTTTCTTGTCTTTCTTTCTTTCTTTTTTTCTTTTTTTCTTTTTTTCTTTTTTTTTTCTTTTTTTTTTCCAAGGACTTTTTATTTTACAAAAATGTACTCCGTTGTATGGAGTACGGAGGAGAGTCCCTGGAGCATTCTTTCCAGGTCTTTTTTTTTTTTCCTCCGCCCATCAGACTCTGTGACTCGTCGAGTGCGCTTCGTGACCATGGGCCTTATCGTCATAAATGTGGCCGAGTCTCCGCCCATCGCAGGCAATACGCCGAGGTCATTCGCTGATCCCTTTCCGTTTGCGGGCACGCCAGTCAGCATTGTTTCCTTGGATCGCCCCGTCTTGCTCAGCTCACGACTGCAAAGCCCGCTCGAAACAGGGTGATTACAGGGAAGAGCTCACGAGTCAAGGGAGCTGAGAGGACGGCCGGGCAAAGTAAATTCAGGGCTCCACCCAGAGTGTCCCAGAACCATGGGATCGTGCAAGAGAAAGAAAGAAAGAGAAAGAGAAAGAGAAAGAGAGGAGAGAATGGAGAAAAAAAAATTACCAAGATGCGAGACGCAGCAAGGGCTCCTGCGTTTCATTAGGAAGACTAATTTACGCCGGGGTCTTTCATGCATGGAGCCCAGGGTATTAATACCTGGCATTATTACTACCCACCGAGATCCCAGATTCAAGCAGTTCGAGCTCACGGGAGTATTAATAGCAAACACGGGGTGGTCCAAGCTGCCATCTAGCGTTCTAGTGCCATCGCCACGGATTTGGGCGATATCACGCAGGGTCGACGGTGATGCCCAAAGCATTCGAGGCCAAAATTCCCCGGGCAGGATGGCTGAGGGTATTAATACTCCGTGCTTGGGCGAGGTTCTAGAAAGACCAGGACGTCTGGCGGCCAGAGAAAGGCGACCGGACGCGAGAAACGAAGCTAAAAGGACCCCCCCACCAAACCAGAGCCATGGAAAGGAACGGCTTTGTCGGCCTCATTGGCTGGAACGCTGCAACCGTTGGGGAGGGAAGGTGAACATTAAATTATTAATCTTACTGAAAAGTACTCCGGAAGTCGGCCTAAGGACAGTCAGTAGTCCATCTGCTCCGTACAGCAGGACGCGTACGCGACGCGATCGGAGGTCAGGAAGATCTGACATGACAATTGGATTATTTACAGAGACGGAGTACACTGATGAACATGCGCAGTAGGTAGAAGTTGGGGGTGGCAGGCGGGACTCTCTTCCCTTGCATCACAGATTCTTTAATGCCCTGGCGCCCGGTGATTCGACCGTGCCTTTGCTAGGGCTCGTCCCTTGCAGAGGCTCCTTCTGAGGCTTCAAGGAGTTCGGATCCCTTAGGATTGTGCACTCTCTCCCGGAGCCTGGATAATGCCTCATAGTCTCCGTCCATCTCGTAGGTACAGTATACAAGTAGCTTCCGGTAGATGGACCCTGGAACCATGGAACCGATCGTGCCCAACAACACCCAACAAGCCAGAGCTGCTGGTGCCGATTCCGTCTCATCCCACTCCGTCGCTACTTCGTGCTCTGGGAAACACTCTGAGAAGTACTCTAGGAAGCACAAGACCATCGGGAAGTCAAGAAAATGCGACCATTCCAATCCACCGTAAGATCAAGCACGATCCGCCCGCCTCCGAAACCTCGACCTGTTGCCATGTGGTTCCGGGTTCAAGCACGATGCTCATTTCTTTTCGTCCGCTGGATTTGCTGCCTCCGATCCACCTTTCTTCTGGTGTAAGCACTAACCCTGGCACTACGCCTTTTTTTTCTCTCTCTCAGGTCCCCACTCAGCTGAACTTTTTTTTTTTTCTTTCCTTACGTTCTTTCGTTTTCTTTCTGGTTCGTGTTAGTCTGTTAGACTCTGGAGATGGAACGCTTCGAACTGTAAAAAAAAATTGCGCGGTACGCGCCACTTCCGTGTTTCAAACCTCCAACTTATGAATCGATTAGTCATTAATGAAAGCTGGCATAAAGTCCGAATATGACTCCAGAAACCGTACTATATACATGTGCAGTCCAGTCCAGATCACCCTAAAAAACAACACCAACAAACAAGTAGAAAAGCGGACAAGAAGACACATCATAGCTGACAAGTCGCAGCATCGACGTCCTCGCCCGCCGCCATATTCTCATCACAGAACTCGCCCGCCCTTCCCAGCTCATCGCCCAGCAACTGGATGGTTTTCTCGTAGACGCGCGCCGTCTCCATTTCCCAGCGGCCGGGGGCGTCGACGTCGGCATACTCGCTCGTCCCGGTCCCGTAGACATCCTCCATCTCCTCGTCGTCGTCGCTGTCGTCGCTGTCCGCGGGCCCGTCGGCCGTCTCGCGGGCCTCGACCACCGTGACGCGACACGTCTCGGCAATGCTCTTGATGCGCACCTTCTCGGTCATGGAGACGACGTTGCGGCGCGTCTCGAAGCCCGCCAGCGGGGCGCCCGAGTCGGCGTCCTCGCCGGTGAGCAGCGACGCGAACACCGAGTCCAGCTTCCTGAGCAGCCGGAAGGTCGGCTTCGGAGAGAATGGGTAGTCCGGGAGATAGGTGTTTACCAGGACGGCGAGTGAGATGAGATAGGGTATTTGGAGGGATGCTGGGGGAGAGTCAGTTGTGCTCCGTGTGATTAAACACAAAATGACGTAGAGAGGAGGGGAAACCCGGTGAACACTGGACAGATGGGAGTGCAGGGTCACAACATACGAGTCCCACTAACCCAAAGCACATCGACGAGTCCCTCGATGTCTTTGGCCACTTCCTGGAAGCTCTCGTAGCCTCGCTCGGTCTGGGAGGCCGGCTGCGACGGATCCTCGTAGGCGCTGCTGAACTTCTTGGCATGGCGGCGGTTGATGGTCAAGACGACGCGGTCGACGTGGTTGATGACGGTCGTTTCCTTCGTGGACCCCGGGCGCAGCGGATGCGATCTTTGCTTGGGAAGAATGGACGGGGTGGCGGTGGATGATGATGGCGCGGGAGATGGAAGACTCGGCTGCATGAATCCCCCGGCGGTGCTGGGGATATCGGAAGTGGAGGCCATTGTGTGATGGACGGCTGTATCTCCAGTCCGTTTCACGGCAGTCTAATGTTATAGATTCTGTCCAGAACGCCAGTTAAGCTCTACATGTTGAGGCCGTGTGATGGAAGATGTCATGCCAAGCCTGAGTTGGTCCGTGCGGGATGTTCTGCATGGCCTGACAATCACAGGGAATGTCTGTTGCTGAGACTCGAAGGCTGACTGTGCTTAATGGCTTACGATGGGATACGATGGAAGTATTCTGGGTCTGTACAGCGACGCCAGGCGCTATATCAATCATTTCGGATTCAAATGTTCTATATGTCTAAGCAAAGAAAAGGTCGTACCTAGCCAGATGTCCATCATTAGCATCAAAACACTACCCAAGGCGAGATAGTAAGAGCAGAATAGTGAACATAGAGGTGCTTGCTTCAGAGTAGTGAGAAGATATGTTGTAACGCTGGTTTTTGCAGGCATGGCATGACATCGCATTGGAGTCTTGCTACTCTGGCCCCAGCGGACTCATCATTTGCAAGCGAATCAAAGAGGGGGAATCAACAGAAACAAATGCAAGACTCACATGGCCCGTTGATACAAATAACCCCCGCAGAACTTTTGGTTTAAATCCCTAAAACGCCTTGCTAAACGAATCGATGCTGACATGAGAGACCGCATTACTCCGGCTAGCCACTTGTTAGCCGTATTTTCGTCTGGAGAGAGAGAGAGGAGAGGTGTAGCCCAATAGCATCTAAACTCACCCTGATCTTCCCCTTGCGCTTCTTCAAATCGTCCAGTTTCTTCTTGTCCTCGTCGAACTGCTTGAGGAGTCGGTGCTGTCGTTCCTTTCTCTTCGCGCGCGACTGGAACCGGTAGAAATCCTCCAGACCCTGGTTCTTCTGCTTCTGCTTCTCCACCAGCGCCTTCGCCTCCTCCTCGTGCGCCGTCGACGTGAGCTTCGGCCCGCTGGTGACGGTGATGAACCCATCCTCGTCGGGCTCCTGCGCCGCGCGCGCCTCCTCGCGCTTCCTCACCTCCGCCACCTGCTCAAACACCGTCATGAAATCGTTCACCGTGCGCAGCAGCTCCGCCCGGGGCGGGAACCGCGCCTCCTCGTGGTGCAGGTACCGGGGGAGACCCAGCGCGGGCAACCGGTCCTCGATGCCGTCGGCCCAGACGACCACGGCGCCCTCCTTCTTGCGGTTCTTCGACGCCTTCTTGGCCGCCTTCACGCTGGCGTCCATGCTCGGCTTGTCGGCGAAGACGACGATGGCGTGCGCCCCGCTCTTCTGCAGCTGTCGGTCCCACGTCGAGGGCAGCTCGATGTCGTCGAGCTGGTTCTGGAGTTCGTCCGCCGTGACGCGCTTGCGTTTCTTGTTCTTCGACATGTTCCCCTGCGTGGCGACCTGCATGCTGCCTGCGGTCTTCTTCGTCGGGACGGCTTCGAATTCCACCCGTTCCACGCGGCCGGCGGAGAGCTGGGTGCCGAAGAGGTGGCGCAGGTGCAGCTCGGTCGTGTCTACGGGGACGTTGACCACGAAGAGGGAGCGAGGGGTGTCGGGGTCGGGGATTCGTGGCTCATGAGGGCGGAGGTAGAGGTAATGCGTGGCAGGTTTTGCAGATGGGGTTTCGGGGAGTTGGATCGGGAGGACTGTGTAGCCGGCGATTTCCTGTGGTTCTTTTTTCATTTTGCCGAAATTGTGGTGGAAATGACTTGAATCCTGGGGTGGTCAAGGATTCAGGATAAAACAGAAGCAAATGGTTAGAGGAAAGGGTGGGCGGCGCAGGAGAAAAAATATACTGAGAGATTTGCGCGGGAAATTTTATTTGAGCTTCGGAAGGCGGAGAAGATCCGCCATTGAAGATACGGAACTAAAATCAAACTAGATACTCGACAACAACTGGCATAACAACGCAAGGTCTGCGAATAAAAAAGAAAAAAGAAAAACACTCAATAACATGGGATTGAATATGACCGTTTCTTTTTCGTGAAATGGTTTAAATTCTTTGCATATCTTATCTGCTTCCTTCATAATTCGGACTGTTTCGCACTGGTCGAACTATATTTTCTCGGGATCATTGATTCCCCCGTTGGTAATCACGTACGTCGCCTCCTTCTCAGGACAATCTGTAACATGTTAGAATAACAACATAGACTCCCCAGTGGATACAAACCGGGGGAATCCTGGATCTTGGCCACTCGCTCTTCTCCACGACCCTTTCGGAGAAGCACACGAGTCGTAGAAGCATGCGCGAGAACATGTCCACCCACGGGTTTGCGGCCGTCGGCTCCAGCGAAAAGAGCACTCGCACCGGGGTCACTTTGCACCTGGTTTGTCTGTCTAGAGGATTAGGTATTCTCTCGCCAGATGGAAAGTGAGTGCCACTGACCATCAAAACACAGACGTTGAACTCTACATCCAGAACCCATGTTAAGCCATGCAGAGCGCTAAAATAGAACCGAACGAATATCCATACCTTCAGCCATATGAGCAAGCTTCATCAAGAACTGATTCAGCTTCTGCTGACGATCTGCAAGTTCTCCGCGTCCGCAGTAATCCACCCGGAAGCAGTTCATGATACTGTCAATGATCAAGAGCCGGTAGTCCCCTGCAGCAAACTCTTTGCTCAGGGTGTTGAGTAGCTCCAGCTGATGCTCGCTGTTCAGGGCTCGTGCATAGGCAATGTTTTCCTGGGTCGAGTCGGGATCGACGCCAAAGCGCTCTGCGATCTGGGCAATGCGCTCTGGTCTGAATGTGCCTTCGGTGTCGATGTAGGCCACCTTGCCATCCGCACCGCCCATTTCCTTGGGTAACTGTGCCACCACGGACATGGTATGAGATAGCTGGGTCTTTCCACAGCGAAACTCGCCGAATACTTCACTGATACTCATACTCTGAAAACCCCTATAAGTCTCGGTGGTCAGGAACACAGCCAGTCGAAGAATACTAGGTACCATACCCTCCTAGTATAGAATCGAACTGCTTGCTTCCTGTCGAGATCTTGACGACCCTCTTCCGCTGGTGGCATAGTTCCATGGCGGTGATGAAGCCGGATGCAGAGGGCTGACGGAACAGTCAACACGGCGTGGGAACTGGAACCGGAGGATGGCATACCAAGCATTTTTGAATTGCATCTTTGATCTTTTCGACTTTCACCTCGCTAAACCCTTTGATCTTCAACAAAGTCTTCCGGGTGGCCCCATGGACGGACTGAATAGACAATCAATAAAAAGAGCAGAGTATGAGTGGATAGGGACGCGGTACCGCCACAGTGTAGAAGCCATTCGCCTTCAGCTTCGTGATGTCTGCAACGCCGATTCCTGTTTGTTGTAAGTCCTCGTTGTGCATTCTGAAGAGTTGGATGTACCATGGGCTTGGATGGAATCGATATCCACGATGAAAACCTGTGGAATCTCACATTAGGCGAAGGGATTGGAAAGGCAAGGAAGGTTGACTCTACATCGTCGTCGAATTCGTCGCTCGAGTTAGATTCAGGCATGGCGTAGTTTCCGATGAAACCCTTTATTGAGAGATGAGAGGTTGATGTTGGATTCCTATCCGAAGGCAGGATGGGTTGGCAGGTCAAAGTGGAAGGGGAGGAAGATGGCCAGCATCACGGGACTCCAATCAAACCAAACAACAGACATTGCTCAGGCTCGGCTCACTTGCGCAGGAGCCGAAGAATCAACATCGTTCAAAGGCATATTCAAAGATTGGTAGACCTGTGCCATGTCCTACGTCCTACTTTGATGTGAACTCTCCAATGCAGAGACAACCACAGTTTAATCCGACTAACTTCAACTCGAGGCAGCTTTTGTTTGTTGAGATTTGATATTTTTTGCTTCCAAATCGACGAATATCAGGAGAATATAGTACGAAAAGATGAGGAGGTAGCCACCGCGCCAGGTACCATTCTTCACTCACTCACGATCCTCAGCACAAACAGACCCATCCGTACTACCTCGAAGCCTTCTTCCCATGCATATCCACGCCGCTTGCGTCAGTCCACCTATGTCTCTCCTGCTCAATTAACCCGTCGCATCGCCTCGTCTCCTTCTTTTCTTGCCGCACCTATAATTCAAATGAGAGAGATACCCGAGGAGAACAAATAGACGCCAATCATAAGAACCTGAGCCGTGTATAGGATCCAAGCCGTAAAAGGAACCTTAGACATCGTGAAACTTTTTGTTCGTCGTATACATAATAGGAATAGAAAAAGGCCGGTGCCGAAACCTGAAACATTGGGGGGTGTAATATATGCAAAGGAAGAAACATGGGAGAAGAAGAATTCAAGACCGAGGTCGGCAGACCCGAATACAGAAAATAAACACAAATGGGAAAAAGATCAAACCAGGCTCCCTTGAAAGTATGCGGAAAATCAATCAAGGCGGAGAAAAAGAAAAGATATCGAAGAACGCCATTTATGCAACGGCGGTGGTGGGAGCCGCAGCCGCAACGGGAGCAGCCTCGGTGGCCTCAACGGCAGCGGCAGCAGGAGCGGCCGGAGCAGCACCGGCGTTGGCCTCAGCAGGCTGAGCAGAGGCCTCGTTGTTGGGGCAATCCCGAGAGATGTGACCGGCCTGGGCGCACTTGTAGCAAACCTTGCCGGCAGAGCTCAAGGGACCGCCGTTGGGGGCAGTGCAGTCACGGGAGATGTGGCCCTGCGAGAGAATGAGCAAAAGTCTTTTTAGCGCAACAGACAAGCACGAGAGAACTTACAAGCTTGCCGCAAGCGTAGCACTTCATGGCCTGAGCTTGGCAGTCACGAGCGAAGTGGTTGGGACCACCACACTTGTAGCAAGTCGCGGCGCGAGGGTAACCGCCATATCCACCACGGAAACCACCCTGGAATCCACCACGGGGAGCACCGGCACCACGGCCGACAGGGGCACCAGCACCGGAAGCAGGGGCAGGGCAGTTGCGCTGAACGACGTTAGGCCAATTCAACCAGAGACGGACTAAGGCGTGGGGTATAGACATACGGCAAGGTGGCCGGGCTGGCTGCAGTTGTAGCAGCGGCCGTTAGCACCGTTCAAACGGAGCGTAGGGCAGTCGGCCTGGACGTGGCCGAGACCCTGGCAGTTGTAGCACTGCTTGGCTAAACAAACATATCAATACCCGTGTACGGTTCGAGGGAGCAGGAGAAAAGCGCTTACTCTCGGTGGTACGAGGACGCGGGCAGCTGCTGGATTCGTGTCCTAGATCGAGGAATCATTAGATGATTCGGTCGAGGTTGTCGGTAACACACATGGCAACATACCAGGCTGCTTGCCTATTCAAGCGTCAATCCATTAGCCAAACGAAAACCAATCGCAACTATGGGGACCGGGTTCACGCACAGTTGTAGCAGAGACGCTCGGACGAAGAGCAGACCTCTACGTCACCCGATTAGCACAATCTCCGCGACAGTCGAATCCATTTGCCGTTTGCCAAAGCAACTAACCAGCATAGTGGCCAATGTTGCCACACTTGTAGCAAGCACGTCGAGACAACAACATTTTGTCGGTATAGTAAGCTGCGAAGAGAGAAGAGCGCCCGTCAGTCACTCAGTTTCATCCATTGGTATTGCGACTCCAGCCGCTCGAAGCATTCGTGCGCATCACATGAAGGTGTCGATAGACTGATTGGGTGCATTCAAGTTGCAGGCGGTTGCTTTCCAAGTCGAATATTCCATTTTGCAAAACCAGACGGTGTCTTCAAGGATAAAAATAGAAAACCAAAAAAGGACGATCGGTCGAGAAGGGTAGCAAAAGCGCAGCGAAAGCGAGCAAGAATCGGAGTTGCGCAATGCGCAGCAGATGCAACGAGAGCCAGAGTCACGGGACGACGGTCGACGAGAGACTCACACTTCTTTTGAAATCCACAACAAGCTTCAGATCACCTTGACAAGAAAGCTGTTCCGACTGTCAGCTTGAGAACCTTGGAGGAGCAGCACTTTCAACCGCCCACTGTCGAGACTCGGAAAAGGTGGGCTGACAAAGACAAGCGACTAAAAAAAAAAAAAAAAAAAAAAAGGACCAGACGATTCACAGCACACAAATCGCTAAAAAAAAAAAGACCACACTTACAGCAACTCTCCTCACGACACTCCAATCCCTCCTAGGCCTCGGAGCTAAATGCGATATGCGATATGCGACAGAGAAAAGATACGGATGGTTCCAACGTTCCGGAGGAAAAGCCGCTGCCCACAAAAGACGTAAGAAATAATCGATCGGAACAAGCGACGAGGCTAAACAGGGAAAGGCGGGGCCTCGTCCTTTCAAGGTCGGTTTGCACTGGAGGGACCTTTCTCTGGCCCGGGTCTACCGTCGATGCTTCTCGTCGAGACTTGGAAATGTTCTCTACTCTCCACTATCTTCCATTCGCACTACATATTCCGAGGACTTCCGAGCGTCGTGGTCGGCACCGTCGTGGAAGTGGAAGTGGAAGTGGTCGACTCCCCCGCGCCGGAATGATTGGCACGGGACGCACGGCCTGAGGCACATGTTCCCGCGGATTGGCGCCTTAGTCATCTGTCAATTAATTCCCCGATGCCCGGCAGAAACTACGGAGTAGGTATAGGTAGGTACTGGGAGTAAATGTACTTCATTCATGCATATATTACTAGGTCGATGCATCCGACAGTTGAACCAAAACATAAATCACTTGCATCCCGTCCCCCTTACTCTTCCTTCTCAATCACGGCGGGGGCCTTGATTTCACGGCCCTGCAGGAACTCGAGTCCCTCGCCGCCCTGTGCCATTCAATCCGCGTTAGCATAGAGTTCAATCCGTAAAACCAGAAGAGAGCTGCAGGAACACTTACGTAGCTGATCAACGGGGACACCTCGACGCCCACCGACTCGTCCTCGGTGACAACCACACCGCCGGCCTTCTCGATCCATCGCTGGCCCTGCTTCATGATGTCCCGCTTGCTGGTGTCCTGGTCATCCTCCCCGGTGCCCTTGGCGTTCTTCAACGGCGAGAACTCGTCCTCACGGCGCACCTCGATCGAGGCGAACTTCTCCAGAGGCGTCAAGGGGAAGACGTCAAAGACGAACTGTTCCAGCTTGACTCCGTTGGGCTTCTCGGGCTTGAAAGCCTCGCCGGTCTCGGCCAGGATGCAAGGGATCTTCTTGCGGGCCACGTGGTGGGGCAGCTTGTGCGCCCAGGTCTCGATCGAGTCGAAGAACCGGAAGGAGTAGTAGTGGTTGACGATGTTGGCAGCACGGAACTTCAAGACGTCGGGCTGCTTGGGGTCCTTGGCCTCGGCGGTCTCCTGGTCGATCTCCGAGTATTCGACCACGTCGGGCTTGCCGTTCTTCTGCAGGATCAATCCCACCGACTCGGTGGCGTTACGCTTGCGGACAACCTTGGTGGCAATGTCGACGTCCTTCGAGGCGGCAAATCCAATGAACACGGGGTCGGCAACCTTGACCAGGCAGTTGTCGACGCAGTAGGTGTGGATGTGCTGGATGCCACGCTTGCGCATGTCCTCGCGCACGCCGGAAGTGAGGAGGGCCTGGTAGATTCCACCGTTTCCATCGGGGGCAACGGCAACCTACAAAATGGGTTGACACCGGTCAGACTTCGATTTCCTCCGAATGGGGGTTGACAAAAGGGCCGAAGGGACCACATACCTTAGACTTGGACTCCATCATGATCTTTCCCTCGTTAGAAATGCAGGGCAGAACACCCTGCTCAAAGATGACCACATTGCTCGAGCTCAGGCCAAAGTATTGGTTCTTCTGGAAGAACTCCTCCGTGGGCTTGCGGGTAGGTCCGCTGGTCATCACGTACCAAGGAATCACGGCCTCCTTGCCGGAAACCTTCTGGGCCAGCTGCTGGAGCTTGGCAATGCGCTCGGCTTGGATCTGGAAGAGGGACTTCTGGCTGGGCAGCTCGATGTTGAAGCAGCCCTTGGGGGCGGAGCTTCCCAGACGAGTACCCTGGCCACCAGCCATCAGGACGACCGCAACCTTGTTCTCGGCGACGAACTGGAGACCCTCATCATACCACTTCTGAATATCCTTGGGGTCGGAGTCGAGAATGGAGGCCGTGGCCACGTCGGGCAGAGGTTCGAGGGAAACGGGGCCCTCCTGGGATTTGGCGGGGTTCAGAGCCTTGTCGGCCAGCTCGTTGATGCGGGTGGGGTTGAAGTTGTTCAGCTGGTGGAAGAGCTGAGTCTTCTCGGCGGGCTGCAGTTCGTTGACGAACGCAAACAGATGCCCTTGTCCGGCGTCGGTGTACTTCTGCTGCAGCTGCTGGAACTCTTCGGTGGAAGGCTGACGAGGGGCATCCTCGGCGTGGCCCGAGAGTTTGTCCACGATGTTGGAGACGGTCTCTTTGATAGCGGCAGCCATGATGGGCGATGATATTTATTTATTTACGAAAGAGGAGGGTCGGGTATCTCAAATAATCAAACAAGAGATGAACGGGAGGAAGGGGAGGGAGGGAGAAGAAGAGAGGGAGGGACAAGAATCAAGATTTAAGAACGAGAGAAAACAAGGGAGGAAGAGCAGAGGAGGGGGAGGGGGGGTTTTATTTAATCGGCCACGCGGGGTGAAGCTGAAGCTTAGGTTTCGCAAATCCCCTGACCGCCACGGCAACGCAATTTGTTCTTTTCTTGGGTTTCTGGTTGTCTGGTGTCTGGTTCAGACCATCTAATAATATTCGAATAATTCTCTATTCTTAGGGACTGGCATCCATGGACAGCCACCACGCCGATGCGACCGGCCAATCACGTCGCCCACGGCGGGGTGCGCCGTCGAGAAGCGTCGTGGGGCCGGTTTCACCGACTCTCTCGCTAGTGCAAAATCCAAAGCCTCCATTGATGATTGCTTCTATTTATTATCGTCGCCGGTACCGATCGTCACTGCGGCCATCTCGCGCTCGTCGCTCGCGCTCGTAGGGTCGATTGCGATTCTTCTCCCGCGGAGGACTACGGCTGTATGATCGATCACGGTACCGATCCCGATTGGAATTGCGTCGCGGACTTCGACTGGGCCTCCGCTCACGATAGGACTCTCCCCTGGGAGGACTCCGACTGCTGCGTCGTTCGCGAGAGACCGACCGTCGTTTCTGATCACGCTTCTCAAATACCATGGAATAATCCTCCCGTTGACGGGGGTTGTCGGACGTCCGGTACTGACGCTTTTTCTCCAGGCCAGCTACGCCACCAAAGCCTCCCCGTTGACCACTGCGCTTGGAAATCGTAGCGTTTCGCCAGCTGTCGGATAGTTTTGACACCTATAATGGGTAAAGGATGTATGAGTGAATTGGTCCGAAAGAGGCGGGCACTCTATACTCACACTCTGAGAGAAATCCACGTGGATGCGATGGTCATCGATCAGCACGCCTTGCATCTTGAAGTAGGCTTGTTCACAATCCTTCTGGTTTTCAAACTCAATAAAGGCATATTGTAGACTGTCTCCGGTCCGTTTATCCCGGATAACCTCGCATGATAGGATGCGACCAAAGCGACTAAAGATCAAGTTAAGATCCTCATCTAGCCCGATTCGTTAGCGTTCAGCACCAGACGATTCGACAGGCAGAAGGAAAAGAAAAAGAAATGACAAAAATAGTACCTTGCGTGACGGGGTTCAACTTGCAGACAAACAAGACGTTCTCTGGCGGCTTGACCTCGGCAAATGGAAGATCCCCAACCATCTCCAGAGTCAGCGCCTGAGCTCTTGCCTCCCGCTCTCGGCGAAGTGTCTCCATAGATTCTTCATCCATGTTGTCATCCAGATCCTCATCATCGGCAATCCGCACAGTCGCGAGCTGCGCCTTCGACGGTACAGGGCTTTCTGGCGGCTCCGTCAGGCCCGGGGGGTCGTCGAAAGGATCGTCCAGGACGACTGTATGGCGAATTCGGATGTCCTTCAGCGGTCGTCCGCGATCGTCGATGAAGGAATCGTTGACCTTTTCGAGGACATCGAACCCTTCCACCACCTTTCCAAACACTGCCGCTTTGCCGTCCAGGTAGTCCAGGTTGTCTCCTAGCGTCACAATGAACTGACTCGCAGCGAGGCGTAGATCGTCGTCGTGAGGCGACGGGACCGTAGCCATACTGACGGTTCCGCGCTCGTCATGTTTCAACTTCGGGGGGATCTCGAGGGGAAAGGTTCTCTTCGACGGGCCGTCTAGAAGACCCCAAATCGACGAGCCGCCGTCGCTTTCGGAGGAGTCGGGGCCAATGGGGTCGCCGGTCTGAAATGTAAAGCCTTTTTGCACGCTGTGAACGGGCGAGAAATTATAGTACTTGACTTTACATAGCTTTAGGAAGCTAGAGCGAGAAAAATGAACGGCTTTAGTTTCGGGTTCAGCTACTCGACATTGCATACGCACCACGGCCATGGCGTTTTACAGTCAACGACGGGGCAGACCTACTTTTCACATGGTTTCGGAGACTCATCGACCAGGAGGTCAATGACAATGTCACCGAGAGAAGTTTCTAGTAGTACGCTCATGGCGCTCTACCGGCAGCTGCGCGATGCGACGACCAACGGTGCGCGAGCAGAGGGGAAACAAAGAGGAAATCCGACAGGTCAAAAAATTTGGAATTGGCCGGGGGGTAGAGAAAAACAGGTCAAATCAAATAATTCGGGGGCAAATCGAAATCGAATTAAAAGCTTGAGCCGAGTGGAGCGATAATGAGCTGCAGGAGAGCTCAACGAGAGGGAAAGAGAGAAAGAAAGAGCGCGCGAGCAATGAATTAACGAATGATTGATGACGGCAAATTGACTAAGCAGCAGCCGTCAAACGCGTCGATCCGCAGGGATTCCCTTCCCTTTCCTTGCCTCCTCTTCGGGTTTCCCTCTCTTCTCCTGCTCTTTGGTTTCGTCTCTTTCGAGGTTCTCGATCGCGGGTGGGTGACAGTCATACGACTGCTGCAAATAATAAATGGTTTGATGCTCAGTGACTCCGCACGTCTTCGACTCTCTCGAGGGACTCCTAACTTTCGGATCGTCCATCCGGCGCTCTACTGTGTAACGACTGCTCTTCTGATCCCAACGGCATATCTTCCGGTACACCCGTTGGACAAGAAAGTCAGTCTAGGGGGTAAAGGACAACGGGCCTGAACGCAGGCTTCGGCGGGCCGCTGTTTGTTCGGAAATTTCGCGCAAGATGGTCGATTCCAGAGGTATCTGGATGATCTGCTTCCATCGGAGTATACGTCGAGTCTTGATACTCCGTACCGTGAAATAATACCCAAGCGCTACTTTGATCGACATTTTAGCACTAAGATTACCTACCAGACTATCAGAGTACCAAAGCTAGAATCAGATCTTGGCTTGGAGCACGAAATGAAAACGCAGAGCGAAGCTAATGTGGCACCGCTGCTTGACCGTTCTTTTCTGCCTTCAGCACAGCGTTTCACAACAGAGGCGTTGGAAAATAAAACGGTCGGTCTCCTGCAGGCCGGTCCCAACAGCTAGTCAATAGACCTGGCGTTTTTAGTTTTACTAACCTTCCTCCCCCCTCGTACAAACTCGGTGGCGATGCTAGCATTTCTCCCTGGGAAGACACGTGGTGGGGGTTTCGTTTCTTTATCTATCAATTTTATTCACTCTCTTGACCCTTCTACTCCCTCTGGATCTTTCAGGGCTAACGAGTGACGAGCAAGTCTGACTGGCTCTGGGCATTCGGTGGCTGGGCCTATTGCCAATAGCAGGCCCTCACCAACCAAACAGTTGACCATGATTCGCATTCTCCGCCTTCAAATTTTAATATCGTTATCGTTATTTTATTTCATTCTGAGTGGTCCTCACAAACACCATCCGTCAAACTGAGTTTTTTCTTGACTATGAAGGCTGAATGGGGAACGACGAAGCCCGTTGGCTTTCTCTCTGAATCCTTTGAAAGGGCTGAATTGAAACCGTTCCAATCAAGGCTGGCCATCGAATCTTGGTTTGAGCACAGGCGAATGGTAATGGACCTAACGAGCTACGTCAGGCAGAATCTTTCAGGCCCCTGAACCCCGTGCATACTGATCTCTCGGGGCCCACGCCCTTGTCATCCCAATTTGATGGCGCCGGTGGATCGTTATACTTAATTTTATCGCTAAATTGGATTTCTTTTTCTTGACCTTGCCCTTCTATGGGCCCCTTAATTTCAAGCAGCTTCTTCGCCCGTTTAACACAAACTACGGGCAGATTTGGAATCGTTTCAGAAGAAAGAGACCCGGAGAGAGGTACGCCAATGTTTTCTTTCCAGAAAAAAAGGGGGTGCTCAGAGAAGGACGACGTAACTTGATGCACAGATGCAGATCCAGCCCGGTGACCTGGACACAGGTTTGAAGTCGGTCCATTTCTGCCAGGGCTTCGTTCTGGTCCGTCTTGGCTACTCCGTACTAAGCCTCAATCGCCCTCCATGAGATTGAGGTGATCTAATCGACCTGACCTGGTGCTCTAATCATCGCCTTGCCTATGAGACATTGGTGTAATCCTTTGGTCAAACTCGTTTGCAAGAGTCCACCCTCCTTTCCAATCCTTGTTTGAAATTATTTTATCATTGAAACTATTATTATTATTTGACTACCGTCTACTAATTGATGGGTCTCTCAAAGGGGCACCGTCGTTGCTCAAACCTGCATCGCAAAAAAAAAAAAAAAAATAGTAATAATAACGATCATCATGACTTGTCAAAAGTACTGCTGAGCCGAGTTTGGGCCGCCGCAAAGCAATTCAGTTTGTTTGATATCGAAGACTGCCAAAGCCGAGCCAATAGGCGTCCCAACCATCCAGGATTCCAACGAGCAAACATTTTCCCCACAGCCGTTTCTTTCCAACCCCCAATAAATACATTTGGCTGGGGGAATTCCTGCAAACGTAATCGGCGGCTGTCCGCTCAGCGACAGCATGCAGCCTGATATTGGCGTTGCTTATCACGTCAAGTCTGGCTGGGGCGTCCCCCGCTGTTCAAAGACGGCGCTGGTGAAAAAGCAGAGCAGCTGTGGACCCTGGCTGCCCGTCGATTGGTTAGAACTTACTCGCAGCAGCGATCATTCTCTCCCAGTTTTCAGCTTGACTCGTTCTGGCCAACATCAGGTCATTGTACGACGTTACAGTGGGACAAACCTCAGACCACCGGGGTATTCTGGCCGTCCAGCCTGCTATCAGGACTCACCATGCTGCTGGGGCATCCAGCCTAGGTGGTCCTTCCATTTTGTTCCATTTTGTTTACAGAACCAAAAATTGAAATGCCACAACGGCAGTCTGCATGGGGACTGGGTACGACAAAGCAGAGGAGGATCAAATACCAAATGAGTACCTCTTCTGCATGATGAAAGGAGTGGGTGGGATCCTCATTCCTGGAATCTTCTGGTTCCAGAAGAGGTTATGATCGGTCGAAACGTCCATCAACGAATCAACGGGGCATTGTAGGGCTTGGACCAACAAGAGGGGAGCAAGTAAAAAAATCAAATCAAATCACGAAAACCCGACAAAAAAATTAAAAAAATAAAATGAAACGAATCCAAAAGGAACCGTCAGGGCAAAAAGAAAAGACTGACACATGGACCTTAAAATCTGACCTTGCTTCCGACTTAAGCCCTCCTCGTCCTTCCCGGTTCCTTTTTGAATACTAGACAGTAGATGGAGCATGTTGGACAAGCCATCCCTGATTCAGTGCCCTTTTATGCTTTCGTCCCCCGGCTACCTTTCGCCTGGTGTTTCTTTCGAAGTTTCTTGGACTTGGTTTGACTTTTGGATGTGAGTCTCGGAGGGACTATGATGTTTTCATCCGCACTAATGAACGAAGCAATGGCCCATCCTTTCTATTCTCCCGAGGATGAGGCTGTCTTTGATCAATCTGCAAAGCGAGACCCTCTTTCCGTGTCCCATTCCTTTCGAGGTGATGGGCCCCAGGACCTAATAGACAGGAGCACCGACTGTGTGAGTCCTGTGCCCGATCTAGATGGCAAAGGCCGAAACCCGGCGCGTCGTCGAATCCAGGTTGCAGTAAGTACTGTTCAACTCTCATGCATACTCTCTTGGGTGTGGACAGGATCCATTTCTTACCGTCAAATAGTGTCAGCGATGTCGGAAAAGAAAGATCAAATGCAGCGGCGACATGGGCAATAGCAGAGGCTGCTCAAATTGTGTTAGTGCTGGAAATACCAACTGCCAATTCTTGAGGGTGAGAGAACCATCATGCCACTGGATAGCGAGAAAGATGTTTGTGATATATGTGCTAAGACGACAACCCAAGGTGAATTCGTCCATGCTGCAGACAAAAGTGACTGGTTGGCCGTATGCCGCGATGAACGCCGCAATCTCTTCATCCCAGAGGATAGGCTTCTATGCGCCTCCTATTACCCCAAAGATGGGTGGCCCACTGCCAGTCCATCCGTCCTTTCGTGCTGCCTCGATTTCACGACATGTGCCAACTACCTACGAGATGGGACCCGCCGATTCTCCATATCCCTACGGTCGTCAGCCTTTTGGAATAGATCATGCCATCAATTACGAGGACGAGTCCTCGGAGGCGTATAGTAATCCCCAGTCCTCGGCATACATGATCCCCAGCACGCCTGCGACTGTTCTTGCAGACTACTGCGAAATCCCATGGAACCCCAAGGCCTGGAATTCTGGCGGTGCCAGTTTTAACCGAGGCCCGAATCCTCATGTCTTGTTCTCAGCTCCAGAATCTGAAGGCAGCGTGCACCCACCAGCTTATCCGTACCTGATCTCGACACCAGGGGGTACCCCATCGACTGACCCGTCATCCGGGGCACCTCTGTTGGCGCCTTTGTCGCCCGAAGGGCAGGGGACCGATCGGACTCTTCCCAATCCTACCGGCCGCTATCATGTCGGCCTTTCGAGTCTACCGACCTCGCCGGAAGTCATCTCAGGCTTGCCTCTTCCCCTAGACTATAGGGTATCCAATGCCTGGAGCAGCTGCAAAGGCGCTACTAACGGTGGTGCTCGCACCCCCGGGCCGCCGATGTCGAACGGAGGCTCGCTGGGTTCCAGTCCTCTGGCTCGGACGAAGCCGTTTCCTCCCAACACACACGATGCGGTACTGGGATTCTTGCCCTTGACTACGGTAGGGACACCGTCACCATTGCTGTCATCCAGCGGCACATTCACTACCTCCACACTGGATGCGTCCGATTCGGGGGATGAAATCCGTGGCAACGACACCCGATTCACGAGGGCCCTGTCTCGCGAGAATAGCCGCCTGCTGTCCATCGGGGAGGGCAGCTCGGACACCTACCGGTATATCACGACCGAAAAGGCGAACAAGAAATGCTCCGAGGCGGGTGATTCCGGCCGGCCTGGGACATTGCTGAATGGGCTTCCCTATACGCGGCCCAAGCCATCGGACTATGAAGTTCCCTTGCCGTACGGTGCTCTTTCAACGGAAGCATCGACAGAGGTGCACCGGGCTCCAGTCCCCGCCCTGAGTAAACCAGGAACGTTCTGATGCATGAACGCCGAGTCGCTGGGGCCATCCTGCGTCGGACGGAATCCGACTGCTGGCGTCTACAGGCCAAGTCCAGCGGCAACGGTTGCTCTGCGCACAACATCGGGGACGAAAATCAAATAAATCCCGCACTTGACGTTCCCCTGTTCTCTCTCTCTCTTTCTCTATTGCCACTCTAGATGATCTTCGTTTCAGTTGTTTCGATCCCTTTTCATTCCACCCGTCTCTTTCCCTGTCGTTCTGGACGACTGGGATGATTCCAAATATCACCCTTGACTGTACTACTTCCTTGGAACATCCATTAATGTCTGCTTACTGTTTGTCATCATTTTAAGAACCCAGAAAAAAGAAACGAAAGAAAAAAAGAAAGTCAATGTTACACTAATACTGGGGCTGGGGCTGGGCTGGGCTGGCAGGAGTGTGGTTGCATTTAGGGTCGGCAATCTCTTTCATTCTCGTTTCTCCATCGTTTTATTTTTATTCCACTTTGATTTTGACTTTGACTTTGACGTGCTCGAACAGGGCCGGACCGCAGTTCCCAGGGCGGCAGATTTGGGCGTTTTCAGCTCGTTGGTGTTTCTTTGTTTCCTCACGGCGGTTATGCGTGCGTTTCCTGGATTTCTGTTTGTGTTGCCTTTTCTCTCTTGTCGTCTGTCTGGTTTTGTGATCCATTATTCTTGACTCGTTGATACCACCGCCTAATTGGGATCGGCGCATAGTGTGGCTCTTGTCTAACATTTTGTTCATTTTTTTTTTTCTTTTTCCTACTCTGTTTTTTTAACGGCGAAGCCAGTCGGTCATACTTCATTCCTTTGACAGCAACAAAGAAATAATCTTAATCTTTCCCTACCTCTCAGTGGTCCACAGAATTCCAAATCATATTCTATGATAAAAATAACCATGACTATGCCAGACAAAGAGACAGGGAATTAAGCTCAAGATGATTCCTTGGCTTATGGTGTTGTTCTTTGCTCTGGTTATCTTGGATCCTTGTTTGTAGATAGACCTACTTACTTACTTGCTCCATGAAGCAGACGCAGACGCAGATACGGTATCTGATTTATTGGGTCTCTACCAGTGAGGGGGGAAGATAAGAGCGAGGAGAATGTTGAGATTGAGTAAGGCCCTTCAATTCAACATGTACGACTCGACAATACCTTCTCTCATTTGGCCCTACAGCCCAGCCCAGCCAGCCCGACTCAGCTGAGACCAGACAGTCCAAGTCCAACCCACAGCTGAACGACACCAGACATAAGAGAAACAGACAAGGGTCTAGACTCCCTCATCTAGAATCCAGAATCCAAACCTAAGCAGCACCTGGGACAAGGCCAAATTAAGGAGCCACCGAGCCAGCAGCGTAAGGCAAGACAGGACAGGGTAAGGCAGGGTAGGGTTACGGCGTGTATCCCCGGGGAAGAAGGGAAGTCTGGTCTGCGCCCTGCTGGGTAGTGAGACTGCACTGGATCCAGCTGGGATGAACATGTCGAGTGTTGGCAGGGAGGGTCGCACCGATCCAGAAGACATGTCTGTGTCTGTGTGTGTCTGGTAAAACAGTCTACGACCTACGCGGCAACACAGCCCAGCCGCCCGTGCCTCTGGATCCGGATGCGTTGGGGCCGAGAGACTTGCGTCGGTGGCACCGGTGATAGGGGAACACTGGATGTTGGGAGGGACGTGTCACGGTGTTTCCAACCGGGTGGTTCCGGGGAGGAACTTAGCTCGAGGGGTCATTCGATGGGAGTTCGATGACGAGTGTGAGAGAGGAAGTTAGGATGAGAATGTAAAAGCAATAACATGGGGAAGTCATTTTATTTTTGTTCAATCCGCCCCATTCCCAGATTCCGAACACCGAGAAGTGATTCTATTCCCCCACAAAACAAAAAAAGAAGTTGATCTCGGGTTGAGTTCAGATCAGATCAGAGAGAAGACAGATGGTGGCGGGTTTGTCAAAGGCTTCAAGTGGGCCTCCTGGAGAGAGAGAGAAGGAAGAAAAAAAAAGGAAGTTCGCTTTTTTAGTTTTTTTCTTTTCTCAAATTGTGTTGTGTTTTTTGTTCAAATCGTCACAAGGGTTGGTTTTCCACGGGTATGATAATCAAACGGGGGCAAGATGGTATAGGTAGTAGCGCTAGCAGTACTGGAACAACACTGGTAGACACCATGGGACCATTTGCTCAGGTCAAACCTATCATACACCCCCACAGGAGGGCCGCCATTATCATTATCATCTTCTCCATCGCTATCGTCCCCAGCCCCTGGCCGCATCCGAGTCCACCTCCAACAACCACCGCCTTCCCATTCACCCAGTCGAGATTCCACCGAGAGAAGGGGTTTAGTTCTTGGCCTTCTTGGGGCCCTTGGTCTTGGCGACACCGCGGAACTTCTTGGAGCGGTTCTTCCGTTGCTTGCCTGTTGTGTCGTGTTAGTTTTCCATCCGCCAGAACTGCTGGTATTTTTTTTATGAAAGGCGGATCCACGCAGTGTAAAAACAGAAGGTGTGTAGACGTACGCTGCTGTCGGCTGGGCTTCTCCACCTTGGTGGCAGCACCGATGCGGACGAGACGGTAGGCAGGCTCGAACTTCTTCAGGGCCTCGGTGGAGTCGTAGACGAGAGCGAAACCAGTGCTCTTGCCACCACCGTACTGCGTACGGAAGCCGAAGACGGAGACCTGGTCCTTGTTGGACTTGTACAGGTCGGCGAGCTTGTCGCGGAGCTCATCCTTGGAGACGTTGGCACGGTTGGGGTGGAGGACGTCCCTATAGTTTTATCGCGTTAGATGACGGAGTTCTGGACAGAGAAATGGAAAATCAAGAAGTGCTGGCTCGGTCGATCGTTGCGATTCCAGATTGCAAATTTCTCAGTTCCCCGCGTATTTGGTTTTCCCTCCCTTTCTTCTCACGGTCGTCGTATCGGAAATGTCTCTTCGAACCCCAGATTTTCATCTTGAATGTTCAAAAAATATCTTGTGCAATATCTCCTCCATCTCTTTCTTCATCTTCATCCCGTCGTAGGTCCAAATTTGCCCCATGCCGAACTGAGATCGCAACCGCCGAGCACAGGAAACGGGGAGAAAAAAGCAAGTAGGATGGTGGAAGTCTTACACGACCATCTGCTTACGACCAAGCAGGGGGTTGCGGATGAACTTGCGAGTCCGCAGGGTAACGGGAGTGTCGGCCATTGTTGCGGGAAATCTGCGTCGTCGAAAGGGACGGAGAAGTTGAGGCGGGTGGGATTGTCGAAGTCGCTGTCGGCGGGCTCGAGATGTTCAAGACAATTTTGGGTTCGTTTCGTTGTGCAGCGTGGGCTCTCGGCTAGCCGTCCCGCTAGCCGGATGGGGTTAGCCTGCACGTGACTGCGGGTCTTCTCTCTACAGAGCATCTCTACAGTATCTCTACCTGTATCTCTACCTCTATCGCTCTCTCTAGACCCTCAGATGCCGCATCCTTCGTGTTCTTAATCATGTCCTCCCTCACCCCCCACGTCGACCTGCTCGCCCGCCATTTCCACGAACAGGTCGACCCCCACCGCCTCCCTCTCCCCCACGGCCGCGCCATCGTCCACCCCGCCGTGCAGAGCACCATCTACGAACAAATGTTCAACGAGGCCTCCCTCTGGCCCATCCCCCCGGTGAACTATCGGGCACGCGTCCTGAAGACGATTCTATCTCGGATTGAAGAAGCGATCAGCGATCCAGAGGAGGATGTATGAAATCCATCCCTTGCCATTTCGTATGCAGAAAAAGAAAAAGATCTATATTCTCATCGACAACCCTCTCCCTCTTTCTTTCTCCCCAGGAAATCCACCCCGACCTCATCGATGCCTGGTCCACCCTAATCTCCCAACCCAAACCGTCCTCCACCATCCAACAAGCCCAACAACTAACCTACATCAAATACACCGCGCCGACACCCCCGCCGGCTACCCCACACCCCTCACCCCCCAGAACCGTGATCACCTCCGAGTCGCGCGGCCTGATCCTCGCCGCCGGCACGACGGGCTTCCGCACCTGGGAAGCCGCCCTCCACCTGGCGACGTACCTGTCCACGCCGGCGGGCGAGGCCCTCGTCGCGGGGAAGAGAGTCATCGAGCTGGGCGCAGGTACCGGCCTCGTGTCGATGTTCTGCGCCGCGTACCTGCGTCCGCGCAGCGTGCTGGCCACGGATCGGGAGCCCGCGCTGATCGAGAATATTCGGGACTGTGCGCGGAGGAGTCTTCTTCCCGAGGGGCAGGGGCAGGGGCAGTTCGGGGCGGCGGTGTGGGAATGGGGCACGCCGTTGGGTGGTGGGAGCGATGATGGTGGTGATGGTGATGAGAACCGTGACCCTGACGGTCCGGCTACACAACCCCGCGGAGATACGAATGAGACACCCGTTGAATTCGACGTTGCACTTGGTGCGGATTTGGTACGTGACCCTCCCCCCCCCTCCTCTTGTATATCCCCGTAGTACACGTTAGGATAAAAGAGTAAGATACCTAGGGTAGGATATATACTAGACCCACCTGATCTAGCATATCTGCCATGTAAATAAAACTCCGTAAAGCATAGGGAACCGGTCCCCAAGCGCAATCTTCAAATGATGAAGGGAAAAGAGGAAAGGACAAACTAACCACCAGAATCAGATCTACGACACCGATCTTATCCCCCTCCTCATCTCCACGCTGCACGATCTCTTCAAGAACTACGGTATCAAGGAGTTCGTCATCGCGGCGACTTTGCGGAATCAGGAGACGTTTCGGACGTTTTTGGACGCGTGTGGTGGGTTTCCTCCCTTTGGTTTCTCTCCCTTACTTTCTACTTGTGCTTACATCCTCTAGAAGAAAATCGGCTCCGGACGGATCAAGTCCCGTTTGAATCGCCCCCGCCGGAGGAGCAAACGGGCTTTTTCCATTCGACGGAGGTTCCCATCCGCATGTATCGCATTACGCAAAAAGAGGATCAATAAACAGGAGCAACCAGGCTGGTGGCCCAGGGATTTGCAAGGTAAAAGATTTGTCATTCACTGTAAACGGACTGTAGTCTGAGACGCAGCTGTAGGCTTTAGACGGTCAACCTCGCCCGATCCCTAATGAAGCAACACAAATGAATCTTATCCCCTGAAAAGAGCCGACTCGTACATGTACAATAATAGTCAGTGCAACATATGCCTGCCAAAAAAGAGAATTGGAAGAGTGTCCGCTCGTGGGGTATCAAGTCAAAATTGATCTATAAACAAAAGGCTCCTTGTGATGGAAGTTGCTACCCAATCACATGCAAAAAGCTAAGGCAGGAGGATGAGTCCGCCGCAAATGAAGGATATGAGAAGTGGATAAGGATGGACAAGATGACACTGCTGAGTGTGAAGATACAATAATTACAAAGAAAAATGTCGGGGCAAAGTAGCATGGTGGGGTCGGCGTGCGAACGAGGCACACAGAATATGTGAGCAAGCCAAATCATTCGGCTAGACTCTCTCTCAGAAGGTTCTCGTCGATTTGCTCGGCATGTATAGCAGCTGGCGCTCGCGGAGAAGGTCGGAAGCCCATGATCGGACCCTTTTGGTTGACGCCTGGATACCGGAACCGCAAACTCGGAACCGACTCGGCTTTGAGGTTCTGTGAATTGCGGCCTAAAGACGGGTTGGAGGACTCTGAGCGCATTGAGGATGCACACGACGCGTTTTCCTCTGCGTGGGGCTGTAAGGCCCCGTTGGTCGCCACAGGGGCGGTGCCCCAGCGACCTCGGACCCAGCCGCCAACACGGCGACCAATGGATATTTTCCGAGCAGGCGTGGGCGCGGTAGAGTCGGGGCGAACAGTGTCCAGGGAAGCAGGCCGAGTTTCCGGCATTGGGTTTCTGCTGGCAGCGACCGAAGCCAACAGCGTCTGGGGACATTGCTCCGAGCCCCTGGAGGGTTCGCGGCCGGCATTGACGGTAGTAGTCGCGGTCACCGGTGTAGTAGAGAAGCGGTCGGACCCGTACGACATGATGCGGCGTGTCATGTGAACGGGCAAGGCGGCGGAAGGCAGATCGCTCAGGCGTGATGGACGGCGGCTGGGGGTATGGATGTCCATGCCTGCCACCGAGAAGAGACTCTCGTGAGAGGCAGCGCGGCGCAGAGACCGATATGGCGTCGAGAAGGCTTCGTCGGGAAGTGCTGGCGAACGAGCCCGTTCAGACTCCGCATACTGCACCGACGACGAAGAATCCTCTCGTTCCTCGGGGATGACGGGTTCGAGTGGTGCCAGATCTAGGCTGTACTCGTTGAATAGATCGTCTTCCAAATGATCGTCGCCTTCTGACCCATCCAGTGGGCGAGGCCCCGTATCGAACGGACCATTCTTGGAGCCATAATTTCTAAGAGGAGACAGAAGCACAGTACTCTCCGGGCTTGTAGCTTGGGACGAGAAGCCGCGTTCCACACGGTCAAAAATAGATGAAGACCGATATGCCGACTGCGGCGAGCTCGCCAGTGAATCTGCGGTGGACGATTGTAGAGACCATCGATGTGAGGGCCCTGGAGGGATGGAGACGGAGGTTTGAGATAAGATAGTCGATGTTGAGGATGTAGAGGACTGAGATCGGTGCGTTGATTTGCGGGCCAGCTGTGTGCCAGACGCCGAGTGCAAGACTGAAGGACTGCCGAGCGAACGCCTTTTCTTCGAACGCCGGAAGAGCGTGGCCTTGTCCTTCTTTGAACTGGCCGATACAGGCGGCGTATGGTAGTGATGATGGATATGAAACTCTTGCGACACTCGGCGCGGCTCTTTCGACTCAAGTTCCTGACTCAATGTCGTTGCATGCTGGGGTCTCTCGTCATCGTCACCCTCCGTTGTCGATGCCAGCGGTTGATGTGACAGAATCTGATCCCGCAGACTTTGTACCTCCTGGTTAGAGCTCTCGAGCATCTCCCGTAACTCCACGATTCCCATTTGCAAGTTGGCATTGTCCTGTAGGATGTCCCGCACGAAGCGCGACACCACCGTTCCGCCGTGGTCACGGCCCAATTCTTGAGCTGCCGCCGCCCCCTTCAGCCGTCCGGCAGCGCCGTCGAGTTCTCGTTCCACGGCCCGTCTTCGCTCCATGCGCTGAACCAAATCCGAATGACGATCGCGCTCTTCGCGGGCCTCCTTTTCAATCCGATCGACCTGGTCATGCAGGTCTCGCAGAGTGCATTCGGCGTTCTTCCAGCGTTGAATCGCCGACTTGGAGTCTTCCTGGGCAGACAGCAGACTTTCCTGCAGTTTAAGCTGTTCCACCTCCATCTGGGCCAACTGCGCCTCGAGATCGGCCGCACGCGCAGCCGAGGCCGTTAACTTGCGAAGCTCAGCTTCGGCGTTCTCCAAGCTGACGGCCAGCGACTTGGCATGAGAATCCGAATCCGCCACGGCCTGGTTCAGGCCGTCCAGCTGCTCCAGGAGGCCCCGATTCTCTTCAATGATGCGTGCGTTCTCGGCCTGGGCCTGACGCTTTTCGCGCTCGAGACTTTCGATGTTGGCCAGTAACCGATGACGGTCCTCCTCGGCCTCCGCCATGTAGGACTCATGGCGATGGAGTAAAGCCTGCAGCGCAAAGGTTAGCGATGACGAGCTCATGTCGACGCCTGCAGAGGCAGGTTTCTCATAGGAAGCGGCCATGACGGACTAGAACGCAGTGTGATAGGATAGGGGATCCGATCTTTGCCGTCGCCATATGAGGTGAGGTGAATGTTGACAGAGTACTCGAGCCCATTGTTTGGTCTTCATCCGGTTTTGGACCGAACATGACGAAAAGGGTAATATGCAAATTCCAGAACGCAAGCGGACAAAAGTAAACAAGCCGGCAAGAAAACAAAGCCCCCACAGTGTATAGATGTATTCAAGGGATGAGGAAAATCAAAGAGATGGAAGGGAGGGGAAGTATCTACAAACGAGCTCAGGCCAACAGGCACAACCCCTCCCAAATATGGGCAATGACGACTCGGCATGGATCTTCAGGCACAAAGAATGAGAGACCTAATACGTACCTGACCCAATCTAGCGGCAGTGGCCAAGTCCTTCTCCAGCCCCTCCAAGGCGACATTATTATGATGAAGGAATGCACAGTCATTACGGCCACAGCAGCAGCGGAGGGCCGCCGGAGTGGTGGCCGAGTGGGTAGGAATGCAGGGAACCTGACTAGCCAGGGCCGGACTATGTGGACGGGAAGAATCCATGGCTGGCAAGCAGAATGCGGCCTTTCCCTTTTGCACGAGCGAGAATAATGTGCTGGCACCCCTTGACGGAGCAGTGAGCTGGGGGGTGGAGGCGCCAGATCATCGAGCTAGAAGAGACCAGACGGGGTTGGTGGAGCTGGGCGTGAGTTGGAGCAGAGAGAGAGTCCGAGGGAAGGAAAGAAAGAAAGAACGGACGAGAGAGATCGACTGCTCTCCACCATCGCATCGACTGAAGGAACAGAAAAAGGTCATTGGAAGACTCGCCGGTCGTTCCTGCCGCTTCCAGAGCGCCTGCCGTACCGTCACCGCCTCGTTTTGTCAGCGCCCGTGACCGCCACTCCCGCCGGTATTGCCGTATCGTATGGTCACGCCGCTCGCTGCCTGAGGTTTCCGAGGATGCACGTCATCCTTCCTACGCATGACCCCTTCACGTAAGACAAAAGTAACGTATCATGGCTTGTATTCTAACTCCTATGTCCCACATATTAATCCCCCCCGACTCGATTCCATAAGACCGACTTCTGCACAGCGCATCGCTGGCCTCAGGATCGTCGTATCGCATTGACGCCCAATATCTCCTGCGCCCCCTGCAGATGCATCATGTTGATTGGTTGAGGGGCATATGTCCATTGGCTACTGTCCAGTGTCCACGCCGAGGTGAAAGAAATCAAAGCGTTGAAAATAAAGGGAGAAGAAAAAGACGTCGACTCATGATACCGTAGGTATATCCACCGAATCAGGGCATGGTATGAACGAACGGGAGAGTCCCGGAGCCAAGGAATAAATGAGTTGAGAAACGAAAAGAGGGCAATCGTTCGAAGTCAGATTTCAAGATGCCAGTCCACCCGAGAAAGAAACAACAAATAGAAACTCAATCTCCTCTCTCCGGTATGCGAGCGAGGAATTTAGAGCAAAAAATCATTTCGCACGTTGATAAACGCCCCGGCGCCGCCCTCTTCACTGATCTCGGTGATCAAAACCTCGGTCTGCTGGTATAGCCGCTCCAGAGCAGCCGACGACGATTTGCCCAGTGACACTGTTGCTTGTTAGTTGCCTTTGCGGCTGTCCCGATCCTACAGAAAATCAGATAGGAGAAGCCTACCTAAAATGGCCGAGTTCAACTCCTCCGCGACCGCAATCCGCCCGGCAGGGTCGAGGTAATGCCCATGCACCGACCGTTTCGGGTCTTGATAAGCCACCAATGAGAAGATGTCGTCCAGCATCTTCTTGTCGCCTCCACGCTCGTCGTTCGGGTAGTCCAAGCGCAGCTGCTGCCCGTATTGAACCGCTTCGGTGAGAAGGATGTTGGATTTGGCGTTGTGCTCCGGTTCCTCCATGTCCATTCCGTCCACTTCCCAGCCATCTCCGTCGTGGTTTTGCTCGTCGAGTTCCATCTCTTCGTCAACGATGGCGCTGCTGTCATGCACCCCGTTGGAGGCCTTGGGCTTCTTGGACGCCGCAAGGGACAACTCGTGGCAGCGACGCATCATTTCCAGGAATTTCCGGCATCGTAATTTAAAGTGAATATGGGGAAACGACTGCAAGACATTCGCGTAATAGGCGTTGGTATACTTCAAGGCCTTGTCGATGTCCCCCTCCAGTATAGCCGCTCGAATTTCTAGTACAGTTAGTCGACAAAGTCCCTTCGGGAATATGAGGAGGGGTCGGATACGCACTCTGCCGATTGACCGCTTCAACGTCCTCTTCCACCTCGTACTTCTTGAGGGGCTCCTGACGCCCGTTCTCCAGGGCGGCCGATTCCGTCGCCACCTCCTCAGCAAATGCCCGAGCTGTTTCCACGTAACCGTCGTGAGCCAAGAACTGCGCAACGAGCTCTTGAAGCAAAGCGGATTCGTCCAAAGGTGGCTGGAGGTTGGCGGTATTGATGGCACGGATATCTGAGTAGATCGAGGTTTTTTCTTCCTGTAGACTAGGTGAGGCTGAATCCCAAGGCAAGAGGAAGACGACTCGGAACGTACCTTGACCATGCCGTCGATATCGAACATGAACGGTTGCTGACCGAAGTTTGCGGCCAAATGCACGGGGGGTTGCTTCTTCATTCCCACCGACGGGTATACCTTGACGTTTTGCAGTTCCCGGAAAGCATTGCCTGAGGAAGCAAGGTTGACGTTAGCCTGTGATACTGCACCAGTCTCACATATCCCGGTACATACCGAGAAAGACGCCGTTCTTAGTGAAGAAAGCACACCCGGTCGCGAAGTTCACTCCGCAGCCCACGGTATCGTTAGCACCGAAGGTAGGGCCGTATTGTTTTCCTTGCCCTTGGCTTTCGCCAAAGAACGATTTACCATCATCGCCGTGATAAGCCCACGATTCTTGCTCCCACCCGGGGAGTCGTTCAACCGATGCTTTATGGCTTGAAAACCCGATTCCGATCATTCTAGTGCAAGTCAGCATCTTCTGCCCTGTCCCTCTCTTTCCCCAAAGCATGAGGACCATTCAAGCACAGGTACATACCCTTCTTTCGGTTTGGAGAGAATCGTTATCTCAAAATAGTAGATGCCACACTGTGGGGGCATCGGATTATCTGCACGGACGGCGGCGGCTTCGTGCTCGTGCTTATTGACGGGGCCCGTGTATCGAACCTCCAACCCCCCATTTGTCAGTTCCAGACCGGCATATTTGTCGCCATCGCTCCAGCGGGATGGCAGAGGCAAGAGGTGGTCGTCGTCACCGGGCGGTTCCCTCTCGATGATATCATACGTCATGCCGCGGTGTGAGGGTGCTATCCGAGGTAGGCTCCCCTGGCTCGAGGATGTGGATAGAGGGTTATTGGGAGCGGACGGGGAGCAGACGGCATCTCGTTGGGATGCCAGTTTGGCTCGTCGAGCAGCATCGAGGCGGGCGATGTAGCGGGAGTTGCGGAGATAGGAGGGCGTGAGGAACGAGGCGGCGGGATCGGACAAGCCGCCCGGGTTGTGGAAAAAAGGATCGAAGCACGAGAAGCCGGCGTATTTGCGGGAGTAAGGAGGAAGAGGATCGCCGGTCGACGTCCTCCAGGCGGAGTTGTTCATCTGCATGTCTGCATCCACGGCGGCCGAGTGCCTCAGCAGGCGGCCTTCGGGATGAATGGGTGGGGGGTAGGATGAAGTGGAGGCGGAGGGCAAGAGATGCGAGAAGTTGCTCGGGGGCGACAGGGCGGTGCCGGACAGGACGGAGGCGTAGGACGAACGACGGGGGATCGAAGAGATGCTGGTCGGGCCGGAAGATGAAGGTAGAGGAGCTCGAGCTCCATCGGAAGGGGGGAAAGGTGCATCCATAGGGGAATCGTTCGCGGGACTTGGAGCCAACGAACGGGGCGGCGGGTACTTTCTCTTAGTTCGACGGGCATAGAATGGGCCTCTTTTCCCCTCTCACGCGAGCTACTCGGGTGCGTTGCTCGACAACGGGCGCAGTCAAGACACCACCATTTGCCAGTTCGTCGAGATCGGCGAGGTCAGTGAGAACAATAAATCGCTGCTTGCTCTCACGAATCGTTTGTCTTCGATCTTGCACTCTTTCTCGGGAGGATCACGGCTTTCCGTAAACGGAGAGTGGAGCACCGCCGTCGTAGCAGCAAGTCACCAACAGCGCCAAGGTCAAGATCTCTCGATATCGTGCTTCTAAGGCCATGTACAGGACGCAGACAGTGCATCCAGATCAAAAAGGACACGAAGAAAAAATGCTTCCAAAACAATCACTCACGAACAGACCACCAGGCTCAATGCACGGGGGGGAAGGCAAGAGAAGAGACTCGGACGGTTTTATTCCCAACGAACCAGGGAACCAGCGTAGACTAGAAGGCTGGCGTTCGCTCTGTGTGACGGGACAGGAGAAGTAAACCAACGGGAAACAGAGGAGAGTTGTGGAGAAGAGGAGGGAAGAAGAGGAGAGAAGCAGCAGGAGGAATACGGATGAATGAATGGCCTGACAAGAATGCGGCGGGGGAAGAAGCACGGGATTCGGGCGCTTTGGGCTTGGAGAAGTCTTCTCTTCGACGGAGTATACCACCCAATGTCTCTATATCCAGCCATTCCTTGCATGCCGCGGCCTCGACCCCTCTTCCTCTCTCTCCTCAACATGACGGCTGCCTGTTTGTAGCTCCAGCGCCAGTCCGATCGATCTTCGAACCCCTCTCGCCATGACTTCATCATCCCGGCTCTCTGCAGCGGTGATACCGTCATCCATGCAAATTTCCGCATTATACGGTTAGAAATCAGTTTCGGATGCATTGACTAAGCGCGCAGGCATGAATAAACACATATACTAGATTTTCCCGTGCAGGATCCAGGCATATCCCACCTGCCATGCCACCTGTTTCTATACGTCTACCGCATGCCATTTTCCCCCTTCCCCCGGATCCCTCCGATGACTCCGGCTATGTTTGACAGATGCTGTTGTAAGAGATCCCAGATCCAATGCTTTCGCAACCATGGTGGTACATAACTTATTCGTAAATAACAATTAGAGGAAAAGTAAGATAAGAAAGAACAAGAACAAAGGCGCAAAAGAACAAAGAGAATCATAGGGCGAATGGAAGACGACGGTTATTCAAGCGGTACCGCTAAACCTGTCTGTCGAGGACAGAAAGACCGATTAGAAAATATGAATCCCAAACGCCAGACCGGCAAAGTACAACCCCAGATGACAAAATGACGCAAAAAAGAACAAACGCCCCAGGACCTGTCAACTAGATGACAAGGGAAACAAACGAGAAATCGACAGGAAAGGTATGACAGTCCGAGTCAAAATGAAAAAATAATGTACAGAAAGAAGGAATGAGATGCAAATCGTGGACGCTGTAGTCAATGGCCTATGCCGCCATGGCCACCGCAGGCGCAGGCGACGAGGCTTCGGTGAGATTGGGAGGAATCGGCGTGAGGTCTCCGTCGCCCGAGTTACTCTTCTCGCTGGGCACTCCGCCGGCACTATGGTTGGCCTTGCTGTCGCTATCCCCTGTCTCGAGGACGCCATTCTTGACCTCGCCATTCGTTTCCGAGATTTGAGGCCGAGGAGCTCGCCAGCTGGACAGGTTCCAATTCACGCCAGTGAAGCTCTTCAATTGAAGAGGCTTTCGCTCCCACTTGCGACAAGGGGCTCCCGTTCGATCCAGGGCCCGAAGACCGGCATTGATGGCACCGGTGTTGGCCTTGGGTCCGAGTCGGTGGCTTGCCGCCAATTTGACATGGTCGACGGTTCCGTCGTCACTGCGACACAGGGCGTTAGTGATGAATTGGGTGGAGGACGGCAGGACTATCTCAACTTACAGTCTGGGCTTCTTCTTGGGGCCCGGCTTGCCTCTTGGCTTAGGTTGTGTCTCGGTCGATTGATTCAGACCTCTCTTGCTTCCGGGTTTGGGGCCCGGCATGCCTTTACGGCGAGGAGTGTCGGCAGCCGACGTACCGGCCGCGGGGGTAGAGGGAGCATCGGACGCATTGTCCACAGAGGAGGGAGGGATTGGAGGCTCGGCGAAAGACGAGGCAGGAGAAGCTTCCTTCTCCTTGACGGGGGTCTCGGCGACGGGCTCCTGGATCTTGGGGGGGCTGTTCTTCTTGGCCTTCTTGTCCTTAATTTCGGGGGGAGGCGTGGCAAACTGGCTGAGGGCGTCGGGAGACAACTTGAGAATCAAAACGCCCTTGGACGCCCCCGATCGACTGGAGCGACCGTTGGTGGCCGACGAGGTAGCAGAGCTGGAGGTCGGCATGATGCTGATCGCCCAGTGGTAGCGTTTTTGCGACGAAATTGGGGGATGGCGGTGGTGTTGCTAACGGGAGGCTCGTTCACAGAGCAGGTGCAGAATTCCCCCCAAGGTGTTGGACAGTAAGTGGTGGAAGCCGTCCGCTGCGTAGAGAGGCAGTGTTTTTTTAGAGGCAGGTCAGAGTCGTTGGTGGTGTAGTAGTTTAAAAAAAGGGTGACGGAGACCGGGGGGAGGGGGAGTGTGTGACGAAGCACGGTGGAAGATTGAGTGCGTTGGGGTTGCGTGGTTCCGAACCCGAAAGGCGAAGGATGGGCGGCGAAAGCCAGTTCACGGTCACGGCGAGGCTTGTTCAAGATAGGAGAATTGAGGCCGAGATGACATAGTCCGGGGGTGGTGGAGTAGAGGCCGAAGAGGGAGATGAGGGTGGTGAGAGAGAGTCGAGATGGGGGAGAGAGGGGAGGGGGGATGGGAGAGAGGAAGAAAAGGAGAGGAGGGCGAGACGGCAAGGCCGGGGGGATGGAAGGGATAAAGATGTGGTTTCATTATTGTTGGTGTGTCCATCTCTCGTCTAGTAGAGACAGACTTTGTTCTGCGGCCGTCTGTGGTGCAGGGCGGATCTGGTAGAAGAGCAGCGGCCGGCGGTAAGGTACGCGTACGGAACGCGTCGGGGGGAACGTCATGGCGGTATGCGTGTGTATGGCGATTACGGGGTAATTTAACGGGATCAAACTGTTCAAGAAGTCTTTCCTTGCCTGACGGAGGACCGTACATTATTACGCCGTACTTCCACCGCTTCCGGCCACCATTAATTACTCGTATTCTCTCGTCTCTATCCTCAGGCTCATTGCATGGGTCACGATCCCGGCATCAGGTGGATAGCCTCGCGTCCATCCATTAGACGATGCCTTCCCATCGAATTGGCCCCTTTCTATTGCTTTTCATTTCTCTTTTCTTTTTTTCTTTCTCCTGAGGGGCCCTGCAACTAACTGGACGCCCTACTCGACTAACAGATCGACCGGCGGTAACAACTGGAATAATCTCGATTCCACGACCCAAGAAATCCGGCTCGCCACCGTCGGAACGCAATCCATCCATTCCCTTCCTTGACGCATGGACCGGCACGATGGGGGAAAAAGGCGCACCAAACGAATTTTCAACCCGACAGACCCGGTTTATCCACTGTTCCATCTCCTCGTCGACCGGTCTTTGGCTTTTCGTCTGCAATAATCAGTCACCACTAATACAATCAACCACCACGGATCCTCCCCTGGACTGGGTCGGGACATGGGAGCCTGGCACACTAACAGAAACTCCCCTCCCTAGTATTGATCAGTATGAATCACAGCACCGACGATTTCTCCCGCCCCAAAGTAAACATCGCCCGTAATGGAAATATAGCACCGGATCAGGTCATTCACCTCATCCAACAAGAATCCAGGTATTAACTGTTCAGGCAATCTTGCGCCTGACCCGCTTACCGCCTCCCCAGCAACGCCTGCTCTGACGGGCTTCGGCCAAGATCAGGCTATCGTCCCTTTGACTCCACTCCTTAGAGCCATCTCAAGACCATCGTTTGCAACTGGACGGTCGAGGCATCGATGAAGGATGATGGTACTGGATCAGGACACTTACCTATGAACGCATTAGGATGAAAAGAGAACAATTCTTGAAATGCTGATGATCTAGGAAGCGCCGACCAGCTAGACACATGGTATCTCGGCATCAGAAGATGAATTCTAGAGCTCGACTCAAACTTAAGCGTTGGCTTCCAATGTCGGGGTTTTTTTTCTGGTCAATTTATGTGTTGGATGGAGCATGTTCGGATGATCGCACTCTTGTTTGATCCCGGATGTTCTACAAACGACAGAACTGCCAGAGCCAGCCAGGGACAATGTCACGAGTGATCAACCTTGAAATATGTGAGAACAAGCATTCTCGGTCATCTGCTCAAATCTAGCTCTCTGTGTGGACAAAGGTGGGCACGAGCTTCATGGCTTTGAACCTTCATTGATCAAACTTTAGATGAGTTTGTATCTAGTCAAATGACAGATACATCTTCTCTTCGAGCAACTTCTGTCTCGGCTACAGGCAGGAGCTGGAGTCTAGCCACAGACAAATCCAAATTAAGCAGTCTCGTGACCTTTCACACAAATCTATCGGATATCGGATTGGCCTTCGATCACATGGGTTGCGGGAGTCATGCCGTCAACTCCTGACCAAGCCATAGAGTACGGTCGCTAATTCCGGTGAAGCCAATCCATCGTCTTAGGTCCCATATACCCACAAGAAGTTCTCCGACTTGTTCGCATCTCTCCTGCAGCTTTTGTTCAGGCTCTCGGTTGTGTCTAGTATGCAGTCGGACGGGGCTTGCAGTTTGCGAGTCCTTCCACAATGTGTCTTCCGATGCTAGTTCATCTGTCCCCGTCGGGAATCACTAACTGAAAGAAGGGCTACGAATTCACGAAGCCCGTCATGGCTACACTGAAGATTCCTGACCACAGTGAGGTACGACTGCAAGTCGATGGTCAACGCGCACCGGTCATTAGTAAAAGCATTTGGCTGCATCTCCACGATAATGTAGCTGCATATTCGGACCATTGAATTCTTGTGTCGGCGGGGTGTATTGATCGTTTTCTGCTTTCTTACTGTCCCCTGGAGGCCAACGACGACACGTCCCGTCTAGTACTTTCTGGTTGGTATTGGCTCATTTGCTTATCGTTCCCACGGGATTCTCCCTGTGGATGGCAACGTTTTTGGTGCAGCCGACACCTGAGCAAGCAAGGTCAATTACAGCTTTTGCTGCACGGGGTTTTTGATAAGTTGAGCGATTCCCGGTGTCATGATGGCTTTGTGTATCGTGGTTTGGTCGAACCTCTCGGGTGAGAGGCTCTATAAAAGCTCGTGCTGATACAGTTTATGTATTTGAATGCTTGAGCTTGCGGGAGTGGAGGAAAGATTGCTGCAGTAGTATAAAAATGGACGTTTTAGTGTGAACTCTCGACAAGTAATAAGAACAGTATTCATCCCTACTATATATACCCACAAGTCTGATCCTAATCCACTAGTAGTACTGTCTTCGTATGCCCTATCCAAAGCATGATCGTTTTTGCCCATATACCCACAGCTTGGTCTCGAAAGAGCAGACAGGCCTAGTCACTGATTTTCTGATATTGTCTCGACCCTGCCCAGTGGTTGTGTAACATACCCACCTCTCGATGTCCCTTTCCATGACCAGACTAAACGTTTTTCCGCACCCGCGATACTACTCGGCAGAACCAGTCTGACCGCCAACGCTAACCTGACCGCCTCCACTCCGCCGGACCCATCGAACTTCGATCTCAAGAACAGACAGGCAGCCACACTCTGACATGTAAATCGGCCGCTACGGCTGCAAAAAAGGCGCTAATCAAAAAGTAAAAACGGCACTAGATAGCCTGTTACTTTGTGCCTTACCCTCTCTAGTTTAGTAGAATTTTCCACACTTTCGAGTCGGCTAGAGACCTGCGTCTCGGAGCGCCCATACAAATTTGTTATTTTCACATCCAACCAGACCCAGATGGTCATGTGAAATCTGTGGTAGTTTAGAGTTTTGGTCATGTGATCTGACCCACTGCTCGGGTTAGGGCTGGCTGAGCACGAACGGCAAGAGGGGGTATACGGAGTATATCTTAGACGCTGTCCAGTTTATGTGGGTATGATTCTTTGCATTAGCTGATCTCATACGAGTTATTGCTTATATATCATTTCATCGATATTCGAATGCATGATCTAACTGTCATATGTATTTCTGTATCTACAGTTCGCTATACAACCACTACTCCGTATAACTTCATATACCAAATGGAGATCACTCTCCCTTCTTCTCGCGCATCTTCCGCTCAACAACCTCCCCAACAGCCGTCTGAACCCCAGGACTAGCCCGCACGCTGCTCAGCACCAACCCCTCTTTCATGCCCTTGCGCAGAGTCGCCACGCCCTCGCGGTCACCACGAAACGGCGCAAACCCCAGCTGCAAGAGGCGAGTAGCTTCGCCGTCCGTCGTGCGCGAGAGTTGCAGCAGTTGTGCGAGTTTCTGCATCGTCTGCGGAGAGAGACGGTCACCTGTTCCGGAGGGCTTCTGGCTTATTTCGGGGGGTGTCACCTGCGAAATGAAGATATGTAGCGTTACCGAGGCGCGTTGCGCGAGGGTGAGAATCTGGAACGGCAGGAGATAGAAACTCGGGTTCGCGGCGGAGATGCCGAGTAGGTCACGTAGAGCAGGGGGGATGTAGTTTGAGGGAATGAACAGGGCCCCCGGGTGGGTGATCAGAGTCAGCTCGAGAGTGAGCAGGGCTCCGAAGGTGAAGAAGCGCCACTAGACCACCGGTTAGGAAAGGGAGTTTGACCACCGAACAGTTTCACTTACATAGCGACCCCAGCTCGCCCACCAGGTAAAATTCAAGAAGATGATCGTAACGAACCCGCCCACATACGGCAGCAGAGACCGCTGCAGCCCCGTCATCAGAAAGTCCTGCATCGTTTTGTGGCGATCTCCCCAGCCCAGAACGTCGGGCCCGAATCGGTCATACGCGAACCGCTTCGCAGGGTCCAGCAGCGTATCCTGCGCCAGCTTCAAGTACACGAAGTAGTTGTCGGCTGGAAGACCTTCCCCTTGCGTGATCTTGTCCGGGTGGTGCTGCGCCGCGAGTCGGCGGAACCGCGACTTGATTGTCCGGTCATCGGCCAGAGGAGATACACCCAGGGCTTTGTAGAAGTCGCCGGCGACCTGGACGCGGTGGAAGGACTCATAGAGGGTGTAGAGGAGGTAGCCGGTCACGACTAGGATGAAGATGCGACGGCGATGGCGCGCGTAGCGCGGGGAGGGGGGCTGCGGTCGAGGATCCCCCGCGCGGATCGTGAGTCCATAGTAGACGCTTTGGACCAGGGAGGTGACATACTGCGAGAATCACCACGTCAGTCAATCCATACATGAAGATATTATTTCGCCAGGAGATGCGAAAGGCGAGTCGGGGGGTTGCTATCACTCACGTTTGGAAGCACCGCCCATCCAACAAATGAGAGAATCGACGACATGATTGGGATTAAGAAGAGTCCTCCATTGAAGGTTCCCACTGAGCAAGTTTCCAGGAATCAACCCAAAAATATAACGATGGCGCGGAGTCGGGAATCTTTCATTGTTGTAAAAGTCGCGATTTGGTCTCTCGCTGTCCTGATATGCCGCCCACCGCCCTGCTCACCGCCTTCCCCGTCTTCTCCACCCGGACGAAGTAAAAAAAAAAAAAAAAAAAAAAAAAGAATTTCGACATCGGGAAAATCCATCGAGTCTCTCAAACCCCCAACAACCCCGAGGAAAAGGCGCATTGATTTGCGCCCACCCCAATCCACAATGGCAGTCGACGAGATGGAAATCGACTCGAACCCGACGTCTCACCCCGTGCAGAAGCCGGAGAAGGAACGCAAGCGCAAACACAAGACCAAGGACTCGTCGTCACCGTCGAAGAAGAAACGCAAGCACGACGCCAACCTGATCGCGGACAAATCCACCACCCACGAAAAGAAGAGCAAGAAATCGTCCAAGGGCAGCAAGAAGAGCAGCAGCTCGAAAGCCGTTCCCGCGGCGGCACCTTCGACCCCCGACTCGCCATACACCCTGACCACCGCGACGCTGTATCTTCCTCTCTCGCCCATCTCGATCTCCCCGACCCATGCGCTGGCCTCGCTGCTGGCGGAGCACCTCTCGCCGCTGATCCTCACGTACTACGCCCCCCTGCAGGGCGTCGTCCTGGCCTACTCCAACGCCTCGATCTCCAGCACCCACCCCGCCGAATCCAAGTCCGCCTTCACCCCCAACGACCCTAACCCGCAGCCTCTGACCCTCGCCCGCTCCGCCGGCGAGTACGGCGTCCTGTACGTCTACCTCACCGCCACCTTCCTGGTGTTCCGGCCCCAGCGCGGCCAGGTCCTCGAGGGCTGGGTCAACGTGCAGTCCGAGGGGTTCCTGGGCGCCGTGGTCCTGAACCTGTTCTCCGTGGGCGTCGAGCGCAAGAGACTGCCGTCCGATTGGAAGTGGGTTCCACCCGGTGCATACGGCGAGGAGGGAGAAGGAGAAGAGACCGCAAACAGTGACGCCGATGCCGCAAAGACCAAGTCGCAGTCGCAGTCCGACGACGACTCCTCCGAACCCTCGGCCGCGTTCGACCCCGAGAAGGAACACTTCAAGCCTGTCGCGCTGGCCTCCGACGCCAACCCGCTCCTGGACGACCCGGCCTCGACCGAGGTCGACGAGTCCGCCGCCGCGGAGGGCTACTTCCGGTCGGTGTCCGGGCACCGGGTGCGCGGCACCGTGCGCTTCCGGGTCGTCGACGTCGACGTGATCCCCGGGTCGGAGCGCGATCGCGGCTTCATGAGCATCGAGGGCACGATGCTGACCCCCGACGAGGAGGCCCAGGTCGTCGAGGACGAGCGCAACGGCGTGATGGCCGCCTTCCCCGGCGCCCCGCGGAGGTCGTCCAGTCTGCCGATCCGCACCGACTCCAGGACCGCCATGTCCGGTGCTCTCCCCGATTCTTCTTCGACGGCGGCTGAGCCGGAGCCTGAACCCGAGTCTCAACCCGCCGCCCCTGAGCCCGAGCCCGAGCCCGAACAAGCATCACCGACCAAGAAGAGCAGCAAATCGAAGAAGAAGGAAAAGGAGAAGAAATGACCTTAGAACAACTTCTATCGTTCCATAGACGCTTACTTTCCCCCCCATGTTATATATTCCTTTCCATCCAACCTGTCTATTTATGTATGGCGTTACGAGGAGAAATAAAAATCTTCATTGCATTTACTTGTTAGTCGATGCCCTGGGTTTCGTTTCCTTTTATGCATTATGCATTATGTATCAATCATGAACATTCGCTACTAGTCCTTCATAAGGGTGGCTATATCTTTTCAAATTACCTTATTTACGACTATACTTGATTTATACCTTCACCGACTTCGGCACGCCCACCATCAAAACGTCCAATCCGCCCTCGATCTGCGACTTGGTCGGCATATTGCCACGGCGCATCAGCTCCGCGCTCTTGACCATGATCGGATCCATGCCCATCGTGGCCACGGCCACCACCGTGTCGCCCTTGGTGTAGTACGCGGCGAACTTGCCGTTCTCCGGCTCGCCGTGCAGCACCAGACCGTCCCAGCCGTTGGGCGTGTTACCGCAGTACCGCAGCTGGGCGCCCAGCGCGGACCAGAAGATGGGGATGAAGGCCTTGGGCTTGAGGGATTGCAGGGAGGCGGCGGACGACGGCGCCGTCAGGCTGTGCACGATGGCGCGGGCCACGCCGCGGCCGGCGTTCTGCGCGACGTTCCAGTGCTCGATGCGCGTGTAGGTGCCGGTCTTGGGATCCGTGCCGGGCCCGTGGTAGGGGTAGGTGGCGATGTCGCCGATGGCGAAGACGTCGTTGTTCAGACCCGGCACGGCGAAGTGCTCGTCGGTCTTGAGGGATCCGTCCTTTTCGAGCTGCACGGCTGCGTTACCCTGCAGGAAATCGGTGGCCGGGCGCACGCCGACACCCAGCACGACCAGATCGGCCGGTAGCACGGTGCCGTCGTTCAGGTGGACGGCGCCGACTTTGCTGGCGTCGGCGTCGGAGGGGGTGGCCTTGACGACGCCGGCTTCCAGCTTGAACTTCACGCCGGCCTTCTCCAGGTTGTTCTGGAAGATGCGGCCGACTCGCTCGCCCATGACCCGTTCCATGGGGGCCTTCTCCTGGCCGACGATGGTGACCTCGTTGCCGCTGGCAAGGGCGTTGCCGACCTCCATACCGATGAAGGAGCTGCCGATGACCACGATCTTCTTGTTCTTCTCGCCCACGGCCTTCAGGATGGACTGGACGTCCGTCACGAACCGCAGCTGGAAGATGTTGCCCAGATCCTTGAACCCTTCCAGGGGCAGACCACGCGGCACACCCCCAGTGGCCAGAACCAGTTTGGTATACGGGTATGAAGTACCGGACTTGGTCGCCACGATCTTCTTGGTGAAGTCCACGCCAGTCACCTCGTCGGAGACGGTGTCGATGGCAGCCTCCTGGTACCATTCCCGCGGACGCAGCTGGATCTTCTCGGCGTCCGGGATCAGCGCCTTGGACAGCTTGGGTCGGTCGATGATGAGGTTGGGTTCGCGGGAGATGACGGTGATGGCGCCCTTGTATTTCAGTTCCCGAACAGCTTGGATAACACCCAAGGTTCCACCACCACTGGTTGATTGTTAGCAGACATGATCCGGGACTGTCGAGATTCAATGCTTACCCTCCCACGACCACGATCTTCTCAGGACCAACAGAAGAAGCGCTGCATTTCACGGCAGGATCTCTCTGTCCGGACTTGATGGCCGATTCCTCGCCCTTGACATACACCGCGCCGTTCTTCTCGACAATCTCGAATTTATTCAAGGCATTCGGAGCCGGCGCATCTTCCACATCGCCGGTGCCGATATTAAAGCAGGCTAATACACCAGATCAACACCGATCCGAAACCAACCCATCAATTCGGAATAAAACATACCTCCATGCCACGGACAAGTGATCCTCCCATCTGGAGCAACGACGCCCATCTTCAATGGCGCTCCGTAGTGGGTACATTTGTGGCTCAGGGCATGATACTCCCCGTTATACTTGACGACCAGGACCTTGGCGTCCTGGATGCCCTCGACCTCGGACTCGACCTTATCCAGGTCCTGGAGGTCCGCTAGGGACTGGATATCTTTGAGTTTAAACTCCTGCGCCATGGCGGGCTGTGATGAGAAGAAGCGTAGGTTACGAGGGGATGGGATCCAATGTGACGATGATAAGGATGACGAGGATGAGAATGATCTAGAGGAAGAAGTAGAAAGAGAAGAAGAGACAGATGAGGAGCGGGGATGAGCACAGCAGGAACACGAGCAGCCACTAGCCAGACGGCAGCCACATCGACAGCGGGGATGCGTGCAGGACGAAGCAGCGCGCAAGACCAATGGGCCAGCAGTGGGAGCAGCGCCTAGGCTCGAGATGGAACGCGACCAGACAACTGGCAGTGAGAAGCTCTGGCGAGGGCGAAGGAGGGGTAAGGGCATTACGGAGTATTATTCCAAAGGAGTGAAGTACAGCGACGGGGGAGGAGACCGCTGAGCGAATATAACGGGGCCATGGCGTGGTCTCTGCATGACATCGACGTGAAGCAAGAGGAAGAAAGTCGGAATGTCGAGGGAAAACAATGACGTCGCTGTGCAGGGAGTCTCGGCCAATCACGGGCCAGGTGTTGTCACCCTCCACTGGAACTGGTTTGGGAATCCCGTTCATTATTATTGCCAGGATATCCATGGATGGAACTCCGGTGGAGCTATCTATGTACAGTACAATACAATCACAACTAGCCTTCTCTCATTCATCTCCTGTTCTTCCCCCGTCGTCGTGGAGCCGGAGGACTGATGCTGGCCAGTCGCCTGCGTCCCCCCAACGAATGGCGCGTCACTCTCCGAGTCGGCGGTATGTTCTTTTGCACCCACCCCGGCCCTCGAGGCAGGCGATGGGATCGGGCAAAGTCCTCGTCGCTCCCGTCGGGTGAAACGAGAGGACTGGACTGGGTCAAGTCGATCACCTGAGAGGACATTTGGGAATCTGGCGGCGGTAGAGCGTCGTCCTCTGGCGCGGGAGGATTCTCGACAAGAGTTTCGGGTACGGCGCTGATGAGCGACTCCTCCTGCTGAGTTGGAGATGACGGCCGCTGAGCAGAGGTCGGGGACTGGCGCGAAGCCGGGGAGGAGGCATACTCGATGGCCGAGAGATAATCCATCGTGGTATCACCGTCCTTGGCACCGAGGCTGTTCTTGGTCTTCGTAGAATTGCGTCGTTGCTGCTCCTCGTACGCTCGGTCGACCTCGTAGAATGGATTGGGAACGACCGAACATGCTGATGACCGAGACGCCGGCCTTGCGGATTCTGGTTCGTCTTGTGCTTGTTCTTGTTCTTTCCCGCCGTTGGGCTCTGTCTTTGACTTCTGCTCCGCTGCCTTCTCTGCTTTCGGGACCGGAGTTGGGGACTTTTTGATCCCGACCTTATTGTCAAAGAGCGACGCGATCAGGCGATTGAAGGACTCGAAGGATTCAGGGCTGCTGATCATCTCCAGGTCCGGGCCCGACCCCGTTGGCAGTGGTGCTGCTTCGTTCTCCGACCGATTCTGGGGCACGGTGGAAGGTGGAGTGGACGGTTCAGAAAGACGAACACCAGAGTTTGGATCCTCATCGTCGTCTCCGGCCTCATGGTTTGCTTGGGGACTGTGCGAATGGCCCGGTGATGCCGAGCCCAATTCCTCGTCGGAGGACTGGAATCCGTGAAACTCCGGCGATTTTACGCCGAAGCTGGAATCCTCGCCAGAGGCCCTTGCGGCGTCGACTGCGTCCTTCGTTAGTGGGTCGGGGTCTTCTTGAGTTAATGGCCGGTCTTCCGGAGGTGCCTTCTCGTCTGCTTTCGCATCCGGCGTTGGACTCCGTTGAGGCGGCTCTGGCGGAGAGCTTTGGTCGGTGTGAGCGCACGCACGCCAGAGATGAAAAGTGAAAAGGAAAGTTAATGTACTGACAAGCTGGCTTTCTCGGCATCTCCGGGGCCGCCTGCAGCACTGGCCGCTCGGAGAAGCTTGGGATCGATGAGATCCGAAAACGACACTTCGCGAAATCCATCGTCCTCCGCTTCGTCGTCATCAAACCCAGGCATTTCGAATCCGCTATACTCCGGTTCGTCCTCGTCATCTTCGACCTCCTTCGGCTGCCTCCAATCGCGCTTGGCCAGCTGAAGCTTGAGGACTTGGTCTTCAAACACCTCATGGATGCTGGCTACTCGGTATTCAGACACGGTAGGCTGCCAGTTGGTCGCTTTCGACATGTCCAGTTGCTTGAAGGCAATGACCGAGCCCTTTTTCAAATCGCCTTCTACCAGATCCCCAAGCGATGCCAGATCATCGGGGATTTCAGGAAGGTCGCCCGTCTCTTCCGATGACTTCGCCGTATCCTCTTGTCCGGTCTGCTCCACGCCTTCCATGTCGAGGTTAGGCTGCTCCGTGTCGTCGTAGTTGAGCTCTAGACCGTCTTCATCTCCGGGCCAATAGTCATCATTACCATAATACTCTTCCTCCTCCTCTTGCCCGTCGTACACCTGAATGCGCTGCTTTCTCTTCCGTTTCTTGCCGTATCCCTTGCGCTGCCTAATGATATCGCCAGCTTCGGCGTCCCAACGCTGCTCAAAGGGGAAAGGAGGCGCAGTCAACTCGACATCATCAAAGATGCACTCGGTGGCTCGTATGAGTAACTTGTCTTCCCAGTTCTCCTCCGAGTCACTTTCGATGTCCGCGATAGGTACTTCTTCTGCGGCCACTTTCTGGGTAACATTGTTTCTGACTTTTCCGGCCAGCTTTTTCCGCGTGGCTTCTTCGTCCTCCTTGGTCCGAGGTGTCCGTACTCCAAGAGAGCCGAAGAGCAGTCGTCGAGAGCTTGCAACGTCTAGCGTGCGGCGCTTTGATCCGGGACTAGCTTCATTGGCATTCTCCGACACTTGATTGTTTACTTGGTTGTTCTCTTTGTCACTTCCGGGGGGCACGTTCTCCTTTTCGGTGATGTCGATTCCTCCTGATTCAAGATCACGAAGCAGCTTCTGTCGCTTCGCTTCGAATTCTGTCTGTTCGCTCTCTTTGCTGCTAGGTGCAGCTGCAGGGAAACGATACGACCCTCCGTGCTTTTCTTCCAGATCTCGAAGAGCGGCAAAGTCTGCCTCGGCCGGTAGAGCGCCAAGTTCCTTGAGTTTTGCTAGCCTTCGTCGCATCTTGTTGCGCTGGTTGCTTTTTTTGGTTCGCACGGAGCCCAAACCAGGTGGGTTGGTCTTCGAAGTTAGACCAGACACACCTTCGAGCTCGGATTCTGAGGCCGAGTCGTCTGAATCGGAGCTGGAGTCGGAATCCGAGTCAGAAGAGTCTGAATCAGAGGAATCCGAAGGCGACGAGCTTTTGTCATTATCCGAGCTGGAATCGCTGGATTCATCCGAAGATGAGCTGCTGCTGCTGCTGCTGCTAGAATTTTGGACCGCAGCGGAATCTACCTCTTCTGGCTGTTTGGTCACTGGAGACTTTTGAGTAGGGAACAACGGTGGTGGCGGCGATGGCTCTTTTTGTCCCTCAAACCTGACCGCCTTGGAATCTCTTCGTGAAGCATCGGCGTCTGGAATCTTCTTGCCAGCGTTTTGCAGGATAGAGGGTCTTGGGGCCTGGTGCAGACTCGTTCTTTTGCGCAAGGAGTAGCCACCGTGACCAGCCTGTTCGTCATCTGCTTTTTTCTCAGATTCAGGCATACCAGATGTCTCGGTGTCCTCTTTGAGGTCCTTTAATTCCTCCGTCAAATCCCCGGCATCAAAGTCAGATATGTCGGCGTCACTTTCAGAGGCTTGATCATCGTTCTGGTCCACATTGTATCGAATAACCGTGCCGTCTCCGGTATCTTCGGGGACTTGGTGGAAATCTTCGTAGTCGTCCTGAAAAGCATCTTCGTACTCATCATCGTCAGGCTTGCTTTCGGACCCACTCCCAGCCCGTAGGGCCGAAAGCTCTTTGAATGATCGGACTCGCCCGCCTGGCGCCCATTCTGTGTCCTCCTCCTCGTAGCCAGCAGGCCCATCGCCCCAGCTCACCAGGCTCGTACGTCTCTTCTTTCTCGGAGGTATCGTGATAGCGGGTCTCGACGAGGTAGGTCTTTTCAAAAAAGGCTTTCCGAACGGCACGCCATCGATCAGATGTCTGCCATCGGTGGATATTTGGTGTCGACCGGAAAGGCGTCGGGCGCGCAAGTCAGAGAGTTGAAGAGCTCGTATTCTGAGTCGACGCATCCAAGTTAGGAGAAAGAACAATGGCACCCCTCTCGACGGCAAAAGTACTCACAAAACTTCGTCTCCATCCCGAAGGAGACCCTCGACTTCCATAAAATGCAGACACTCCGAGCCCGCCACCTCCACCACGTAATCTTCCAGCCCCCATTGTCCACTGCACTCACTATCGAACAAGGTCGGCTCGGTCTCCAGCGGAATAACACCATTGACATCCTCAAGGAGCTGCGCAATGGTATAGCCGCCGTTCGCATACAGCGCATTCGGCGTGCGCGTGGACGCGATGGCAGACGAGGCGGCAGGAACAACGGCCGAAGACCCGGGGGCAGTCTGGCCCAAAAGCGAGGGCGGCGCCGTCGTCCAAAGAATGCGCGTCACCGGCAAGCCGTGACGCTGGATGACGAGGTGGAGACGCATGATGGAATGTTGGGTGACTTGTGCGCTCCTCCGTAAGCTTCAATGGGCCTTTGCTATCTCAGCATCAGTGATTAGGTGCTTGGGGATTGAGAGTATGGATTCGCTGCGTTGCGTTTCGCGAAAATTGAGCTCCAAGTCGGGACCGGTCGCGTTGTCGGTTTTCAGCAGCGGGTGGGCCACGCGGTAGGAAACGGACAGCGGAGGGCAGATGCAGGTCGAGAAGGCCAATGAGGAAAGCAAAGATCAGCAGGAGGGTATTAGATTAATCATAGAAATACATGATAGATTAGACAAATGGTTGAACAGTGCGACGCGAAAGACAGAGCCGGAGGAGAGACGGTGAAAGATTGGATGAAGAAGACTAAAAGTGAAGCCAACACCTCCACCTCCGCTAAGCCGCTTTGGGCGTCTGCCTCGGGCACCCAACGAACGGATGGATTTCTTTTCCTTCCTTCTTTGTGCTGGAAGAGTTTATATAGTTAGTATAGTTGGTATACTTGGACTTACCTTAGACTCAACTATTGTCATTTGGCTGGCTATGCAATTTAACTACAGGGAGTCGCCCTGGATGCGCATATGTATGCCATGTTCATGCATGTCTAGGTATAGTACTTTTGTTCAGTCACCTTAGAAATGTAAACAATGTTTGATACTCAACGAGCCCAGCAGTAAAATGATTTGTAACTCTAGATATAAGTCCAATATGATATTTCTACTAAGTAGATCATTGTAGTCCACAAAAACGAAATTCTTCGGGCGATCCAAAGCCGAAAGAAAGAAAAAACATTTGGTATCAATATGCGACAAATGGCAACAACAGATGTTTTAAGAATAGAGCGAGGGATATAATTAACATCAACACCATTATATGCAGGTGTTATTAGAATCCAGTAGATGTGATTGGATGTTCCATGGCATGATGTGAATATTATCTGTCCAGTTGAAGACCGTAGCCATGTATCTCATGCTGTGAAAGGTTGCCATATATCGTTCATAGCAGATCGGAAAATTTCATGGTGGCAAATATGATGAATGCCACCGATCTAGGCCGTCGCTGCGTCCTAGAATAGATATCGATCGGAAGTGCTGGAAAAGGGACCTGCTAGTTCCTTGGTTAATGTAAGCTCAAGGACCCGCGGAGCTTGAACTCCGTGGCACCGGCTTTCTACTTGGGACACCCAGTCGAATGGGACGGAAATCAGACCCGGAGGGTCTACGCTCGGCCGGACCCGGTGATGCCGGTTGAAGGTGGCTGTCTGCAACTGGCTGATATTGAGGCGGGTTATCCTCCGGAGGGGGCGCCATTTTGTGGATTTTCAGGATGCTCTGTTGACGGGCAACGGGCGACGTCGGGGGCGAGCCGGAATGGGACTCCGGCGGCGTCGAAGGAAGCATATCGAACGACTCCGCGGATGAATTCGCTTCGCGGTTACCGTAAGGGGTCCGAGCCTCAGAATCCTTTGCCGGGTAAACTGACGGTCTTGGATCAGCTCCAGATTCAACGGATCTTCCGGAAGAGGAGGCATCTGGTGGGTTATACTCGCGACGGGGGCCAGCTACGGGACTGAGGGTTTCGGCCATCGCGTCCTCGTAGCTAGGAGGAGCTTCGTCATAGTTGTCCTCCGTGGCGGGCACGGGCACAGGAGCCGCCGAAGGCCTGGGAGGCATGGGCGGGCGCGAACTGGCACCCCCCGCGGGTCGGTCCGGAACTGAAGGTGAAGGTGGCACCGGCGCCGTTGGTTTGACCCGTCCCGTGGCAGCCATGGCATCCAGCAGGGCCTGAGGCGGAGCGATTCCAGAGAACACTTTGACAGGCATCCTTAGCGGGAGTATGATGAGTTGAGGCTATTCGCGGTCAGTAAGAAGAATATACCAAGAGTTGGCAGAACGATTATCACATCATCACTCACTTTCATATTCCCAATGCTACCATGCGTCAGACCAATTCGGACCTCCAGCTCGTACGATCTTGAGATGTTGCATGTTTCGAAACTCGGCGCTACTGAGCTGGGCAGAGGCACCCGATTCCACATGCTGGAATCGAGGGTCCATTCGGTGCCCGACGGATCACCGCCTCTCCCAAGTGGGATCCCCATATTACTACGGCTCATAATCACCCAGCTGCCGCTTTCCGTCCGTCGTAGATCGTGGGCCAGGATATGCGTGTACCCGATCAATTCGATTTGCAGCATCTGCAGGAAAATCGTCTCGTATGACTCTGACACCTTGCTCACCAGCACCCGCAGCGGGATGGGCTCATTGCAGGTGAGGATGGACGGATTCGGTAGTCTGATATCTGCGGAAACACGCGGAGAATCCGAAGAACTATCCCGAAGCGAAGTAGACGAGACCTTCTGGAACAAGCTCTTGGTTTTGGAACCATTGGGGGCCTTTGTAAACTGATGCTGGCGCCTCGCATACGTTTCTTCATTCGGGCTGCCCGTTCTCGGTGGTTCGATGGGAAGGAAATTCAAGTCATGGATCTAAGACTCAAGAGTGTCAGCCTTTACCACCCAATCTGCCTGCAAGTGGACCATACCGCTCTGATGTTTTCCTTGTAAAATTGCGGCCGGATGATCGTCGCCTTTAGGTAATATTTAATATCCGCCTCGCCGGGAAAGCCGCTCAGAGAAGGGGGCAATGTCTTTTTAACATGACGATTCGTATCCTTGGCCATTTCAACTTTGAGTCCGGTGATATTCAAGTTGGTGAGCATGCTATTGTGCACGCTGCAGGCATTGTTGAACGGGAACTTCATAAGCATTAGCACCATTAAACCACCCTACTCCTCACCAATATAATTACCTTGAATTGAAAGGGATACTCGTATGTCCCGGAAGCAAAAGTATACGTCGTATTTGGAGCCTTGGAGTTGAAAACCTCCGGGGTGGGGAAAACGGTGACGACTTTATACAAGAGCTGCGAAATCATGAGCCATCAGACGAGAGCGACACAACTGGAGCGAATAAAAAAAAGCGATCAATCAATACCTTATGAACCTCCAGTTCCGTGCGCTTCTTATCGGACTGCTCATGGTGCGGATTCCGGGGTCCCGACAGACGTGTGCGACTTTCTCCCTGAAGCTTCACCTGGATGCCACCGATTGCCGCCTCGGTAGGCAAATTGATGACGACCTTGCCGGACAGGAAATCAAGATTGGTGAAATGGGTATGCGAATGGTCTAAATGGATGGTCGCAGACATGGCGAACACCCTGACACGAGCCAACCTCTCGCGACCCGGCCGATTGCGATGTGGATAATGCTTATTCGATGCGGGGGAAGAGACGCAGGCGCCGATCAATATTTGAGATACGCTACTTGGGATCCGTTCGGCGAGAGGATGGAGTGGAAAGAAAGCGAAAGATTGACGGGACGAGAAACAGGCGAGAGCGGGAGGTTCGGCATACAAAAACAGATACGAGGGGGGGAAGGGAAATGACGTTGAAGGGCTGACCGGAGGAGACGGCGTGGGGCGATTCTTATTCTCGGCGTGGATGAACAGGAAAAAAGAAAGAATGGAAAACACCGGGTGATGGGGATACCCGATCGGAGTGTTCTTGGACTGTGTCGGATTTCAAATTATTCCTGAATATTAGATCCTACTATTATCTCATCAGACGAATGTATTATTCTCCAGAATCTAGGCCGTTGTAGTCGCTGGTCGGAGATCGTCTCGCAGGGCTGCTCAGCCACTCGGATGCTTGGGTCTCCAGGGCACCGCCACCTTCATCCATCATCCTCACCTCATGACGATTGGGCTAGACGCTCTGCTCGGAGCTTTAGGTATGTCATACTCCGGATCTGTGCCCTATCTCATTGGGTCTCTCTAGCCGCTAGAATCAATAGAACCAGTCGACTACCTCAAACCTCTAGGCACCAAAATTCTTCAACGTTCCCATCGCTGCAATCTGCACGTCTCGCGTCAGAGGCCCTCCTTCGCCAGCATGTCTGATGATTGATACTGTCAGCCACAGCGCTTGTCAAAAATAGGTCTGCATGGATGCTGTCACGTACCTGCAATATCCAGGTAGAGTGCAATGGCGTTGAACCTGTCGCCAGCCGTTAGCCCGCCGCACTGCCAAACCACCCCATCCTAGTGTGTGGTCATCAAGGACATTCGCTTAACACACCTTCGCCGGTTTCCGGTAATCTCCCCAGCCAGCCACTTCAATCGATTGCTCCAGTTGATCAAGTCCAAGTGGCTCACGTCCAGGAGGGTCCCCTTGTAGCCCGCCTCTCCTCCCCACCGGCTACTAGCCACGCTGACTAGCCCGTCGTTAAATCCTTCGATTTGCTCGAGAATGCGATGGGACAGGCGGAAGACCGACCAAAAACTTGGCTGCATCGACGCCCCGTAGGAGAAGTATCTGCCTAGTCTCAGCCCTACACTTCTTTCCCTCGGTTCTGATAGGTTCCACGTACCGCACGTCGTCCACATCGGGCGTGGCAGGGTTGAATGTTTCCTCCATGTATTCTCGCGTCAATTGGGAGAACGCTCCCGTCTCGACTTTCATTAGGCCCAGGGCGTAATATAATTGGGCCAGGCGGTCATCTGCGTGCACATGAGTCTTTTCGTTATCCTGGGGGTTTTGGATTCCGAAATACCTCCGATCTGCTTCATTACATAGTCTGCAACCGACGAGCCTAATATGGGGCTTGAGTGAAATCCCTCGCTGCATGTGGCGGGTCACATACCTCTGTGCGGAGTTGCGATGGTCGTCAAGGATTTAACATTGAAATCCTTTGGTTTCAGATGACTGATCATGTGCCGAGAATCCAGACCACTTGAAAGCATTAACAATCCAAGAAAGATGCTATTTTGTACATGGAAGATCTCACCCCTGAGCCCATGTTAATATAGGTTATCTCGGGTTAGGTATTGGCATCTTACCATACTATGTCTGCGCTGGGTTAGGTATTTCAGATTTGGAAAGGGTAGAGAGTGACATACGCTATAATATTGACATCCTTCCCCCGCGCGCCGACAGAAATATCTCTCGCCAGCTCCTCTGCGCGCATTTCAATAGACCCCGACGGAGGCACTGTGGCCGTAATGACTTGGACGCCTTTCATCGAAAGTGCCTCCTTGATACCCCGCCAGTACTGGACTCCAGGAAGATAGGGACCAGCTAGACGCAGCTCATCGAACCCTAGCAAGCCATGTGCGAGGACGATGGGATGCTTGGGGGTATCTAATCCATGCATCTGGTTATCGACTCATCCGTCGTGATAGTCAATGTTGACCGTTCAAGGAGAAAAGGACCCACCATAGCTATCGCGAACCACCGCATATTCATCCTTGATAACCTTTCCTAAGCTTTCCAGGCGTGGATCATGTCCGTATGTTCTTGTCTGCTCGGAAGAACCGCACCCGCGTGTCGAAGAGCGGAAGTGTCGCGCGTGCGAACGAGCAGTCGGAGTAAACTGAAGACCAAGGGGCGAATTGAGATACTTGGCACTCGGACGTAGTCTGGCGACCATATGCCTCATTGTCCTCTTGCGTTTATTTACCTGTCCTTGGAGAAGGCAGTATACTATTGGCCATCAGCCGTAGACTGCATTAGAGTTGGTTGTGCCTGATGACGCAAGTCGATAGGAGACAGTTGGTGCCTCAGGCAGGAACATGATCTGGCTCATCTCGATTCGGCCCGGGGTGTCGCCGCTTTTGCTCACTGAACTGGCGAGTACAATACTCCTACTTCGGAGCATGTCACGTCCATACCCCTTGGCAAATGATGCCTCCGTTAAGAGCAAAGGTCAAAGCCACCTGAGGGTCTTTGTGGAGACACCAAAAAGGAGGTATTGTACGGAGTAAACGGCATCTTCTGGTTGACTTTCTATGGCCTTCAATCTCACCAGCAATGAACCCCAAACCTGAATTAATTGGCCTTGGTCGTGTTGGGTGTGTCATGCGCCATGGAGAAATTGCAGTCAAGACCGCGAACAAATGGCCAGTTCCTGACAATGCGTCGGAATATACAACTATTCTTCATGAGCAGACGAACAGGACGAATGAAGAGGCACTAATACACGAAGGACGCATTTATGAACACCTGCAATCTGTCGAAGGCGTCTTGAAGCCGCATCATATTTCCGACACAGAAATTCGGATGCCGTATATAGGCCACAGGTCTCTCGACCGATACATGAGCGCAAATAAAGCCATCATTGGTGATGAGCAACGCCTGGCGTGGTTTCAGAATGCTGCCGACATTATTTCCAGAGTACATGGGCAGCGTGTCATCGTTGCCGATATTGCAACACGGAATTTCCTGGTCAACAAAGATCTTTCGCTCCAGCTATGTGATTTCTCCGAATCAGTTATCATACCAGAGGATCGAGCTCTGGATGAGTTCGTCTCGGAGGATTTCCTCTCCGTCAAGTTCGACATTGCTCGGTTTGGGTCGATGATGTATGAGATTGTGTCTGGCAGTCGATACGAATTCTATGTCAACCCTGATATCGACATGGACTTGGACGACGACGAATCGAAGATATACAAGGAATGGCCGACGAGCAAACGATTTCCTGACACCAGCAATGTATTTCTGGGCGATATCATTCGCAAGTGCTGGCTCAGGGATGGGTTTCGCAGTATGAAAGACGTTGAAGCCAGTTTGGACTGGCGTCACGTCTTTCGGATGGCAAGTCCAATAGCTACATCGATCATATTTACTATGATAGTATCCCATCATCTTCCTTGGAGAAAACTTGTGGGCGTTCTCTCGCTAAAGCGTTGGCTCATATAGATCAGAAAATAGATTGATACTGCTCAGCAGACAACCACAAGAAGTGATCCAGAAACAGTAGTCAATACCTAAGCTGAGTGCCGTCCTACAAATTCCGTGGGCCCCCATATACTCGTCTCCAAAGACAATCCATGAGACCTGTCCGACTCAAATCCTCATACTTGATGTCTACCCCATAGGAAGCAAGCTTAAGCTGGTGCTGACCATAGCCATATGCCAGATTGATTGGAATCGCCAAAAGGTATTTGCACAGAACTCAAATCGCAGAAACAATATATTCACAGCCCTGAAAGCAACAGTATGAATCAAACAAGAGAGACCTCCATCGCTGCTACGATCACTTATGTCTTGACCAGGATCTTCTCCGACGGCTCGGGCTTCACGTCCACAGTCGCATGGATCAGATCATCCACAACCTTGCTGCCCTTGTTGCTGCCGGCGTCCTTGATCTCCTGGAGCTTCACCTCGGCCTCCTTGTTCGAATCGTCCTCAGCCTTCTTGTACCCGCTGGAGTGCTATTGGAAGACAGCATTAGTATGCAGTTGCATATTGGATGGAATCACGGGTCCAGCTCGTCGCAAGACCGCAGTGTAGTGGTTCGGGTCTCACCTCAGCCTCGAACTTCTTGAACTCGGCCTCCTTTTGGTTCTTGTATTCCTCGATCTCCTTCTGCGCTTCGGACTTGGCGTCCCTCACTCGCTTCGTGCGGTCTGTGTGGCATGAATTAGATCAAATCGACGGAAGTTGCGCAGGGGTCCCGGATATCCTACATTCGCGGGCTATGATGCGGTACGTTAGCATGTCGTAGACGGTGGTGGTACAGAGCAAGGCGACCAGGCGTAACATACCTTGCTGAACAATCTTCTGAGCCTCTCTCTCAGCCTAGAGGTAGCAAAGTCAATTCATGCTCGAGCCCGGAGGTCCTTGCGGTGCGACCTACATCGAGGAGGGTCTGAATGCCTGCGGAGTTCTGAGCGGACTATAGAGCAGGGTATTAGCACTTGCTGACCGGACGGAGCAAAATAAGAGTTCATGGCGCACCATTTTGCCAACGAGCCCCTGTGAGTAGAAATGAACCGGTAGAATGAGGCGTCAAGGGCGTGGGGATAGAAGTACAGATAAGGCGGAGGTCGTGGAGCTCGTGATGCGCCCGTGCAATGCCCCCCGACGCCACGAATGATCAATGACTAGGCGGTCAGCGTTCTGCCACCCGATACCGCCGTCGTGATAATCGCCGATGAATCCAACGCCGGTCTGGGCCTTGGACGCAAACACGCATTCTTTGCCAAAGTGAGTTCCTGTCGCTCCCTACCAAAACTCTCTATATGGTGTACTGATACATGACACGCAGACAGGATGTCTCGAGCCTCGAAATTGACATTGGCCGCCACGGGCCTCGGAACCGCGGGCATCATCTACTTTGTGCACTGGTCACAAGAACAAGAAAAAGCAGTACGTTCGATTGGGATCTTTCTTAAAAGGTTGATTGGAAACTTATCAAGTCATAGTCCATGCATAAGGGAGTTGAGCGAGACATGGAGAAGCAGCGCGTGCGACACGAACGACAGGCCGAATTCGAGATGCAGAAGAGACTCGAGGAGGAATACCTGAAGCTCCAGAAGGTTTCTCCTAGCTTAGACGGATCGCCAGGAGGGGATAATAATCCGGCAAAGGGGTCGTGAGGAATTGAATACTCAATTGGGTTACGTCGTACATGGACGGTGTGACCTGGGATAGATTTGCATCCGGTAAGTTTTCAGCTTTGGAGGACAATCCAGGCTGTGCTGATTGAGACCTCAGAATTAGCAGCTGTCTGATTATTGAAGATATGTGTGTACAATATACCCACACTGTATTATATGAGCCAACTCTCCTGTCTATTTATGGTCTGATGGATAAAATGTCTTTATTCTAAATTAATAAAACACCCTACACATGACTATATCAACAAGAAACAAGGGTAAGTAAGAAATCTAGAATCAAGACAGAACAGCATGCGTGCCAGCAAATAGTGAGCTGGAGGTGCTTATCGCCGAATTCAGGCTCAGGTATTGATACGAGTGTTCACATTCCGAGTGATCTCAAAAACTGCTGTTCTTATCAAATCCGGAAGCCCAAATTGATATGCTGTACATGGTTGGCTGGTCTTATCAGCGAGTAACACAGCATATAAGGCCGGCTAGGAACGGCTCGGCAACCTGAGGCCGGCCATTGACGGAGGCCGGAAGATTCCGGCCAGGCCAATCAGATCGCGGCGGCAGGTGGATCTAGGAGTCTTGGCAGCCGAGATGACCGAAGCATTGGCAGAGGGTGTCATTGATGTTGATGGGGAGCCTATGGGTTGCAATCGTTTAATATTACGGGGACGAGGACTTGTAGACCTACAGGACGATCGAAATGACATCGCATATCTTTTTCTGCGGGGTTTCTTGCCACCAGAGATCGATCTTGTTCCTGGACGTTGGGCAGCTCCTACTGCATCGAGCCTAGCGTGTCCCCGTGATGCTGGCTGCCCTTGCTGCCAAGTCTCGATATAGATCCGACGTAGATGGCTTCCTGGTTCGATATAGTCGGGGGGGAGGGCATGATTTTCTGCGGAGAGACCCTTGGAGACCAAATATTCCATCGCATATGGCTTGTCGGATGCGATGTCTCGAAGTTGCATCCGAGAATGCAGCCTCCACGCCTTTTTGCTCGGCCAAACGTAATAGAGACTCCGTGGCCGGAATTGAATCCGGCCTCATGGAAGTTATAAGAATCGCTGTCTCCCGCTGGTTTTCCTTCCCTTCTCTTGCCTCTGCAAGCCCAGACAGGCATCGACCAAGTTCCTCAGAATCTCTTCCGCTCCCCCCTTCTAAACTTTGCGCTTCTCTTGGAGGACCTTAGGTCTCTTACATCCTTATCAAGTCTTCATACATAGATAGATCCCCTTTTCCTTTGTTGCCCTGCACCATGACACAGATCAAGACCCCTCGTACTTCTACCACTACCCTGAAACGATTTCCTTATGTTCACCATGACCCGTCCACACTCCCTCGGTCCTTGGACCCCTTCACCATCACCACCTCCACGGGGTTCATGCCCTTCATCATGTCCCCTACCCACCTCCCCGAGCCCTTCGAGCCCCTAGTGGCCCTGCTCGACCGTATGCCCGTGACAAAGCTCGACGGCACTCCCGGTCTGCTGGCGACGTATGAGCTGGGCCCTGCTGTCGCCGAGCTCCCCGACCTCACGGCGGAAGTCGACAAGCTGGTCACCGCCGATGGCTCCCCAGACCTCTACGCCGTCACCGCCGTGTTCAGGGACTACTCGTTCCTGGCGTCGGCCTACCTGCTTGAACCGTGCTGGGAGAACTGGTGCAAGAACCCGGACAACGGCTACGGTCTCGGAAGAGACTTCTTGCCCCGTGCCGTGGCCTGCCCTATGTATCGGTGTGCTCAGCTGTATGTACCCTTGCCCCCTTCCTCCTCCCTCCTTCAACATATGTAACATGTTTATACATCTTTACTATAATGTACTATACTGACAGTATCTAGCCTGGACATCCCCCCCTTCATGTCCTATGCCGCTGCATACTCCCTGTTCAACTACACCGTGGCCGAGCCATCCAAGGGCCTGAGCTACCCTAACCTCCGACTGGTCCGGGCCTTCGAGCATGGTCTTGACCCCAAGAGCTCCGAGGCAGGGTTTATCCTGACCCACGTCGACATGGTCAAGGAGTCGAAAGGCCTGATCAGCGGGGCGCTCAAGGTCGTCGATACGCTTGAGCAAGCCGGCACTCGCTCCGAGGTCAACGACGGGTTCCGAGAGATCCTGGCCTCTATGGAGAAGATCGAAGCAAGTATGGAAGGTATGTCCTACCACTCAGCTCTAGTTCACATAATACCTGTGTGTGAATATGGTAAACTGACGCGCATCTAGACATGTGGGCCAACTCCAAGCCCCAAGACTACCTTTCCTTCCGCGTCTTCATCTTCGGAATCACCTCGCAATCCATGTTCCCCAACGGCGTCATCTACGACGGAGTGCTGGATAACCAACCCCTCTTTTTCCGAGGTGAGAGCGGTGCCAACGACAGCATGGTGAGTTCCTCCCCTACTATATCACCACTACCTACCCACAGCCACCACCCCTATACCTCACCTCACCACCCCAACCCAAACTAACAAACACGATAAAAAAGATCCCCCTCCTCGACCACCTCCTCGAAATCCCCATGCCCTCGACGCCCCTCACCAAAATCCTGCACGAGTTCCGCGCCTACCGGCCCCTCCCCCACCGGACCTTCCTGGCCTACATGAACGCCAAAGCAGCCGAGGTCGGGGTGCGCTCGTACGCGGTGCACGACACCGAGACGACGATCCTGTTCCTGAAGACGCTGAACCATGTCCGCAGCTTCCGCTGGCGCCATTGGCTCTTTGCCCGCGAGTATATTATTCGGCGCACGCCGCATCCGACGGCCACGGGTGGGAGTCCGATTGTTACGGTATGTTTTTTTTCTTTCTTTCTTCTCTTCTTGGGGTGGGGGTTTGTGTTTCTGTTGGATGGATCGGATGCTGATTGAGACAGTGGCTGCCGAATCAATTGTCCGCTGTCATGGATATGATGATATCCATGTATGACACTTACCTGGCGCCGCAGAAGGATGCGCCGACGGGGGCGAATGGGTCAAGAGGGTACGATGCGGCGTATCAGAAACAGGTAGAACCGATGATGGAGATGGTCAAGGACCAGCGGGAGAAGCTGGCGAAGGAGGTGGAGAAGTGGTGCAAGGAGAGGGGGGTCTGAATGTTGAAGACACGAATCGAAAGGTTCAATGATAGCAACTAATGACTAGGTAAATATGCCTCCTTCCGTGATCTTGATCCGAAACCAGAAAAGATAGACCGAAATTCAAATATATGCTGGATATCACATCATTATCATAATTCCTTGCTTCCGTCCTTTCCTGTAACGCCAGATGGCATCCCGCCAAAAAAAAGAAAATGAAAAAGAGAAAAGAAAAAATCACCCAGTATACTCCAAAGCCTTCAACTGGAGAGTAGTTTCACCCAATGTAGAGACATCGGCAAAAACATGCCACGGCGATAGGTCATCCTCGCATGGGCTCCAACCTATCGGCAGGCATATCAACTGAGCGAACCTTCTCGAGACGAGAAGGTCGTCACCCATCCTAAATACTGGTCTTATGCAAAAATCTCCAGACCGTTTGCGCGCCCATAAGCAACGGCATCGGCTGACACATTCTCACAGCCTTTTGCAAAGACGCGCTCGATCGGCGAATGGCTGGATTCGGAGGAGCGGATATCCGCCAGTCTCTTGATCGAAATGCCAGTTATTTCAGTACAGGTCAGATTGAGGACCTTTAGGTTGAGCAACTTTTCAGCAAGCATCTCTACGACCTTGTCGTCGATCAGGGAGATGTGCGAAACATTGAGTTCCTCCAGCCCCTGGGAGTGTTCGCAGAGGAGCTGGGCCAGGGTAGAACCATGCAGCCGGAAACACTTGTCTACGTGAAGGACCTTAAGAGGAGCCTTCCCCTCGAGCAGAAAATAAAGGAATGTGCGGTTGGTAACCCAAGGCACGTCGCTCAGTATGAGGGTATGGAGATTGGGGAAAGCGAGGGGCGGTTCGTTCGAAAACGGGAACTCTTCCGCTCCAGCGCCACCCCGGATGCGAAGATACTCAAGGCTAGATGGCAGCGCAAACTCATCACCAATGAAAATCCCACTAAGATCCAGTTTCTTTAGTCGCTGAAGATCTAGCGGATTGAAGGCAGGAGGGTAGGGGACAAAAACTTCTGGGTTTGAATCAAGCCGCAGCTCTTCCAAATTTGCAAGTGGGTAGGGAATCGAGGGCTGCCAATGTCAGTCAATGGCCGAAAGTACGGGTCAAGGAGTAGTACATGTTCTCGGCGGGGAATGTAGAGCGCAGGAACATGTCCTGTCGGCCTCGATGGCTCGATGGAGCCTAGCGTGATGCTTCGTAGATGGGGGAGTTTCGACGGCCATTCCGCCTTTGATTGGGGAGAGGACTTAGTTTTATAGACTTCGATGCGTTCAAGAAGCGGTAGGCTTGCGAGAAACTTGGCCAGGTACTCCTGAGGGACCACCGTGTCGGCCGAGACGACCAGGGTTTTCAAGCGCTTGGAGCCCTTGAAGAGGGTGTAAACGGCCTGGTTGCTGTACGGGTCCATCAACTCGAGATGTTCTAGCTTCGGACACCTGCTCACAAATTCCAAAACCCTCTGCGTTGAAGGAGTGGAAATGTTTTTCAAGGTGACTTTCGTTAGCATTGCCGTAGACCGACGAATGTGAGCGCGAACGGATGACCAGTGAATCTTGCCACGAGCGATGGAAAAATCAAGCTCCATCCACAAATCGCGCATCGAGGAGAGAAATTTGTTCCATCCTTTCGACACGCGTAGAATCGCACTGGAGATTATCAGATGGTGGTTCAATGGGAGAGCGCAAGAACCTACACGAGCTGCTTGAAGTCGAAATCTTGTATAACTAGTCGAGCCAGTTCCAGAGGTAGAACAGTAAAAGGGTCCTGGCACTTTGCCATCATCTTTTCCCTCAGTTTGTCGTGTAATTCCGCCACAAGCTGTGTCGATCAGCTCGGCTCATAAGAATATTCAAGACGGTCTGATCCAGGAAGAGAACTGACCGAACGACGGGGATGGACACTCGGCAGGACTTTCAACCCGTAAGCATACACTTCCAGAGCCTTTTCGGGCTTGTTATCCAGGAGCAGACTCTTCGCACAGCGAAGATATCCCTGCACCAGATTAGCACTCGAGGTCGATGCCACTGATTCCACAGATCTTGCTCCTACCCGGTAATCATGCTTGTCTTTCTTAATCATCTGCCGGGAATCCCGCAGCGCGCGATCATATTGTGCCAACTTGGTATAAGTGGCAGCGCGATTGTCGAGAATATCCAGATGATTGGCATCGTTTACACTTAAAGCCTAAGTAACCAGCAATTGGTTAGAATAAAGCAGAACGCGTTTATTCGATATACATGGCAGATACCTCAGTAAAGGCTTCTATGGCAGCTTGAAAGCTACCCTGCTGATATAGTCGCTGGCCGTGCTGCTGCAACGCGGCCGCTTCGCCACGCACCACACCTGCAGGAGAACGAGACCTTAGCCAGACGACCAGATTGACGAGTGCATCGGCCACAGGAACGTACCTAACGAGCCCATGATCGGATGTATCGATCGTATGAGCCCAGTTACATTCAGGACGCGCTAAGCGGGACGGTCGGGAGAAGGCGCGAAAAGACGAAGAAAAGGAACGCCATCGCGTGACTCGCGTCGTTCGTGTCGACGTCAACCGGGCAACGCGGTTTGTTCCCGTGGGGCTGCACGGTGGGTCGCTGCAGCCGACCGCAGCCCGGCAGTGTTTACTTTTGTCCCGATCGGGAATCCCTGTCGACGGCAAAATAACGGTCGGTTTGCGATCCGATATCCACCGGGCTCAGCTTACCTGGTTTGTTCCCAGTCTTCCAGCCTTACTCTGCCGACCTTTTTCGCAGACTCAGGATCATCAAGGCAGCTTGCTGGCAAGCCATGGAGCCGCATAACCTGGAGGCGGCATCGACTTACATTAATAATGTGCTCCTTGCTCGGGGCTTGTTGAAGAGCGGCAGTCCCATCGACTTTGCCCAGCCCGACAATGACGAGGGCGGCGTCGCAACGACCATGGGCAGGGTCATCAACCTGGTGAATGACCTGGTTCTGAGAAGAGATGTATGTGATCGGAGAGTACTATCGATACGTTGAGGGACCGACCATCTGACAGCGGACAGCGCGAAGCAGAGCATCGAGAGAATCTGGCCAATACAATTCGAACGCTACGGGCAGAGGACTCGCAGAAGACCCTTGAGATTGTAGGAGATCCCGTCAGACTGAGTCATGGAACAGGCAACTAAGACTTTGTAACACAGGAGAAACTCCAGACCAAGGCATCCGAATTGACTCGATCGCTGGCGCTGGCAGAGGCCCAGGAACGCTCGATGAAGACCAACATGGCTAGTACAGATTCGACGATTCGAGCGCTGAAAGAACAAGTGCAGCGCATGAAGACCGTCACTCAGCAAGTCCGCGCGCAGTGTGCCAACGACATCCGCAAACGAGACCTGGAGATGCAGAAGTTGAAATCGCACCTGGCCGAGCGACAGAGAGGCAAACGGGAGGGGCTCGGAGTCACGACCATCAATATCAACCCCGCAGTCGATCGCTCGTCCCGAATGAAACTCTCGAAAGGTGGCGAGGGTGTCAACGACCCGGGATACAGCCTGAAACAGGAGACGAACGATTTTCTTACGGAGCTATTGCAGAACTTGAGTGACGAGAATGACGCTTTGATCATGCTGGCGCGGAACACCGTTCAGACCCTGAAGGATCTTCAAGGGCTGCCGCATGCCGAGGAGGACGACGAGGGTGCGATCGGGTCTGCCAGCGTGGGCACCCACAAATCCTCGCAGGGTCCGGTCACTACTCTGCCTTCATCTTGCGAAGACCTGTCCGACCAGATGGACCGCGTCTTGGAGCACCTGAGAACGTTGCTTACGAATCCGTCCTTCGTTCCCTTGGAGGAGGTCGAAATGCGCGACGAGGAGATTGTCAGGCTCCGAGAAGGCTGGGAGAAGATGGAAGCCCGATGGAGACAGGCCGTTACGATGATGGATGGCTGGCACACACGGATTGCCGACGGCGGCGGCTCGGTGGATGCGGAAGAGCTACGACAGGGAATGAAACTCGATCTCAGCGTGGATTCCTCGAGGGCGAGAGCCGATAGCAGCATGCAGTCGCCGATCTTCGAAGACCAGGAGGCTGAGGAAGAGGAAGAGGCTGCAGACCAGGTCGTAGCGGTGACCCACGCCAACGAGAAACAACCTACGCGCGAGGAGAAGCCACAGAAGAGTTCCAACCGGGCACTGAAAGAACGAAGCGACAACATCAGACCTGCGCGACCATCCCGGAAAGTCTCCTTCACGCCTGGACTGCAGGGATCTCCATGCGAGCCTGCTCCGCGCGAGGAGGACGAGACTGTGCAAGTCAGAGCCCATCGATCGGAGGCCGTGACACGCAGGTCGTCCCGACGGAGACCAGAATCCCAGACGACAGCCCGTCAGGAGGCAAATCGCCCGAGCCGATCCCCGCAGAAGCAAGGAGATTCCTCTCTGACACGCAAGGAGCAGCACGCATCTGATTCCTCCACTCGACTCAGCGTGCCGCAAAAGCTGGCGGCCGTCGAGAGTGAAGCGCGAGCAGCCGAGCAAGCGCGTAAGGAGAGCGAAAGCCGCAAGCGAACTCGCGGAGGCAAGAGTTCGACGAAGGCCAGCAGCGATCGACGCCGCAGCACGCTGACCAGCGACGAGCTGGGGGAGCTGATGGGGATGCCGTCGCGGTGATCTCTTCGACTCGTGAAATACCGATTGTTCAGGATATGACTTTGCTTGATACCCCTTCTTGAAACCGTCATGTGTGTATATACCGTACTTCCTGTTGCTTGCATATTCGACGACGAGCTATCATGACCTGGCGCCTGTGAATAATTTTTGCCTTGACATTGGGATCGCATGTATGATTAATATTAATACGCTCGCTGAGCTTTGATTTTGCATTCGGCATTTCGTAGTGGACCTCGGCAACTTTTAGTCCTCTTCTCCGCATCCTTTCCCCTACTCTCCTACACTGCACTTTATTCATTCTCATCTAACTTCACACACTGGACATTCATATTTCAATCCTCATACAGTTGGTCTATTCCCCTTGACCATATCTTCCCGTCTACACAATTGCATTAACTCTCCCTGCTTAACCACAGATCTGGACATCGACACATCCATATCTGAAGCCCGGAGAAACTCCAAGTCATTGATTGAAACGTTGCATATCGCCTCAATTCCGACATCTCCATCTATAAAAATGCCCTCAGATACCTTCCAAGGCTGGGTTGCCCACGACGCCACCAGCCCTCTCACCTTCACGACCTTCACGCCCAAGCCATTCGCCGACACCGACATAGAAATCGACATCACCCACTGCGGCATCTGCGGCACCGACCTCCACACCCTGCGCTCGGGCTGGGCCCCAACCGACTATCCCTGCGTCGTGGGCCACGAGATCATCGGCACCGTCCGCCGGGTAGGCTCCGCCGTCGCCACACAGTCCTCCTCGCCAGCCTCACAGCACATCCAACCCGGCGATCGCGTCGGCATCGGCGCCCAGAGCGCCTCCTGCCTCCGCCCGGACTGCTCCGCCTGCGCCGACGGCCTCGAGAACTACTGCCCCCGCATCACAGCCACTTACAACAGTCGGTACCGCGACGGCTCCAAATCCAAAGCCCACGGCGGCTACGCGACCCGCTGGCGCGGACCCGCCCACTTCGTCTTCCGCATCCCCGCGGCGCTGCCCTCCGCTGAAGCCGCGCCGCTGCTCTGCGGCGGGGTGACGGTGTATGCGCCGCTGCGTAAATACGGCGCGGGGCCGGGCAAGTCGGTCGGGGTGGTGGGGGTGGGCGGGCTAGGACATATGGGGATTCTGTTCGCGAAGGCGCTGGGGAGTGAGCGGGTGGTTGCGATTTCGCGCAGTTCGAGCAAGCGGGGAGATGCGGTGGAGGGGCTGGGTGCGGACGGGTTCATTGCGACGGGGGAGGAGAAGGACTGGGCGAGAAGGTACTCGCGGACGCTGGACGTGATTATCTGCACGGTGGACGCGGCGGATATGCCGTTGAGTCAGTACCTGCGGCTGCTGAAGGTGGATGGGACGTTTGTGCAGGTGGGTGCGCCGGAGAAGCCGTTGCCGGGGCTGCCGGCGTGGTCGCTGATTCAGAAGAGTGTGAAGGTGACGGGGTCGAGTATTGGGTCGCCTGGGGAGATTCGGGAGATGTTGCAGCTGGCGGCGGAGAAGCGCGTGTTGCCGTGGATTCAGAAACGGGGGATGGACGAGGTGAATGCGGCGCTGGGGGATATGCATGCTGGCAAGGCAAGGTATCGCTACGTGCTGGAGAATAGGGAGGATGTGCAGGCGAGGTTGTAGTTATACAGGGTTATATATGTAGTTATGGGGATTGAGTAACTGTATAGAATTTAGATGGTGGCCAGCAGACAGGAACAGCGATATACGGAGTAGTATAGAGCAGGCCAAGAACAGAAGCTCAACACTAAACCGTACAAGGGCTGCAATACGAGTAAGAGCAACGTTTAAACCTGCAACAGAGACGTTCATCCTGGACGCGATACCCACAATTTCTCCGCTTAGCATCCAAAAAGCTCACGGTCTTGACCCGAATCGGAAATGAGTACGAGATATACGACAGGGTCTGGCGATGATCCACCAACCCAAGGCGCTTGGATTAGAAAAGTTTGAGCAGGGAGGCGAGAGAAGAAATTGATTAGGGGATAGATCCTCTCGTTTTATTCTGTCTGTTCTTTGTCTCTCAACAATCATTCTGTACACCTCGACCCATCACAGCAATTGCAATGGCGGACTCGGACAGCCATGGAGGCTGGAAAGCCTACGAATATTACCCTTCGATGGCTGCGGCCGTCATTTTCATCCTTCTATTCATTGTCGTTGACCTCCTCCATACATACCACCTGGTCCGAACCCGGACATGGTTCTTCATTCCGCTCGTCATTGGCGGTTGGTGTGAGTATTCATTCCCCCGAGGATCCCTTGGCTTTCCCGATGCTGACTTGGACTAGTCGAGTTCCTTGGCTATATAGGACGCGCCATGTCGGCGAAACAATCGCCGGATTGGACCATCGGCCCGTACGTGATGCAGAGCACCCTGCTGCTCGTGGCGCCCGCCCTCTTCGCCGCTAGCATATACATGGAACTGGGACGGATCATCTACCTCGTCAAGGGGCAGTCGCTGTCCCTCATCCGAGTGAACTGGATGACGAAGATATTCGTGGGCGGGGATGTGTTGAGTTTCCTGATGCAGTCTTCAGGTAGGTCCTGCCATAGCCTTGCCTGTGCATTCCGAGGCACAACCAACCCCGCGACAGGACGCTGATCAAGACAGGCGCCGGAATCATGGTCAATGGATCGCAAAGCACCGGGAAAAGCATCATCCTGGGAGGTCTGTTCGTGCAGATCATCTTCTTCGGCTTCTTCCTGGTCAGCGCGATTGTCTTCCAGACGCGGATCGGCAAACACCCGACCGCGCAGTCGGTGGACGTGTATATCCCCTGGCGGAAGCATATGTTCGCCCTGCATGCGTCCAGTGTGCTGATTCTGATCCGATCCATCTTCCGAGTGGCGGAGTATGTCGGGGACACCGACGGGGTGTTGATGACGAGCGAGGCCTTCATCTATATCTTCGACGGGCTGCTCATGTTCCTCATGATGGTCATCTTCGTGGTCATCCACCCGAGCGAGGTGAACTACCTCTTGGGCAAGGGGACGTATATGACCATAAAGGGTGGATTAGGAGTAAGTCGGCCGAACATGCCTGTTTAATGTTCCCTCAATCGTGGTGTCGGTTTCTCCAGAATCCCTTCTATCCTTAGAATCCAAAACAAGACGTCAATAAATAATATAGACTGCACAATAACCGTAGATCCTGTCAAACTGCTAGACTCATAAATCCACAAACCAGATTATTTTTCTTAGGCCGACTGTCAGCCCGTCTCGTCAACAGGAAAGCTCTCCCCGTAGACTGTCTCCATGGGCCAGCGAGCCAACGGTTTCCAGCGATCATCCAGAATCTGCCATATCGCCTTAGGCACCCTGAGACTCCATTCGCCCACGTACCAGACTTCTCGCATGCTGTGCAGGACGGCGCAGTAGTGCGCTAGAATGACCAGGGCCAACGGGGTATGATCGCGAATCAGATCCACATACGCGGGCTTGCATTTGATAGCCCACCGGCACGCAATGGTGACGGTGATCAGGCCGCTGGAAAGAGCGGCGATCATGTCGCCCAGGTTCTCAATGGTATGGCGGTAGACTTCGGTGTCATGTGTCGAGTCCTGCTCGCCGCACTGGCTATTTGCCTCGTGCAATCGGTCCAGGACAGCACGTGCATCATCTGGAGGGCTTTTGTCGTATTCGCCCAACACGAGCACAATCTCCCAGTCACTGCCGACGATCGACGGGGTCGCTTGTCTGAGAACCTCATGCACGCCGCGGGCCAGCACAAACACTTGCGTCAAGTCGTCGACGCAAGTCCACGGGTCGTTGTCCGCCTCGGGCGGGTGGGGAAATGCAAGGGCGTACATGACCACGACGCTAGCAAACGCAAACATGGCCTTCGCATTGGACTCGTTGATGTCGCTCAAACGGTCCCGGAAGAACGCCAGCGCGCGATTCTGGTGCCCCACGGCGGTATCGAGGTAGACGGGGCCGCGATGATCACTTTTCGTGCGCGCTAGATGAAGCGCAGACAGGGCTAGGATGCCATGCATGAGAAACGGATGAGAGAGCGCTTCTTCCGGGACGCAGCATCGCCAGATGTATTCGGTCTGCCGGGCGCGAGTCAAACTCTGGTAGGTTGAGTTGCACCACTGCATCATCAGCTCCAGGTCACTGAGATTGAGATCGGTGGTCTGCCGAGGGCGATCACCACCGCCACCGAGTCTCCCAAGGACCCCGAATGAGTTAGCGGTAAGCAGGGTCGATTCTGGGGGTTGGGACCCTTCGGAGACAGATACATTTGACCGGGGAGCGGGTTTTGGGGGCTCATTTGCCCATAGGAAAGAGCTGGTAGAATCATATTCACACTCTGTGCTACGCTTAGAGCAGTTGGTGCAGACAGGTCGAGTTTCATCGCACTGTGCGAAGGGATTAGTAACGGGAGTTAGACCGGAAGACAAGGCGAGGAAAATGAGAAGCTCGACGGGTTGGGTACCTTTACACGCCTTCGCTTGCATGCTGAGCAGCCGTGGCGAGACTTGCGATGGGGTCTTCGGAGCGCCATCAGGGATGAAGAGCTGGACTTTGCATTGCGATTGCGCGGATGCGATGGGAATGTTTCCGGAACAGCCTTAGGCAGCGGCATACTTCTTCAGGTGGATTATGTCATCATGACCCATATAGTTAAACGCACGATGTACAGCATTGTATCCCAAAATATTCATTAAACCATATCACACATTCTAGCAAAAAGCAAGTGGTATCTCAAAATTGCAAAATATCCAAATCATAAGTCAAGAATCGTCAACAGACATGCTCTTGCGCCTTAACCGCCGCCACCGCCGCCTCCACCCCCGTTGCCGCTGTTGTTGCGACGTCGTTGTTTCTCATAAAGAGCAAGCACGGTGAGAATGACCATGAGCTCGAACTCCCGACCATAGTCCGCATGGATCTGAAGCTTGCCACATTTGGTGAAGCTCTTGAGGCTGTTGCTGGTAAACACCGCGACAATGCGGTCCGTTTGCTCGTTCACGAGCTTGTAATTGCGCGAACTGAGTATCGAGGGCTTGCTGTCTTCGACCCCAACGCTATGGGTGCGCTTCCAGACAAAAGACCGCTTGATCACCTCACCATAGGGGGATCTCATGGTCATTTGCCAGCGGTACTTGGTGAGCTGGTAGTTCATGCACACAAGGTCCTCCCACTGCACATCGCTAATATTCTGGGGATCTCCCAGTCCGACTTTCAAATGTCTTGAGAAGTGAAGAAACTTGCAGACAGCCACGATGGGGGCACTCTCGTCCATGCCACCATGGACTGTGAGATCGGGCTTTTTCGGTCGGATCAGTGAATTTTCCACATGATAGAGAGGTGTTTTGTCGGCCAGAGTGACATCGTAATGATGATGCAAAACCGTATGGTAGATGTTATATAGACGAGACCCATCCGGGGCTGGGACGGTGCCAGAGGTGTCAAGGGAACTTGAGGGATGTAATGAACCCGCACCTGGAGTAGACGAGTCCTTGGATAAACTCATGTTGTTACCATTAGTGTGATATAGTGGTCAAGTGATGAGAGAAGAGTCAAAGAGTAACATGAGGGAAGGGATTCGGCCATCTTATATCTTGCATTGAGAAAGAGGTCAGCTTGAAATAGACGCAACCCTCATCCCTTGATACGAGCTAGCCACAGGGCTTAGCGTCGATCGTACCATGGATGCTCGATTGAGGCATATACGAGGCTGTGTTAGCCATTTTTGCCCGGTGAAAGTAGTCGGTCAGCCTTGGGCGAGTGCCGATCACGGGGGGCCTTGGCTGCCGAGTACGATTTGCCCAAAGGGGAAGGCTCCACGTGCGGTCACATGATAATAACCAGATACATTCAGTCACGTGGACTCAAATCACCTGACCTCACCTGACCATGCAGCGCGTGCCAAGACTCGCGCGCGTTGATCGGCGGCGAGAAGAAGTCGGCGACTTCCATTTGACTGTCGATGGCGATGGCTGTTGGGCATTGAAGACCGCCATTCACTCTGCAGTCTGCCGTCAACCTTCACTTGCCAACCTCCGAAGATTTGCGCCCCTGCGTTCCTCGAATTGTCTATTCCCCAAGCTTGGGGTGGCGCTGCTTATCCTGAAGATATCCATACCTCTCCGATCTCCAGATTAATTTTGTTTATTTCTCCGCCTCGCTGTCCCAACACCTCCCTTATCTCTTGACACATCCAGCATGTCTTTCAAGGTCCCTTACGATTCGAGCCCTCCGTCGACCCCCGGAAAAGGCCGCAGTTTTCTCAGCAATGTCTCCATGACTCCTGCGGGCGCTCCGTCCGAAGCCAACTCCTTTACTCCTCAAGGACCGCCGCCCTCTACGGTCTACGGAAGCTCCCAAATGAGTTCTCGATCGCAGTTTGACTCCCCGCAGGCCCTGTTTACGAAATCGGGCAACATCAACCCCAACGACAGCATCTTCGGATCCTCGATTGCGTCCAATGATTATCCAGTCCCGCGGGGGAGACAAGCAGCGCCGGCCACCCGATCTTTCGCCGCATCCTCGGTCTTCAGCGTGGGGAGCAGTCGCTTCGGCGACTCTTTCAATTCGCAGGCGCCGAATGATTTTGGATCGTCGCAAATGGGTGAAGATCCAGGCTCGGATGCCGACGGGGACGAGGAGATGCTCCCAGAAGAAGAAACAGAAGAGCGAGCTGACAAGAACACGGGGATTGCACAACAACCACCGAAACCAAGCAACCCCTTCAGTTTCCTGGACTCGCAGTTGTCAAAGCCCCTGTTTCCGCCACCGTCGAAGCCGGCAGAGCAACGGAAGCCAATATTCGCCAATCCAGACAACGCCAAGCGCCCGAAGCTTGACGACAAATGGGCGGAGCAATCTCCTCTGCGCAAAACGAAGCTGTCACCCAAGAAGGACTCCGCGATGCCATCTATCGTGCGCAACTTTGCTTCCCGGTCGCGCGTCACATCGGTCGAGGAGTCTAGCGATCTCATCATCGAAACGGAGGACGAAATCTGCAACATGTATGACGCCGCGAAACAGGCTGGGTTCCGGGAGTCGGAAGTCAATGCTACTTTCTCGGATACGTGCACTAGGCTGGTCGACATCTGGAAGTCGCACGCAGGGCGGAATGCTTCGCGGGCAGGGGGTATCGGTCCGGGCGACCATGCCCCCAACGTCGCCAAGGCAGGCTTTCTGGGATCGCTATTGATTCAGCTGCATCACCCTCCTTTGGTGCATGCGAGGACTGGTGGCTTTGCAGGCCCTCTTGGTTTTCCTGCTCCGCGCGCCCTAGTGCCTGCTGGCTTTCGGTCCGATTTCCTCACGCCCATGCCCAAGGTCCTCCTGGACTGGCTCAATCGTAACCACGCTCAACAAGCATCCGATCTTCATGCCTTGAAGGAGACCGAGCCGAATCCTACGGCGTCGCCAAATTTCTGGGAGGCCATCAACACCGCGGTTCTGCGTGGACATCTTTCACAGGCGGCCGAGGTCTTGCGATCTGCTGATTTCAACTACGCCAGGTCTGCGTTGGAGGATGGACTACCGCAGACTGGCTACAAGGGTGCCCAGCTGCAGAACATCCAGAAGTGTGTCAACCGGGCTCTTCAGGTTCTGACTGCATGCCCCTGCATTCGCGATGACTGGGATGTCAGAGGCGCGGAGTGGGGTCTGTACAGGAAACGTGTGGTTGCGGCGGTCGCTGATTTGGAGGAGTTCGCCGAAGGAAATGAGCAGCCGGAGCCGGAGCCTCCAGTCCTAGGAAACCGGTTCCAGGCGGCCAACTTCGGGTTAAAGCCGAGCTCTAACACGCAAGAATTCTCATTCACTCAGTCTTCACGGATGGCGGAGAGCCGAGTTCCCTGGGCTATCTATCAGAGCCTCAGATCGCTATACCGCATCCTGCTTGGCGACACAGCGGCTATCATGCGGCAATCCCAGGATTGGATTGAAGCCACCGTCGCTTTGACCGTGTGGTGGGATGGCGAGGATGATGAAGATGCCCCCGTCCAGCCTAGCGGGCTCAATTCTCTTACCAACCAGTTCTTGCGTCCCCAGCTGGCGAAGACGCAGACTCCGGCCGGCGGCAACAATCCACCGGGCACCTACCTTCGTCGCCTGGAATTGGCCTTGAGTAGCGCAACCAACCAAGAGCAGGACAACGCCGGATTCCGTATAAATTCTCTGAGCAGTCTCGAGGTTGGACTGGCTTCTGTTTTCGAAGGAGACGTCAGCGGTGTGATCGAGCTACTCCAGACATGGTCGCTCTGCGTGGCGTCTGCCGTGGGCGAGGTCGCGGCCGCCGGCGGCTGGTTAGACACGGCGTCGGGCAAGAAGCCGCTATCAGGCTTGAGCGAGAACGATCTGATGGTGCTCTCATACGGACAAGATAACAGTGCTTCGTCGCGCAAGGTGAACAAAGACGATCTGCTAAGCGACTACGCGTCGGGTCTGTTTGAGCGGCCTCGTGTTGAGAACGAATCTGGTTCTCGCACTGGATGGGAGATGGCATTGGAAGTCATGAGCCGCCTAGACAACAAGGACAAGATGCAAAAGAAGGTGTCAGAGATGGTCGACACGCTCCCTCTCAATGACGCAATTGAAATGGATAAGGTGGTGCTGCTGTGCTCCGAGCTAGGATTGCATCAGGAGGGACGACGGGTTTCCGAGGTTGGTCATCTCCATGTCTAGACTGAAAACTTGCTAATACCTTCTGCAGCGTTTCGGAGATCTTACGGTCGACGAGGGTGAAGAATACGGCCTTGCCTTGATGTGCTACGCTCGAGCGCATAACCGCCACAAGGTCAAGTCTGTTGTGGATCTTCTCATTTCCTACAGTCTGGTGCAATCCCGCGCATATCCCGCCACCCCCGATCTTGACACGCAGCTTGCTACCCTGGTGAAGGAGCCGAAAACTTGCCTTTCGTCTATTGAGGCCATCGACGAGGAGGCTGCCAGTATCATCCAGTTTTACTTTAGTGGATACGCGACTTTGCGGCGATTCTACGAGACGAGAGACGAGGCCATCGGTCTCACCGAGGGGCAGCGGCCTCGCTTCAAGCCTCTTGCGAGACGGCGAGTCGCAGCCAAGGCATTGGTCGCGGTCATTAGCAGTGCTGCAGACAGTATCTACGGTGGACTTTTCGATCCCGAGCGAGACTCTGCGATTCAGGTGGATGGGCTGTTGGTGCTGATGGGAGAGGCCCTTGCTTTTATCGATCGTAAGTCAGACTTTATCAACCCTTTTTGCCACCGCAGAGGCTAACCAGCAGCAGAACCCACCCCGATGTTTTCCGTGTCCCAGCAGTTTGCCATTCTGTCTGCGATCGAGGATCTTGAAACCGTCACTCCGCGAGTCTACGCCCAATGCGCTGAATGCTTCCGCGCGACGCTCCTGCAGTATCGGTCTCTGGAACATGCGTCTTCTGGCGACCGATCACCGGCCGAAGCCTTCGTTTTGCCGCCTTCTCGCGAACTTCTCAAGAAGTCCGTGACTTCGCTTGCACCGCCGAGCACATTCTCATTCCTTGGAAACGACGTGGTTGGATCTGCCCGGAATCGGTCGATGTCCGGCTCTGGCGCCGGCTCCGGGGTACTGGTCGCGCGCCCGGGAGACGGAGGCAGTTCCCACGAGCGAGGCTGGGACTGGCGTGCGGCATTACCTGAGGATGTGAAAGGGGAGGAGGTACTCCGAATGCTGCGATTGGGATTAGCCCGGGGGTTGAGCGCGGGGGCCCTCGGGTCAGTTTGATAGAATGGCGGCGCAAAAGTCCACGCATAGCATTGTATGTTCTGTATGATCGGGAAGTTCTGTTTTCGTCTCTTGTGAGATAAGAGTCAATAAAGCTTAATCCTGCATTGGAGGATATCCCGTAGCCTTCATAAACCGGTATTTGATCATTGGTCGATTGATGGGTAGTATTTGAAGGAATTTGGGCGTCAAAGGCGGCTGTCATTTGGATTCTTGAGCATACCACGCTACCTCTAGACAGGTGCAGCCCCTCGGATGAATCGGTCCAGAATTTCTTTTCTTTTGAATCGACGATCTTGGCAGAAGCTGCGGGTCGTCTCGTCCACGTCCCAATCCACATACTTCGTAAGCGCCATCCTAACCCTTCGATTTATGTCAATTCCCACACCTTTGGGATTGAATTATTTTGAGATATACCTCAAAGTCCACCGGATTGAAGAAAGGATTGTTCAGTTGGTCCTGGTCGCGTAACCCTCATGAGTGGTCAAGCAATGCTGTTTGGTGGAAGAAGTCCGTACTCCGTAGTCCACAGACATCGAAACAGGGAATGGAAACAAGCTAGGGCAGCCCTCATTTCGATTATCAACCATCAAACTTTCTCATGGCCCCAGGGCCCATTTCCATCTACCACGTGGGTCCAGGGCAACGAGGAACAACCGGTTGTCGTTGGCCGTGCTATTTTGAGAAAAGCTCGCAGGGTTCTGCGTGTCTATCCTTGCGAGTGGGCACAGGACAGCAAATCATAATCTCCGAGATCAGCCAGAACAACGGCTCGTACCGCACATTCAGCGTCGCCGGCATGATTGTCTGGTGGTGAGTCCCAAGGATACGCAGCAGCGACGAGGAGGAATAAATGGTTGCCTGACGAGGACGGCCGATGATTGGATGACATCATGGATGAGTCAGGCGAGGTCCAGTGACCCGCCAGGCCCGATTGGGACAGCCGGGCACCTGACGCTCCACCGTCCAAGTCAGCCTTGTGCCCTGTCGTCTCTCTCTTCCTCATCCATTCTCCTACCGACGGAGTATCTCCTCATCTCGCTCATGATTCGTTCGGAATCACAACCGTCCCATGCAAGGCCTCGGCCCTATGGCTCAAATCAGTATCTCTTTCTGGTATTCCGGACCACCCCAGCTGAATACTACCGACCCCTGCAAGCCACCGAGCAACGGCGTCAATGGCAGCCATATCCTTAGGGTCGCCTAGTGCCTGAGACGAGCTTCTGACTCCTCTGCGACGGTACGAGGGTCAGTAATCGCTGAACTGAACCAGCTGTCATCCGTGGATACTTTCAACCGTTGCAGGTGCCGAGCGCAAGTTAAGCCGGCGTCAAGAAATAGCATTTCCGATGCCTCTCCTACCCTACTCTCCTAGTTCTGCACTACGCAATCGTAGTGACTCCTTCAGCCCGACTAAACCCCACTGATCGACTAAGGCTCTCGGTGTTGGCCGCTGCTCGCCCTACGGGATTGGAAGAAAACCAATATGGTATGGTGCTAATCTTGCCCGACAGACTGGGCTTTTTAATTTTAATTTTTTTTTCTTTGTCGTTTTTCATTTTTCTTAGCATGATTCTTCCCTGGCCCTGGCCCTATCCCGTTGATACACCGTTTTCCTTCCCCGGGCAAAAGCACGACACCACTCGTTGATTTCGATGGATGCCTTGCATTTTCGGAGTCACATTACTTTCAGGCCGATTGATCCAAGAGACATGTAACTTGACGCATACCACACATTCCCTCCCAATCCTCATCGCTCTTTATCAATTCGATTGTCTGTGTGTGAGTTTCAGCATGGTCTGGTCGCCTGATAATCGATCTTTATAAATGATTAAATCTTTCATATGTGGTCGGCATCCTCCCCACCTCCACCAGCGTTCTTTAGACTGTGCTTCCTTTCTTTAATCCCTCCAATTCGTTCATTGACCGATCTTTTCCTTTAATCGTCTTTTACTTCTCTCCGCTGGACGTCGACTATCCTCGTTGTCGCATTTACCCCACCATATAATTATACCATCTTTGTTCTTGCCATCTTTCACCATGTGTTACAAACTGGTGGAACGGTTTTCAGTCTGTGGCTGTCTTTACTTCCAACACGCGGTTGATCCGTGTGAAGCATATGGCCAACGAGGCCATACGGTGCAGGAGAAAACGGTTCTCGTTGGGTATACCTGCGACAAACATACTGTGAGACGGGGCGAGCCTACGCCAAAGGGAACGACTTGGCCGGATTCCGGCTACTCCAGCGCCAAAGGGTATTGACCGTGTCGACCGGATATTGACCTTCATCATGTCGCCCGACGAGACATCTTCCGTATCCGTCTTTGGTTATTATTGAGAGAACAACCGGCAATCGAGCATTCGCCGATCGATCCCGCTATTCCAAAAGTCTTTATTGTCTTGAAAGCATTTGGCCGGTTCCAACCCCGTTTTGCGACAACGATATATTCGCTTCAGCTACCGGAGAGCTTCTTTTACTACCATCTCTTTCCGTCTTATTCTTTGATGCCCGGATCCTGCTTGGCTGGATCTACGCCAGTTCACGAGACACGAACGCATGCGCTGCGATATACAACCTAGTTACCGCTAATGTGGAGTGAGGTGGAGTTGGGTGGCCGAGAGCAATAGGATGTGGTTAATCATCAGACTTGCATGAAGATGGAGTTTGTGTCCCGAAGGCTGGCAACTTCGTTAGCATGATTAGACACCTCATGCATGCATGACTGGCAGGTCGGACTGCATGCATGAGGTGTCTAATTTAATAACATTGCATTTGATAGTATATACATGCATGAATCTAAACCCAACACACGACATACTCATGTACATACCAAACCCCTAATCACCCACCCCAGAGAAAGAAAGAAGACTAATCCTCCCTCCCAATCACCCTCTCCAAAAACTCAAACCCCTTCCTCTGCACCTCCCACGTCCTCGACCCAACCTGCATCCCCATCGCAAACGTATGATCCTCCCCCTCCACATCCACCATCTCACACTCGACCCCCTTCGCCCTCAACACCCCCAGCAACTCCCGGCTCAAGAACCCGGGAACCATCCGATCCGCCGTGCCATGCACAATACACGTCGGGGGGAACCCTTCCCCAACGCGCCAGATCGGATCGATCTCCCGCACGTCTCGGTTAGGGTAACACGCCGCTAGGACCGTGCCGTTGGCGATCTGCGTCAGGGCGAAGGCGTCGCGCGGGCGTGTGAAATCCGGTCCGGCCTGTTTACCCTCACCTTCCCTTCCACCTGCGCCTTCGCCTTGGGATTGGCCCTGCCCCTCGAGCGAAATCCCACTCCCGATAGGAACCGGCGTCTCGTCATAGACCTGTCGTATGAACGCCGGGTCCAGCGGCGGCAGCTTCTCCTGCACGTGAGGCAGCGGCTGGGACCAGAACGGATGGGTAAAGTGGATGGCGCCGTAGAAGTTGAGGATGGCGCGCGGTGGACGGGGCGTGTCGTAGCCCTGTTTAGTTGGTCAGTTTGCTTCTCACCTAGTCTTCCTTTCCAACCCAACAACCTAATAGAGACAGTAGGGGATGTGTCTTACCAACGCCAGCGCCAAAAACCCCCCACTCGACGTTCCAAACGCCATGACTTTGTTTTCATCAACCACGCACTCGTACTGGGAGTGACCTTGACCCTGACCCTGCTCGCGCAGATAAGCATCCAGTCCGCCTGTATACACCCAGCTTAGCAGATCGCGACAGTCCTGCACCGGCCCGTCGAGGATGTTCACCTGCGGACAGAGCCGGTGGTTCGGGGCGACGACGATCCAGTCGCGGGCCAGACAGTCGGAGACTTGCGGCAGAGAGATCAGGCTCGAGTGGCCGAGCATGAAGGCGCCGCCGTGGATGTTTATTACTTGTTTTATTAGCTGGTTAGGGTTATTGTTTGGGGGTTTTGAGGTTATGGGATGGGATGGAGGGGATACGTACAGACGGGGTATTTGTGGTGAGGGGCATTGTCGGAGTTGGAGAACGATGGGGGGAGGTATATGTCTGTTGTGATTTTGGTGCCGTTGATTTCTTTGTAGGTCGCTGTTAGGGGGGTTGGTGGCATTTTGGCAGTTTGGGTTCGGTTGTATCAAGTAGATGGTTTAAAGAAGGATGTATGTAGGTGAGATGAAAGAAGAGGTGTATCGGGTTTATGTTCATGTCAGGTCTCCGCTCCGGGATTTCCGAGGTTAAGTCAAGTATGGAGAAGCCGAGACAGCTCTACGTTGGATGCGGATAATACTACTACTACTACTACTACTACTACTACTACTACTACTACTCTGATATGATTACTCTGATATGGTTCAAGAAGTGTAGATCATTCATTCCTCATTCCATTCGTCTCCGGAACTCGCGTATTTACAGGACCAGTTCTATCTAGGAAACCGATATACAGGTCCAGACAGCGTTCCAGACATCAGTCAATCAATCATCGTCATCACTTCATTCCACCTGGCAGATTCCATCGCATCAGCAGAGAACCAGGGTGGTGATTGTCATTTCCCTTAGCATAACTCGTCAATCCCCCTCTTACTGCGACGAAGCGAGTCCGGCCCTCTTCGTAGCTCCGGGCTACACGGTCCGGTTGGATTTCCCTTTTTTTTTTTTCTTGTTTTTTTCTTCTGTGATATTGAATCCAGTGTTCAATGTAGGGTTATTATACCCGAAAGGAGTGACTTTAGCGTGAGTGCTATCGGCGCAACTGCTGCCAGTGCCAGTAGGCAGGGTTCGGACAGGGGAAGCAAAAAGCAGCCCTGATCTCGGTGGTTATAGACATGCAAGATCTCGACGAGGCTCAACCTCGCCGACCAGGGAGGACATCTACCGACGAACAACGATGCCCTGGCGGCGGACACCGCTGCGAGCGCGACGGTATTCTTCATCGCTGTCGGACTCGGAGCAGCTGGCCTCGGAGGACTCGGTGACGTAGCCGCAGCGGCTGCCACCGCAGTCGAGCTTGACGCGGTCACCCTTGCGGGTGATGCCGTAGCGTTCACAGCGGCAGATGGACGCGGGCGGGTCGCTCATGGACGAGAGCGACGAGGGCGAGGTGCTGCCGGACGACCGCGAGGAGCGGGACGACAGGGACGAGCCGACGGAGCTGGGCGGACTGTTGGAGTACGAGTACTCATCGGACAGACGCGAGTCCGCAAAGCGCGTGGTGAGATCGTCCATGGTGGGCGCGAAGTCTGTCTCGCGGAGCCCTCGGGACGCGTACGGCTTGGACGGCTTGGGGTGGTGGATCTTGGACGGAGACAGAGCCCGGCCGGTGGGAACGTCACCGGAAGTGCGTCGGGTCTTGGGCGCCGACGACGGGGCAGAGGACTTCTTGCTGCTGCTGCTGCTGCCGCCGGGGACGTCGAGGATGTTGAGTTTACGGCCAGTGGTGGGCTCAACGGTGTAGTCAACGGCCGGATCATGGGAGACGTGGTATCCGTCCATGATGTACTGCGTCTGTCAGTATTTGCTATTCCATCGGTTCATCAGGAAACTCACGTAGTACCAGTAGCGGCCGCCCAGCTTGAGCATCGACGTCTGGAAGCGGAACTTGCCGATCCATGCACCTGGCTTGGAGTCATCCCGGGAGAGGGGAATCTGGCGGGAGTAGTTGTCCCAGGAGCCGAGGAGGTGGACGGTCTTGCAGTTGGAGGAGGTCCGAAGAGAAAACTTGAGTTGAACAGCAGACATGGTTGCAGAGATTGACCAGGTTATACTAGAAATTAGATTATATGAAAGTGAATGAATATAAGATGGCGTCACGGAGGATGAAGAGCACGATCTTCCGAGAGGCAAGAGAAGATCTTAAGGTCGTTGATGAACTTGGAAAGAGCAAGACTACCAGAGCCTCTATTCAATCAAGTCCGAGTTGTTGGTTGGTTGGGTGGCTGATGGTCCAACAATAGAATCACAACGAGGCTCTGCGGTTAACGGGATCCAGTCCACGACACCGAATGCAAATTAGAATAATCGTAAAGACGCCTTGGCGATTAAGGCGTAAAAAAATTGAGCAAGATAGTGTCTGAGCTGGAAAATGGGGAGACACACGTCGACCGGCGACGAGGAAATGAAACCGTAAGATTGGACAATTAAGAAGTATCCTGGCAACAAGTATCAGGGGAATGGGGATGGGGACTTCAGAGAGCACAGCTCGCCTGAAGGATCAAAATAGAAAGGGTTTTCTGAAATTTTTGATATGGATGGGGAAAAGTGCAAAGATTAATAAGTATATGCAAATCAAAGAAACAACAAAAACCAGTGCAACCAGTGCACAGGATACTTCGAAATTAAGGGCAGCTCAAAAGACAAGACCAAGCTTGCTGGAGAAAGAAAAGAAAGAAGAGAAGAGAGAAGAAAGCGACGAGGCGTGCTGGCGGCTGCGGCATCTTTAAAGAGCGCCAGAGGTTGTCCCGCGAAGTATGTGAGGTTGCTTGCCAGCCAATCGTGCTGCTACTATTCTGGGCTGCATCCCCGGTGGGCCCGCCGCTCGAGCCATCGGGCCAATCAGGCCGGGTCCTGGCCCTCCTCCCAGCTGTCACGGCGGGTAACCCACGAGGATTATTGGCCTGGTGACAGCCAACCACCGCCTCTGATTTGGCGCCTGTGATGAGCACATCCGGCCGGCCAGTCATTTGCGCTCAATGGGTGTCCGGGAGGGTGTCCTGCAGGCCGAATGGGGAATAAGGTTCACAGAGAGGAGGGGTCCCCTCCTCTTGTCCGTCCGTTTCTGTCGGCACACACACCCTTTCACCCACCCACCCACACACACCGCGAGGCTCCAAGAAAAGTCAGATAGTTTTATTTCCGATATACTCGTCCTACTGCTGAAGACACAAGAGGTATGCACTGGTAAAGCCAAGCAGGTACAATCGCTTCTCCAATTCATCCCTCCCAAAGACAACAAAAATAGAGAAATAGAGAAAAGACAAGAAAGAAAAAGGTGTAAAAGTAATATACGATGTAAGCCGTAAGAAAAGAAATCCCTCTGCAGTCCACGATACGCCGGAAAAATGCCACAGCAATTTGTTTTCTGCCTGGGTCATACCCCGCGGGGCGACAATGATCAATAAGTTAGTAGAAACAGGAAAAGGTGCAGAACCACTGCGTCAGAGCCCATTGAAGCCAAGCAAGTCTTCCCCTCACCGCACGGACACGCCAGAGCGGTTGGTAAACATGCGAGCGGCAATGTTCATCGAGGCCAGCTCTTGGAACAAAAGCTTGGCTGCATACGGAATATGCACTTGGGAGATTCGGTGCTTGTTGTTGCACAGTCGGCACTCGAATAGGCCCTTCTTCAGTTTTCTGCAGGTAGTGAGATTATCGTTAGCTCCATGCACGAGCGAAAGAGGGGAAGTCGCCAATCACGAAGGGAAAACTTACGCAACCGGCGTCATCAATCCGCAGTCATCGCAGATGTGGACGCGGAACGGGTCAGAAACGTCGAACAAGCGCTCCTTCAGGAATGAGCTGGCTCCGTGCGCAATCATACAATCGCGCTCCATCTCTCCGAATCGGAGACCACCGTCACGAGCACGACCCTCCACGGGCTGTCGCGTCAAAATCTGAGTCGGTCCTCGGGCACGCGCGTGGATCTTGTCGTCGACCATGTGGCGCAGACGTTGGTAGTAAGTCGGTCCCAAGAACACTTGCGCCACCATCTTGCGTCCCGTGTGGCCGTTGTACATGACCTCGAACCCGCGAGACTGGTAGCCGTGTTCTCGAAGCAATCGCGAGATCGAGTCGACCGTGACGTCGGTGAAGGGCGTGGCATCACCCTCAAAACCACGAAGCGAGGACACCTTACTGAGCTGACACTCGATCAAGTGAGCAATGGTCATACGCGACGGAATGGCGTGGGGGTTGATGATCAAGTCGGGGTTAAGACCCTCCCGCGTGAAGGGCATGTCTTCCTGCCGGTAGGTGATACCGATGGTACCCTTCTGTCCGTGACGAGAGGCAAACTTGTCTCCGATCTGGGGGATCTTGGTGGTCCTCATGCGCACCTTGACGAACTTCAGGTCGTCGTTGCTGGTGGTCACCACCACTTGGTCCACGATACCGCTCTCGGTGCTTCGGAGAGGCGTCGACACGTCCAGCTTGGTGTGGGCCTTGGTTCTCTGTCCGAGCTCCTCCGCGTCGGGAGCCAGCGGTGCCGTCTTACCGATGATGATATCCTCACCGGAAACGCGGACACCGGGCGCAATGATTCCATCCTCGTCGATCTTGTCGTACGTACCCTTGCGCATGCCGATGGTGTCCGCCCGCATCGGCTTCTCGAAGCGCTCCACCACCGTCAAGCCGACCATCTTCTCGGTATCCGTGTAGGTGCGGTAGAAAAGACTGCGGAACAGACCGCGATCGATGCTGCTCTGGTTCATGATCACGGAATCCTCCTGGTTGTAACCCGAATAGCAGGCGATCGCGACGATGGCATTCTGACCGGCCGGCAGTTCACGGAACCGCAGGAACTCCATGGACCGCGTGGTGGCCAGCGGCTTCTGGGGATAGTAGAGAATATTCGCCATCGTTTCCATGCGCTGGTCGAAGTTGGTTAAGAACACGCCCATGGCCTGCTTACCCATGGCGGACTGGTAGGTATTACGAGGGGACTGATTGTGATCGGGGAAAGGAATGATACTGGCACAAACACCCAGAATCATACTAGGATGAATCTCGCAGTGTGTCCATGTATGCGCCTTCTGGGTCAAGATGGAGCGCACTCGCTTGTTGGGGTCGTTCATCTCCTCTTCGGGCAGAGAGAAACCGGCCTGAAGCTGCTTGGATATCTCCAGATCCTCCGGCGTCATGACGATCATGATCGCCTCCTCTTCCTCCGCATCGACATACTCAACAACACCGCTGTCCACCAAGCCCTCCCATCCGAAGAACCTTTCACGACGTTCATCAATAGTCAGAGGCATGTTCACGAGTTCTTTATCCTCCTCCAATCGGCGGATGTGGTCCTTGTTTAGTACCAGCGAACCGCAATTCTCACTACTGGGGTCATTGTCGACGACGAAAAGCGGCCGGCAGACACGTCCGGCATCGGTGAAGATCTTGAATTCACGCTCACGGATGTCCCGGATCAGACTGACTTCGTGAGAGATCAAGCTCTTGTGACGCAACACCTGCATCGTGTGGACCAGATGCGACGGATCTCTGTGGATACCGACCCAGACTCCGTTGACGAAGATCTTGGTCGCGTTGGGGGTGGCTTGCGGTTCGAATTCTTCCAGGACTTCCATATTACGCCCGACCATGAAATCGATGATCGGCTCGGCGGGCGTACCGACAGTGATGTAACACATGAGGGCGAGGTTCTTGACCAGACCACAAGCCTGACCTTCTGGAGTTTCAGCAGGGCAAACCAGACCCCAGTGGGTGTTATGGAGCTGGCGAGGTTTGGCGATCTTTCCGTCACGTCCGATGGGGGTGTTGGTTCGACGAAGATGGGACAGCGTGGAGGCGTAGGTGTAACGACTCAGCACCTGAGACACACCCGCCTTTGCGCTGGCAGCCTTCTTCTGCTCGCCCCAGTTTCCGGTGGCGAGGGCATATTTCAGACCTCCGGTGAGGGTGCTGGCCTTGACGCCCAGGTTCAGGTAGATTTCCCGGTTGGTCTCCACGCATCTCTGCACATAACGCTGGAGATCGCGCGTCACTCTCGTGAACAGCACACGGAACAGGTTGGCCAGAAGGGGACCGGCGAGATCCAGACGCTTCTTTCCAAAGTGATCACGATCGTCAACATCCCGGCGACCCAACGCGCACTGAAGCAGTCGGTGCACCATGTAACCCAAGAAGAAAGCTTTCCGGGTCTCGCTGCCTTCGTTCTGGGAAATATGGGGAAGCAGCTCCTTCTGCATAATCTCGCGCGCGTAACGGACACGGCGGTCGTGGTTCATGCTGGACTGGGAAGATCCTCGCTTCGCGATGAAGTCCAAAGCCACCTCACGGTCCTGGATCACGAAACCCTCCTCAATACAGGGTTTCAGCATCTCGAGCATGGGGGTATCGTTTCGGTCGTAGCAAATGTGGTTCAAGATGTCCTCGTCGGAAACAACGCCGAGCGCTCGGAAGACGATCACGATGGGGACGTCCGTCTTCACGTAGGGCAGAGTCGACCGGATTGTGGGCCCAAATCCTCCTTTGGCGCTGTCTCCCTTCGCAAAGAGCTTGATGGCCAGCTGCGAGAGAAGCCGCGAACCCTTCTCAACGGCACTTCGGATCTCCGCGACGTACGGCGTCGGGCTTGGCGGCGCTTTCTTGAAGACCTGGACGGTGTTTCCAGCACTCCGCTCTTGGGCGATCAGAACCTTTTCACTGCCGTTGATGACAAAGTAACCACCCGAGTCGTACGGACACTCGCCCCAGTCGTAAAGGTCTTGCTCCCTCAAGTCCTTCAGTATACAGTATTTGGACTTGAGCATGATAGGCATCTTGCCAAGGAAGACCTGTTCTTTCTTCTCTTGACCGGCAGGAAGCGGTTTATCCTCCCACTCGAGATAGGTCCCTTGGTTCTTTTTATCCTCGGTGGACTCTTGCATATCGTTCTCGTCCCGGTCGGCGACTAGGCGCTCACGCCCCTCCATGATCCGCTTGCTGATGTTCAGGAAAAATGGAGCGGCGTAGGTCAGGTTTCGTAAACGGGCTTCTCCGGGCAGCACGGGGTTGGTGGCACCGTCGCCTTCAACCACCGCGGGCCGAGACAGGAGGAGGGTTCCGAACTTGAGCTCGTATCGACGGATGACAACGGGGTCGACTTCATCTTCATCTGGCGGAAGCGTTTGATCGAGCGTCACCTGGCCTTGTTCATCCACCATTTCCTGGATTGTCGACGAGACGAATTCATCGTAGGAGTCCAGCTGCTGCGAAACCAGACCCTTGCAATCGAAGAAGGATGAAATAACGGTCCAGCAATCCTCCGACGTAATCCCGTCATCTATATCATCGTAGTACTCCTCCTCGTAGGCATCCTCGTAGGCGGCCATGTTTGCGAAAGGGGGAATCGATCACTAGAACACAAGCCGAACAGGTCCGTCAATCCGAGGGCGCAAAGGGCGCGACGCGCTCGAACAAAGATCTCACTTCGAGGTTAGAGGCTGGGTGCTGACAAAGACGGCGAGACTTTCGAGGGAGACCCAAACAAAACGAGTAGACTGTCCAAAGATAGGGCAGACAAACGAAGGAGCTGGGAGTCTCAGATTGGATGGAGAGTGAGAGATCCCAGACCGACGGTGGATGTGGTGACGGAGCGACGCTGGAGGACTTTCACTTTCACTTCTCCGGGCGCTGATGGGATCCTGCGAGGAGCCGCCACTAGCGCCGCGACCGCCTTTCGGCCTGAGGACGAGATCACGTGATACGTTCTTTGTCCTCGCCATTATTGGCATTCGCAACTGAATTGTGGCTCCACACTAAAAACAACGAAGTCGTGGTATCTATCTTACAACAATGCGTCTCATTATCATCCGTTCCTGCACTAATCCATTTACAGAAACTGTAAGAGAGTCTCAAGCATTTCCCTATGGTCCTTCTGCCCAGGCTCATCTTCCACTAGTCCTTCGATTTGCTCTATGTGGCTCTTAGTGGTCTGGAACAATGACAAGACAGGGCAATGGATGGACGTACCTTTGAGGGTGGAGTGGATGAGAGAAAGGGTCTCATCGCGGTCTGCCAGCAGCGACACTATCTTTCTTTTGGCCCCGTCGTCCTCGGCCACCAGCCATGCCAGAATAACGTCAATGAGCTTCGATGGCATGATCAGTAACCTTCAACCATGTGCGGGATGGGTGCCCAGAACTTACTTGTACGGAAAACAGACCGGCGTCAAATCGTCGCGAGAGCCACTCGCTTGCCATGATCTCCTGTTCATCTTCAGTATATTCCTTCCGCTCCTTGGCGATAGCCTGTTCAACTGGCGTGACCCTCGACGCATATTCTCGTCTCAATTTAACCAGCTTCTCGATCTTCTCGTAGTCCTTCTCCATGAATTTCGCAAGCGCCCGGATCCGTGGCGCAGAGCCGCCCGGCAAAAGACGCAGAAGAGATGCAAAGATACCCAACAGGTGCTCAATGATTTGGTTCTCTTGCTGCTTCATCGTTAGCTCCGACTTTCAATGCCCGTACGGAAGACTGCGCACCTTTTTCATGAACATGCTGAATACCGTTTTGAGACCCGCTGCCTCGACTAATCGTTCACACGCAGGGGCTCCCCCTAGTCCACCTAAAGCATGATCGAGAACCCGTAGACCACGTTGCTTGCTGAACTTTCCTTCCTTCAGCATGATTTGCGACAGTTCGACCCCCTCTCCTTCTAAAAACTTCTCTTTCCCGGCATCCTCGTCTACGAGGCACATCAGGCAATCAAACAAGTTTTCTGCGTATTCTTCTTCATCAGAGTCTTTCGCGGGATCACGTTTACGGTACTGGCTGAGTAGTTGGAGAAGAGCGTCCACTCCGTCCAGACTGATGAGCTTTTCCCTTATCTTCGAAGAGGATTGTAGTAGGATGGCAAGAATTTCGGCCGAGTATTGCTGGTTCTGGCCAACTGGTTTCTCTTTCTGTTGCACACGACTGAGGAGCCATTGCAGCAGCCCGGACTCTTGTCCAATTCGCTCCGCAATCGAGGTTTGTGAGGCGAGATTTTCCAGCACGCCTTGGGAGTCAAGTCAGTATAATTCCGCAGTTCTGTTTAAGGCCAAGATCAACCTACTCAATACATAATACACCCCGGCCCTGTCGGCTTCCGAGCCTTCGTCTAACCGCGAGAGATTCTGGGAGAGGAGTTCGATGAGGTCGGCATCCAACTAGACTTATTAGTTTTTGTGACCAAATTTGGAACATGTTGACGTACCATTGCGTTGACCAGGGTATCCCATTGCTCTTGCTCGGCTTCGACATCTTCATCTGTCAGCTCACTGATGATCTGGATAGCATCAATGGCAATATCTGCGTTTTCGTGCGAAAGAAGAGAAATCAACGATCCGACACAGCCCATGGTAGCGAAATCTTCGTAGAGCTCTGGATGCTCCGACAAAATGGACAGTTCTTTGATTTCATTGTCCAGATCGGCCTCGGAGGCCATGAACCTGGAATTGATCAGTCAGACGTATAGAGGCAAGACTTAATCCCAAACTTACTTTTGAGGCTCGTTTTCGAATTTCCCACGAAGCTCCGCGTTCTTCGATATTTTCTTCTCGAAATTGAGGGCAAATCGCCGTAGCCAGGCGACATCGAACTTCTCGGGCTAGCAACAGTTCAGCACAACTCAATAGAACGAGCAGAAGTCGGTCCATACCGCTGTTTCCCCTTCCTCCTGCTGATCAATGTACTGCATCGCTTGCGCGGTTTGTCGCTCCATTCCTCCTCCAAAAAAGCGCCCTTCTTCGTCGTCGGGGACATCTTCGGCGTCGAAATCCGGAGGCAGTTCGGGGCCAGCCTCCCCGTCATCCTCCTCATCTTCTATCATGGGAGATTTCCCGGACTTCACATCGCCGTTTGCCTCTAGCTTGGCCGCCTTGTAGAGCTCATCTTCGTATTGCGAATCAGCTATGTCACGGAGGAAGGCACTAGGTTATGCGCACGTACTAGGATCACTATTGGCATCTAGCTTGCGCTTTGCGCTTGCTGCCGACAAGGGTTTCTTTTGTGGTCAGCATATAAATCTATGTCACGGTGACAAAGAGCAACTTACCTTGAAGAGCTCGTCGATGCTGGTCATGGCTGCGGTTTGCGCAGGTCGCGAGTCGTGCGGAGGACACCAAATCGACCACCAGCCTGGAATCAAAAACAGTGGTGAAAAAAGAACCGGATAATTCAGAATCAGCAAAAGAGGAATATTGACCGTTTGCAAAACGATTCCCCGCGGTTGTCCCACGCTCGTCCTTGAAGGTTGGTCGCGCAGCTCCGACGAGTGTACGGGAAGCGCGGCAAGCTAAAGACGCAAGTGCCAAGCAACCGAAAGATTTCTCGGAATTGAACGCTTTCCATCTCCTCCGCAGACTCTCTCAACCACCACATCCACCGCATTTTCACTCCAGGAACTTCTCCTCATACCGTACTATCCCATCATGCCTCCCAAGCAAGTCGTCTTTTCTTCCGGCCGCCCCCAGAAGGGCTTCATCGGCACCGCCTACGATGAGATCACTCACCCCGAGAACACCACCATCGTCAGAAGTCTCCTGGTCTTCGGCGTAAGTTCTTGACATCACCCCATCCGCTGTTTATCTGGGTTTAGCTGGAAATACTGACTGTTTCGTGCACAGGCCGGTGTCGCTTTCCTTCACAGCAGCCTCGGCGAGCTCCTCCTCCCTCCGTAAGTCGAAGATTGCCCTTGCAAGGATCCTTGTTGCGCTTCTCATAACGACCATACTGACGGGCGAAGTATGTAAAACAATACCCGATTCAAGTGTGAATCATTCTCGACGCTGTGATACGGGGTTTCCGGTATAGGATAGGCGATTCGTCGGCGATTACGAAGGGTCGACATTGGCTTGTGATACCAATTTCTGGGTTCGAATTTAATGGATACGTGTACAATATTGCATTCTTATGCTTCAATGAACTGAGTTCTCATCGCTCTGCGACCCCGCTGTGTGTTTCGGCCGTTCATGATCTCGCCTGTCCGGATGGTTCCAATAGGACGATTTTATACACCGTGATCCCGTATATCCGAAGTCAAATACAGCTGTCGTCCATCATGCCGCTATTCCAATTCGACTGATACAATTATCGAGACAGTTTACAGCCCGGCTTTGCTTGTTTGTTAGGATTGTGAAATAGGGCGGCTGGGGTACGCTAGATGCCCAATCCAATGGTCGAGTACTTCAGTGGCGCTTATGGCGATTGCCAGCATGATGTGCTCGGCTAGCGTGGTATTTTGATTGCATATTCGTTGGGACATCCTGAAGCAGACCTGTTGAATGGCATACAGAACCATGCTGAATACGGTCCTTGCACATGGTCCGGATATTCTGGGTAGATACCTTGAATATTTCTTTCGGTCTCGTACTCGCCACTTGTCACTCTTACTTACGATTGAGCAGATGTATGCTCTGAAAGCTCTAAGTCAGTTGCTTATTAGAAACCGACAAAATATTGCCATATGACTCGGTCGGTGTCATCGCCAACCAACCTACCACGCCAGAATGAACTCGACAGGTATTCTAGGCTCTACTGACTGCAAAATGAGGACCTGCCAACTCAGTACAGCTATAACAAGACCATGAGCCAGGCAGGTATCGAATAATATACGCCCTGGAGAAGTTGACACTAGGAGCTGATCACATGTCCGTTCAATGCTTACAGACACTGCCTAAAGCCCCATCAATGGAAGATTAGGCGACCAGCCTGGACTCTCGCACCTTCCGCCATCAGCTCCGCCAACAAGTCGTGACGGATGGAGTTGACAACTCCGTCTGTTCCAGGGGATTCGATGGATGGTCGGGTGATGTAATGCGCACCGAGGAGGCCGTTACTAATAGTATTTTGACGGGTGCTCCGTGCCGACGGGTGTTCCGTGTCAGACTCTGGCGTCCGCGGACCAGAAGTGGATACCATTTGACTGAGGTTGAGCAGTGCTTTGGAAGAATCTACGAAGTAGAGTCCCCAAACCGAGCGGGATGTTCGGAGGAGGTGCTCGCCGCCGTGGAAACGCGATACTTGCGGACCCCCGAAAGCAATTGCTATAAATTGGGAGTGCGTCAAGTCTCGATGAAGCAGGCCCTACTATTCTTATCATAGCCAAACTTCCTGACCTCTACAATGCCGGCCCTGCCAAAAACATACAAAGCCTGGGTGCTCGCGTCGGTCGGCGCACCACTTGAGCTCCGAGAGGTTGAGCTGAAGCTGCCTGCTGCGGGAGAAATTCTTGTACAGGTTCGCGCATGTGGTGTTTGTTTCACGGACGTTGCGGTCCAGAAGGGTGAACTTGGCGACGACCTTTTCCCCCGCGTTCCTGGCCATGAGATTATTGGCGACGTTGTTGCCATTGGTGAGGGAGTCCAAGGATTTTGTCTCGACCAACGCATTGGTGGAGCATGGCTCGGAGGTGAGCATAGATCTGCCCCATGTCCTAGGGTGAATGGCATGCTGACGACCGTGTAGGCCACGATAACGTCTGCCGGTCATGCCGCCGCGGGCTCTTCCAAGCATGCAGCAATGCTGTATACAACGGAGCCAGCCGCGATGGTGGCTACGCCGAGTACGTCCTGCTGCGCGCCGAGGCGGCGGTTCCCGTCCCCAAAGACATGAACCCTGCCGAGGCCGCGCCATTACTCTGCGCCGGGCTGACCGTCTTCAATGCGATTCGGAAGATGCACGTCGAACAGGGGAGCCTGGTAGCTGTTCAGGGGATCGGTGGTTTGGGTCACATGGCGATTCAGTACGCGCGGAAGATGGGCTACAAGGTTGCCGTGCTCAGCTCCAGCGCGGCCAAGAAGGATCTGGCGCTGGAACTCGGCGCCCACGAGTACATCGACACCGGTTCGGAGGATGCAGTCAAGTCGCTCCAGAGGCTGGGCGGTGCAGCGCTCATTCTCGCCACTGCTTCCCACGGCAAGGCCGTTACCCCTCTGACGGCGGCGCTGCAACCATCTGGGAAGATGCTCCTCCTGTCTCCGTCGGGCTCCATGGAGTTCAATACGAACGACCTCATCATGGGGACGTCCGCCATTCAAGGCTGGCTCACGGGTAACGCTTTGGATGCCGAGGATACCATCGACTTCGCCAAGACGTTTGGCATCAAGTGCATGATCGAGCGGTTCGCATTCCAGGACGCTCTGAAGGCAGTGGACTACATGACATCAGGCTCGGTTCGATTCCGCGGTGTTTTGGTATTCGATTAGAAAGCAGTACATGAGTTCGCTCAATTAAGATTTATACAGACCAAATTAAGCTGTTGTCCAGCGCTTTCTGCGAGAAAACCCTGTAGTGCATTATGTATGCTATGTTTATTCCGTAGGTTATTCTGACTGTTATCATCAAGATAATCGAGACTTAAGAAAATATAGACTAAGACTTCAGTACTTTTGCCGCAAAATAAATATCTCCAAGGCACGAAGAAGCAGCCCTAACCACCCATGAATCTACTGCCCAGCATTCGACTCGACCCGGATGTTCGTCCATCTTCTTACTCTCCATACGTTAGTTCCCATATGTATGAAAAAACGATAAATAACTAAGCTTTACAGAGCGATGCCCTCCGGAGTTCTCTGTCTAGTACCTCCTCGCATAGGTGGCTTCCGTCTCCGATGCTGTATGTGATGGCCGCTCCGAGACGGGAGAATTCCGCCCGTTTATCCCCGTCAACTCTACGGAAAACCCGTCTTTCTCCACTAGATGATCCTGAACGGAGACTTGCATTGTCCAAGGTCCACTGTGAATGCAGCAGCGGTTGATAACTCGCTCGGTGCCTATCAACGGTTGCTCCACATTCCATTTCGAGGTTATCAACGAGACGGTTGGAAGATGTCTTGTCGCCATCCTTATAAACCAGACGTCGCTGTCTCTTTCTTAAACCCCAACTTGATTCTTCTACCCGATCTAATCAACGGAGACTCCTAAGCCGACAATGTACTCTCCGAGCGTCGGGGACAGGCTCGAAAGCCTTGACACGCCGTCTATGATCGTTGACCTCGACCTAATGGAGGGCAACATCACGCAGCTGTTCAACACCCTCCAGCCAACAAACTGCAACATTCGGCCGCATCTGAAGACAACAAAAAGCGTCATTCTTGCACGCAAGCTGGAAGCCGCCGGAGCAAAAGGTTGCTGCGTTGCCAAGGTGTCTGAGGCGGAAATCGTGGCCGCCGCGGGATTCGACGATATCCTGATCACTTGCGAGATCATTGGCAAGCCTAAAGTGAAGAGGCTGGTTGAGATGTTTCAGACGCACAGGAACATCAGGATTGTGGTGGACTGTGAGACTGGTGCTGCCGCGATTAATGACGAGCTCGCCCAGTCTGGCGTGTCGGAACCCATCTCCGTGTTGATCGACTTGGATGTGGGACTCGGACGCACAGGCGCTGCTGCTGGGAACCCGGCTCTTACCCTCGCCAAGTATCTCGCTACACTCCCTTATATGCGCTTAATCGGGATCCAGGGGTATGAGGGTCACCTGCAGCACCTTCACGACCGCCATGACCGCAAGGACCGGTGTTTACAGTCTATGAAGACCCTAGTCGATACTGCGGAGATGCTGCGAAAGGAGAACTTCAATATCGAAGTAGTGACCACAGGGGGAACCGGCACTGCTGAGTTCTGTGCTACGGTGCCTGGTGTGACCGAACTGCAACCCGGATCGTTTATTTTCATGGATACGGATTACCGCAACGCTGTCGGACCCTTCTATTCGAACAGCTTGACTCTACTATCTACAGTCATCAGCAAGCAAGGTGACCGACGAGTGACCATCGACGCCGGCCTGAAGTCCCTGACGACCGACAGCGGCTTGGCCGAATGCAAGGACCCCAGGTATAAACACCAGAACATGGGAGACGAGCACGGCTCGCTGAGCTGGGAAGATGGTGTGCCTAACTTGGAGATTGGCGACCGGGTCGAGATGATTCCTAGCCATATTGACCCAACCATTAACCTGCATGACTTTTACTATGCGCATCGAAAGGGAATCATTGAGGAAATCTGGTCCGTTGACACCAGGGGCAAAGTTCAATAGCGGGCCCTGAATCAGCTCAGACCAGCGTTATGTCCTGTCAAGAAAGGCCGATTCGGTAGCTTTGCACCCGATCTACCTCAGATGTCCTTGAGCGAAGTATACAGCTTCCTGCTTTGGCATTCAGGCTTCATTGGAGATCGAAGAACACTGTTCTCAGCTGTAGTCACCGAGAATATCTAGAATAGTAAGCTAAGACACAGAGAAACCACCAAAACATTCTCCCATCGTGAAACCACGACGTCCTCTTGTTCCACAACGCCGCGTAGAACTGATTCAGTCAACTAGTCTTAATCGCTCCGATATCTACAGCCACTCAACTGCACTATAAGCCTGCCCAATGAATCAGTACGCATGCAGCAGAATTCGGAGGTCGTACTAACCGACAGCCGTGGCCAACGCAACACCGACACCTTGAGCAGATGCAGGATTCTGGCCGGTGATAATCTGCCCATCCACAACCACCATCTCCTTCCAGAGCTGCTCGGCCTTGACGTAGTGACCGCCGACTCGCTGGACCTCGTCCTCGAGCAGGACCGGCATGGCCTCAGTCAGACGAGCCGCATCTTCCTCCGCGTTGCTGAATCCGGTTGCCCTGCGGCCTTCAAGGAGTGGCTTGCCGTCCACCGTGGCATTGACAAACACAATAGGGCCATGGCAGACCGCGGCAACGGGTTTGCCCGCGTTGTAGAACTCTTCGATTAAGCGGAGAGAGTTCTGGTCGTTGACGAGGTCAAACATGGGTCCGTGGCCGCCGGGGTAAAAGATGGCGTCGAATTCCGATGCCTTCCCGAGGAAATCCTTCAAGGGCTTCGTGTTCTCCCACAGCGTCTTCTTGGAGTCAAAGAACTTGACCGAGACGGGGTCGCTCTGGAAGTTCTCGACGGAGCCTTGATCAATGGGCGCCACGCCCCCGGCAGGAGAGGCCACGACGATTTCAGCCTTCGGGTTGGCCTCATCGTCACCGACCAGGCAGTAGTAGGGTCGAGCAAACTCCGGCTATCGAAATCAGTCAGTGATCCTGTTTCCTGCGCGCGACAAGACGAAGACTAACCAAGTACCATCCAGTGGGTTTGCCATTGTCCATCTCGCCACAGCTGGTCAGGACAAATAGAACCTTAGGCGCCATAGTTGAGGGGTTTCAAGTAGAAGGGCTATCGAGAAGCTTGGGGTTGAGAGTGGATGAAGTTGAACACAACAATTCCGCTGGCCATCATCAAGACTTTATATCTCGAAATCTCGAATAGAAGATTCCACGACGCAGTCGATGACAAATTCGATGAACACCGTCTATTCCCAGGATTTGTCAAGGGTCGAGCGGGATATCCGTGTCTCCAGGACGGACCTTCCGTTCGCAACGGAAAAGAATGAGTGAACAGTCCCTGGCAATCCAGGTCCATAGTGATTACCAATAGTTGATTTGTACGAATTCCTTCTCTGCTGTTCCAAAAATACCAACGGTTTTCGACATGTTCTCCGATAACCAGGAATGGTGATGACATGCGTGCCCTCATATACTGTGTTTATCTTGACGGGAACTAACACCTGTTCAAGGAGTATGCATGCACTTTGAGATTCTATACCACGTTATGTAAACGACTGGCGGAGCTTTCAGGATGTGTAATCAAACTAGATCTTGCGCTGTTTTTTGTATCTCTGGCTCTTGTATTGTTACCGTCCTTCTAGTCTCCTTCTATGGAATATCCTAATTTGCCCCCGCTGGCTTCGGCATGGCGTGTTCCAGCAAGATTGGGATTGCTTATAAATTCAGAAGGCGACGAAAAGAAGAGAGTGATTACATGGCATCAGAATGGGTTGGACTGCACAAATCATTAGATATATAAGAGCAACCACCGCCGTAGCAGTCGTTCACTTACCTGTCCGTTCCATCATCCACAAAGACTCTATACTTGGAGGCTGATGGCACCAAGTACGCCTAGTGCTAATGCTGTGCGGAGGGAATTACTTCTCTTCGTATGGACTGGATTCTTCGATTGTACGATATCTTCTTCTTTTCTGTTGACTAAGTAGACGGCCGCTGTACGCCGAGAGGTTTCGTGCTATAGAATCCGACCGAAACTGTGATATGTTATTCGTTGCTCTGAAGGTTTCCGCACCGGTAGAGAAGTAATTAGTCAAGAAATACACTTGAAATGAAGAACTGAGTAGTCATCGGAATTGTGCGCAATCATGGATACCGTATTATACTGTCTACGAGATTCGCATGTTCCTTGGAGTCCGCCAGCTGACAACAGCCCAGCTAAAGCAATTATCTGTCCTTGTAGGTCAGCAAAGAAAGCCATTGGCGTCAGCAGGTCGCAGATGTCTGTTGAAGATATATCGAAGACAGTTTCAATGTCCATGCATCTGACGGGCCAGGGAGATACCATCTGTATCAGCCAAACTCTGGCTCAATATACAGGCTTATGATATATGTCAGATTGAGGGACTTTAACAGCTCTAACGCTCTAACCCAGTGATGCGAAACTAATACGGACGCTCGGAATCACGCAGACTCTCCCAAAACCACCCCAGCTCTCTGTCCCCGATTTGTTCGAAATCATAAGAATCGCCCATCGTCACGTCTGTGCCAGAGCCCAGGAATTGAGAGAGTATGTCTGCAGACGTGAAAGAGCTCTCTGGGCCTCCGTATTGAAACCCAAATAGATCATCATCCACGCCCGCGTCCTCCATCGGAAGTGGCGGGGCACTGTGTGAAGATAGGTCTACGTAGCTACCGTCGGCAGGGTGGTCGGAGGGGAGAAGCGATGGGATGGCCATGGAACTCCGTGAGTCTAAGGATGTAGGGCTGCTTCGTGTTCTGCTCGTGTGGCGAGTGAATCGCCGGATTGTGGCCATTAAAACACGGTCGAGGACATCGCGACTTCGCTTTGCCTCCGGCCAGTACTCGCCCATAGCGCTGAGGACGTCCGATGAAGCTTTCAATGCCCGCATCAGAGAGTCAAGATCTGCTTCCTCGGCGATGCCCTGGGGGGTCCAGACACAGTAGAACATGACCATGACGCACAGAAAGAGGGAATGGACACTAATACCCCCGTAATGGAGGGAGTTGGCGCTGTAGAGCTGGTGGTAAAGCTCGCTGCAGGCCATGGCGCTAGCAAAGCACTCTCGAAGGGACGCCTTGTCCGGGTTCTGGAATCTAGGGTTTGGTCGGAGGACCAGCATGACCAGTTCATGATACTTGATTTCACTCAAGCGATTCATGTAGTACCAGGTACTTGTTTCCGGATGTCTCGGGATATCTTCTCGCCATTGTCGCAAGCGGGACAGGATGTCGACTTTCCAGCTCTCTGCGTCGGTGATAGCCGGCTGTGTGTATGGGGGATATTGTCGATCGACGCAGTACAGGACACATTTGATCTCGCTATTGAACCGGGCAAGCTTGAAGAGATGAACGGCGCTGGTCATGTTGGTAACTGGTTCGTTGCTTTGACGAGGTTTCGGATGCTCCGTCTTGAGCTGATCATCGTCGACGTCCAACGGGTACTAGATGAGTCAGCTCTGTTTGAAATCGGAGGAAACCCCTATGGATTACATTTAGATCGCACTGCTCATCGACCACGCCCATCGGTCGTCCCATCAGGGTGCTCAGGAGCCGATCAATTGTATAGGTGCACCAAAAGATCCGGCGGCGGACTTCCCTTTCGAGGGGCGTGAAATTACGTGCCGGCACATTTCGGTGCAGCCCCAGCTCTATTGCCAGTGCCAGTCCGTGGTGATGAAGAGTCCAGAGGTTCAACCCTGATGTTGGGTTGTTGAGCGCATACATCTGAAGAAGCAAGATGCATTGCGCAACACCCACTGAGGAAGTCTTCATGACGCCATCCACGAGCTTCATGGCCGACGCGAAGTAGCCCTCGGCCGATAACATGACCCTCTTTCGGCGCGAAAGGATGGATGCACCTATCGCGATGACCATTAAAACCTGGAACTCGTGAACCGCGGGGACCTCGGGATCGGCGTAGACCTTTTCAATGGTTTCCACATGCGACGTTTCGTGTAAAAACGGAAATTGCAGGTGAACAATGTCGAAATAAGCCTGGGAGAGCCATCGGGTATTGCTGGGATCGGAAGGCAGCTCTTTTGGTTGAGGAACCAAGAGGTCTGACGGGACGGCTAATCCGTCAGCTTTGACATCTGGGGTGGTCTTATCGGTATGGAGTCGCTTTCCAAGCCCAGCCAAGACGAACTTGGTGAAGAACAGCCCACTTGACGGGCCCAGGTAGCGCAGATCTGTCCCCGGGGTGATGGAGATCAGTCCGATTTGATCGGTTACCTCGCTAGGAGATTGAACATCTCTGGTTTCGCGGCTTTGCTGGCCAGGCGAATGACCTGGCCCAGCAGTCAAGTCGATGTTCGGCAGGTGCTCCTGAATGATGGATTCGAGCCATTTGATTCGAGTCTCCAGATCGGCGACGTAACTTCAGGACATGGTCAGTTGGCGTCCTTCGAGATGCGGATACAACACGACTGTACCTCGGAGGCCACTCGCGTGATGCCCCTGCGCCAATGCACGGCACGCCGGCTCGCTGACAGGCGCTGCAGGCTGGCGACAAGGCGTCACACTGTGGCTGTCAGTTCAGAAATATAGAAAGGCAGTGGAAGGCGTACTCGGATTTTCCGTTTCTGGCACCGTGTGCACGCGGTGCTTAGTCGCGTCCGGACTTTTCGTGGCCTCTGACCTGCAGGCCGATTTTCCATGTTCGGGTCCATCGTCTCCAGGGACTGTCTAGACTGTCTAGTGGGAGGGCAGACAGACAAGCCGGGCTCATAGTCTAGCGTCATGGACTGTCTCCACCTTGCCAACCCAACGTCGGAACGCGAGATCTTGTTTCCGCGCAGCTATATAGAAATGAAGTTCTTAGGGCTACTCAGATCTACCCAGTGAGTAAAAAGCAGTAGAAAGTAGGCATGAAAACAGAAAGGGAAAGCTGCCGCCCTGGCTAGAAAATCAAGGACGTATGTACTGAAATCCCTAATACAAAACACGCTATACGCTTGCAATCAAAATATGTACTTAAAAGAAGGGCCAAATGAAACAGATTATACAACCATCAAAACATCTCATCCCCCGAATTAAGCAACCCCAGATCCTTGTCCAGATCGCCCGTGATATCCGTATTGCCGTGCCCCAGCGAGCGCGGGTCCTGCTTGTCCGAGAACGAGAACATGTCCCGGCCGGGGTCGTCCATCGGCGAGCTGGGATAGTTGAAGTTCAGTTCGGGCTCGGGGTCGGGCTCGCCTAGTAGGTCCTGGGCCCAGTCGAGGCCGAACCCTGGGGGGTTCGACGAGTTTGGGTTGGGGCTGGGGAGGGAGAAGTCGGGTTCGATGTCAAAGTCGAAGAGGTCTGTGCGGAGGAATGGGTTTTCTTCGTAGGGAGAGTGGGAGGGGGGAATGGCGGAGTTGAAATGGTCGTTGAAGTCTTTGGAGGGGGTTTTGGAGTCTGGTTGCTCTTTTTCGGGGGAGAGGAAGCCGTTTGTGATTGTGGATGCGGTGCTGTATTTCTTGGAGTGTTGGCCCTGCGGTATAGAGTTTGCTCGTTCGGGGTTGGTGTATTGTTGTCTGTTCTGCTGGGCTCGCTCTTCGCGAGGGGAGTCCCATTGGTCTTCGGTTGGAGATAATGTCTGTACAGTTGAGACGGTGCTGAATTTCCTCGACGGTGATTCTGCGGGCTGCTGTTGGTTGAGGTGGGTGGAGTGGCTGTATTGCATGATCTTCAGGAAGGTGCTTGTGCTATCTGATTGGAGTCGAACAGCAGCCTCGATGTTGGCAACTTCCATATCTGCGGCAGGGTATATGTCTTTCAGGCCCTGGAGAACCTGAACACATCGCTGGAAATTGTGGAGACTGGCTTCGCGAACGGCCGGATTGGCAGACATGATGTTTGCCAGATGCGCAACAGCTGCTGGGATAATGACCGTCACGCCAGACTGAGGGAGGAATCGCGTGAGGTTCAGCTGATTCAGCCCCTGAATAATATGTGTGATTCCAATCGCAGCGTCTTGCATCTTTGAGCGCGCCCTGTCGGCCAGCTCGACGCGAGACCTGGTCTGGTCCTTATTGGACAAGAGCGCCCATGGTCGATGCAGAGCGCTGATTGTGGCATGGTATAGCATCCTGACCATGGCCCCGTGGAGAAGCAATACATCCTCTCCATCCTGGAAGTTGTTCTTGGATGCCGGGATAAACTGTGCATCTTTGGGGAGGGAGTTGAGCCACGTGTCAAGACGTTGGCTGCATCGGGCCAGCTCGGATTCAGACGCCTGTCTTGGGATCAAAGTGATAGTAGTCCGATTTGTCATGCCGAAAAGACACTGTGAGGTTGTGTACTGAGCGAAAAGCACCCGGCCAATACATTGGCAGAGCTTGGTCTTCTCTATGAACATAGTCGCGAGGCGCCTCTGATGGGAGACATCCTCGAGCTGACGACAACGAAACAGCTCAATAACTGACGGGTGGAAGGGCTCATAGTCAAAGTCGTCGTGGTTGAGCATGGGTATATTGCTTGTCCCTTCATTGACTTGTGTTGGGCGTCGCAAGCCCATCGCAATGAGCCGGTCCCGAGCAAACATGCACCACCAGATTCGGGTCCTCAATCGTTTGGTCCTCAAATCCATCTGAGAAGCCGGACTAGGGTCTCGATTCAACCCGATGGACTGGGCTTGAGTATTACAAACCCCGATCCAATCCCAGATGTCTCGATTTGGGTGGTTCACGTGGTCTGTCCAATAGGTCATCAAGAGAAGGGTTTGAAGAATAACGATCCGATCTTCCTCGCAATCCAACGAGTATAGCAGCTAGAAAACCCGTTAGCTGCCTGAAGCTGTTCCGTGTTTAATTGTACTCACCCTTAATCGCGTATAGAACGCACTGCGAGCGCTCTTCCTCGTGGCATACCCAGCTGCTTGCAAATGCTTCAGATCCACGAATGCCGTCGCCACAAACATCACTGCCTGGAATAGCAAAAGGCTGATGTTTCCATTAGGGTCATTCTGCGCGATACATCGTAAAAACTCCTGCAGGTTCAGCACCGGCATAAAACTGTGGACCCATTTGATATAACACCGCAGTAGTTCGTTTCGCAGCCCACTCTCCGGGGTTGAGAGAGCGCCTCGAAACCGCAGAAACTCCAGATCTTCCGGTGCTATCCGAGTGGGAAGTGGCTTTAGAAAACGGGGTTCGTCATCGAGGATGGCGATAAGCGGATCGAAATCAGGGTCGATGAGATCGCGGACGGCGGAGACCATATTCTCGAGCGGAAGAGAGGGCTGGACCGCGCGAGTCCCTAGTGTTCGCCATTCGCGCGGAGGCCGGGCATCCGGTAACCAAGGCGCATGAGTATCGTAGCCTAGACTGTTGGTTCTTTTGGGCACGCGCCCGTCTTCATATGCGTCTGCATTGTGCAGCTTGCGCTTGGCGGTCATCATCTTGACGGCAGTCTATGCGCATCTGAGGGCAAGATCGATCGGAGACCGGAAGTGTATGATGAAAGATCACGAGTCAGCAGGAATCCTCACTGTGATCGCCAGTCCGCCAGAGTGAAGTTGATCGAATCGCCCCGGCGCTAAAGAAGGCGGTGTTCGGGAGTTTCTGGCCGTGTGGGGTTTTTGCGGGCTTCCCCGCCAAACTGATAATAACTAGTAGGACTAGTCGCTGGTCTCGGCATGGCTGGCTGTTATTCGCGGGAGTTCGCTTGTTCCAAGGTTGAGCTGAGCCATGGGTCCGGAGCGGTGGTGGCGTGGAAGAGCGAGAATGACAAGAAATGCCGATTGACGCTGGCCGTCCGGAGCATTACGCAGGGGTGCCTGGGGCAGCAAATATATACTCCGTCGGTTTATAAAAAAAACCTATCAACATTAGCTAACTACTAAATAAGATTCTTGCGGCAATCAAGTTACTTTTTCTTTTTCTTTTAGGCCTACCTGGCGCTGCTTTTTGCTTTTCGAGTGGCTCGGAGTGCTGCAAGCGTTGGATTTGACAATCGATGTCGGTTCATGGTAGGTTGAAGTTAAAGATAAGAGAAGAGAGGTGCTTTTCCTGGAGCCAAAAAATCAAATAAACTTAATTTCAAGCCATGCATGCCCCCACTCTATTTGATATAGTAAATAGCGCAAATAGCAAAGATGGTATCAAATGGATAGATCGATAGATAGTAAGCATAAGCACGCGCTTGCTTGCGCTTCCCGGCCCTCTATGAAACTGGCCATCAAGACAGACAGACAAGACAAATGCTTGTTTAAGTTGTCTTTTCAACTTTCTTTTTGTTTCTTTCTGGTTGTTCTTGTTGTTGTTGAAATGCCGGAATCACTTGCTCCATCGGTTGCTCTCGTCGCCCTGCTCCCATTCCTGCTCGACGTATCCGAGTTGCTTCTTCACAAACTGCACCTTCTCCTTGTCTCCTGTGTTCTTGCCCATGTTGTCGCTTAGTTTGACAGCCGGGCGGCCGTTGGCGGTGGAGATCTTGATGACGATGTTGAGGGGCTTTGATTTCTCACCGGTGGCGGTGTTGGTGTAGTCATCTGGTTTTTGATTAGAGACTGTCAGAAAGAAAGGCTTGGGAGATATTGGCTTACTGGTAAAGAAGGTGCCGACTCCAAAGACAGGTTGGAAACCGGCCTCCTCGGCGATGGTCTTGTATTCCAGACAGAGTTCGATATTGAGGGAGTCCGAGAAAACGACCGTTTTCTTGTCTTTGATTCCTTCCCTGTCGTAGAACTCCCGGGCCAGTTTCACGAAGTAGGTAGGGTCGCCGGAGTCTTGACGAATGCCGGTGTATGCCTGAGCGTAGGTCGTGGGTTGATCCTGGGTTCCATCGTTAGAGGCAGGCGCAGCGATCGGGGGCTTGGTGCTCGCTTCGCTTTGCACTGTTGAGGCACTTGTCGTGGATGGACCGGATGCTGCGGTGGTAACTGCGCCAACCCCGGCGCTGGTGAATTCAGGTATGGGTTTCCGGAAAGCATCGAGGAATGCAGGCGTGCCGAAGGTGTCGGTCAATGCGATTCCAAGAACCTACATCGAGTTAGTCCAGTGCTTGCAAGTTTCGCTGTCGCATACATACCCCTTCTCCGAAACATCCGAGCCAGTACCGCAAGGCCAGCTCGTTGGCATTCGGATAGTCATCCGTGATAGCGGCGATGGTCATGTACCATTCATGGGCCACCGTGCCGACGGGGTTGACATCGTACTTCATCGCGAAATGAACGTTACTTGTCCCCGTGAAAACGCCGCTAAAACCCTTGCTCTTCGCTTCCTCAGCAGCCTGGGACAGTCCAGTCATCACCAAGTCCTGGGTATGATAGTCGCGACGTCGTCGTGACCCGAACTCCGAAAACACACAGCCATTCTCGAGGAGCTTCAGACCCTTCCAGTATGCCTTGTCCACCTGGCTGCCATAGTCCCAGTCCTTATCGGAGAACATGAAGTACGCCTCGCTGGTCAGCGCCAGGAGGGGGATTTCGTAGAGGATGGTGTCAAGCCAGAGACCTTTGATGATATAGTCCACGTCACCTATGTCGTCATTGCTGCCGGTGTCGTTCACGGGGGAGAATTTTATTTCAATCTGCTCGGATGGCTTGAGCCTGAAGGTGGTAAGGAAGCCCAAGTAAGCGTCGTTGAAGTAGGGACATCGTTTCTTAAGGAACGCGATCTCGTCGTCTGTGACTCGGATGTTTGCAAGCTCTGGCCAAACGGAATAATGTTAGCCTTCGGTGTTCTAAGCAGACTCAAGAAGTCCACATACTATCCATCTGTGCCAGAAGCCATTTGTAAGCACCCCGCGTCAACTTCATCTGAGGGGTCCGGTTGGTGAAGCCATATGTGACATCTGCAGATACGCGCATTAGTATCCCGATTACAGGAAGGCTGACAGAGTGCGCACTCACAGACATCAGGGAAGTACTTCAGGATAGCGCATTGCATCGTCAATTTATATAAATCAGTATCGAGGAGGGAGGAAATGCCCTCCGAACGCGGAGGGGAGCCGTTTTGACTCATTTTCGCGGTGCTGTATGAAGGCTCACGGGATAGATAGGATGCCAATGGAGGTAATTTAGGTAGAGTGAGATGTTCGAATAATGGGTATGAAGACCTCCCCTTCAGAAATAAACGACGCAATGTGCATGTAATATAGAGAAATCTCCGGCCGGAAACCTTCAGGAATGAGGGGAATCTCGGAGAAGATTAGGTTGTTTGTGCTGTTTGCACTTGGGGTCATCGGCAAGTCGACGTCATGCTATTAACAGGGGAGATTGATAAGAATTGGAATGCAGCTATTATATTTAGCTTAGTCTCTATTTTCATTGGCAAACATCTCATCGAAGATAATAGTCAACCCCAGGCTGATCAACCAGACGCATACGGATGTGGCTGCCGTACATCTACTTCCGGGGATCTAATGCAGGCAATGATCATCTTTCGTGACCCAGTCAAGTTCTACTAGTTAAACAATCTATGTATCAGTCAGACCTGTGATCTGTTATATATCTTGATTTGGGATACCCAGCTCTCGTGTAACACCAGCTATCGCAAAGAGATTCAGCAACTAGTTGGCAGCCTGAGGTTTCAGGCTAGAATGCCCCTCCTGTTTGTAAGCATGTGCAGTATGTGGCGGTGCACTAAAGTGGCGCTGTGTGGCTGACGAGTGGAACGGAACAGGTTTAATCCGCGCGCGATTCGATCCGCATCGCCATCGCCGGCCTTCAATCCACCTTCTGCCAGCCATCGCTGACACACTTCCTCATCGATGTGCCTTGTCACAATATAATTTCAAACTGCTTACGCCGACTCCTGACAGTCCATCTACCGACCTCATTACTAGCAGATCCGTGACCTCTAACCCGCATCACTTCCTGCGCCCGAGGCGCAACCCTAGCGGAACCCAATATCGTCGCAAATCGACGAATAACGAAATATGTCGCACGGCTCCGAAGACTGTGCTTCGGTACTCGAGCAGTTTGTTCACGATGTAGCGAATTTACCCGCGGAAATCAACCACTTGATGGAGGAGATCCAGGCCAAGGACAAGATTATCCAGGACTGTCGCACTATGATCAACTCTCGCGATAACAGTATCCAGAAATTCATCAAACTGAATGGCAGCTTGGCACCGAACCCGAAGGAAGAACAATATGGGAAAACGATATTACAGAATCTAGAAAAGTCGCAGCTGCTGCAGGACGAGAAGATCCAACTCAGCGACAAAGCATGTACTCTGCTAGATCGGCAGATCAAGAAACTAGATGTCAAAATCCGCGACTTGCAGAACGATGGCGTCTTGTCCAACGATCCTCCCATCCCATCCGTTTTCAACAATAAAGACCAGTATCGCGATCCTCCGAAGATCTTCCTCAGCGATTCCACCCTCGACTCCACAAACTACAGCTCCCCTCTGAACCCAACCTCTGGAAATGCGAATGTCATAATTGGCGCAACCCAAAGACTCAATCAATCCCTGGCTCGTTCAACGGGTGTCACCACGCTCGGCTCTCCAAACCACGCAAGAAGCTCCGCGCCAGCCACCCCGGCCGCTGGGACAACCCATTTCCAACAACGCCAGCGCGAGTCGTCCGCAGGCGCCGTAGAAAACAAACGCCGACGTCTCAACCCATCCCTCGGAACCCTTCCCGCCGCATCATCGAACCTCCGACAATCGTCTCTAGGTCCTGGTACACCCAAAGGGGGAACCCCAGCGTCTAGCCGCGCCGGCAGTGCTGGTCCACGCGCAACCGGTTCCATCAAGAAGGCTCTGACCAAAAAGGTCGCGCCTCATCAACAGCTGAAGAAGATCAAGGCATCCGGACTGCACGGGAAACCAGCAAAGCGCTCCTCCAGCGCCAGCGGCCGTCTCAAGATCAGCAGCACCAAGAAGTCCCCGTCCGCGGCCGGTGGTGACGACGACGAAGACGACTCCCTCCTCAGCAGTGCCGACATGTCGGATTCCGAGAACGCCAGCGGGGACCGACGAGGGGACGATGACATGGACGACGAGGAAGAGGACGAAGGCAACGAAGACACCAAAGTCTACTGTACGTGCCGCAGCGTCAGCCACGGGGACATGGTTGCTTGCGACAACGAGGACTGCGAGTTTGAGTGGTTCCACTGGAAATGCGTGGGCCTGACCAGGGAGCCTGTTGGGAAGTGGTACTGCCCGCAGTGCTCTGCAAAACTGAACAATTGATTATACCCGTGATTTGTATCTTATGGACTTAGCGCATAGGAGTTTGGGGCATTATCGGAATGGGCATTATGGAATATATTACTACCTCCTATCCAAGGAATCCGATGGCTTGGCATGTTTTAATATCTGAAAAGCTCGTTCCCTATCTATGCAAGTAGATTAAGAGTAGGCTAAGACGTGATGCACCGACTTTTTCCACTTTTTTGAAACCCAAACCCATCCCTAGATGCCACTGAGGTTTTCTAAACTTCGTGAAATGTCCATACTCTTGAGAAGACCAATCCCAAGTTCGACAAGAGACATGAAAACGCCACCGCTATGCAAAGCAAAACATGACCTGGCGCTGATGCGCACATAGTACATCGACTATAAGAAAGAGGAAAGAAAAGGTGATGATGAGAGGAAAGAGGAAGGAGGACGGGGGAGGCAGCAAGACTCGGTGCTCAGAATCAGAATCCAAGCGCCTTCTCCAACCACGGATCAAAGTATTCACAGCTTTCCGGGCTCACGGCGCCTCCGGGGGCGCAGAGTTTGAAAACGGGGCAATGGCCGCAAGGGGCTTCTGTCATGCCGTTCTGCACCAGCCGATCGGACGCGGCATCGTCGTCCCCGGCGGGTTTCCGGGCCTGCGATTGTTTTACGGCCTCGGGGCTTTTGACCGATCGGTAGACTTCGCCATTGTTCAGGGCGACCAGCTTATTGTCGAAGCAGAGCATGTCGAGGAGCTGCAGGATACTCTCCTCGCCCAGCCGCACGGGCGTGATGCCACTCTCGTTGACGGCAGAGGTGATCATCGCGACGGTGGGATAGCCTTGGTAGCCCGCCGGGAAGGGGATGTATTCTTTCTGGCCCGGGTCTTGTTTCATCGATGCGCTTCCGTCGGCGGTTTTGATGCGCTTGCCTCGTCCGTCTGCCGACGCAATTTCGAACCAGCTTTTCCGACTCACGGTATACTCGATATACCCCGCCACCGTGGTGATGAAGTTCTCGTCCAGCACGCCGTCCGTAAACCAGGCACCACCGGTGACATCCTCGCTGGGGGCCAGGCCCGCCAGCATGTACATCTTCCGGCTGGGAAACTTGACATTGTGGACGCTTTTGATGTAGTTTTTCCCTTCGAGCGACTTGAGGCAGCGATCGAGGATGGACTTGTGCAGGTTTGTACGGTTTTGAATCGCGCGGACCCAGATACCAGAGCGGCCGGTCGAGTGAATCACATTGTAGACCAAACTCTCGTCGGGGCTCAGATTTTGAAGTCTGAAGTGGGGAGGGGTAAAATATTAGCATCGCACAGGAACTGGTTGACGGGCAGAGTCGCAAAATCAAGGCCAGGCATACTTTTCAGCATCTTCGCGCGAGATGATCTTCCAGGCCAGGCGGTCATTTTTCTGCAGCAGCCGGAACAGCTTTTGGTCCACCAGCGACTGGGTGCATTGGAGGAGAAGCGCAAGGTCGGACTTGGGAAAGATGCCCAGGCCCAGCAATTCTTGCTGGTTGAAGAGATGATCAGGAGGGAACTTGGCCAGACACGCTTCGTAGAGCTTAGCGGCGAGCTCATTGACAGAGCCGCCGGACGATCCCGCGGAGGCCATTATCAGGACGAGGAAACCAGGTCGTCAAGTAGGAACACAGTCACCGAAAGGGCCTATGAAAAAGCATGTTCAGAGCAGCATCCCAATTCGAGGTTCAGACAGCGACTCTGGAATAGCCAAGCGATATTCCTCCGGGCCAAGAAGGGGCGCACGAGGGAAAGGATGATGCGCAGGTTGTGGACTTTGTGACGGATGGAAAAGAAGATGTTTTTGGCGGCTTTTTTCCAGTGCGCCCGGAAGGGTTTAGCGTCTGGCGGAGCTGTGACGGCCTCGGCGCCTGAATGCCTGATGCCTCAGGCACTCAGGCTCGTCGTTTCTCCCGGAAATTTCGAGAAGCTGCCGGCCAGAGCTTCATTAGCCCGCCGGTGATGCTGCCTGCGTCTTGTTTCTTTTCTCTTCCCGTCTTTCATCTCTCCACCCCATACCTCTCCCTCACCCACACCTTACACCATGGCTGACGCTTTGAAAGCCGAAGGCAACAAGGCCTTTTCCGCTAAGGACTACGGCACCGCTGTGTAAGAAGATCTTCTTTCTTTTCGCTCCATACCCCGCTTTTGTCGGGGGTGACTCCTGGGCGGTCGCTCATCTGAAGGACAACCTGCTGACGCTCTCGCAGTGAGAAGTTCACTCAGGCCATTGCAATCGAACCCCAGAACCACATCCTGTACTCCAACCGATCGGCTGTCTATGCCGCGCAGTCCGAGTACCAGAAGGCCCTCGAGGACGCCGACAAGGCCACGGAAATTAAGCCCGACTGGTCCAAGGGCTGGAGCCGTAAGGGAGCCGCCGCTCGCGGCCTTGGAGATCTACGTATGTCTTACACTGGTGGGAATCGGAGGTGGTTCGGCGGTACCTTTGACTAACGGCGTTCGCAGTGTCCGCGCACGATGCTTACGAGGAAGCCCTGAAGTACGAGCCCGGTAACGAGCAGGCCAAGTCCGGTCTGAACGCCGTCAAGAGAGCCATTGATGCCGAAGCCAAGGGTGACGGCGTCACCGGCGACCCCACGGGCGGACTCGGCGGAATCTTCAACGACCCTCAGCTTTTCCAGAAACTCGCCAGCAACCCCAAGACCTCGTCTCTTCTGGCCGATGGCGAGTTCATGCAGAAACTGCAGCGCATCCAGCAGAACCCGAACAGCGTCGGAGCCGAGCTCCAGGATCCCCGCTTCCTGCAGGTGATGAGTGTGTTGCTCGGCATCGATATGAGCTTTGGCGCTCCTCCTGAGGCTGCTGGTGCCGCCGGTGGTCCCTCCGGAGCCACGGAGGCCGAGGACGAGGAAATGCCCGATATCCGCCCGTCGCAACCCAAGAAGGCCCCTGAGCCTGCCCCCGAGCCCGAGCCCGAGCCCGAAGATGAGGAAGCGATCGCCAAGAAGAAGGCGCAGGAGGCCGGAGATGCCGAGAAGAAGATCGGTAACGACTTCTACAAGAAGAAGCAGTTCGACGAGGCCATTGAGCACTACAACAAGGCCTGGGAGCTGCACAAGGACGTCACCTACCTGAACAACCTTGGAGCCGCGAAGTTCGAGAAGGGTGACCTGCAGGGCACCATTGAGACCTGCCAGAAGGCCGTGGAGGAGGGCCGCGAACTGCGCGCCGACTTCAAGGTCCTTGCCAAGTCGTTCGCCCGAATTGGTACCGCGTATGACAAGATGGGCGATCTGACGCAGGCCATTGAGTACTACAACAAGTCTCTCACCGAGCACCGCACCCCCGACGCCCTCTCCAAGCTCCGCGTCGCCGAGAAGGCCAAGGCTACGGCGGAGAAGGAGTCCTACATCGACTCTGGCGAGGCCGAGAAGGCTCGTGAGCTCGGTCAGAAGAAGTTCCAGGAGGGTGACTGGCCCGGCGCCGTCGACGCGTTCACCGAGATGACCAAGCGGGCTCCCCAGGACCCCCGAGGCTTCTCCAACCGCGCCGCTGCTCTCGTCAAGCTCATGGCGTTCCCCCAGGCCGTTCAAGACTGCGACGAGGCGATCAGCCGTGACAGCAAGTTCATCCGTGCGTACATGCGCAAGGCGTCGGCTCTGATGGCCATGAAGGAGTACAACAAGGCTCTGGACGTCTGCACCGAAGCCTCGGAGCACGACGACGGATCGTTTGCCCGTGAAATCGAGCAGCAGCAGCAGAAGTGCCTGGATTCTCAATTCAGCGCTCGTGCGGGCGAGACGGAGCAGCAGACCATGGAGCGCATCCAGAATGACCCTGATGTAAGATGATCCCCCCCTCTTTTTCCCAGGAATAAATAGGTCTAATAATCCGACAGATCATGGCTATTCTGCAAGACCCTGTTATGCAGAGCATCCTGCAACAGGCCAAGAGCGACCCGGCGGCTCTGCAGGAGCACATGAAGAACCCTCAGGTGCGGATGAAGATCCAGAAGCTGATGGCGGCGGGAGTCATTCGTCTGGGACGGTAAATTCGGAGGACATCGAGGGACACGATGGAAATGAATGAATTGAGATGACAGCAACAATCTGGTTTCAAAAAGTAGTTCGCGAAATGATGCATGCTCGTGTTTCATTAGTTTAATGTTATAGCATTCAATACCGGTTATATATTTGTCAATCTATCCACCGCAATCGAGTTTATCTCGACTACACTGCCGAATGGAGTTAACGAGGGTTAGTTAGTATTAGACCGCTGACCAACCCACACAATTCTGTGGCTGGCATCCGCAGCGTGACGCCAGTAGATATCATCACGACGGATCGACCTGCAAAATTTCCATTGGACCACCAAGCGCACCGGACGGCGTCCAGGAAATGATAATCCGAAGTGGAGTCCGCATACGTACACCCACGTCTTCAGTCTACCCTATCTACGTACTCCGTCGCACAGGGTAGGCTAACTGGCCAAGTCTCAGATCCCAGACCAATCTGCGGTAGGACCCACGCCGAACCAGATCCTTCCTTCCCTTCACCAGCGGCGCTGCTTTTCCTGACGGAGGAGGTAGGCTTTGAGCCTTTGTTGGATCTGTTCCTCAATCTTACCTCTCCTGTGAGATCCACCGTGAACCGTGGACGAGGACCGCGCAAGGATGGCGCCAGGGTTTAGAGTACTCCGTCGGATTTGGGTGACGGAGTTATTTCGGAGCTTTTCGCTGTTGGTTTGGTTTACGTGGTGTGTACAGAGACTACGGAGTGGCAGATAGTCGTCTTGGGTTGGGTTTGAGAGAAGGATAAGATGTGATGGGATGGACTAGACTAGACCCGTTCGTAGGGCAGATATCCCGGCAGGGACTTGCTAGGATCTAAATCTAATCGAGACAGGGATTGATTCAACTAGCATAGATGATAGAACCCACCTAGGTGGTATTTAGAATCAGATCCCGTGGCGACAGCAACAAGAACTGGAAGAAAAGGTGGCTGGGGTGTTTGCGATTACTACAAGTAGTTAACTGGTCGTGGGGGATCTGTAGATCGGGCAGTTCGCGTGCGATGGGCCGTAGAACAGAGCGCTCAGCTCGGAGAGGAAATACGTGGTTGGTTTTTTGTTTTATTTATTATTTTTTTTTTCTCTACCTATCAGAATGCTTGACGAGAGAGAATCCCAAAAGAAAGTTAAGCCGGTGAGGAAAGCTAATAAATATTAAATCCTGGAGTGGGCGGAGCTTTGACGGCTGAACTCTGAGGGCTGAAGGCTGAAGGTTAAATCAAGCGGTGACATGATGACTATATATCTATGTAGTAGGCTGTGATTGTGTTTGTTGTTGTCATTGTCATTGTCCATTCTATATATAATCTACTCAGCCTGGGTGTAGGCTGCTGCGAACCACTTCTACCTGTAATACACACAGCAGTTCATGGAAATATATCTACCTACCGGAACCAAGCCTCAGATCCGTAATCCTAAGACCAGCTCAGCCCTTCCCTGCACGCCACGTGTCCAGACAGACGAACCGAGGGACCTGAAAAGCAGACGGAATAAACACTGTACTTACGATGTCCGCAGTACGGCTGCGTACTTTGAGGAGGGCGCGAACCGATGAAAATGCAACTCTGCATGCAACGTGATCACGACGGACGGACGGACTAGGAGGCGATAGTCTGGGGGATTGACAAATGAGAAGGAGGAACTGGCAGTTCCGAGGACCAGGACAGGGGCGAGGAAAAAGAAACCTAAGGAACGACTCCATCGGGCTAAAGACTAACGAGACGGACTAGTGGGGGACTAGAGGAGCCTCCAGGGATGGCCGAATAGGAGAGGGACAAACCAAATACTACCGAGGTACGGAGAGGAACTATTGACTAGTTAATTACGATTATATTATATTATATATTCTATGAGATGGTCAGATTATACTTCGTAATACGGAATGGGGCCCTGGATGTGGCGCGGCCAGATCCGGTGGCGGTGCAGAGATCGCAGATGAAATGCCAGGATTGTCGGCACTATTTGTTCCCGGTTTTGTAGGAGTCCAGAGGAGTCCAGAGAATATGGCATGTTATCCTCAAATCAATAGGGAAATGCGACACATCCTCGTACACCTCCCTGATCCTCCGTCCCGGCCATTCTATCGGACGCAGGAGAATTCATCGACGATGCCCCGGTGGAGCTGAATTAAATATTAACTCCACGCCGATGGATCGACTTCCGGTTCCTTTTTTTTTTCTCTTTTTCTTTTCTTTTTCTGGCTGGGCTCCATCCGCCGATTTACGTCACGACCGGAGCCGATCTTTTCGCTCTTCCTCGTCCTTTTCCTCATCTGCAATTAATTCCCCTTCTTTTCTTTTGTGACTGGAACGCGCCACTTGGACTTCTTTTCTCAGTTTCTCTCTCCCGCTCTCTGTTCCTTTCCTTCTCTTCCAACCCTTCGTGCCATCCCGACTTCATCTCCGTCCTCCGTCCTCTCCCTCCTCTCACCAGCCACGGAGTCCGCTTGACGCAAGTGGCTTCATCCATTGAGCTGCCAATTCCCAGTGTGCGGCCGTCACCCCGACCTTCTCTCTGTCTCGTCATCCGGTAAGAAGCTGAACAAAAGGGACCCCCTCTTTCCTGTTTTTCCTATTTTTTTTTTTCTTCCCGTCTCCTTTTCCCCTCTCCCGGTGATGATGTTTGTACCCTCAATCCTCAACCAGCCACCTCTCCCCACTGCGGAGACTCCGAAGGCAACCATCTTAACTATACTCGACTAAGCGCCAACTCATTTCCGAACTGCTTTTGCCTTTTCCCCTCCAGCCCTGTCGCCCCATTCCCTTTGTAGCTCTTCCATTGTCCTTTCCATTCCATTTCTATCCCCCTCTTGTTTCCGCCCTGGCCATTGACTCCGAGACACACCCGTCCACGTCACCGCCTAAGATCTGACCAGACCACCTTCTAGATTCTCTCGCCTGGGGTTCTTGTAGCTGGTGATCTTCCTCACCTCAGGCTGGTCACCCCCCCCGAAGACAGCCATGGCGTCGCTCGAAGTAGAAGATTACAAACGGGAATTGAGGCAACAGGGTGCCATTGAGGCGGCCGAAGAGGCCCCTCAAGATCCCAAAGCTGCCGAGGCCGCTGAGCAGGTGCTGGTCGAAGAAACCCGGAAGGCTGGCATGCCCGCCTACCAATTCGATCCGAATGCCTCCCCCGAAGAAAAGGCTGCCGCCGCCGAAGCTGTAAGTGTTGCTCACGCCGGGTTGGGGGGAGTTGGCTAACCTCGTGTTTTCGCTCCGAAGCGGGTACCACCCGGGTTTCATCGCGACAAGAAGCCGAAAGGCATGGCAATTATCACAGATAAGGTATGTACTCTGAGGGCGGTGCCTGGCAACTCCTGGGGTGTTAAGGCTGCTGGTGAATTGCGGTTTCCTAACCTGTCGATGTGATCATTCTAGAATGACGGTACCCCCGACGACTACGATCTACCCCCGCCCAAAACCGCGAATGAAATCGAAAAAGACTCCAAAGAATCCTCCGACGGGGCAACGGAAGAGGGTGGGATGAATGAAGACATGCGATGGGCGCGGGACCGAACGGGCTGGGCACCGCAGTTCGTGCAGGTTCCGACCGAGGAAGAAGAAGCCGAAGGAACGCTGCTCGATCACCAGGATTTCCTGGAAGGCAAATTGGACGACAAGTTCTTTGGGGGTATGTGGACCATGCGAATTTTCGGGCAGGGTGTCGGATGCTAACCGTCGGTAGATTGGTATCACAATGCCGGGGTCATCGTGTTCGCCTGTCTGGCCTCGTGGGTTGTCGCCGTGCTCGGCGGTGGTCTCGGCTGGATCTTCCTCGTCATGGCCGCCTGTAGCACGTACTACCGCACGTCCATCCGGCGAGTTCGGCGCAATTTCCGCGATGACATCAACCGTGAAATGGCCAAGCAGCGCTTGGAGACCGACACCGAGAGTCTGGAATGGATCAACAGTTTCCTGGTCAAATTCTGGCCCATCTACGCGCCGGTCCTGTGCGACACCATCATCAACTCCGTGGACCAGGTGCTCAGCACCTCGACGCCCGCCATGTTGGACAGTCTTCGCCTGAAGACCTTCGTTCTCGGTACCAAGCCTCCGCGGTTGGAGCACGTCAAGACGTACCCGAAGACCGAGGTGGACACCATCATCATGGACTGGAAATTCAGCTTCACTCCCAACGATGTCATGGATCTGACGGCGCGCCAGCTGAAAAACAAGATCAACCCCAAGGTGGTCTTGGAGGTTCGCCTGGGTAAGGGTGTCGTGAGCAAGGGCTTGGATGTGATCGTGGAGGACATGGCGTGTAGCGGCCTCATGCGAGTCAAGATGAAGCTGCAGGTCCCCTTCCCCCACATCGAGCGTGTGGACGTCTGCTTCATGGAGCGCCCGGAGATCGACTACGTTTGCAAGCCCCTGGGTGGTGATCACCTAGGTTTCGATATCAACTTCATCCCCGGTCTGGAGTCTTTTATCAAGGACCAGATCCACAACAACCTGGGTCCGATGATGTACGCCCCCAACGTCTTCCCCATCGAGATCGCTAAGATGCTGGCTGGAAACCCCGTCGACCAAGCCATCGGTGTGGTTGCCGTGACCCTCCACGGGGCGCGTCAACTCAAGAACCCCGACAAGTTCTCGGGCACGCCCGACCCGTATGCCGTCGTGTCTTTGAACAGCCGTACCGAGCTCGGCCGGACCAAGACCATCTATGACACGGACAGCCCGCGATGGAACGAAACGATCTACGTTATCATCACCTCGTTCTCGGATTCCTTGACCATCCAACCGTTTGATTGGAACGAGTTCCGAAAGGATAAGGAGCTGGGTACGGCAACGTTCGCCTTGGACCGGCTCGAGGAGGAGCCCGAGCACGAGGGCATGTTCCTGGAGGTCATGGCCAGCGGCCGGTCTCGCGGTTCCATCCACGCGGATATCCGATTCTTCCCGGTCCTCGGGGGAAGAAAGATGGAGGACGGCGAGAGCGAGCCGCCCCCAGAGCTGAACACGGGTATTGCTCGCTTCACCGTGGAGCAAGCCAAGGATCTGGACGGCACCAAGAGTATCGTTGGACAGCTGAACCCCTACGGAGTTCTCCTGCTGAACGGCAAGGAAATCCACATCACCAAGAAGCTGAAGCGTACCAACAACCCGATCTTCCAGAACGCGTCCAAGGAATTCCTCGTCACCGACCGGAAGAGCGCTCGCCTGGGCCTGGTCATCAAGGATGACCGGGATCTTGCGCGAGACCCGATCCTGGGCACCTACCAGATCAAGATGAACGACATGCTCAAGATGATGGAGCAGGGCAAGGACTGGTTCCATCTGCATGGAGCCAAGACGGGTCGCGCCAAGCTCACGTTTCAATGGAAGCCCGTCGCCCTGGGTGGCATCTCCGGCAGTTCTGGCTATGTGGATCCCATCGGTGTCATGCGCTTCCACTTCCAGCGCGCCGAGGACCTGCGCAACCTGGAGAAGATGGGCAAGTCTGACCCGTACGTTCGGGTGCTGCTTTCTGGATACATGAAGGCCCGGACGGTGACGTTCAGGAACAACCTGAACCCTGACTGGGACGAGGTGGCTTACGTGCCCATCCACAGCCCCCGCGAGAAGCTCACCCTCGAAGTCATGGATGAGGAAAGCATCAACAGCGACCGGTCGCTGGGATCGGTGGAGATCTCGGCGGCTGACTACGTCCGGGAGAATGAACAGGGCGAATTCGAGGTCGACGACGAGAAGCAGCTGATCTCGAGCGGCCTCCGCATCGGCAGAGGTCCCGTCAAGGGGAAACTGTTCTACACCGTCGCCTTCTATCCCACCATCCCGGTTGTCAACCCCGAGGATGACGCCGAGGAAGAGGGAATGGATGACCTCAACGGCGACGGAGAACATGACGAGATCCCGAGAAAGAGCGTCGAGTCCCGGCGCCGCAATGGCCACGTCAAGACCGCCAGTACGGACTCCAAGGCATCCCAGAAGGCCAACGGTACATCCCAGCCACCCACTCCCTTGCCGCCGAATACCCCGGGGCCAAACACCCCGGGCCGCAGCAGCTTCGAATCGGGCGTCTCCAAGCCGACGACATCCAAGGATTCGGAGGTCATGTCTATCAAGTCACTCGACATCCCGAAAACCTTCATCTCGGCCGAAGAACTCTCCAGCTACGGTACTCTCCTCTCCCCAAAGGCACGTGCGCCTAGACTTCTACAATTGCTAATTCCCCGCAGAATCCGGATTCTTGGTCTTCAAGTTCCACGAAGTTCAACTTTCCCGTCACAATGTGCAGGTTGAAGTGGTGATGGACGACCACATGTTCGCGGCCTATTCGTCCCCCAAGCTTCGTTCCAAGTCCGCCCAGATAGAAGACAGTATGTTTGACCCGTTGTGACCGAAGACCAAGAAAATTGAGCTAACAGCCTGCAGTTGGAGATGCTTTCGTTCGTGAACTGGAGTTTTCGAAGATCACTCTCCGGATCGTGGACAAGAACAGCGCCAAGGACGACAGCGACGAACACACCGTGGCGAAGTTGACGGGCGATACGTTGACGACCCTCCAGCGCATCTTATACACCCCCACCGAGCTTGCGCTCCGGTCCAGCGATGGGGAAGTCAGCAAGGTCACCGTCAGTGCTCGATACATCCCGGTGACCATGAAGCTCGACCCGACCGAGAGTATCAACAACATGGGTACTTTGCGGGTGGATGTCCTGGACGCCGCCGAGCTTCCGTCCGCCGACCGCAACGGCTTCAGTGATCCGTACTGCAAGTTCCGTCTCAACGACAAGGAGGTCTTCAAGACCAAGGTGCAGAAGAAGACTCTGCATCCGGCCTGGAACGAATTCTTCGAGGCCCCGATCACGTCCAAGATCGGCGCCGACTTCCGGGTCGATGTTTACGACTGGGACTTCGGCGACAAGGCGGACTACCTGGGCGGAACCCCGATCGACCTCGGCGTCCTGACGCCGTTCCAGAGCAAGGAGGTGTCGTTGGTCCTGGACGGCAAGTCCGGCGCCATCCGTCTGAAGATGCTGTTCAAGCCAGCCTACGTCATCCGGTCCCGACAGGGATCCTCTACGTTCTCCGGCACCTTTGCCACTCCCGGCAAGATTGTGGGAGCCCCCGTCAAGGGAGTGGGATTTGTTGGCGGCAATGTCATCAAGGGCGCTTCGTTCCTGAAGCACGGCATCATGTCTCGATTCCGCGGAGACGATGCATCCAGCATCCATGAAACCGAGGAGCCGGAAGACAGCCCGCAGGCCGAGACGAGTCCCACGGCGGCGCCTTCGCTGACGGTGGACGGCAGCACTCCGCCCAGCGCCAGCCCCATCAGTAACAACAACTTGCAGCACGCGCGCTCGCGCAGCGTGGTGTCGCACTACGGCGATCGACTTGGAATCGGAGGCGGCTCCGGCAAGGGCGAGACGGGCACGGCCACGATCACGGTGGTCTCGGCCAGTGACTTCCCGCCGTCGACCAACGTGCGGGTGTTCGTCAAGGCCCTCGGGCCCAAGGGGGCGAAGGAGGTTCTCAAGAGCAAGGCGCACAAGGCCAGCGGGACGGCACCGGTGATGTTCGACGCGTCGCACGAGACGTGCCGGGTGCACAACACGACGGCGGATGCGCAGTATCAAATCCGGGTGGTGGACCATTCCACCTTTGGCTCGGACAGCGTGCTGGGCGAGACGCTGTTCTTCGTGGACGACCAGGGCTCCGTGGCCGGCCAGGACAAAGCGGTCAAGGTCGGCAGCGGCACGGTGTCGATTCGGTCGAGTTTCTCGGGCACCGAATCGAACCTGCGGCCGTCGACGTCTCACTCCAACAACGGGGATGCGGCATCCGAATTGATGGACAGTCCGGATTCGAAGAAGACCGGCCGACGCAGTTTCCTTGGCAAGCGGAACGTGAGCGGCGCTTAGATGTAACCACTCCATTGTCTAATGTCTTGATGACGAATTTCATTCTGTCTGTGTCCAGCCAGGTCTTGTTTCTCCTTTACTCTCTGGTCTGTTCTTTTACTCATCTCTGTTCTTTATTTTATTTGGTTTTTACCCTCACGATTTTCTTTGGGCACCAATGTGACGTGATATCATTGCTTTTGCTTTAGCGTAGTAGCGGCTAGTTGGATAGACCTGCCAGGTCAGATCTGGGAGGCAAAATGCAATGCAATGATTGACTCCGGTTTTATTCAACATGCGGTGTATAGTCGTACAAGTAGGACGAGTAGACCTAGGTGGTATAGTGACTAGCATGTAACCAGGGGGGTAGGTAGCTCAACGCCGAACCGGTAACACAGACTCCGGATAGGATGGAGGGGATTGTACACCGCTTGTCGGTTGGTTCCATAGGCTAGGTAGGCAGTTAGACTTTCGACATGTTCTAACTTCTAGACACCAGACTAGACAGACGAGGGGCAGGCTGAATGACAGGTCTTATCCGTTTTCCGAGGCTGCGGTGCGGTGTACGCAGTACGTTGGGTGGGCTTGCTGGTTCGAACTATTGAACTTTTACTTACTCGGTATATACATATGGACATGTATAGCACATGGTTTTATGTATGGAATAGGTAGGTGGGATGTCTTATGTCTCGGGGAAGGGGATGGATTGGATTACGGAGTACGGAGGACTAACACTAGGAGTCGGAGTAAGTAGGGGTAGTAAGGGTAAGGGTAAGGATAAGGCCGGAAAGAAGGAAGGTACTTGGAACGAGATGAACTACTGCGTGTATGTCTGCCCTACCGACCTATAGTGTAGTATAGATCCACTTGACAGTTGGTTTCAGGAGGGGTTAGTCGGAGGGGTTAGTCGGAGGGGTTAGGTAATACGGAGGTATATACTTACGGAGTAGCTAGGGGATATAGTACTAGTATGGTAGGTAGGTACTATGTATAGTTTTAGTTTTATAAAAGGGAGATCATCTTAGCGAGAGCTAATCACTATCCTATTACCAGTCCTCCCCTTATGTATTTGGATTGAGTTGTCGAGTTTCGTGTTTCCAGTTTACGGTTTACTACCTACCACGGAGAGATGGAGAGATGATGATCGATCGATCGAGCGATGAATGACAGTTGTCAAGTCTGCAAGTCAGTCAGTCTGCGGGGTGTCTGTACGCATGCACATGTGCCTGTTTCTGTGTCCTTCAGGCAGGAATTATATTGCATGGTGACCCGATCCAAACAGCGAGACACTAGATTTCGGGAATGGACGCGCATTATTTATAGAGCGACTCCGAGGAGGCTAATTTATAAAGCTTACTGGTCGGAAATCGGATAGAACGAAAGTTAGTGTGGAATGCGTAGAAGAAAAGGAGAAGCGCTAGCGTTCAGACCATTCCGTAATTCCATATACTGTTACCTCCGGAGGGAAGTTCAAGTAGAACTCAATTAGATTTACGGAGTATAAGACGTAATTAAGAAAATCCAACAGGGGCAACGGGGCCGGAAATTATTGGCTAAAATTAGCAGAGCTCTCCCTGTCTGCAGAGAGGGGGAGGGGAACGCCAGCTGTCCGGAAGGGTTCCCGGAGGACAGGGGACCTAGACTCCCGCCAGCGAAGCTAGCCATTCGAGAGCCCAGATCGAGGGTGGAATTCAGGAGTACTACGGTGTGGGAGTAGGATAGCGAGGTATGGAAACTAGTTGACGCCAGATATGTTGGCGAGGTTTTCGTGGCACGGGGAAGTCACGGGATCTGTGGTGATCCAGACGGTAACTCATAGGTAGATACCAGGTACTCCGTAGTTGACGGAGAACGAGAAGAGTCTGGAAAAACATCGGTATTTGAGCTGCAGCGATGAGCAGGGTAATCAAATAGAAGCAGATCAAATGGATGGGCTGGGATAGAGAACGGAACGGTGACGAGGCAGTGGGCCCGTTTTCAGATGAATGAACCCTGAAAAGGGGCATGGCCGGTCTAGAAGTCTCCGAGCCTGGCAGAAAACCAGACGGCAGCCGTTTCCAACGCGGCTGTCAGATGATGCTTTGCATTTTTCTTGCTCCTGCTGTCTGTCCGTCTGTACGCAGTATGTACTCTGTAGATAGGTATTGCTAGAGCTCTCGTTTCTGTCTGGGTTCAGAGTACAACTCCGATGCAGCATGTACCGGTACCTGGGTGCTCGACCACTTAAGCTGCGACAGGAGGTCACCAGTACCTGCCCCGCCCCGCCGACCGGTGCTGCTAAGAATAACGCGGCCAGACCGGCGTATGGTCACGGGCCGTCACCGCCGCGCAAAAGCCCGCCACGCGCGGGTATTTGGGGCGGACGGTATTGTCACCAGGAGGAAATTGGGCCCACTTGGAAAATAATAAAATAATAATAAAATAATAATAAAATAATAATAAAATACTAATAACCAGAATCAAATAAAACCAGAAAAAAGAAAATAATCCAATAAAATACTTGGTCAAGAAGGATAAATCCAGCTCAAATAAATAAACCTCCCCCCATCACCACCTGTCTGCTTCTTCTACCTACCTACCATCCTCCATCTCCATCTCCATCCTCAGGTACGTACCTCTTGATCCACCCACCCATCCTGTTCTGTGTCGCACCAATGGTCGGCGTCAACGGGCGCCAATGACGGCAGCTTGTCGACATCCCTCCTTCCGCTGCGATCGACGGCGTCGTGGCAACTTGCGAGCAAGACCCCTCCTCTGCTGCTGCTGCGGCGGCGGGAGAAGGAGGGGGCCCCCGCTTAAATGGACTGTCGTGTCCGTCCTTCTGACGCTCGTTGTTGCTGGCTTTTTTCTGTTTCCTCGGTTCCGCCGTCCTGTCTTGTCCTCCTCCACAACCCTTTTTCTGTTAAGCTTCTTCCCTAAGCTTCCCGTTGCTGACTTGCCATCCTTTGTCTCCAGCGACCTCGGTGGTGTTGACTTCTCTCTGCTCCCGCTTTCTCTCATCGCTTCCCCTCCAATTATCAGACACAATGGCCTCCAAAGCCTTGCCCTCTCACCTCCGCGCCCCCGCCAGCGAGTCCTCCAACGCTGGCGGCTTCGGCAAGCACCACGGAAAGTCCCAGTCTCACATGGTAAGTTGCGCAACTCGGTGATACGCCTGCTGCATTCCTCTTCCCATCATTTCGGAGATTCCCTGACGGCAGCGGTCGAGAGGTGCAAGTTTCTCGAGTTGCTGGTGGCCAACGCGGGAACTCTGTCTGGCTCTCGCCGTTGGAAGGCGGCAATTCACTGCTCGTCCATGGAATCTCCCTGCTATCGAGCACTTCTCCCAAACCCCGCTTTGCTATCCTGGTCCTCTCGGATTCCTCCCCCATCTCGCAAATGGTTGCTTTGTGCCTTTATAAAGAGATCGGGAATTCCTCAATCTATTTATGGCCCCATCTCTGATCCAGAGTGCGATGAATTGCGATACGTTGCCACCGTTTTCTGTATTATCTTTCTGTCTTCTGTTTCCCCGCATCGCTTGATGCCAGATATTCCCACCGCGTTCACCGTTGCTCTCTGCGACCCGCACTAATGTCTTCCCTCATCCAGGCATTTGAAAATGCTTCCACCAGCGTCGCTGCCTCGCAGATGCGCAACGCCCTGAACGCCCTCGCCGAGTCGGTCCCCGATACCAACGAGCGCAAGCGTTTCGAGGCCGAGACCGACAACTTCTTCGCCCTCTTCCGCAGATTCCTCAACGATAAGGCCAAGGGCAACGAGGTCAACTGGGACCGCATCGCCCCTCCCCAGCCGTCGCAGGTCGTCGACTACGCCGATCTCGGCGCCGAGGCCTCGGTCGAATTCTTGAACAAGCTGGCCGTCGTTAAGCTGAACGGTGGTCTGGGTACCTCCATGGGTTGCGTCGGACCCAAGTCCGTCATCGAGGTCCGTGAGGGCATGTCCTTCCTGGACCTGTCGGTGCGCCAGATCGAGCACCTGAACCGCACCTTCAACGTGAACGTGCCCTTCGTTCTCATGAACTCCTTCAACACCGACCAGGACACCCAGTCCATCATCAAGAAGTACCAGGGCCACAACGTCGACATCATCACCTTCAACCAGTCCCGCTACCCCCGTATCATCAAGGACTCTCTCCTCCCCGCCCCCAAGTCGTACGACGCTCCCCTGCAGGACTGGTACCCTCCCGGTCACGGTGACGTCTTCGAGTCGCTCTACAACTCCGGTACCCTCGACAAGCTCCTGGAGCGCGGCGTCGAGTACATCTTCCTGTCCAACGCGGACAACCTGGGTGCCGTTGTGGATCTCCGCATCCTGCAGCACATGGTGGACACCGAGTCCGAGTACATCATGGAGTTGACCGACAAGACCAAGGCCGATGTCAAGGGTGGTACCATCATCGACTACGAGGGCAAGGCCCGTCTCCTGGAAATCGCCCAGGTGCCCAAGGAGCACGTCAACGAGTTCAAGTCCATCAAGAAGTTCAAGTACTTCAACACCAACAACATCTGGATGAGCCTGCGTGCCATCAAGCGTGTCGTGGAGGAGAACGAGCTGGAGATGGAGATCATCGCCAACGAGAAGTCCATCCCCGCCGACAAGAAGGGCGATGCCGACCAGGCCATCTACCAGCTGGAAACCGCCGTGGGTGCCGCTATCCGCCACTTCAAGAACGGCCACGGTGTCAACGTGCCCCGTCGCCGCTTCTTGCCCGTCAAGACCTGCTCCGATCTCCTGCTCGTCAAGTCCGACCTGTACCGCCTGGAACACGGCCAGCTGGTCATGGACCCCAACCGTTTCGGCGGTGTCCCCGTCATCAAGCTGGGTTCGGACTTCAAGAAGGTCTCGGACTTCCAGAAGCGCATCGGCAGCATTCCTCGCATCGTCGAGCTCGATCATCTGACCATCACCGGTGCCGTGAACCTCGGCCGCAACGTGACGCTAAAGGGTACCGTCATCATCGTGGCGACCGAGGGCAGCACGATCGACGTGCCTCCGGGCTCCGTGCTGGAGAACTGTGTCGTGCAGGGAAGCTTGCGTATTCTGGAGCATTAGATGCCGTGATCTTCCCCTTCTGCGCTTTTCTTCATTTCTACCGATTCCCCCTTTCTTTTTTTGTTTGTTTTACACAGCCCTAATTGATTCCCTGTCTGGATGGAGGCATTTGCATGGGTTGATAGAAGCGTGTTAGAGGACATTGGAGGTGGTCGAGAACGCCGGCTGTTATTTTTTTTGGATCCGATTCAATCATGGGATCTGGCGATCGAGTTCTAGTGTTCGAAGATGTTTCATGACAACATGTTCGTTGTGGGAATACAAGAAACTAGTTTAATCCAGCCTCTTTTGCACTTGTTAGTCTACCGAGTAACCATAATCGTCTTCAGTAGTGTATACCAGTATACCGTGTAGAGGCCACTGCCACGTGATGCTGCTTTTGTCTTGCATGTCACACCCGCGAAGAGTTCCTCCGTCCGCCACCCATCTGTCGCTTTTCTTTGATCATCACCGTCCACTTCTGACCAGAGTAAGTCTTCCTCCATCGTACCACCAAGGGAATGAGTTCCCACGATGAATGATCCGGAGTATGGTATCATCGATCCATCATTCCGATCCATTGGACACCACCAGTACGACCAGCCCTCCCGGGTTGATGAATAAGATGCCCTGACACATGCACAGCCTGTGTACTGTACCAGAAATCGGAAGGGCCAATTATGCTTTAAGGGCACGGTCTAGAGGCTTTTCCTCGGCGACAGTCGCTTGCACTAATCGCTCACCACAGCCGAAGTCTGGCAATCTAAGTCCGCCACATGAGCCTCTTTCCGACCTCAGTCGCGCTCAATCCGGAAGATGAACCTCCTGACTATCCTTCCTGTTCATCCACGTATAGCTTGGCGATGGAGACGGATCTGACCTCCGGGACGAGTGCTGCCGCTGATTCACCTCTACCTCTCCATCTCTACCCTTCACTGCTCCCCGGTGGACTTCAATTACCGGCTTGATAAGCATCCGAGTCATTCCCACTCATACCCCTCGTATTGACAACAACGTGTGCCTGATGCATTTCCTACGTTCGACGCCACTTACAAATGGACATGGGTTCACGGCGCCACTGCCCAGCACCTCTCGCACGCCTTCAATGGCCTAAGGCCCTGTTTGGACATGATGAACCCGCAAGGATCGGTCAGGAGATTAGGAAAGGGTCCCCGACCCACGGTCATATATTCCACCGCGATGAGCTAGAGACACAAAGGCTTATATATATAAAGGAAGCTTTGCGGTCGTCTTGGAGGCTTACTTTTTGGAAAGACCAATCTGAGTTCCTTTTGCGACGAGCCTATCAAAGGCTGAGTCATCGCATGGTTCCCAGAGCGTTCTATCGCCGTGAGTGATTTTATTTCTCAGCATCGCCAGCTGGCGCCGGGTCCGTCCCCCACCTCCGGAATGTCGGACATTCCGATGGGGGATAGCGACCCTGGCGAAAGCTATCGAAAGTTCAGTGACCCGGGCAAGAAGCGGGTGTCCATGGCATGTCTGGCCTGTAAAAAGTCCAAACGAAAGGTACACCTCTATTTACTTCTACCTCTCTTTGCACCCTAGGGTCCTGGTCTCTTCTACCTGCCCATGAATATGTGGCAGTCTTTTTATGTTCTTACTTCATCTCTCCCTTGAACCTTCTTTCCTATCCCATCCCCTATTGGAGCGAAGAAAACAAAAATGGAGCATCCGATTGACAGATATTTTGATGACAGTGCTCCGGTACCGCCCCCTGTGACAACTGTCGAACCTTTAATCGGCAATGCGTTTTCGACGAGACGTTGGATCAACGTCGCCGCGTGGCGGCCAAACGCACGGCGGACGAGCTGAGCTATCATCGTGACATGCTAAATGACATGCTGAAGGTGATGAAGGCGGAGAACCAGTCCTATGCGTTCCGACTGCTGGAGATTGTCCGGAACGATGCCTCCACGGAAGAGATACGCGCTTTCATTGATGAGACGCTCGCTCATTTCGTGGATGCGGACAAGGAATCCCCTCTCACTGTCCAGAAAATGAAAGAGATCCGACGGGTTATTGACCTTGAAGGAGCTGGACCGTCATTTCGCCCACAGGTCATGGATATCCATTACCTGTGTGGTGAAGTGCCAATCAGGGTCCCTGCGAAGCCGTGGACAACTGTCACCGAGGACCCAGACCTTGTATCCCATCTGGTGTCCTTGTACTTTACGTGGGACTACCCTTTGCATGCCTTTTTGGATCGGGACGTGTTCTTGACCCATATGATCTCGGGCAACACCGGCTCTCAGTTCTGCAGTCCCTTCCTTGTCAATGCTCTGCTCGCCAATGCTTGTGTGAGTCGTGATTCTCCCCTATCGAGATCCTTTCCGAGCCTAATGGATTTGGGATTAGTATTTCTCGGACTACACCGAAGCATACGTCGACCCAGGCGACATTGTGACCAAAGGCGCCGATTTCCTCGCCGCAGCTGAACGTTTGAGGGACGAGGAACCAGTCAAGCTTAGTCTTGCGTACCTACAGGGGACCCTCTTGCTATTTGAAAGGTTTGTCACTGCGCTGAAACGCGATCTTCGGTTCTTCTCATCCTCATTCGACTCCCATATTCAGGTATTCCCTCTCCGGAGATAACGATCTGGGGTACAAGATGCTTCACCTCGCCATATGGACCGGCGAATCGCTTGGACTTATTGGCCCGAAGATATTTCGAATGGAACCTGGTCACATACCTGAAGACATGGATATCTCGGTCCGACGAACGGCTTGGGGTCTCTTCCATATCGATACGTACGGGCTTCCTCCCCTCCAAGAGGAGTAAACTAATGTTATAAATAGAGTCATCCATGCCTCATTCCTGAGACCAAGTTTGATCGACAAGGTCAATGTGGAGCGACCCAATACAGAGGAGGATTCAGCTATGTGGTATCCATACCCCTCCCGTCGATCCGCCCGGCCGGCTTACCTTGGTCAATACTTTGACGAGTCGTGCGACCTATGTGAAATCGCGCGAGACATATCCCGACGTCTTTTCGCGGTGAGCGGGACCTCATCCTCGGCGGAGCACCAACGTCGAATCAAGGAGATCATGTACGAGCGGCTCTGTCGTTGGCATGACGCACTGCCGGCGGTCTTCGACCCCGAGTGTAGGCCCCCGCCGTATATCATTCTTCTCAGGTAGGCTCTTGATTGTATCCTGGTTTTGTGCAGTCGGATCGGGGCCGTGGAGCGGTCCAGAAAATCTCATTGTCCCAAACTAACCATCAACGCTACAAGGATGCGATATTACACATTGATCATTACTATGTTCACCTTTACGCCAAAAGAGGATTTATCGCGATTGGAATCGGAGGCTCCTCAGACGCCCGAAAGTCCGCCGGGCCTCAATCCGTTTCCTAAGTATAATGCCGACGAGATTGTTCTGTCTGCAGCACGGAATATCTCTGCTCTCGCCCTTCCACATCGCTGGGAATACGGGATGACTCGTGCGCATCAGTTTGCACTGTATGCCATCAATCTGGCTTTGTTCATCATGCTTAGGCACGGCACGTTCGATGTTCTGGACCCGGACTTTCTCATGCTGGCAAGCTCCTTCCACAGTATAGCCAGCCGCTCTCGCGTGGGAAGGAATCTATTCCACATCTTCCTACAGAACACCCGCTCCCGAGGCCAAGGCCAGCGACTCCACGAGTCAACCGGCGTGACGGAAGCGCTGAAGGCGTTGTTCGATGCGGCGGGCAGCTCCCACTTCAACCCCCTGGAAGACTACACCAAGGGACTGGAGAAACTGGATACGGACGAGCGCTACCGTGGAACCCCCGGGGAGGAGCTCGACAGCATCTCCAGCATGCTTGACCGATATGAAAGTCTAAGTCTAGGAAAGGATGAAATCGCACCCGAGAGACCGCATCAAGGCGATTCGTAAAAGGAAGACTTGGTTTGATCCTGTGATCTATTTTAATTTTTGACTGTACATTTCCTTTACACGACCGCGCCAAGGCGCGAAATTGAATGCGAATCCCTTCTTTGCAATATCACATGAAAAAAGAGGGACGGCGAAACCGTAACGTGACCTTTCGGTGGAAGGGTGAAAACCTGTATGAACAACCGTTGATGGATGGTGTTGACCAATCTGCGATCGATCGATATGGTGGTACCGTGGTCCGAGCACGCGAGGCTTTTGCATACTATTTCGGATGACATCACAGACGGGATCTCAGCTCATCCTCTCCGGACCTCCTCCTTCCCTTCCCTTTTCCCTTCCCTTCCCTTCGTCATTCATCGGCACGACTTCAAGTTGTCGAAACACATACTCTTTTTGCTCGTCAATAAGTATCAAGGAAGAGAATCCTTCTGCCTGTCCCCTTTCCCTCGATAAACGATGCCATGGATGGCTCGACTGGGTATTATCCGTACGAGGACAGCTCGAATACCGACTCCGTCGCTCCTCAAATAGATCCCACCGATTTTTCTGGGATCCCCCCGGGCCACGACTGGACTTGGGGGCACGGAACACCTGCCTCCCTACATTCGATGGGGTTCAACCCCTACACTCCCCCCCCATCCTGTTCACTACCACAAAAGACCGCCGTTCCCACCCAACCGGTCATCGACATCGTCGTCCTCGCGAGATATGCCTGGCACGGCGCCTAAGGTGGCCATCCCACGGTCGCGAAGTCTCAGCAGCCAGTCTGAACGACGCCGGTCGGCGAGGGCCTGCGAACCCTGCCGTCAGCGGAAAATCAAGTGCGATGGGAACAAGCCGTCCTGCAGGCAGTGCGTGGAGCATGACGTCAGGTGTACCTACATGGATGTCAAGCGGGTGCGGGACCAGAAACTGCTGGGAGCTCTGGCGAAGAAAGTAGATCGCTATGAGAAATTATTGGAAGATCTCGAGGGACAGGTCGACGCTCCGATGGCCAGGCGGATCCGGAAGGCCTTAAAGGCATGTCACCACAATGCTACATGTGATTCTATTACCTTTCGTCCGACTAACAGGTGTAGGCATCGAACGAACCTCTTCCCACGACCGACGAATACCCCGACTCAGACGACGACTCCGAATCGATCGGATCCCTGGACAATATTGACTTGGTGGAAGAGGACCTCAATCGGAATGAGAGGACGGTGGCGATGGGGTTCTTCGGAAAGAACTCCGAGGTCTCGTGGATGCAAAGACTGGTGGACGAGGCTTCCAATCTCAGCATCCAGTCTTCCGAGCACGTCGAGCAGCAAGACCAAGTTACTTCCGGCCAGTCGGCCGTGCACAAGCCAGGCTATTCGATCTCGATGCTGAGCTACCATCTCGACGATCTCAGCATCCCGATCCTGGAATCGGTGGACCCGTACGCGCTGCCGCCCAAGGAGCTGGCCGACCGGTTCTTCGGCGCCTACTTGGAATCTGTCTATCCCACTTTTATGGTGATTCGGCGCAAGACATTCGCGGACCAGTATGAGAAATTCTACCGGGAGCCGTCGCACCCGCCACGGACGTGGCTCGCCATCCTGAATCTGATCTTCGCCATTGGAAGTCGTTATCTCCGTCTGATCAACAGTTCAGATGCCGGGGACATGGATGATCTGGTGTACCTGAATCGGGCTCGAAAGCTGGCCTTGAGTGGAAACGTGCTTTTTGAGCATGCCGACCTCCAGCAAATCCAAGTGGAAGCTCTGGCCGCTTTCTACCTCCTGTCTCTGGACCAGGTGAACCGGTCTTTCCGGCTGTCCAGCTTGGCGTTCCGATCGGCCTTGTCGCTTGGGATCAACCTTCGCTTTGTGGATGACCGGACGCAGAATGCCGCGAAGGAAGCCCGGAGCCGTCTTTGGTGGGCCATCTACATCTTTGAGTACCTCCTCGCCTCGATCACGGGCCGGGTCTCCTGCGTCGGGGAGTGCCTCACTGCAACCCCGCTGCCCGTTCCGTTCGAGGAGGATAATTTCCACCGTCCGGAGGCGCTCTGCCTCCTCCAGGACACGCCGCTGCGGGCGAGTCGTCTGAAGATGACGCTCTTACAGAGCCGGGAGGAAGCTCAAGCTAGTGCCGAGTGGCTGGCCATCTGCCCTCCTAGCCCGTCGCTGCTTTTCCATTGTATCGCGGACCTCATCGCCATTACGCAGGCCATCATCAACAAGGTCTACAGTCTCCAGGGACTGCGGGATCGACCCAGCCAGGTTGAACAGCGCATCCGGAAGTACGCCGCCATATTGGAGGCCTGGCTGTCCAAGGTCCCTGAGGTCTACCGATTCACCGAGCGGCACAGCGAGCGGCTCTTCATGCCCGAGAACAGTCCGTTCCTGCGGGAGCGCGTCTATCTTGCGTTTTCGTTCTACAGCGCCAAAATCAGTCTTTGCCGACCCTGCCTCTCGCACGCCAACATGAAGGCCGACCTCGCCGACCGGCCGACCCACCGCACCCGCTTCCGCACCGACATGGCCCTCACCTGCCTGCGAGCCTCCTGTTCCCTGATCTCCATCCTCCCCGATGACCCCGACATCATCTGGCTTGCCCGGATCACGCCGTGGTGGAGCGCCCTCCACTTCATCATGCAGGCAACCACCGCGCTTCTGCTTGGTCTGATGTGTTGGCCGAGAGTCGAAAAGGACGACCGAATTCTCACGGCGTCGCAGACGATCAGTAAAGCAATGATGCTCACATCCACTCGAAAGGCCTTCCGATGGCTATATACGATGAGCGAGAAGAACGTGGCCTTTCGACGGGCCTTTCTGAATGTCGATAATGCCCTCCGTCAAATCGCTCCGATTTTGGAACTGGACATCAGCGACTTTCCCGATGGAAGTACCCTGTCCCCAGCGAGTGACAACATACTTGGTGGCGAGAAGATCGGACTTGATTTCTTGGATATTTGATTTACTGTACTTTGGTGCGGTTCTCGGTTCTTGAAATTGGTGTTCAATGCAAGCTAAGTATTACGCGATGACGTTTAAACAAAAAACCGGAGTTTTGGCCAGTAAGAATTGATTGATTATCTTGGTTTAGTATTTCGAGCGTGCGATTCACCTTTCTTTGTCGTTCTATCTCGTCCCCTAGATATGGCTGTCTACGAAACCCCGCCGAACAAACTGTCATCTGACTTCTGTATCTATCTACATGTGTCTGGCGCCTTGTTTCTTGTTTCTGTCTCTTGCCTCTTGTTGCTTGTTTGTGATTCTGTCATTCCCTACCAGATTGAGAGGGTCCAAGAACCCCATCTCATCTCATCTCAGCACTTCTATTTAATGTGTATTGGTGTTGTTACAATAGTGGACTGAGGAGGAAGAGTTTTAATATATGGGTGTTGATCTATGCATTATGTAGATGAATGCAATCAAGCTTACTTCTTCTGATAAACATATACAAAAAACCGAGAAGACTATATCGTGGTAGATCTCGTCTATCATGTCTGAGTGCAGACTGGTTACTAAATGAATGAATGAATCGGATGATGAAGTAATATATAGACTATGATACTCTAATATCACCCCCTGACAACAAAAAATCAAGAATTAAAAGAAAAGATAAGGACAATAGAACCCTAAACACGACACACATCGAATAAGGACGGTATACTAGATATTGAAAAAAAAGATAATATAGTTACCACTACCACTAAAACTAAACCTAAACCTAAACCTAAGACTAAAAAGATTACAAAACCACCGCTAAATAGTTACCATAAAATAGAATAAAAGAAGGTAAAGTAAATCAATTAAATAAACAGGCTAAACACTCGATCGATACATACACTCGAAAACAAACAAAAACAAAAACAAAATGAAAAAAAAAAGAAAACCCCGATGTTGGCTAGCTATAACTAAGTTTCGTATCATTCAGTTCAGTGGAAACAATCAATCGATCGATCAATCAATCAGATGAAACAAATCAAATCAAATCAATCAAACCATACCATACCATACCATACCATAAATAACATAGCATAGCATACTGGACAAGACAGGACAGGACAAGACAAGATGACAGGACAAAATACCGACGATCAACGAATAAACAAGGTAAAGACAAGACAAGACAGGTCGTAACATGTACCTTCAACTTAAGATGAACAGATTAAGGGAACAAAAAGTCCTCGGACAGATTAGGTCATTTGCAAACGAAAGAGATATCGATAGTAGAGCCGGAAGGATGAAGACATGTAGGAAAGGAAAATGGATGATGGGTGAGAACAGAAGAGGGGACATGGACATCGACAAGGCAGAGGAAGAGTCGAAAATGCAAATGCAACATGCAAGTGAAAATGCAACGCAACTACATATGCTGAGGCATCATGTACGCCCGTTTCCGCGGGTCGTCGTCGACCGAGGACGGGCCGCGCTTCTGGCCCGGGTTCAGGCCCAGCGGGTCGACGCCGTGGGGATGGGGCAGGGCGTGCGCGTGCGCCTGGGGGTGGTGAAGAGGCGGTTGGGCGTGGCGCGGAGGTTGAGGATGGACCTGCATCTGGGGCTGGGATTGCGGCGGCATGGGGATCTGATGGGGTTGGGGTTGTTGGAGGTGGCCGTGGGCGTGGTGGGCGTGAGGGTGCTGCATGTGCATCTGGGGCTGGGCTTGAGGCTGGACGCGCGCCGCCGCCGCCGCCTGCATCTGGGTCTGCGGCATTTGGTGCTGGAGGTGGGACTGGGAGAGTTGGCTCTGCGGCAGCTGGTTGTGGGCGTGGGCCAGTTGGTTGTGGTGATGCACTTGGCCGTGAGACACCGCGCTGGGCGGGTGTGCCTGAGGCTGAGGCTGCACGGGAGTCGGTGCCTGGGGTTGAGCTTGAGGCTGAGGCTGGGGTGTCTGCTGCTGCTGCTGCTGCTGCTGAGGTTGTTGCGGCTGAGCGGGCTGTTGCTGTTGCGGCTGTTGCTGTTGTGTCTTTGGCTTTTTCGGCTGGTGTGGCGGCAACTGCAGCGGTGGAGGCGGCGGCAGACCCTGAGCCTTTGCCTGCGCCTCGGCTTCAGCATGAGCGGCACGAGCAGCGATATCCGCCTTGCGAGGACGACCACGAGGTCGCCCCGTCCCGGTCGGCTTGGATGACGGCTTCCGCGGAGCCTTCGGCTTGGGAGGAGCGTTGGGATCCATCTCGGACTTGCGAGGTCGTCCGCGGCGTCGCTTCATCGGGACCACGCTGCCGTCGGGGTTGGTGATCATGGGTGGCGGAGGCTTGGGTGCAGACGAGGTGGCAGAGCCTGGTGCATGAGGATCACCACCGGGCGCTCCAGCAAGGGCGCCAGGAGCGCCGGGGGGCATCGACCCTGGCAAGGTGGGCACTGCAGATTCGGGGAGGCCGGGCACGGCGTTGTTGGCAGCGTTGGCAGCGTTGGCGGCGGCGGATTGCTTCGGCTTCCGGGGTTTGGCCGGCTTGGTGTTCTCTTCGCCAGGAACCCCGGATTTGCGTGGTCGCCCACGCTTCTTGCTGGGAGTCCCCGTCGCAGAAGAATTCTCGCCGGGTGCCCCGGCGGGTTGTTGCTGTTGTTCGACCGGCTGGCCCTCGGGGAGGTACATAGGTTGTTGATGCACTTGCCCGTTGATCTGGATGGGATTCGCCGCGGGCGATGCGGTGGGTTTGACAGGCTGTTTCGGTCGCTTCTTGGCCGCAGGAGCCGCCGGACCGGCAGGAGCAGGGGCAGCGATATTGGGGTTTGACGTCGCAGCGGTGGTGTCATTGTTGTTGTCGGCCGATATGAGGTCGATTGGGCCCACCGTTGACGGCGTGGACGACTGCGGCCGATGGGGCTGTTGCTGAGCCAATATCGAGTGTGGCGGCTGATGTGACTGCTGGTGGAATTGCGTCTGTGGTTGTTGATATTGCCGCGCTTGGAACGTGTGCTGCTGGAACTGATGCTGTTGATGCGCCGGCTGTTGCGGCTGCTGAGGCTGCGATTGGTACGGGGACCGTTGCGCTTGCTGCTGCTGATAGCGGGGATGCTGTTGTTGCTGGAACGAATGCTGCTGCGCCTGCGATTGTTGTGCTTGCTGAGCTTGTTGGGCTTGCTGCTGCTGTGCTTGCTGAGCTTGTTGCTGTTGCTGGGCCTGTTGCTGCTGCTGAGCCTGTTGCTGCTGCTGGGCCTGCTGCTGTTGCTGTTGAGCCTGTTGTTGCTGCTGCTGCTGGGCCTGCTGCTGCTGCTGAGCCTGTGCATGCGCTTGCTGCTGCTGCTGATAGGTTTGCTGCACTTGCTGGTACGGGGACTGCTGCGCCTGCTGATACGGAGACGCGTGGGCCTGTGCCTGTTGGTAGGGAGATTGCTGCGCCTGCTGGTATTGGGCATGCTGGTATTGATGATGCGATTGCGCCTGCTGATACTGCGGCTGCTGTTGGTGGTACTGCTGCTGCGGTTGCTGCTGCTGAGGCTGACTAGCGGCCATCATGGGCGACGCGCCCGCCGAGGTGGAGGCCGACGGATGCGAATGCGTCGACTGGCGGTGCTGCAGGTGCTGTTGTTGCATGCGCTCCAGAGACTGCTGCGGCGACGAGATGGTCATGGCATGCGCGTGTGGCGACAAACCCGCCTGGGCGCCCATGGCAGCGGGGTGCGGGCGGAAATTGGCGGCCATGGGGTTCATGTTCCTCTGCAGGCTTTGCAGCGATAGATAGGGATCCTTCAGCTGGCCGACAGTTTCGGTATTCCGCTGCAGCAGGTCCGCCGAGCCTTGCGGCTGATAATGACTCGGGAAGGGACTGAAATTGCCACCCGGCGGTAGACCGACTAACGGGGCCGACGAGGGCGTCAGCTTGCGAATGTCGGGAGAATTAGCAGCCGTCAGGTCCGTCGTCTGCGATTGACCGCGCAGCAGGGAACTGTTGTTGGCGATACCGCTGCCATGGTGGGGATGAGCAGCGCCCATGGACGGCGATTGCAGCTGGTGCTGTTGATGCTGCGGATGAGAAGACTGTTGCGATTGCCGCTGCTGGGCAAAAGGATGCCCCCCATATCCCATCATCTTGAACGACAGGCGTAGTCAGTGGTGGTGGAGTGTACGGAGTAAATAGTATGTATAAGATCCACTTGTATATTGACAGGATGGAAAAAAAAAAAAAAAAAAAAAAAAAAGGATGTCAGGTGCCAGACATGTGACCGCGTCCACAAACACGGTTCCCGTTCACCGGCAGCGGCGGCCAGTCGGTGTTTGCCTCTCAGTCGGGCAGGAGAGAGCTGTGGAGGGGATCGAAAATAGAATCCGGGGAAGAAGACAGCGTCGACCAGCAGAGACAACCCCTGGATCAATTGACGGCGACTCAAGCCCCAAGCGAAGAACGACCAACGCGCAGTTCAGCGCGCGTATCTGTTCGGCGGAGAAGAAGAGAAAAGGCGTCGGATTGGCCTGAGGCGCGCACCAACTACGGGGGGCGACTCACACCCGCGGCGCAGTTCGTCGAGACCCCCAAAATAATAAAATAAAAAAGGGAATCAATGCAAGGTGTCCGGATTCAAGAGGCAGACAGAAGAGGGAAACCCCTCGAGAGACACCGAAACTCCCTGGAAACCGAATCTCCAGAGGGTCTTTCGATGAGAACGAGACCCGGACTGGCCAAGAGGATGACGGTTTGCGATCTTTTCGATGGGCAACTTTTTTTTTTTACCCTTTTTTGATTTTTGATTTTTTGGAATTTGGGGAATTCTTTTTTTTTTTTTGTCCCCGGCGGAGGCGACCCCTCACGTGACGGAAGGCCAGGTTGCCACTCGCCGCGTTGAGGCCGTCAGGCACAAATACGAGTCGCGGCAAGAGGCGACGAGGACGGCGATGCCTGACGGTCGCTGCTTCATCTTCATGTCCAGAGAAGTCGAGGGAGTGTTGGTCGATCTATGAAGGGATTCTATGATTTACGATGCTACTACCGATGAACCATCTACCCCATGCCGGGGGGATAATAAAAATAATAAAAAATAATAATAAAAAAAAAGAAAAAGAAAAATAAAAAGAAAAATGAATATTCGAAAATAAAATAAAATAAATAATAATAATAATAATTAAAATAAAAGAATTTCCAGAATCCATAATTAAAATAAATCGAATAAAATAAATCAACCAAGCAACCCCATCTTATCGACCTGGTTCCCTCCACCCCTCGACTCCATCGGCCATAATCGTTAAGGTTCCCTCGTGAGTCCGTTCGACGGTCGGTGATGCTGCGACGAGAGAGCTGGTGGTGTGGATGCTTGTTCCTCCATACCACAATAAAATAAAAATAAATTAAATTAAATTCAATCCAAATGAAATCGGGGGAGAAAAATAAAATAAAGTAAAATACAGGATAAAGAAAGCAAACCCTCCTGTCAAATACCAGCGCCGATTCCTCATGTAACCCCCAGAACTCAATATTATCGTCGTCGCATTCAATTGCACCTCTACCTGGATGATGCTACACACAAACTCCCGCCCGTCGATGTTTATTACTTACACCCCGAACAACGACCCAGAAATTAAAATAAATAAAATAAAAATACAAAATCAAAAAAGAAAATCCGAATTAATATATGGTACAAAGTCAATTTCCCCAGTCTTCACGCCTTACAGCGCTCGCCCTCCTCTCTGTCCAGCGGCAGACACGGAGCGAAAAACAAGCGACCGGACCAGACTCCTTTTAACGTGAATAATCCCACTACGACCCACAGAACGAGCACACACAGCGAAAGAACCTGCCACGGACGTTAGACAAGAGCCGATCACAAGATGACGCCACATATTCTTGATGATTTATGTCTCTCGAACACTCGCTTTAGAGGGAAGATGACGTACCGTGCCCAAGATCCGAAAGAAACTCGACGGCAGCGCCGCTCCCATCTCACAGGTACAGACCGCAAACACCCCCAGAGGGAAGGTGAACCCCCACCAGCCGATGTTGAAGGGGAAACTCTTGCATCGAGCAATCGAGGCGAGCGCGAAAAACAGCCACACCAGGCCGAACGACCAAATGATCAGCGCGACCAGGAACCCGACGCTATGCAACGTCTCCCCGGACGAGGCTTCCAGGGTCCCGGTTTGCGGGAAGATCTTGTGTGCGACTTCTCCGAGTTTAAGTGCCCTGTCGTCGTGGTTCGTGTGAGTACGGTCGGTGGTCGAGGATAGATGGAAGACTACGTACCCGTATCCTCCTTGTCCCAGTGGGCCGAGCGGCAGGAAGACGCTCACGATCACCCCCTTGGGAGGGATCTTGTGCAGCGTCAGTCGCTGCAGATAGATCACCAATACCATCATCGCCAACGGCACCCCGATGCCCCAGAGCATGTACGAACAGACGATGGTCCAGAGCGCGTGTTGCGGATTCGGCAGCACGCCCGCCACGATGCCGCCGGACGACCCGGCCACGATGCAGGTGACGATGGGGAGCAGCCAGACGGCGGTCATGGAGGACAGTTGCATGTCGCTGCCATGAGCCATGCTGCGAGCGTTAGATGGTCTCGTGTGTTTTCAACCGGGGAAACCTACAGAAGAAAAGGTAAAGAGAGGGCAATCACAACGGACAAAACGGCGTCGAATATCCACAGCCCCCAGGCAAAGTTCCGAGCCCATTCTCCCCAGGCGGGAACGCAGACGTAGCAGAACATGTTGATGATGGTGGCGAAGCCCATCGGAATCGTTCCCAGGAACATGGACTGCACGGGATGGGTGATCATGAGCATGAAGATCTCCGGGTACAGCGTATACCGCAGGAGGGAGATGACGGTGCCAATGGCGAAGAGGACGACGTTGAGAACGAACAACACGATGGAGATATACTGCAGCCAGGCGCCATTGTAGGGGAGCGTGTTGAGCAGGATCGACACGATTCCCGTCCCCATTGTGACGGAGAACCACCTGGTATACATCGTTAGCCGTGGAAGGCTCTGCCGTTCCAGTGTAACCTACGAGGGCGTGAAATGGCGAACGACTCGTCTCCAACCCACGTCATGCTTGCTGGGCGCAGGTGCATCGGATGGTTGGTCCGGGTGAAACATGGCGAGCGATCGTCGGTTACTGCTGTTCCTGATTATTCAAGATTGCAAGAGAAAGATATGGAGTAAGCTGTGCGACGTTGGCGTAGTGGTTTTTCTAGAAGCTTGAAGTTGGCGCCTGCTTCCTTTTTCGGACGATGGAGGTTGGCAGTTTCGCAAACTGATCACGTTCCCTCTATAGCATTATCCCGAGACCACATTAAGAACCGTCTTTTCACAGGCAGATCTATATTATAATTTTTATTTCTTGCCATCCGTGAGTCACCGGGCGTTGGTTGAGGTCGCCGACTCAACTCGGCCGAGATGAGCGGATTCGGATCCTGTCAGCTCCAATTGTTCTAATATTGAGACAACTAGCTGGTTCAGGAGGATATCGGCGATTGAAGCTGATTCAAATGAGATTCTGAGATTTGATTCTGGTCAAAGCCAACTCAATCTTGCCGGATGTGCGAACAAAGAACTGGCATGTCTTGTTTCCATGTCTTGATTCCACATGTAGTTTCCTAAATACATCACCTATTGGGAAATGCTTTGGGTTTTAGCGTAACTCAATCTTTACTCACCTACTTAGAGTAACTCGATGCATTGGACATAATGCTAGACGCAGATACATTTCTACGGATTACATCATAGGGTTACAGCGAAGAGAGGGGAGCCATGGGGCAGATTGGAAAATGCAGGGAGAAATCGATGAACCAAAGAAAAATATGTCGGCATTCGGCGATTGAAGTGGGGCCTTCAGAAAGTATTTATTCAGGACGCCGAAGTATGTCTGCATCAGGAAGACCTAAAAAAGTTCTATGTGGATGGAGAGGCGTTAATCACTCTTTGTTTTGTTCGCTATTTTAAGCAAGGTCATTTTGCTTTTATTATTTCTTGCAATTAAACTATAATTTAGTTTATTGAATCTCGATGACACTCATCGCAAACCACCAGGACATCAAACGACTACCGAATAAACAAGATTCCACAAAACAACTGTATCTACGGACGTCGAGTCCGATTAGAAAAAATGACAGTGAAAGAAAAATAGCTGCATGGGAAGAATTATGCCGAAGATGAACCACGTGATGTCCCCCGCCTTTCGATGCATCACAACGAGAACCACAACACTCAACCCAGGCCTCACTCAATTGACCGTCCCCAACATGACCACCACCATCTCCCCAGAGGACGTAAACCGTCTATCCTCGTTCCTCGCGCACGAACAGATCCAGATCCCCACAACGACACCCACCCCGCCAGCAGCCGACTGCATCGTGATCTGCGTATCCGCGATTCTCGACGCCGCGGAGACGGTCTTCACGCACCTCGAACAATGCCCGACGCTGACGAAGACGCTCGTCCTGTGCGGCGGGATCGGCCACTCGACGCCGTTCCTGTACGATGCCGTCGCGCGTCACCCGCGCTTCGTCCATCTGGCGGCCGATATCCAAGGATTGCCAGAGGCCCGCGTGCTGCATTGCCTCTTCACGCGGTGCTTTGATGCCGAGCGGATCCAGAGCGCCGGGTGTCGGGTTCTGGTCGAAGACGGGTCGACGAATTGTGGTGCGAATGCGATCTTCACGAAGGAGTTGCTGCGTCGGAGTGGCGTCGAGGTTGGGTCTGTGCTTGTGGTGCAGGATCCCACCATGGCACGCAGGACGGTCGCGTCGTTTGAGAAGGTCTTTGCTTCGACGGGGACAGAGTCTCCGAGGTTCGCGAGTTGGCCGGTCTTTGTCCCCAGAGTGGCTCTGCAGGCAGGGGAGTTGGTGTATAATGTCCCTGGGATTCCGGCGGATCGGTTGTGGAGTCTGCCGAGGTTCTTGGGGCTGATAGTGGGTGAGATTCCTCGGCTGAGGGATGATGCGGAGGGATATGGGCCGAAGGGGAAGGGGTTTATTGCGCATGTGGATATACCGGAGGAGGTGGAGGCGGCGTGGGAGAGGGTGAAGGGGTTGGATATGGCAAGGAGATAACGGCGATGAAAGACCGACTGTATATACTATTCCTACGTCCGCAACTACATAAATATCTAGGGACTGGCTGCCCTTTCGACAGGATTGCCTACTTATACCCGGGTCGGCATCATTTCTGAGAAACTCCCCTCGCCAAAGTCCGTCAGAAGAAAGTCGTCTACGGCGGTGACCAACGACTCGGCTTGGAAACTGAACGGCTGCTGCGGCATTCCAACTACTCGAGGGTCATAATCCAGAGAGACCGAGGGGTCCTGCGAACTGTTCTGGAGCGGATACAGACTGGCAATGCAATCGGACAGTTTGCGATGCAAACCCGGAGTCATGCGGGAGATGGGATGCTGCGCCAGACCGGGCGTGGTCTGGAACAAGGCCAGCACGCGGCGAATCAGCGAGAAGATGCGGTCCGGGAGGATCGAAAGCTGCAGCGCGTAGGTCTTGGTGACCTCGAGAAGGAAATGGCCAGCAAAGGCGATCATGATGTGGAAGTAATGCGGCATGCCGACCAAGTTCTGCTGCAACTGCTGCTCCTCCTGCAGGAGCATCTCGAAGATTGCCACGGCGGCATCGTGGGCCATGCAGGCGGCGACCACAAAGGACGCGGGGATCGGCTGCCCGTCGAGGCCCTTGAATACTTGATGGCCGAGGTAGAGCTTTCCGAACTGGTAGTGCAGCTGGAGTCCACGGCGTGGGAACTCGCCGATGTGCGGATCGGGTTTGAAGAGCACCGAGAACTTGGTGAACCATTTGTCCAGCTGTCGGGAGTAGTGCATGATTTGATTCGCAAGGGCTTGCGGCACTTGGGCCTCCTGCTCGGAGCCGAGGAGATCCCTGATCTGCCCCATGATCAACAAAAGGGCCACCTGCGAGACCAAACGCACGTCGGAGTCGGTGGCTTGATCATGGTTGAGGAAGGTTTCCCAATGCATGGCGATGTCCTTGTCGCTGCGCAGCAGCGGGTCGCGATTATGCAGCACAGACAAGTGGTGATCAGATATGAAGATCAGGTACCACAATCGCACGCGGTCTCTCTGTACCATGATCGCAGGACTATGACCGGGGAGTGACCCGTTACTGGCAGTAGACACATTTTCAAAGCTGCGATGAAGCCGCATATCAGCCGCTCGACGGACGGCGTCGCTGGAGAGAATCCGCGATGCGTCGGACAGCCAGAAGGAGCTGATGCAGAGAGCACGCACGTACTCTGGATCATGCTTCTCAAACAGGGACCGAGAGACCAAACGGCGGAATTCCCGATTGCAGGCGTCATAGAGCGACTGGCCTTGGGGATCATGAAGCGCGGCAACGGTGCAAATGGCTGCCAGGAGAGGGGGAGATTTGGTCTGTAATTGCTGCAGACTGCGATATTCACTGCAGATGCCGTACAGATACGGATCGAGTCGCGTGAGGTACTGGTTTACGAGGCTTTCGGCCACGGTCACAGTGAGAACTCTCCTGCTGACGAAATCATCGGCAATGGTCTGCTTCGTGCGAGCGCTTTGCAGGCTATGACTAGACGAGCCCGGGCTTCCTAATTTGGCGATGTCGAGGAATGTGTCGATAGGGGCATGGACGGCCGATGGCGTAGCAGGGGGAGAGATTTCACAGCCTGAGAGATTCAGATGATCTCGCTCGTGGTCGCTGGCTGCATATTCAGCGTGGTCCACGTTGGTGTCCAATGAAACTAAAGGCTTTGGCAATGGCAGATTGATATGTTGACAGACGGCATTGAGGGTGGCATGAAGATTCTGAACATCAGCCTGGAGAAACTCCGTATTTCGAAGTCATCCAGGAATAACTGTCAGTTCTACTCTCACAGACGTCGGATATTAAACTGACTTGACCTCTTCGACTAAGGACTGCAGGCTCTTATTCAAGACGCAAGAGAGAGATCGACGACGGCAACGAACACACGGAGGCCCATGAGTCATGTCACATTTGATCTGACAATTTGTCAATCAGGGCGCAGCAGAGCCAACCATCTTGACGCACCTTTTGCTTTCGACACGCCGTGCAGGCCGTGATCTTGCGCGTAATTCCGGGCAAGACATCGACCATTGCCGAAGCCTCTTCGTGACCGGCAGCAGCATGAGATCGTGCATCCCTCGCATCTCCACCGAGAGACTGTTCTGGCGGCAAGATGTCCGGTCTGATGTCGTCGGGGCAAGACCGCTTTCGTTTGGTCATGGCAGCAATATCTTCAGTGCGGGTCTGTATAGCGCAATGCAAGAAGACAGACGGAGGGACATCGGCGAGCTTCCCGCGTCGGATTAAATAAAGAAAAGAGGGGACAATCCTCTTGGCCGGCCGTCTCTGATCGACAGTCAGGGATTCGCCATTGCCGTCAAGGATCCAATGGGGCCATCGCGTTGTCCATCAACCAAGCTATTTAGGGCTACGGGCAGCTTCCCCGCATCTCGACCGGTGGAGATCGGTCAATTGCCGAGTGCTGCATGGTCATTGGAACGAAGATACGAAGGAATTATCATTCATAAGTGAGTGTACGCGCTTGAACGGAGAACCGAACTACAAACGACATCACCATGACCGTCCCCCCGAAGCAAAAGAGCCCCCCTCCCGGGATCTACTGCCCAGTGATCTCGTTATATACCTCGACTGACCGCCAAGATATCGACCTGGAGGCATCGTCGAAATTCTTCAGCTACCTGATCAGCAGTGGCATCGACGGACTAGTGCTGGCCGGGACCACCGCCGAAGCAGCCCTTTTGTCCGCCGACGAACGAAAGGACTTAGTCCAGACCGCACGAAAAGCAGCCGTCGATCTAGGACGGCCAGACCTCCCCATCATGGCGGGAATCAGCGGCCAGTCGACCAACGAGTCAATCCGCCTCGCGCAGTCAGCCTGGGACGCAGGGGCGGACTACGGCCTGCTCCTGCCCCCGAACTACTGGCCCAAAGCCGTATCCCGAGACATCATCCTAGACTTCTACCGCGCAGTCGCAGACGCGACTCCTCTACCCATCGTAATCTACAGCGTACGTCCCTTCAAACACAAACAAACCCACAAACCCAAAGCCAAACCTAACAACCCCAGTTCCCAGCCGTCACCAACAACATCGACCTAAACTCCGACCTCCTCTCCTCCCTCGCCGAACACCCCAACATCGTCGGCGTGAAACTCACCTGCGGCAACGCCGGCAAGGTCACCCGCCTGACGAACAAATACACCCACGACCAATTCGCCGTCTACGCCGGGTCCTCGGACTGGCTGATCCCGTGCCTCAGCGGTGGGGGCAGCGGCTGCGTGACCGGCATCGCGAACGTGTTTCCGCGGACAGTGGCGCATCTGTATGATCTATGGAAGAAGGGGGAGGTGCAAGAGGCGCGTCAGCTGCAGGGCGTTGTGGCGGAGGCCGAGAAGGCGTGTAAAGAGGGGATTGCACCGACGAAGTACGCGGCGGCGTATTTTGTGGGTGATGCGGTTGGGATTCAGGAGAGGGCGTTCTGGCCGCGGAGGCCGTATCGGGCGGTTGGGGAGGTGGTGAGGAAGTGGGTGGTTGAGGTGATGGGGTTTTTGGAGGGGGTTGAGAGGTCTAGAGTTTGAGTAGGAGAGGATGTATAATTTTGAGTGTTCAAGTTGGTAGAGTGCTTGATATTATGTGGTCTAGTTCTTGGATAATGGGTTTGCTTCTATGGATCTGGTCATATCAACAGTCGTTGTATAAATCTTAATCCTCCCACCAAATAGCACGCGCACAAAAGTAGAGCCTGTCTTTCTCAACATGACCAGAAACCGAGTCTTTCGGGGGAGTAATGCCGCTAGATTACAACAGCTCAGCTGTTACTAAGACAGGAAGCCCATCACAATCTACGTGTTGATCCAACCCGCGTGAAGATTGTGTCTTAGCATTATCATAGACCATACCATCGTGTTTGAATCCGGGCTGCCAATGCCATTCGACATCAAGAGTGGGTTTATTGTCATTGTAACCGAGGGGGCAAAAGAAAAACGAAGTTCCCATCATTGCACATCTGATGAATATTTGCTGACAGGCAAGAATGATTCCATATTGAATCGACTTGGTCGCTTGGTTTCTCGGGGTCGGAAATATACTTTTTCTCCACCCATGAACCATGCATTCTGGGAGGCGATCTGCTTTCCTCAATTCGACAGGTATCTCTGCTTCTTGTAGCCTGAAAGTATGTGTGGTCGTGACGTGCTGATACTGTCGTTTTCACTCTGGTAGAGTATTGATGTATTCTCATAGTGAGAGCAATGTCGTGAAGTCCATTGGTGCTTGCGTTGTGAGAAGCGTTTTCTTGCATAAGAACACTTCTTTTGCGTTGGAACCGGCCTCCGCAAGGTAGCCAGCGCATGGAGAAAGTGTACTTCGCTTGTTAAGACTGAAGAACTGTTGACTTGCTATTGGATTTGTAGCCAAGAGCAGGTTGAGATTTGCTAGTTGCATGTATACTGGAATGCTGTAGTTTGATTACCGAGTGGGATCCTCAGGGGATGTAGGCGAGCGTCGACATCGCATGGTGCTGAAAGTTATCTGCAAGATGGTTTAATGAATGATTCCACGTCCGTTTCTTAGAATGGGTTCGTAATACTTGTGTCATTATATGTCAATTCGATTTCAAGATGACCTCTGTTCTTTGCTTTGTCGTTAGGATTAGGACCGGAGAAAGGTGACTTATCGAAGCACAGAGCGGTAGCCTTGACATTTGGAGGAATGTCCGGGGCTTATAATTTTCGGGGCAACAGGCAATCAGACAGAGGCGCAAGTATCGGAAAATGCGAGATCGAGGTTTGTGAGGCTCGCTCGTTTCCGTTTTCGACTGGTGGCGGATGCTAGAGTATTGTTAACTTCTGTTGTTTCCTTCGAATCGCTTGACGAACCGTTCGTTAATTGATGATGGGCTATTTCATCTCTTCTATCGGCCCTGTGCCTTGCTACCCTTGGCACATAGTGTGGATGGGTAGGCGGTGGGAGGCTTGCACCGTGGGTGTTTGCGCGATTCCATGTGAAATAAGCGGAGAAGATATCGGAATTTAGGACATGATCTCGCCAAGTAGAACGCTGCCCCTTGACGAGTCGCGGGACAAGGAGGTGGTCGTCTCGCGTGGTCGATGCGACGAAGAATGCGAGCCCGCCGTCATCCTGTTCCATGTATTTTGCTATCGCTGTGCTCTTGGGCTTCCTCCTGGCGACCCGGTTCAGGAGGTAAAGAGTCTGATTGAGATGGGCTATATCCCTCAGCGCCCCATAGCGAATAGAATGTGAACACATGGAAACTCAAATCCCTGATGTGAGAGCGAATGCTTCAACGACAGAAGACATCGGACACATCACCATCAAAATGTAAGATATGGCTCCATATGCGACGGTTGAATCCATTGTTCCTGGTGATAGCAGCATTTATGAGCCAGGGGCATCTATCGGCGAGATTCTGCCCGAAAAAGGCGTAATTAAACTGGGCCACAGCTATCCATCCTTCACCGCTGGGACTCAATGACAACCGCATTTCCTTTAGGGAACCACTCCGTTGTCGATGAAATCGTGCGGCCAGTATTTTCCTTTCTCACGGCATGTGTAGCTGTTGTCTGCATAGATTGAAGCCGCTAACAGACCACTCAGGTAAATGTACTCTGGGACCTCGCCGTTATAAAGACAATCCGCATACGGCATGGGTCATGTCTGCGCCTTGCCCACTTCAGGCAGATAGTGCCACCGATAAGTCAGTATATGATTTGGCAATCCTTTTTTCACCACACGCCAATGCCACGTAAAACCTATTGGGTAGGATTGAATATATCTTAGATGTTCTTTGCATTCGTTTGGGCAATTTCCAAGGCAATTGATGACGAAAGGCCTGTCCATACACACAGGCAGGAAATTGGCTGTGGGATTGCAGTGGCTTTAGGAACACGATATGTATATTGAGAATCTCTAAACTGCCACGTTTTCTTGCACTCACACGTGAAGTCAATTTGGTCGAACCGGACAGTCGAGCCGCAGACGGCGCGCGTGGCCGGTGCATCTGTCGTGATCGTCTAGCCTGATTCAGCCGCTGGCTTCTCTCGTTTTAGATGCAGCGACGCACAGCTCTGTTCACCATGAAAAGTGTTCCGAGCCGGAAGTCACTGGAGGCTCGTCGAATGAGAACCCTTGGCTGATATTCAGTGGACTGGAGCGCTCTGCTTTGGGAGTCATGAGCGACTATAACACAAAGCAGTCCCCAACAAGGACGATGACCATTGCCCTGTATGGTCGTGTATCTTAATCGTTGCGGTCAAGTTGACCACACGGGTTGGAGGCAGAGAGTAATTTCAGGTCGATATCGCGGTAGCTCCGGAGTCTTCGCTATACTTGACATGGCGTGAGATCTCCTCAACTCGGTATTGGGTTGCACTTTGTAAACGGATGGCGAGCACCCCATGCAGTATCCAAATTTAGGAAACGCAAATACCAGAGAAGGCTATGTAGAAAACATTGTCTCCGTCGTTCGGACACTGAGATATTGCACATCTACCTGGAGTGGTGCTGACGGAACACCGGTTAGGGCCAAAGAACGTTGGCCATTGGGACTCACTTTGAGACTACGTGATTCATAGACCGTTAGTAGTTGTATACATGTGATAGTTGGCTGGCAGTAGCTTGGAGTGGTACAGACAAGTAGACTTATCCTTTCCTCAAGACCTGTTGGACTTGCGGTTATTTTTGACCGAATCCCATTATTCATCTCTACATGATATTCTGCATGAATGTGAAGGAGTATATATTTGCTCGGGATGGATAGATGTAAAGAACTGTATTGTCTTGATTTTAGTTGATTCTTTGACATATAGAGGGATGAGAGGTGCAGAGAGAGATAGAGAGGGAGAGAGACGGAGGGAGAGGGAGACGGAGAGAGAGAGAGACGCAGAGAGATAGAGAGACGTGAATAAAACTGGGAATAGAAGTAGGGGTGAATGATAGAGGAAGGGGAGGCTAGTGAATTTGCCCACAGCTGGAGAGGGAATATTCCAGAGATGAGACAGAAGGGTGTCTGGAAGATAGGGTTGGAGGGCGTGCTTGGATACGGAGTTGGACGGCTCGTTGATGGCGATGTTCGCTTTCCTAACGACTAGTGTCGCAGCTCTGGAACGCAGGAATAGTAGTATCTCGGGTCTTTATGTTATAGCTAGAGCAAGTCCGTAGATCAACATCTCGGGCGTATACTCCGTACTGTCATTGCAGGGTCAGGTCGGCTATTCTGTAACACCCCTCGTCTCAACTGCCGGCTGATTGTCTAGAGCATGACACTGCCATGTTTGCCATATTCAACAAACCGTTGAAATGACTACTAGGTAGGATGTCCCTTTGCAGTTCTCGGAGTTTTCGGCCGAAAGTACAGCCCCAGGCCGAATTAGGGCATCGCTAGGATATAATCTTACCCAGATCACCTCACAACACCAAACAACTTCGCGAACCCCGTCCGAAGCCGATCCGACCCAGATTGATTAGATCGTCGTCAGCTCGGATGGTTCGAAGGCCGAAATCTCTCTCCCCTGGCCGTCAGGCAACGTCAGCCAGCGATCATTGCCCGGTCCATCGGTGGAGCTCGACCGAGTCTGATTCATGTCACCGTGGTCGCTCCACCGATGATCATCCCTCAATTAATGCCAAACGGTTCTATTGACTGATCGTCCTCTTGATTTGGCCCGTTGAGTACAAAGTACAACGTCGGATGTTGGCGACCAAGTATAAAAGCCAAGCATGCCACCCATGATTGAACAGTGTGAACCGCATCAACACTTTCAACATGCAGATTCTCTCTCTCTCTCTCCTGGCCTTAGCGTCAGTGGCGCAAGGTCAACTCGCCGGCAGCGTCGGTCCCAGCAGCAGTGCCAGCGACAAGGCCCAGACCAAGACCTGCAACGTCCAGGACTACGGTGCCAAAGCCGACAAGTCCACCGACATCGGGTCGGCCATCGAGTCGGCCTGGGACGAGTGCAAGGAGGGCGGCGTCGTCTATATCCCGCCCGGTGACTATGCGCTGGCTAGCTGGGTGACCTTGACTGGCGGCAAAGGGACGGCCCTTCAGCTGGACGGTATCATCTATCGCACCGGAGACGATGGCGGTAACATGGTGATGATCGAGCACACCAGCGATTTCGAGCTGTTCAGTAGCACCGCGCGCGGTGCCATCCAGGGCTCCGGATATGAGTTCCATGCCGACGGCTCGCTGTCGGGACCGCGCATCTTGCGTCTTTATGAGGTGGAGAATTTCTCGATCCATGACCTCGCCTTGGTGGATGCCCCAGCATTCCATCTGTCCCTGGATACATGCAGCAACGGCGAGTTGTACAACCTGATCATCCGTGGAGGAGACTCGGGTGGACTGGACGGCATTGACATCTGGAGTGAGAACATTTGGGTTCACGATGTAAGTCTAGAGTTCATAGCCCTGAAAAGCTGTATGCTAATATCTTGCAGGTCGAGGTTACCAACAAGGACGAGTGCGTGACGGTCAAGAGCCCGGCGCACAACATCCTCGTGGAGAACATCTACTGCAACTGGAGTGGCGGATGTGCCATGGGTTCGCTGGGCGCCGACACCAACATCAGCGACATCCACTACCGTAACGTGTACACATGGAACTCGAACCAGATGTTTATGGTCAAGAGCAACGGCGGCAGTGGCTCCGTATCAAACCTGATGCTGGAGAACTTTGTCGGTCACGGTAACGCGTACAGTTTGGATATCGACTCGGCCTGGGAAAGCATGGATGCCGTGGAAGGAGACGGAGTGTCGATGAACAACGTCACTGTGAAAGGTTGGACAGGTGGAGAGGAGGACGGAAGCCAGCGCGGGCCTATTAAGGTGGTGTGTGCAGCCAAGGCGCCCTGTACGGACGTCACCATCGAAGGGTTCTCCATGTGGACGGAGTCGGGTGACGAGCAGTCCTACGTCTGCGAGAATGCATTTGGCACGGGCGCATGTCTCGAAAACGGCGACTCGAGTGCAACATACGCATCGACCGTCGCAGCGACGGCCACTCCGTCCGGGTTTGCGGCGCCCCGAATGCGGGACGACCTGACTTCCGCATTCGGCACGGATGCCTCTATTCCCATTCCCACGTTGCCGGCGTCATTCTTCCCGGGCGCAAAGCCCATTTCGGCCAGAGCGTCGAGTTCAGCGGTGGTTTCGGCGTCGGCGACTCCTTCTGCGACTCCGGGGTTGTAATCAACCATTAAGTAATGTCCTTGTCACTATGAGCGTCACTCCCCAACACAAAGAAGACGGTTACATTCACTCGGATGATACCATCAACCCTGGCACTTTCGTCATCCGGCCAAGGCCGATCATTCGTATTTTCTAATTAGATCGATCCTGAATTCGAGATTTTGGCGGGATTCTCCCTGATCGCCTGCCCGGCTGATCCGTTCAGTTGGAAGCCTTGCATAGTCTAATCCCCATCCCCGCATGCACGCCTGGTCGCCACCACATCATCGTCGACTCATCCTGAATCTTGTTCTGTGCCGTTCCCTTTCTTGCGTTCTCTTTTTCTCTTCCCTTCTTCCCTCCTGCCTTCCCTTCCTTTGATCTTCCATCCATCCGCCATGTCCAAAGGAAACTCCCCCGCCCCTCTAGAGTCGTCGCCCTCGCCCGACCGTCATGTTTCCGTGCCGTCGGTCTACCGCGCCAATGCCGACGTGCTCAATCGCGCTCTACAGACAATCGGGATGGGTCGCTATCAGTGGCAGCTCTTCGCTGTGATCGGGTTCGGCTGGGCCAGCGACAATCTGTGGCCCATCGTCACCTCGTTGATTCTGGTGCCCGTGTCGTACGAGTTCAACGTCTCGCAACCCCCTCTGCTGACGCTGGCGCAGAATATCGGGTTGCTGGCCGGAGCGCTAATCTGGGGGTTCAGCTGCGATATTATCGGTCGGCGATGGGCTTTCAATCTGACCATCGCCATTACGGCCGTCTTTGGCATGGCTGCAGCTGGATCGCCTACATTTGCTGCGGTCGGCGTTTTTGCAGCACTGTGGTCGGTGGGCGTTGGCGGCAATCTGCCCGTGGACTCGGCCATTTTCCTCGAGTTTCTCCCCGGATCGCATCAGTATCTGCTCACCATCCTGTCGGTGTACTGGGCCTTGGCGCAGCTGCTGGCCAATCTGATCGCCTGGCCCCTGCTGGGCAACATGACCTGCCCGTCGACGGACAATTGCTCGAGAGACAACAACATGGGCTGGCGCTATTTTCTGATCACCATGGGGGGTCTGGCGGTCGTCATGTGCGTCGTGCGCTGCATCTTCTTCACGCTGTATGAGTCGCCCAAATTCCTCATGGGCAAAGGTCGCAACCACGACGCCGTGATGGTCGTCCACGAGGTCGCCCGTCGCAACGGCAAATCGTCGAATCTCTCCGCCGAGGAACTAGATCCGCTGTCGTCCACCCCCATCGAAGCGCAGGAGACTACAGTTCGCAGTTCTCGTAACGGGCTGACCACCTCCGACCATATGCGTATGCTCCTTGAACCGGTGTCCCTTCCCCACGTGAAGGCCCTGTTTAACAGCCCGCGTCGCGCCTGGTCCACCTCGCTGATGATCCTGATCTGGACGTTGGTCGGCCTCGGGTTTCCTTTGTACAACGCGTTCCTGCCCTTCCTGCAACAATCGCGCGGAGTGGAGTTTGGCGACGGCTCCACCTACATCACCTACCGCAACACGCTAATCGTGGCGGCCGTTAGCGTGCCCGGCAGTCTGGTCGGCGGCGCGCTGGTCGAACTACCGCGGCTCGGACGCAAAGGCACGCTCTCGCTGGCCGTCATCGCCACGGGCGTGTTCCTGCTGGCCTCGACGACCGCCGACTCGTCTGCGGCCTTGCTGGGCTGGAACTGCGCGTTCGGGTTCTCCAGCAGTCTGATGTACGCCGTGCTGTACGCCTATACGCCGGAGATGTTCGAGACCAAGGATCGGGGCACGGGCAACGCGCTGGTGGGTGCGGCGAATCGCGTGGGGGGTATTCTGGCTCCGATCATTGCCATTGCAGCGGGCGTGCAGAGCTCTGCGCCGGTGTATGTAAGCGGTGCGCTGTTTCTGGGGGCCGGACTGCTGGTGCTGTTGATACCGTACGAGACGAGGGGACGGGCGAGTATCTAGAGTCTCATTGTTCATACAGTTAAAGACAGACAGTAATGAAGGGATCGTCAGTGTAGGTGACTCAGTAATCAATGCCTGGTAGGCAGTAGACGGTAGGAAGTAGTGGGTAGACAGTGGACAGTAGACAGGATGACAGGATTGACTACAGAGATACTGTGAGAGAGTAGGCAGTAGACAATAGACAGGATTGACTACAGAGAAAGTTGAGTGTCCAGAGGCGACTATCGCCAGACGTACAATGCAAATCGGTCAAATTAATCAAATCAATCAAATTCGTCAAATTGGACAAACATTGGCCAAATCGGGAGACCACCTGACTTCCCCTCTCGCTCCTTTTCGTTTCTTTTCTCCTCTTTCTTGATCTTTCTTCAATCTGTTCTCTTTCTTCTCTGCAATCTGACAAACACGCTACAGTCCCACTCGCAGGCTCTGCGACTCCATCTTCTCTGTCGCCCACCCCAAGATGCGACCCACCACAGCCTCTATCTCCTCCTTGGTGTTGTGCGCGTGAATCACCATCCGCACGCGATCCATCCCCCTTGGGACGGTGGGGAAATGCACCACGTTCACCCAGTACTTGCCCATGCGCAGATGCTCCGCCAGACTATCGGCCTCCACCATCGGTGCGATGAGCGCGATGATGGGCGACTGCAAAGGTCGAGTGGCCCAGGTTTTCTCCGTCGGGAGGCGGACAATGCCACAGCGACTGGCCTGTCGCCACTTCGGATTGTCAGTCAGAAGACGGTAGAAATACCGTACTTTTTGCTGCACGAGTTGTCGGCGCTATTATTAGATGGCTCAAGTTAGACCATGGATCTCATGATGTCCAGTTTGCCCTGACCGACGGAACGAACCTTTTCGCCCTCGGCGCTGGCCGCCAATTCGTAACCCGCACGGACCCCTGCCGCGCAGAGGAAGCTGGGCGCCGTGCTGAAGACCATGTTGCGTGCATAGTTGATCAGCGCGCTTTTGATGGTCTCGTTGCAGAGAATGATGGCTGTTCTGGTCAGTGGCCATATAACAGAAGTTCTACTCGAAGTGCTCACCCCCTGTCGATCCCAAAGCCTTGCCGCAGGTGTTCAGTCGAATGGGGAATTCCTTCTCCAGACCGAAATGACACACAAACCCTGATCCATTTGGTCCGACCAATCCGTTGGAGTGGGCTTCGTCGATAGCACACAGATAGTTGCCACTCGGAAGCGCCTCGCGGGCGGCGGCTACAATCCCATGGATCGGGGCCGCGTCCCCATCCATACTGTAGAACGACTCCACCGATATAAACACAAGGCTTTCCCCTGAAGCCACGCTGGCGTTGTTATCACGAATCTCTTCGAGACGCGCTTTCAGTGCCTCGGGGTCGTTGTGACGGAATGGAAGACAGGTCGCACGGCCCATGCGCATGCCGTCGTGGATACTGGCGTGGGCCAACTCGTCGTAGACGATGAAGTCACCTGGCTGGGGGATTGCAGACCAGATCGCCACGTTTCCGTCGAAACCAGAGTTGACAAAAACGCCTGCTTCGGCACCGTGGAACTTGGCCAGGTCATCTTCTAGATCGATCAGATATTTCCTGGTGCCTTCGAACGCCCGAGCGGAGGTGCTGCCGATGGTGAACCCGGGATGTCGTTCCAGCTCCCGCAAAAAGGCCGCGGACAGCAGCCCCGACCCTGACAGGTTCAAGGTGTCATTGGATCCGAAATCGATGGTGTCAGCTAGAGTTACTGGCACGGGAGGAACAAGGAGTCGACCATCCCGACGACGTTGGTCTAGGGTGGCTTTCAACTTCTGAGTGAGGATATTCTGCCCAACGTGCATTTTGAAAATGATAAGTGAGACACAAATAACCGATGGGTGATCCCAATTGCTCATTTTTCGGTCTATTATATAGGGAAACCTTCGTCAATCGTGCCACATCTCCACCAGTGCTCTTCTTCATGTCGATGGCGTAATTCCCAAAGACATCAACGATTAGGAACTCCAAACAATGATATTGTCCTACGCCACGTACCCAGTCTCAAGGCATATCCAGAGCTTCTCCTGATAGAGAGACCGTTCTCTCATATCGACAGATACATTTGTGTCCTCCACCCCACCCAATCTGGCGACTTGTGGGGTGGTAACGCAAGCCAAAAGATTGGGGCAAGTTTATGCCTTGGACACGCTGCTCGACTGAACGAGAAATGACGATGGAAATCCCTCGTGTCAAATGCGCGGAGAGGCCGTTTATGATATCACGACGTTGGAAGCCTCTGGGTCCTATGCTAGATTGTATTCGGTCCTGCACTTCCCATACCTGACACATATGTTTGAGAAGGCTCTGGAAGCCTAGGAATGCAGATATTAAAGTTCTGTCAGGTTTCGCTTTAAACCCTATTGAATTGACAGGGTTTTATCCTGTCAGGTGGACCTCATTTGATAGGGGAATATCGCCCAGCAAACCTGATTCAGTCTAGGACACACCCTACTGGGTTCTCCCACGTCATGTACCGTTTGAACGGCAGGGGCCTACCCATGGACGGACTGGAACTTGCCCCAGACATAGTTTGAGTTTCTGCGTCGTCCAGTGAAAGGGATTTGAAACGGCATCCAGGCTACCTGTGTGGTCTGGCCACAACCAAGGCTCTTGACAAGATGGCGAATTCAGCAGGCTTAAGCTGGCAGATGGGCGCCGCAAACGCAATTTCTTCTCTGAACCTTGCTGATGGGTTGGTTGACAGGTCTTCTAAACAGTGGGCAATGCGCGGGGTCCGCATCTACGCTGATCCTTGCTGTCAGTGGAATGCGCTGACATCAATGTGATTAGCCTGGTTGAAAGGAAGGGAATTTGAAGCTTCAGAGGCGTGAGGTCAGCCTGGACGATTATCTAGCAAATGCTGGGATGAGTGCTTCATTATAAAGGCTAACCTTTCAGGACGGGCTGACGCCCTGATCAGCTAAAGACCGATGAACTGCATACGCCACACTATTTCGAACTACCAGCATGGAACGGATTATCTACAATCGCGCTCTAGAGGCGCCTCTCCAGATGGCTATCACAGATGGCGCAGTCTGCCTCACCTACGCCGGACTGCTTACGGAATCGATCGATCTGGCTCACAGACTCAGAGCCAAAAGGGTGTCTGCGCCAGAACCTGTGGGAATACTGCTTGGCCCGGGCGTCCAGCAGATTGTCGCCCAGCTGGCTATCCTCCTGGTCGGTGGCACATGCGTGCCTATCGAGCCGACTATTCCAGAACTTCGCCTCCAGAGCTTGTTGGAAGACATCGAGGCAAAGTATATTATCACAGGCAGAGAATCTTGGGTGGACCTGCCCGGATTTGAAAGTTTCTGCATTGAGTACCCACAGGAACCGCAAAGCAACGGCGTGCCAAATTGGGAATTTGGTACTACGGCGCCCCGGAGCCATATCCTCTTTACCTCAGGCTCCACTGGAAAGCCAAAGCCCGTTCAGGTTCGAGCCGACAGTATAGTTCACCTGGCGACACGTACACCACTCACCCCTCTGTCCCGGGAAGATCGAGTCGCCCACTTCAACAACGCAGGGTTTGACTTGAGTCTGTTCGAGATCTGGGCGACACTGCTGTCCGGGGCCACAGTCGTGACTCTCCCTCGGAAGATAGCCGTCGATCCTGGTGAACTGCCCTCTTTTCTTCAAGAACACGAAGTGACCGTGATTATCATGACGGCAGCATTGTTCGAGATCACGGTCTTTGTGTCGCCCGCGGCATTCCACACGTTGCGCCATGTCATCACGGCCGGGGATGTTGCCAATGCCAGAGCGATGAGGAGGATGCTGAACAGCGGTCCCCCGGATCACCTGTGGAATGCGTACGGACCGACTGAGTGCACCACGTTCGTGACCGCCATGGAAGTCTTGCCTGAAGAAGCACAGCGGGATCGTATCAGTATTGGACGTCCCGTGGGCGAAACGAGGATCTACCTGCTGGATGAAAACCAGATGCCTATTCAGCAGAGTGGACGGCGCGGGGAGATTTACGTTGGCGGACCAGGTCTAGCCATGGGCTACTTGAACCGGCCATCCGAGAACAAGAGCTGCTTTATCGAGATCCCAAGACAGGATCTGCGTACAGGGCAGGACGAGGTCGTTCGTCTGTATCGAACGGGCGATCTGGCCGAGTGGCGGCCTAAAAGTGACTGTCTAGACTTTATTGGCCGGACAGACGAGCAGGTCAAGCATCAAGGCTTCCGGGTGGAATTGGGCGAGATCGAACGCGTTCTGCGAAATCATGTGGCCGTCCAGGCGGTGGTGGTGGCTCAGCAGATGGCGTCTACCAACTGCATGGACTCGCTGGTGGCTTTTGTTATTGCCAATGAGGCAGACGAGGTGACTCCAGAGGCTCTGGTAGACTTCTCGCGACGGCGACTCCCTTCATATATGGTGCCCGACAATGTGGAGCTCGTAAGCACATTTCCCCTGACGGCTCATGGCAAGGTAGATCGCCAGGGGCTGTTACAGCAATGGGTCGATTCAGCCGAGGATGAGCGCGAGCTGGACGCCGACGGGGATGGAGAGAAGAAAGATGTCATTCGCGGTCTCTGGAGCGACCTTCTGAAAGTCCCGCGCATCAATGAGGATGATGACTTTTTTGCACTGGGCGCCACCTCCCTTCAGGCTGCCTCTCTCTTGGGCATGGTTCAGGAGCGCATGGGTCGGACGGTCACCATGGAGCAGCTGTTCAGGCATTCCCGACTTTCTGACTTCCAGGCCCTTCTAGAGCCAGAGGAGCCCGTCAGTGAGGGCGATGCACCGGATGACACGCAAGCCTGGATGAGCGATGTCAATCTGGTGAACGAGATTGAAACGGTGCCCGACTGGGAGTCTCCTAGCGAAGGTCGGGTGTTTGTTACTGGCGTGACAGGATTTGTGGGACCTCACCTACTGCATAGCTTGATGCGCCGACCCGGAGTCAAGCAGATCGCCTGTCTTGTGCGGTCCAAAGGGAGTGAAGATGTCGTGGGGCGAGTGAGATGCGCCATGCAGCGATACGACCTGTGGGAGGAGTGTCAAGAGCACAGGTCCAAGCTGCTCGTCTTTGAGGGCAATCTCTCTGACGACCACCTGGGACTGGACCCGGAGCTCTTCGCGTGGCTGGCCGGCTGGGCCTCCGTGGTATTCCACCTCGGCGCGAAGATCAACTTCTGCGAGTCGTACCGGGAGCACCGCGATGCCAACGTCCTCGGCACCCGCAACGCATTACACCTTGCCGCCGCCGGCCGCCGCAAATCGTTCCACTATCTCTCCAGCATCGACACCTGGGGGTCGACAGGCTTTATCCTCGGGACGAAGGAGCTCTACAAGGACGAACCCCTGCAGCCTCACATTCAAGGCCTGCGCTACGATCTTGGCTACGCGCAAAGCCAATGGACCGCCGAAGCGATGGTGCAGCGCATGCGAGACCGCGGCCTACCTACGGCTATCTACCGTCCGGGCTTCATCATCGGACACAGCAAAACAGGCGCCAGCAATCCGGACGACTTCGTCAGTCGTATAATCGCCGGAAGCATCCAACTCGGCCTGTTTCCTCGCCTCGACCAACGTCTCGAATACGTACCTGTCGACTATGTCGTCTCCGCCATGCTGCACATCGCCTCATCGAACGCGAATCTCGGTCATTCATATAGCCTCGTCGCGCCGGACCGGCGTGAATCCGTCACCGTCGTCGACACCGCCCGCGTGCTCAACGAAGCCGGACACCCTGTCAAACTAGTCGATTACCCCGAGTGGGCAGCACAAGCGGCGACGCACCAGCGGCTCGACGGGCCATTAGCGCCCCTACTTCCGATGTTACAGGAACGAGTCCTTGGACAGCTGACGCGCTGGGAAGCGAGCCAGTATTCGCCGGTGTATCGGTGTGATAATGCGGTTCGGGCGTTGAGAGAGAGTGGAATTGTTTATAGAGGGCTTGATGAGGTGATGGTCAGGAGGGCTGTTGCGTTTTGGAAGAGAAAGGGCTTTTATGATTTGATTGGTGTGATGTAGTCGGTTTCTCTTGTAGTTTTTTGAATTGCTCTTCACCTCTAGCCATCCACTATAAAACTCCCCACAGTAGTCTCTCTCATCTCACCTATGTCTGAATAGATAAATTTCAACGCAAATGCCATGAATAGCTCCTTATTTTCCTTCTATCTTCTACTCGTCTTTTTCTTCATTTTTGGTCTCATTATTTCTCTCGTTGGAAGTGGAACAGTGCCGAGTCCATTCCATTCCACGCCAAACCCCTCGCGATTAGAGTTCCTTAGAAATGTCACTTCTCTTTCGACAGGAAAGGAATGCCACATTCTACATTCTATTCCTTTTCTTAAGCTTGACCTTGACCCATCCTATTGTCTTCAGACGTGACAGACAAAGCCAACTAATACAGAGGAGCTCTCAATGAAGTAATATCTCGTATTCCTTCCATACTCCTCTCCAACCGAGATAGATATCCATCGAACGTACACCTTGACAATTGATCTACGATGGAACACCAACTCCACTCAACGCAACACAACCCCACTGAAAGCGAGCCAATTACTCGGACCCCTTGCAAACAAAGCTGCCCACCAAGAACGGACGAGAGAAATGGTGCGGACCCTGCTTGAGGGTCCACTCTTGCCCCTCGCAGCTGTATCCTCTGTGTTGTATTCATCATCAGTACATGTATGGGCATCGATAGCCCGATGCAGAAGAAGGCAAAGGACGACGTGGTCAGAACATACGTGTAAAACACACAGGTCGGATCCTGCAGCGTCAACGGGGTGATCAGGATATCAGAGATGGGCTCATTGCTGTCTTTTGTTAGCTATCTTTCCGCCCTTGTTATGCCTTCTTTCGTATCTCATTATGTGTTTTCTGAGCGTGGAAGAGGTGAAGAATGAACTCACCCATAGGGGAAGAAAGTGCATTCGTTTTCCACGGCCCCGAAGGTGGGGTTCTGTCCGGCGAGAGCGAACGAGACCTGGATGTCCTTTTTGTTCTGCTTGTTAGTGGCATTGCTGGTGGTGAAGAGGGGGATGAAGGACATACAGCGGGCTCGTTCTGTCTGGGCTTAGGCTGAGCGAGAGCCGCGGAGGCGAAGAGAAGGGCGAGAGCGTTGAAGTACATTGCGGTTGGTTTTTGTTCTTTGACAGGAACTTGAGGGATGATGATGAAGAACGGTAGAAGAGGGGACGGAGCGTGTTAAATAGTACGGAGGGCCGTAGTCGGTGTGATGTGATGGGCGATGGCGGAGCTGAGCTGAGAACCTGCATGAACTATTGGATTGTGCGTTGCGTCTGACCCCTTGCATGGTCACGGTGAGCTTCAGCTGTGATGGAGATTGTGATTGAGCTGTTGTCTGGGTTGAATTTGTTTGATTGGTTTAATTTCAGCTTTGCAGACCTACCCCGTATGCTTGGAAGGGCTTGAAGTTAAAGTATGGCATTCCGGTTCAGTGAATTAGGGAAGATCCGCAAGGGCGGAATCTGTAAGGGGACTGCGGAGAGCATTCGCTTAATTGTTCTGTCTCAATTAGATGTTCTATCCAGATGTATCAGTGCATGTGTGATGACATCTTTACGCATCTTGAACTGGTTATAGTCAAACATATCCGAATTCGGAAAGACGAATACGGTCTGGGTCACAGCAAGTGGCGTCCACAATCACACCTCGCACTTAGAGCTGATTATGGCAAATGGCTGATACCAGCCCTTCTCTTTGCGGTATTTATTCATATGCACGGCGTACTCTCTGTTAATAAAAGAAATAGAATAAGACAAAACTTCGGCGGTGCGGAGGTACAGTTGACTCCCACCATCAGTCCCTAATAATCACGAGTTTATCACTGGATGAGGATTAGAGTCTCTGAAGCGCTGTAATACTTGCAGGAATTGGAAGAGAAAGTCATGAGGTGAACAGAAGCTAATTAGAAACGCAGTGATGAGAGGACAAAATGTAATAACACTATAGCGGATCTACTACCCTGGAGGCGCACGCTGGTCTGTCTATCAGTTTGGCAGCAGGAAGTTTAAGCATAAAGTAGGTTAGGAACCTGATGAGGTCTATAGAACTGAGTACTGATCTAATCGGAAAGAGTCTTCCGTATATCCTGATACTAGTAGTGACTGCCATATCAATCAACAGAATCAGGCAGGAGCAGGATGGTATATCCTCATCGTCCTCGAGATGGTCCTCAACAATCCATAACTACAACTATCATCATAAAGCTACTATCTACGCGAATATCATCTCATTCTTACAACAATCATCACTATACCAGGATGTCTTACCAGTATCCTCCCCATCCTCCTCATCCTCCTCCTCCTCCTCACCCTTCTCATCCTTCTGATCCTCTCCTTCCCCCCAATCCTCCCAATCCTCCGACTACGAATGCTCAGAATACCCTGTAAGTCCTCCGCCCACTTGGCGACCTCCTTGCTCGTGCTAATGGCCAGTGACCCTGAATCCTGGGTCAAATTTGTCGTCGGTTCTTCAAGAGTCAAGTTCCATGTCAGGGTCCGCTTGCTCAGCTGGCTGTCCCCAACGCTCAACCGCGATATGCTCTCTTTTCAATCAGGAAACAAAGAAACATGCCCCTCATTGAACCTGCCCCCCGTCGGGGAGGATACGTTTGTTCGACTTTGTGAATTCGCCTTTTTAAAAACAAACTACTCGGTTCCGGAGCCTCGATACAAACTGCCTTTGCCCGCCGATCAAGATGGGACCGGACAGTCATTCTTGTCCAACACTTCTCGATTTGAACCGAAAGAACTGACCCCCGCGGAGTTATTGGAAAAGAGGAACCTTGCTCACGCCGACCGATTGGCACTGCGGGAGTTGTGTCCCGAGATCCCCATGGATTGTCTGCGGGAGCACGAACCATACCGCAACACCCCGAGTCAGGATTTTTCTGAGGTCTTCAAGGCCCACGCGGATGTGTTTATCGTGGCACAGATATATGAAATCGAGAGACTGAAGATAGTTGTCCTCAACAACCTCGAGGGTGCTTTTGTCACGCTCACGATGCATCCCCTCATCCTGGAGAACCTCGCCAATCTGGCCTGGTATGCGTACAGATTTACCCCACGTGGGGCACCGGATCAACGAAGCCTATTTCGAGTGGTGGTAAGAACGCTATCCTTCGTGGCGTCCCATCGTGGTGGGACGTGGCCGCATTTGAACAGGCTGCTGTCAAGATACCCTGGCATTCGTGCGGAATACAAAGAGGCGACAAGAGTAGATTGATGATATGATGGGTAGATTGAGATTGTACTAGGATTGAATGTGATATACAGGACTGCTTTCTTGTGTGGGATATCTCGATGGGTCGATGCCAGTGTATGAGCAAGGACTAGACATTAAGTATCAATGGAGTGGTTATCTGTAAGCCTCTTACTAATTCTGCTATTAGGCTCTGTAGTACACTGCATGGGTGGATTCTACTATATGAGTTAGTGGATGGTGCTCAATTTGGTTCTCTCGTGCACCACAGCTATAGGGACAAAGCATAAGACATCGACCTCTGAGCAAACCAGGATGCCTTAGGGATATAGTGGGGGGTCCATAAGATATCAAATCATGAAGCGAGGCAGTTGCTAGCGTGGATTAAGCGACAGCGTTTGAATCAAGTTCACATCAAGTGATGAAACAATTCATACCTGTATCTCCCTGGATCTTCTCATTCTACATCCCCTGTAGTATCCTCAAGCATTCACCGAGCTGAGCCGGTACTATCCGCGAAGCACACGCATCAACCAAGACCTCATTTCTAGTATATGTAGACCGCGAAGTTGTGAGAAACCAACTCATGCTCTGTTAATTATATGTACTATTGCACACGGACCTCTATTATGCCCTATAAATACTTTTCTTTGAGGTTGGGGCTTTTTCTTCCTCCTTCTCTACTCCATCAACCAGTCGTACCATCACCACCAACCACTTCTCTTGAACATATTTCACGATGACTTCAAACAACTCCACCGAGTGGGTCGAGAGAAATGTAAGTACACTACCCCATCTGCCTATCTGCTCTATCAAATCAAACTCCAGGAACCATGCCATACTACACCAGACTACCTACTAACCAAGCCTATCTATCTAGTATGTGATCAGCGTCGAAAACTGGGAGAAAGACCTGCACGAGCTCATCTCCACCTACATCACGACCTGCCGCCAGAGACGCCAGGGAGGATCCAGACGTCGCGGCCGCTGCATTCGCATCGAGACCAGCGTGGACGAGGACGACGGGGTGCATTATGATGGGCCGGAAGTTAGAGTTCCTGTACCTCCCCCTCCCTATCCCAGTCAATGGATAAACGAAGGATGCTAAAGACTGAAATCAGATGACCAGCGCCTGCGCCGAATGCTTCCACTGCTGTCGCCGCTACATGGTCGAGCCCCTGGTTCCGTTCTTCTCGCGCCACTTCTCGAACAGCAATGTGATTGTGATTAAGATTCATTATGGGGAGGAGGCTGAGGATGAGGTACCACCCTCCCCTCTCATCTTCTATTCTATTCTCATTGCCGAAGCAGGGGCAAGGCTAATGTTTCCTGCGCCGTAGCATCTTCCCTACGTCCAGGAAGTCGAGGATGAGTTGGACGCGATGTGGGTGGAGAACTTTCAGGGGATGGTTGAGAATGAGGATGAGGGTGGTCAGGATGATCTTGATCTTGATCTCGATTATGTTGATGATCTTGATTATGATATTGATGGGTGTGATTCTGAGGTTTCTGTTTCTGATGATTACGATACTGATGATTCGGATGAGACTATCGATCTGGAGATTGAGGCTGAGTTGGACCTCGAGGACTTGGAGTTGGAGATGCAGTTGGATAGGGAGATGGCCATGGAGGGCTAGATGTGAGTGATGATGTTGAGGTTGCTACTGACAAGTAGGTACTGCTTTTGGTGGTATTCGTTGATCTTTTTGATTATGTTGATCTCAGCGGAGTGGTGTATTTAGTCTCTGCTATGGCTTTTGACAATGAGATCTATGATTTAATGTGACTCCACTTCTGCTTTCCAAATTTCTTCTATTTTTTCTTTCTTCAATTCTATTTTTAGTCTTAGATATTTCATGTCCATAATCTAGTCTTCGGAGAGCTCCGTCTCAGATAAGATATTAGTAACTGCAGTATCCCTTGGCACTTGGCATTCACTAGCGTTCGGAATCATCACAGAATCTCGGTAGAATCCGATAACGCGCGGAGATTGCCAATTCCACGCGACGATTGCCAATACCAGGCAGAAACGCCCGATCTCTGCCTAGAATCCATCGAGTATATAGATCCTGAACGAGTAAATTGTAAACAACCACTACTATCACATACTCTATCCTGTTCAGTCTCAATTACAGAACATCACGACCATATCCTATCCTAAAACCCAATCCATTAAACCATCACAATGGCCTCCCGCGGTGGCATCTTCCTAACCATCTCCTCCACCTCCGAACCCAACTCTCTCATCCTGCACGACACCATCTACGGCACCCACACCATCACAGAACCCATCCTCATCGACCTCCTCCAATGCCCCTCCCTCACCCGCCTCAAAGGCGTCAACCAGCACGGCATCACCAGCCTCCTCCACCTCAGCCCGCCAGTCACCCGCTACGAACACTCCGTGGGCGCCTTCCTCCTCGTCCGCAAAGTCGGCGGGTCCCTGGACGAGCAGATCGCCGCCCTCCTGCACGACGTCAGCCATACCGTGTTCAGCCACGTCGTGGACTATGCGCTGTCCAACCCTGGAGAGAGTTTCCACGAGACGGAGAAGGAAGAGTATCTGGCGGGGACTGAGATTCCAGACCTATTGACCAAGTATGGGATCAGTCAGGATGTGTTGAAAGAGGAGCTGTATCCGCTGGTGGAGAGAGATGCGCCGAGGCTTTGTGCCGATCGACTGGACTATGCGTTGCGGGATACCGTCGCGGTTCATAACCTGCCGTGTGCGGATGCGAAGCGCATCTATGAGGCTGTGGCAGCGGCGCCTGATGCCATGGACGCGGATCGAGTGCTGGTGCTTCCGGATGCGCAGCTGGCGTTGAAACTGGCGAGGGCGTACCAGATTACGGACGAGAGTCTGTGGTGTAACCCTGCGTTGGTGGATATGTATCGGGAAGTGGGCCAGGTGATTGGGGATATGGTGAGGAGGCAGAGGATTAGTCTGGCAGCGCTGTGGAAGTGGTCGGATGAGGTGTTGTGGATGTTTTTGTCGGTCAATGCGGAGGTGGAGAGGTCGACGGTAATTAAGGATGTTGAGGCGCATGCGAAGAGGGTCAAAGAGAACAAGCCAGAGGGGCTGCGACTGCCAAAGGGTGCGAAGGTGAGGACAATTGACCCGGATGTTTTGGTTGAAGGCAAGATTCAGCCGTTGAGTGAGGTGGTGCCGGAGTGGGGAGTGGAGCGTCAAGAGTATATTGCTCGGCGTGAGGCAGAGCGTGAGGATGTTTGATCATCTGTCCTGATTTGTTGCTATCTCTGGATGTATCCAGCTATGTTATTTCTTCATGTTGTTTCAAATAGTGGGTTTAATAGAGGAATGCACCAATACTTCTGGATAGATTATGTAAATCATTCCACTGTCTCCAGTAATCTCTCATCTTCTTGTGAATAAACTAGTCAGAATAGACTAGCTGTATCAATCCAAGTCAGATCTACTAAATATATTCAGGTGTATATGCCATCCTCAATCATAAATATCTGACATAAGCGCATAATGTTATGCAATGAATTATGCAATATCAGCTGACCCTCAGGCCACCACCCCCAGGCACCCAAACTGGCGAACTGCATCCCAACTGCATCCTCTGCATCCTCTGCATCCACTACATCCTCTGCCACCCTCGCATCTGCATGCATCAATCCTTCCACCTGCATTCCATTCGTTTCCCCCTCCGATACGCCCGTGGAATGAGGCGATGAGTTGGCGCCTGGCCGCAAACGCATCATTGTTTGGGCTCCCCCGCAGTGGATCGGGTGCCTGACCGCCAGCTCTTTGTCTGTCATCTCATCCTGTCATCTCGCTGTTGTATGACCTCTGTCCCGCTCAATGCCAGCTTCAATGCTTGCGCTCCAATTCCTCGGCCAATTCCTGCCTGGCGATGTCCTCCCGTGATGGCGATTTCTGGGGGCTGCTGATCAACCCCGATAAGAGCCCCGCTCCGTTACTCGAACAGTTGTGCCTGGGAATTGCCCAGATCATGGTGAGTGGACTGCTCGTGGGATTGAGTGACGCTGATTTGAAGACCTCGTTTGATGATTATGCAACCTCCGACCTGACGCCGGAACGACTCGCCACTTTCTACGGCAAGGTGGGCGGCAATTACGACGTTCTGTTCCTCGACACCAAATCCTCCGCCTTGTCGTTTATCTACCAGCGATTAGGCTGTTTCCACAGTATTCAACCCTCCACCGACCCGTACAAACCCCCGTCCGTGCCCGCGCTACAGCCGAACGGATTCGTGCGATGGCAGACGATTCAGCTGCTGCTGGACCCCGACGAACACTCGCGATACCTGCAGAATGCCGTCGAGCTGTGGGACATCGAGAACCCGAACGGGGGATACTTCCCCAAGGATATTCCCCGAGATGCCTTTCCAGCCGAGTCGGACCCGGAAATGGTGAATTGGCACGAGGAAGTGAGCCGGCGGTTCGAGTTTGATTACTGGAAGAAGAACATCTTTCGCTCGTCGCCGCCCAGCTTCGGCACGTACCACTCGCACTTCAGTCAGAAGGAGGCCAGCGGCAAGGAGGACTACCCCAACCAGCGGCAACCCACGTCGCACCGTCGACACGCCACTACCACCAACATCCCACCCATCCACCCCCAGCGGCGGCGCAGCGCGGAGATCCCGTCCGGCGGTCGGCGCGTGCACTCCACGTTCGTGCGACGTCCGGAGGAGTTCCAGGAATACAAATCCCCGCGAGCACCGTCGCCCCCCACGTGGCCCAAGGGCAGGACCCGGGGTCGCGAGCGTGCCTCGTTTTCTCGGCCGGTCAGTCCGGGAACCGTCGGGCACGAGACGTCGGACGCATCGTCGGAAGATTCGGCCTGGGGGGCGAAAGACCCCCGAAGGTACCAGGAGAATCTGTCGCCGCCGCAGACGTCCCACGCTCGGCGACATTCCCACGAAGCGTACGCCCGCCGACCGCGCCGGGAGCTCTCTCCGGATGCGCATCGGCGCCACGGACCGCGGGAGACCTACCAAAGCCCCGACTCCGGGCGACTCTACGACTCGGACGGCGCGCGACGAGTCCGGTCGGCCAGGTATCCGGACGAGTACCACGGCCACGCCCGCCCAGTCACCCCTGGCGTGTTCCGCGAACATGTCTTCGACGCCCGAGCATCGCCAGGGCCTGAGATGATGCACGCGCACCCTGCGCACCACCGCGTCAACACGAACTATCCGTACGTGATGCGGCCGCATGACCTGGACTCGTGCGTGATGGAAGAGCGACGGCATAGTTACCGCGGGGTGCCCAGCCCGAGCGAGCACATGCGGTTCGCGCGAGGACCGCGATGGGCAGTGCCGAACGTAGCCAAGCGGATGCCCGAGGAGTATGCTCGGGGGAGGCGGACGCCGATGTATGAACGATGATGATGATGATGTACGACTCTACTAGATGACTTACGATATAATGACCATAATGGATTTTACTACACAACTTACCCTACTCAACTACTTGAATCTATACAATTCACACACCTTCCTTCTAAAACCTTGATAGGAGACAGAGCTAAGTGAATCCCGCGCGATCATACGTAAACCCAAACTCCTCAAACACGCGACACGCGACGCCTTTTCCAGGATCCTGCTCTTTGCCCTGCGTCCTCCCCAACACACTAACCTCGCTACTCTGGCCCACCGGCGCAATCCTAAACCCCTCTCCATCCTCCCCAAACACCTCTCGGGTATACTGATACGCCGGACCTCTCCCCCCTTTCCCATTGCCATCTCCCCTCCCATTCCCCTCCCCACCCTTAGACACCGAAAGCCAAGAGGAATTAGGATTCGGATCCCCCCCGCTCCTCACAAACGCACCCCACACATCCGCCAGTAACTGCGAGAGCAACACATCCCGAGCGTCATAGTACGCATCCACATGCTGGGTCTTGGTGTTGAGGGTTCCCCAGATCGGAAGCACGTCTGCGGCGTGGCAGGTTGCGTTTTTGGCGTTGCTTGTTCGGGGAGAGCAGGTCGGGGGCGTGGAGAGGGTGGTTTGGATGTGGCCTTTTTCTAACTTCAGGTTGTACCAGGGGGTTTGGGGGTGGTTTGTCTGGTTGGTTTGGGTGGTGTGGTTGGCTGTGCGGAGGAGGGAGGAGAGTGGACAGGTCCATTCGCTCTGGGTCAGGGCTGTTGCGGCGAGGATGCGCACGGAGTCGTTTCCCCCTTTCCCTTCCATCCCTTGCCCTCCGGGGGAAGGGGAGGTGGTGTAAGCAGACGCATTGATCAACGCACCAGCCAACGGGGCCGGGTATGCCAGCCCCAAGAGAGCGTTGAATGCCGACTGCGACGAGCCGAGCGGGGGACTGTACCGTGGGACGTAGAGGGCTGCTTCGTCGGCGACGGTGGAGAAGAGGGTTGGCACTTTATTCAGTCCACCGGACGACGAGTTGAGCAGGGAGTGGAATTGGTCGGCGATGATGCCGGATTCCGGGTCGAGGATCGGGAGGAGTGGTTCGATGGAGGCGAGGAGGGATGAGGAGTGTAGGTATTTCGACGCTACAGCGGCAGAGGCGTTGGCGATGGCGGATTCGAAGGTGGTGGAGTTATCGAGGAAGGCGGAGGATGGGAGAGAGCGGAGGCATGCGACGAGGCTGGCGTCGGAGTACATGTGGTGAGGACAGCCGAGGGCCGGGGCGAGGGCTGGGACGATGAGATCGGTGTAGACAGAGCGGGTGAACCAGGGGAGGTCGAGAGGGGCGGACTGGACGATGGCGGCGGAGAACAGGCCTTTGGCTGCTGGGGAGGACAGCAGGGCGACAACGCTCTGGCCGCCGGCGGACTGGCCGAAGATGGTGACGCGGGAGGGATCGCCGCCGAAGGAGCGGATGTGTTGCTGGACCCATTGCAGGGCGAGGATCTGGTCGCGCGTGCCGTAGTTGCCGGTCAGCGAGGAGGTGGCGAGCCAGCCGAGGACGCCGACGCGGTAGTTGACGGTGACGACGAGGACGTCGTTGCGGCTGGCGAAGTTGCCGCCGTCGTAGTCGACGATGGACGCGCTGCCGGCCGTGAAGGCGCCGCCGTAGAAGTAGACGGCGACGGGTTTGGTGGCATTGGAGGGGCCGGGGAGCACTGGGGTGTAGACGTTCAGGTAGAGACAGTCCTCAGAGATGGGCGTGTCCAGAGCGCCGAACGACGAGGACGACTGGATGCACGAGGCGGACACCTGTGTGGCTTCGATCTGTTTGGCGCCGGTATAGGGCTGCGGCGGGGCCAGACGCAGGGCATTAACCGGGGGATTGGCGAAGGGGATGCCCAGGAAGCGGAACGAGCGGGCATCGCGGTAGCCGGTGATGGTGTAGTCGTGCGAGGCGACGGAGATTCTGGACGATGGGACGGCAGCCCGGTTCTGATCCGTGGTTGGGGGGACATGCGAGGTGCAAAGGGCAGGCAGCTTGCGACTGCACGGAGTGGAGACGAAGTCCGCCTGCTCCAGGGAATATGCCAGGCAGTTGGAGGTGTTGGACGACACCCAGATATTGTCCGACTGGAGACTGTCGGAGAATATCAGGTAGTCGAATTGGTAATCCAGTTCCGTCCGGTTGGCCTTGGAGGCAGCAGCTAGAGGGTACAGCTGCTCGCCGAGGGCACCGCAGCGAGCAGACGCTTCCGCGTGGGTCACGATGTCATGGACAAAGACTGCGGACGTTCCGTTGTTCGCAGGTCCCAGGTTGTTGTAATGCAGAGCCTGGAGAGTGCCCAAGGCGTCGGCATGAGGGACCGACGGCGCAGGGGCCGCCAGAGCCTGGCCGAGGAGAGCGACGACTGTCAAACGGAGCTGAAGCATCTTGACTCTGTTCTGACAGTCCTCTAAGCAGGGGACCGCTGCTTATAACTGCATCCATGGCCAGCGGCAGCTACCAGGCAGCACTCGGAACCCCCGGAACAGCCGGGCGGTAAATATTAACCGACATCGATCTCTCACTGCAGGGAGAGCAGAGAACTGGTTTATGGGAGGGATTGCCGACGCAGCCAACAGGAAGACTTCTCTCGCCAGCGGGGATCTTGGCAAAGATGGGGTAACGGACGGACTAGAGAAGCGACGTGGGTCATTATGCATTAGGGCAGGCATTCAGGCTCTCAAGGTTTGCCCGGTTGGGTTAGGAGACAAGGTGGTTGTGAACTAATCTTGTGCATTATTTTCAATTCAGTTATTAGATAGGAGGATGAGGAAATCTCACGGATTCCCACTTTTTCAGGGCTAGTTGTCATTAGAAGAGATGATTGTAGTTTACTGTCCACAGTCGTAGATTTCAAAAGCGCTGGAGCACGTGACGTTTATATATTCCCGAGATTCTTGAACAGGCCGAAGCGGCATCCACGATAATGAGCTTCTTTCACGGAGGCATTTTGGTGTAAATAACCGAATTGATACCGTAGATTGGCTATCGGAGTCACAATGCTGCAGTTTTGACCTCAACATGATTTGAGGATGGAATGGTGAGGACTGAGGGTCAATTGAGGACTGTGAGTTCCTGCCTCAGGCTAGTGTTGCCTCTTTCGGGATAGTCCCGTACACCGTATCGTCACCACCGCCGAGTGTATGAGAACTGCCCTGTTCCAACCCTCAGTTGATAACATTCATCCCCGACAAAATGTCTGAGAAGATTGTCCTCCCGAGCATCGCCGAGATCGAAGCATCAACTGATCTCCTCAGCGACCCCAGCAGATCCGTCAAGGTCGTCCGAGTAAGAGAGCGCTTCGCAGTCAAAGTGGGCACCTCCATCGCGCCGCTAGAAGCCGAGAACATGAAGTTCGTGGCTTCAAACAGCCAGGTCCCGGTCTTAAAAGTCCATGATCATTTCGTCGATCCGCAGACCTAGAAACGATACATCATCATGGATCATCTCCTCGGTACCGATTTGCAGAAGTTAGCGCCGTCCCTTCCGCAAGACCAGAAGAAGACGGTCAGCAAACGCATCAGAGGCCCTAGATGAACTGCGACGGATCCCTTCCCACGGGTATTTTGGGAACTTGAACTGCACGCCGTACTACGAGGGTATTCTCTCTACCCTGGATCACGACCCGAGCATATCTGGTCCCTTCGACAGCGAGGACCAATTGAACCAAGGCATCCTAAAATGTCTAGGGCAAAGGGAGTCGCCGCACTGCGCGAACCGATCCATCGCACACTCAGTGGACACAAAAATGTCTTCACACACGCGGACCTCCAGCCGAAGAACGTGATGGTTGAGCAGAAAGGAGTGTGTGAAGATGGAAGTCCGGATTATCAGATAACACTGCTTGACTGGGCTCTGGCTGGCTGGTATCCCGAGTACTGGGACTATTGCAACTCGACGGTCTACTGCCAGGGCAAACATGAGTGGCTTGAACTGGTCCCGGATATCTTCGATGAGTATCCAGTGGAATACCTCATGATGCGAATCTTCTACACGTCAATGTTTTACTAAGACATGTGCATTTCCATTCAACAGAAACGCACGTCCTGAGCGCGTAGTAGTAAGCTGGGAAAAAGGGTTTGCGTTCCTGGGCTAGAAAGTAGCCCCAAGAGCAGGTTCTAGGTACGACATCCCACCAGCCATTCCGGTTCAACCATTAACTAATCGGCGATTTAGGGTACTGGAGACTGAAGTATGAAGGTTTCATGATTGACGCGGTTCAGTTCGGAAAGCGCAATTTAAAGAATTAATAGGAGATCTATTGAAGATCATGACTATGCTGCGTTCTTGGTTCGCAAGGTCTTAGCCGCGAATCAATAGAAAGGTGTGCCTTTCCCTACTTCGGCATACTCCGAAGTAGACAGAAAATTAACCGTTCATGTACAGATCAAGTGCTTCCTTTGCGTTCGAAAAGTCCCCCCTCCAGCAACCCAATATGACGTTCCCACCGAAAAGGTCAGACACATCAGGAAAAAGATGGTTTTTGTATCGCAGTTCAATCTCACGGTCCACTTCGTGCTGCCGTAGCATTTGTGCTTCAATGACATCCGGATCATCCGACATGGGTCCCACAAGTTCGCTGTACGGGGATCTACCAGCAACCAACTCGTATAGCGTAGACCCCAGAGCAAAGATGTCGGAAGCCTCAGTGTTAGGAAGATGGTAATCTCGTGGTAGGCAGTGAGACGCTTTTTCGTAGCCGAGTGCGGGGTGACCTGGGAGCTGAGAAGAATTGAAGTCGCCGAGTCGTACATTTAATTTATCATCGAGGAAAAACTGCCGCAGTGCTAGGTCAGAACGAATGACGCCGTGGCTGTGAATAACGACGATAGCTTCTAGGATCTGCTGGAACCATCTGGATCGCAGTTCGGCGGTGATTGTGTGTTTCTGACAGTAATTCGCAAGGTCGCCGTGGCGATAGTATTTGATGTCGATGTAGTCGGATCCTCTGGAGAGCCATTCAGCGATCCGTGGGTGAACGCCCAGAATGTCGTAAACCATGGCTTCGCGGATAATCGGTTGCATGTCTTCTTCACTCTCACTCCGAGGGACCTTTCTGATGATCTTGTTGTCCAGAAGGTATACTTCAGCGAAGATTCCGATAATCAAGAGCTGGTGATTATCCGGGTGGGTAGCTTGTCGAATAGTAATCTTGTGAGAGTCATCTTCGGAAGACCGGGCGACACTCTAAGAAGTAAAGTAAGCAAGAAGACCCGAATCCGACGAGATTAACTGACAGATTGCAGTGGCTCTTCATCACCGGATTCCTGGCCTCCCTTTTTTGTTGTTGAAAATGAGAGGGATAGGCGTCGTGGCCAGAACGCACAACTGGAAATACTCGAGATGAAGTGCCAGATCGAGGACCATATAGGCCACTGCAGCCATTGAAGTGTCCACATAAGGAGCGACAAGGAAAGATGCACAAGCGATTCCTTGCAGGGTTGTGGTGACCTCTCGTCCAGGCAACCTACCTAGCCCAGGTAGTATAGAAGCGACCAATCACATGATACAGCCTGATTGGTAGAACTTCGGTTCGGGGTATCTTCATTATTCATGCATAAACTCCGGAACTGGTTAGTGCAACACTGCAGTCTGACTCAGCATGTCGTCACGGGTCCCGCACCCGCACATCCTCGGTCCTTCTGCCCGGTGGCGATCGACACCCCGGATTCAGGCGGAGTCACTCCATCTTTCTTATATCCATCATGATCACCAGTTGACTTGTGGTCATCTATGCACCATGAAAGACCCCAGAGGTGCCGTGCGCCTGGTCGAAGTAGGTCCGCGGGACGGCCTGCAAAACATCAGGGATCACGTTCCCACCTCCCTGAAGATCGAGTTGATCCGCAAACTTCATCGGACGGGCCTGCGCGCCATCGAACTAACCTCCGTAGTCTCGCCTCGCGCCGTCCCCCAGTTGGCCGACTGTCGCGACGTCCTGCGGAATGACGGCATCCGCCATCTGCTCGATCAGCCCCTGCGTCTGCCGGTCTTGGTCCCCAACCTGAAGGGCTTGGAGGTGGCGATAGAGCATGGGGCTCAGGAGGTGGCCGTGTTTGTCAGCGCGTCGGAAGGATTCAGTCGAGCGAATATCAACTGTTCGGTGCGACAGGGCATCGAGAGAGCGAGGGCGGTCGCTCACAGGGCGGCTCAGCATGGCCTTGCTGTCCGAGGGTGAGTCATTTGTCGTTGTCTCATTGACGTCAGCTGACGGGTTAGATACGTATCGTGTATATTTGCCGACCCCTTCGATGGACCGACGTCGCCGTCCGCCGTGCTTCATTGCGTCAGGGAACTACTGGATATGGGATGCTACGAGGTTAGCCTGGGCGATACACTAGGGACCGGCGCTCCGGACACTGTGCGAAGTCTCGTAACATACCTGGTCGACAGCCATGTCCCGGTTGACCGGCTGGCCGGTCATTTTCACGACACCTATGGCCGCGCTGTAGCCAACGTCTGGGAGGCATACCGCTGCGGACTGCGCGTGTTTGACAGCAGCATCGGGGGTCTGGGCGGCTGTCCTTTTGCCCCGGGTGCGGAAGGAAACGTCGCCACTGAGGACTTGGTTTACATGTTCCATTCCGAAGGCATCGAAACAGGCGTCAATATCCTTCATCTCTTGCGAACCGGCGTGTGGATCTCACAGGCCCTGTCCAGACCATATGCCACGAGGGCTGGACGGGCTCTAGCGTTGAAGCACAAACTGCTGCCCCCTGCCGTCCACACCACCGTGCAGCCGGTCATCCATCCCACAACTAAGTGGTCGCCTGTTGGAAAGGCGTCTAATTACGACCGCCTTTTAGTATATCGCTCCGGCAGTAACTTGAAGGTGGTGTTGAATCGCCCGAAAAAGGGAAATGCCCTGACACCCAATATGATTGTCGACCTGGTCAATCTGATCGAGAAATGTAATAAGGAACCTTCCATATCGCGGATCATCATGTCGGCGAAAGGGAGGTTCTTTTGCATGGGAGTGGACTCGCCGGGCCCCAAAAGCCCACTCGATCAGCTAACGCGGTTATTCAAAGTCATCGAGCATTCGCCGAAAACCACGATTGCGTGTATCAACGGACCCGCCTTTGGTGCTGGGGTCGGCTTGGCCCTCTCGTGCGATATTCGCCTGAGTGTCAAAACGGCAGCCTTCACCGTGGATCAAGTCGGTTTGAGTGGAGGCTTCGAATCGAAACCGGCCGACCATCCTGTCACTGCGGCGGAGTTGAAGTCTCTAGGGGTGATTGCAGAGGTTGCAGATGATGTCGACGAGCTGCAGGACTGCTTGAACAAGCTGCTTATGCGGCTGCGGACGTCGCCATCCACGGCGTCGCGCATTTCCGCGCGGTTGATCCGCCTGATCTGGGCTCACATCGGACGGGACGGACGGGAGGCGGGCGTAGACCAAGTAAATGAGTTTCGGTCTGAGTCGAATGAGATGAGGGTTGCTATTGGATGTGCGCAGTAGCTGTGGTTAACTGGCAGGGTGTACATTTTCTTTTGCTTATTGCGGGCGATTTGCTGCTGATAGATAATGAATTTAGATTTGACATTGACTACTTAAGAGGACAACATAAAAACGTGCTTCATACTATACCATTAAGGCACGGTTTATAAGCGATTCTGTCGATAGAATTCCAAGTTGGGCGAAGCTTAGGTCCCGACTAAGATAGACCCCTGCTAGACGATCCTTATACCCCTCTTTACGGCTATCTTCACCTCACCACATTACCATGGTTCTGCGATCAGATACATCCCCGTTCACTCCCGAGTTCGACACTCTGGTGCACAAGCAGCTGGAAAAATGGAAAGTCCCAGGCCTGACCATCGCCATCGTCCATGGCCCCAGAGCCTATTCCAAGGTACATCACCTCCACCGAACACCCTGACAGCACACCACTGACGGACCAGGCCTACGGTATTGCTGAATTCCCAGCAAAGAAAATGACTACCGGCTCGCTCTTCTCCACCTGCAGCACCACCAAAGCCTTCACAGCCGCAGCCGTATCCCTAGCAATCGACGATAGCAATATATCATGGGACACGCCCATCTCCACCCTCATCCCCGACGACTTCGTCCTCGCTAATGAGCACGCCACTACCAGCACAACCCTCGAAGACGCCCTCTCCCATCGCTCCGGCCTACCAGGCCACGAATCTGCCATGGCAATGGCCAACCCGAGGGAAACCCTCCGCGACGAAGTACGCAAACTCAGATCCCTCCCTCTAGCCACGTCCCCCCGCTCGACCTGGGCCTACTGCAACCACATGTACATGGCCGTCTCACACGCTCTCGTGACCCTTACGCATCAACCACTCGGAACCACGCTGAAACACCGCATCTGGGGCCCTCTGGACATGCACCACACCTACTTCTCCATCGCCGAGGCCAAGCAATCACCCGACGCGAGGTCCTTAGTCCGGGGCTACACCTTCGTCCCTGATCTCAACACCTACATCCCCGAACCACACATGAACTACGCCCCGACCACCGGCGCCGGGTCCATAGTCAGCACCGTCCTCGACTACGCAAAGTGGATCCGATCGTGGATCCATTGCTCGGGTCCGCTGTCTAGCACTGCATACGCATCATTGCTCACGCCTAGGTCAATCATCACAAACGACGAGGGGCTAGTTGTTCCGGACGCGCCGTACCATCTCTACGCGCTAGGCTGGTTCGTCGATCAGATTCGCGGAGAGCAGCTTTACTGGCATAGTGGCAGTTGGCCCGGGTTTGGGATTATGGTTGGTTTTGTGCCGGGCAGGGAGTGGGGGTTTGCGATGATGGGGAATGCGGTGGATGCGAGGGAGGTGGAGAAGGAGATTTATTTGTATTTGATTGGGAGGTTGCAGTCGCAGTCGCAGTCAGGGGGAAATGGGTGTGATGGTCTGCGCGAGGATAGGACAGCTGGAAAGAAGGAGCCGGGCAAGAGAACTGGAACTGGAACTGGAGCTGAGAGTGTAGAGGAGGCGAAGAAACGCGTCTTCCCTTCTCTTCCGGATCCGCTGCTTCCGCATGTCCTACCTCTGCATCTATACGCTGGAACGTATAGAAACGAGGGCTACGGATCCTTCGGGCTAGTGGCTGAGAAAGGGAGGCTAGGTGCTGATCTGACAGATAGAGCGATAAGACAGAAACTGGAGTTCGAGCATGCGAGCGGCGAGTTCTTCGTTTGTTTGGCGTATGTTCCGGCGCAGGGGAAGGGCCTGGGACAGAAGTTTCAGGCGGAGTTTTATGTTGATGTCAATGGGACGGCCAGAAGGGTTGGTGTGGATTTTGAGCCTGCGCTGGGGGGAGAGAAGATTTGGTTTGAGAGGGTTGGTTGATTTCCTTTTTTCTTTGTACTTTGGGTGTAGGTTTGACGGTGGGATGCTTCACCACAATAGAGTTAACATTGACCTGTCATAATCTGGTCCGCTGGAAAAAGATATATATGAAACTGTATATTGAAACTTGGAATTTGAGATCGCCTTAAAGAAGCAGAACAAACTAGAGTTGTCACTGAACAATCGGCGGTAATGTGATTTGCCGCTCTCAGCATCTCAACAGTGTACGTCAACAGCTACAAAGACAAGTAAGGGGGTAAGCAAACAAACGTTGGAATACGTTTGTGTAGGCACCGTGTAGGCAGCAATCTCATGCAGTAGTCGTGGTAGGCATCAAGTAGCTTTTTCTCCATTTTTTATTTGCTTCCATAAAAGATGGGTCCTTGAAATATCTTCTGCATTCATAACCCTTCTATTATTTCTACTTTACCTCAATCGAAGCTTGAAGGCACAAATCACTACCTAGTTCCTTTCGTTTCGAGCTGCAGTGGTTTTGCGCTACAGCATTTGGAATTATATCGATTCCATCAAGTGCCCCTTGATCTTCCTTAACCCATACCGTGGAACCCAAGCCTAAAAGAAGTGTCGCAGGAGTAAGGAATTCTGTTTATTGTTCCATCGCCCCGCAAAGCTTCAGGAACCTTTCTTCTTTTGTTGTTGCTTCTTCCCAGGCCAGCAATTATTTTTCTACATCGATTTCACCAAGCATGTCCTTTTACGATCAAACCCTGGGAATGTTGACTGGAGCAACGATACCATCCAGCAAAACCTCTACATTGTGGTCGCTAGGCAAAATATTGACATACAAGACTCGAGTCCACGATGAAAACGAAGGCAGTATCGAAGAGATCACAGGGACCTGTATAGCAACCCAGGTGGCTGAACAGCCCACTCCAGATACAGAGGTAATGGAAGTAATAGTAAAAATCAAAATACAGTACATCGCCCCTCTGCTTATAATGACAAACGACAGCTAATTAAAATATAGGCTCACCCCATGGGATAACCCCGACATCCAAACGATCAGTAGCGAGGCTTGGCGCGAGATTGAAAATCTTGAAGAATTAACGAAAGCCGAATGCAGCTCGACTCCAAGGCTGATTGAATATTTTTCCTACAAGCAACATAACCAGATGTACTGTCCTGGCGGGTATATTGTGTTTATTGTGATGGAAAAAGTCCCTGGACACGATCTGCAAAACTTTGAAGCTCTCCCACTCGAAGAGCGGGACAGCGTGAGAATTGCATTTATCAGAGCCTTATGGTAGGAGCTGTTTATCTTGAGTTCGCTATTTTCCTTTCAAACTTTCTGACAACTAGACGACAGGGAGTTCACGGAGCAAGGATTTGTTCACGAGGATCCTCGCCGAGAAAATATTATTTGGGATAAAGCCTCCCAACGATGGTACGTATGTTATTAACAATATAAGCTATTACTAATCGAGTGATAGTGTTATTGTAGACCTCGAAGATGTTTGGAACATGGAATTACCCAAAGGGGGAAATATTACCCTGGATCCAGTGAACGAGCTTTCCTTGTGGTGGTTAAACTCAGGAGTCGCACAACCAGTGGATGGTCATTCTATGGATGATCCAATGATGCCAGAACCGCGCAAGGAAGGGTGGACTTTCAACAGCCTGGAAGAAGCAGTAGCATTTCTTCAGAGCGGAAGAGGCATAAGCTTAAGTTAGAATGATTGCCCTTGCAGTACCATGTCTCTATCATTGAGAAAAGGTGCTGTATGTGCCGTCTGTGTCCACAGTTGTCAGACTTCGCCATCTGCGAAGTAGGAGATATATCCTAGTCAACACGGCAGAGGCCTGGGGCCGTTTGCGGCATCCCGCTAACCGTGTCATCGTTTTATATTATAAATTGCAAGCGCTTCATATTTAGGCTCTTATCGGTCCTGCCCGAAGATCCAGAATCTGCATCGAAATCATGGATAGCAGTGACTAAAGGGGTTGAATGTTTACCAGTTGGAGGCCGGGTGATCGGGTGTATATTTCTCCGCCCTAGGGCGTGCAATGATTGGCCAGAATCGACGGCGGCCCCTTTCAGCTCACGACACGATCCGAAAAGAATTTATGAGCATTATGGCGACTGAAGAAAAAGGCGCCGGTTGTATTGCATCCAAAAACCAATATATCCATCTCTCTCCGCTGTCATGGAACAAACCTGGGCGACCGGTGCTTTCTGGTATACATTGGCACTTTCAAGTCCCTCCGGATTGTTTACTATTTTTAAAGAGCACATCCGGCCCATGTTCTGCAAAGACTACGTCGAAGAGTTCAATTTGATCAAGCCATTTTTCTGGGCCAAGAATGTGGGATATGTGGCAGGCTCCAAACTGTCTGACAAGGAGCAGTACGATTCAGAGCTCGAACAAGCGTTTGCAGCAACTAGCTAACAGCGGTATCTTGAGCGTTGCCTTTGGTGGAACTCCTTTGGCTTTATCACTTCGGATTCTGCTTCAATTGCAACTCCAGGTGCTCGTTTTCCTTTCAACTGGCTTTACTCTCATGAGCTGAACAGTTAGAGGATTTTAACACCAGCCTAGACCGAAAAACAACTCTTTCCCTGGCTTGACCGGGAGAACTTCAGTCAGCCATCGGGAATTATGGTACTGACAGATTCTGAACACTTGGCGATGCTCCAGGGCAATGGATATCGCCTGCCCCACTAGCTCCTGGTGGGCTCGGGTTGTTTAGGACTTCTCTAGATCGATCACCCGTAAGATCATTATTGCAGGCACGAGCTACTTCCTGATATACAGAGGCAACAGTCAGAAGGCTGCAATAAGGTATACCTATAGACTGGCTCCAGTACGTGCCTAGTATGTGGGTCCGATCATCTAATTGACTGACCTATCGATCAAGTTGCAGGCTCCAGCAGTCCAGGCACTGCACTAGCACTGTGGGACCAGACCCGTGGGAATTTAGAATTTACTATGAATTTGCCACTATACCACCAGCTAGGTTGGGTTATGGGTGGTCATCTAGAGTGGTGGCAGCCAAACAGCCCAGGCAGCACATGCGATCGGCTTCCTGCCTGATGATGCCTGGCCCCAGATCCCGTGCCTGCTTGGCGGTGACCCTTTTGGCCCCACGGCACGCACTAACCCGATCGGGGAATTCCATCACAGAGCTTAAATATCGGAGACGATCTGCACTTCAAGTCAGAACTTTCATCTCCTATCCATCCAGGTCTGCTTCATTGTCCTGCCAGACCTGCAAATATAAGCCCGGAACCCACCAACTCATAATGTCTTCCACTCTTCCATCCCTCCCTGTAAAGCACCACGATCTCGTGCCCTGGATTCGCAACCACCCTGACACCCCAATTGACGAGCTCATAAAGCCGTACAACGAACATGAAGCTGTCGTTCGGAAGCTCTTCGCACAGGAGCCATCGAATCCTCTTCTTCAAAACAACCACCTCAACATAACCCCTTTATACGACCAAACTGGCAGCAATGACGTCAGAACTAGGGCCCGAAACCCGGCAGCCGAAACCCCTGAGGTTCGCGAGAAGTATGTCCTGCCGTTGAGAGACGACGCTCGACGACCCAATGGCTCTCCAGCCATCGTTCCCAGTCTCAATGAGTTCAAGAAGAACTTCAATATCTTCTCCGAGCTCTCGCTCAGTGACATGGACTGGAGCAACGTCGTGGTGGCCGGCAGCGCGGTGGTGACTTCGTTACTGCCGGTACCGGAGAAGTATCGCAGCTCGAAGCGTGCTTTGCGACAGTTCTACCATGATAAATTTGCGCCGGCGTCGGATGTTGATCTCTTCCTGTACGGACTGACCGAGGAGGAAGCGATTGCTAAAATCAAGTTGATTGAGGATAAGGTGAAGAATGCCATCTTGTATGAGACGACGACGGTGCGCACGAAAAACACCATCACCATTGTGTCGCAGTACCCGACGCGTCACGTGCAGATAGTACTGCGCATTTACAAGTCCATTGCCGAGATTTTGACCGGTTTCGATGTTGACTGCTCATGTGCCGCGTACGATGGCAACCAGGTCTATGTGTCGCCACGGGCGTTGGCGGCGTATGTGACCCAGACAAATCAAATCGATCTGAGCCGACGGTCACCTTCATACGAAAATCGACTGTCGAAGTATTCTCATCGGGGATTTGAGATTTTCTGGCCGGCGTTGGATCGGTCGAGAGTTGATCCGGTGAGCCGTACTCAATTAAGATCAGCGCTAGATGGTACTAACGAATTTAGACTATCTTTGAAAGAAGCTTTTCAAGAACCGTCGGTCTGGCCAGACTTCTTGTTCTTGAGAAGCTGCCCAGATCCTCCGACAGAGAACAGTACATGGACCAAAGACGCCAGGAGCGAGGACGCCCTGCGCGGGTGCAGCGAGGACGCAATGGGCTGAACGGCAATATCAAAGGCGACTGGGAGGACGAGACGCCGGAGTGGATGGAGGGCGATGAGGTCTCGGAGTACAATACAGTGGTAAGTACGTCTACCTGGTGTGTTGCTGCTTCTAACATGTCAGACCATACCCTATGGACCTAGATTTCATGCGAAGAGAATCGAGAAACTTCTCTACACTAAAGATCTGCTCCTGAATGCGGAGTGGAATAAGCCCAAAACCAGAGAGGTGCATTTGCACCGCCATCCGGCGTTCTTTGGCACTGTGGAGGATGTCATCCATGACTGCTGCGGCCACTGTCCGGAACCAGTAACTCCTGAGGAGAAAGAGGTGGCGGGAAAAGAAAGCAAGACGTACATCTCGGGTGAAATCTCGTTCATCAAAGATGATCCTGGCCGTCAGGAAGTTGGAAGCTTCAATCCCATCACGGAGACTGATTGGACGGGTAAGTTCTTCACAGGAAGTTCAGACAGAGCTAACGGGACTAGAAATGGCATACATCGGAAACACCGAGCGTCTGTGCCACGCCATTGTGGACCACGACTTGGATGCCGTCAAAGATTGGCTCGCTGGGGAACCAGCGGATCCTAATAGTCGCGACTACACCGGGCGAGCGCCGTTGCATCTCGCTTGCATGACCTCCACCCCAGCCATTGTTCAGTGTCTGGTTGACCACGGCGCTCGATTGACTGCCCGTGTGGCAGACGGTCGGACGGCTCTTCATATTGCGGCTGCCCGAGGTAGTGTGGACATAGTCAGAATCCTACTGCATAAGAGCGAGGAGAACGAAGCCGAGGAGGATAAGAAGGCAGAGTTGCGAAGGGCCAAGACAGCGCAGGATGCTGAAGACGCTCTTGAAGATACTGACGAAGATGTTGAAGTCATCAGCAACAAGGACGGCGCAAGCTCGACCGGATCATATGTCCACGTTGAAAAGGAATCTGAAGATGCTGACACCCTGCCTGGGGATGAGAACAACGAAGAGCCAGATATTTACGATATTAATGTCATCTCCTGGGACACCCGCACTTCTCCACTGCATCTGGCCATCCTCCACGGACAGGTTGGCGTCGTGGAAGAGCTAGTCAGCTCATTCGGCGCAGACGTCCTGCTGCCGATCAAGCTCCTCAACAGCTACGACAACAACCCCCGAGCAGCTATCCTCACCTTGGTTTTGGCCCTTCGACTGCCTATGGAACAAGCAAAAGCGATGACCGAAAAGCTTCTCCGGCTGGGTGCCACGCCGACCCAGGCAGATCTGGACCACAACACCCCGTTGCATTATATTGCTGCCACCTCTTACCATGAGTTACTCGATGTGTTCGTCAAGTACAACAAGCCGGCCACCCAAAAGGCACTCAACCATTGCGCCACAAACGGCCAGACCTGGAGGCCCATCATGTACTCGACCCTGATGATGGCGATCGCCGCCAAAGACAGTGCCACTGCCGTAAGCCTGCTCGAACACGGAGCCCCTCCGTTCCTCGCCTTTGAGAACTGGTTCAAGTCGGCGGCGGCGGGGGCGCCTTACATCCGCAGTAACCAGGGAGACACAAACATGGAAAACTTCCGGCACGATACGACGCAGCCTATTGTCCAGGCGGTCTTCGAGGAGCTCCCGACAGTCGTTCTCGAGGTCTTAAAACGTGGCGCTGATCCGAATACACTGAGCCCTAGTGGTCACAAGGTGCGTGATTCGGGCTATGAACCGAGATATGACATGGGGAAGTCTCTGTTGGATTGTGTCCGGGATAAACTGCAGGAACTGCGACAATATAAGGGCGAACACCAGGTAGGTTCGGATCTGCGTCAGCTTGAACCGCACGAGGTCTATCTCGACGGCCTCCAAGAGGGATCTTACAAGATGTGGGTGGCCAAGGAGCAAATCCAGGATGCGGAAGCCGAGTATGAAAAGGAAATGGAGAACCAGCGGCAGCGGGCCCGAAGGTATGGGGAGGAAGAAGGTGTAGAAGAGAAAAAGGAAGCTGTCAGCAGTCTAATTCAGGAGTTCGAGAGGGTAGAGCAGACGTTGGTGGACATGCAGGCGAAAACCTTCCGCGAGATATTTCCCGACATCGAACCGGCTAAACCTGCAGACGTGTCAAACTCGCCACCCTACACCCCCGAGCCTTTCAAGCTGAAGTTTGACTTTCACATTCACGAACTGACGGACGAAAAGCGAGTGGGGTATTTCAAACTGTGAGTCCCAGACCCGAAATCCCGGGATAGACAGGGCTAATTCCATTAGATTCGAGGCAGCGTGGAGCGGCGATCTTCCGACGGTTCAAGCGCTGACACTGGGAATGTGGGGTGACGAAAATAAACAACAGCCCCTTCAGATTAGCGCTATGGATTGGAATCGCATGACACCGTTCTCTATCGCCGTACTGCGCGGACATCTCGAGATGGCAAACGTCATGCTGGAGATCGCGCAGGCACAGTACAAGGTGGTGGAGACGAAAAGGGATCAGCGGTATGAGATGGATGATGCAAGTGACGAGGGCGACAGCGACAGTGACGGTAGCGAAGGGATTCGCATCACCAGCGAGGTTGTCGATGATAAATTTACCGTCGATGATATCGGAGCTTTGGATTTCGATGCCGGAAGCACAGACTCTCCGTCCGACATGCTGGGTCGATTATACCCCGTGTCAATCTTTATACAGAAAGCGAACTCCAGCTTCGGGCAGAAGCGGTTCAAGTATGACGGCCTTTTCGAGTATGCCATCTGGACAGACAATGCCCCTGTCCTGGCATTATTACTTGAGATGGGACAGAAGTACCAGGCTAGGGATGAGGAGACGGAACCTCGGATCTACACCATAGACGAGGATCTTGTGTACATGGCGATCGAACATGGTCGAACTCGTTGTCTGGAAGAGATAATCAGTCGTACTGGCGCGGATCTGCCTATCAACGAGCTAGTCAAGAATAGTGGCGTGCAACTGCAGGAGAAGCCCAAATACTACCAAGGCCTGTCAATCCACGGACGGAAGCGTGCCGACTGGGCCGCTGGTGGCAGAGAGACACACCAGCCGGATACCAACCAGACTCCGCCGCTACTCGTTTCTGCATTCCGAGGAAGCCTTCCCAGCTGCGAGTATTTCCTTGGGACGGCTCCAGCACGGCACTACCTGAACTTTACCAAGAGCCATGCAGAGGACAAACGGTTGAAGCTGCTGGCTCAATCCAGCGATGGAGTGGAAAAGTCAATCACCAAGTGGCTGAGCACAAGAAGTATGTACCCCCTCACGCCTAGTTGGCATAGCTGACTGTTTAGGTCACCTGGTTCTGCACTGCGCCGTCATGGCCAAAACGACTCCCGAATCGACAGAGCTCGTCCAGTACCTCATCACCCACCACACCGAATGCATCGAGGCGAAATCCCTGGCAGGGCACACTCCGCTAGCTCTCGCATATGCCCTGCGTCGCGTTGAATTTGCCAAACTGCTCATCAACGCAGGAGCTAACCAGGCCATCCGAGACGGGAGCGGGAACAACCTGGTCCATCTCATGCTCTGCGGCATGGAGAGCGATGGCCTCGAGGTTCCCGACAACGTGACCAAGCTCCTGAGCCTGCTCGACACTCGCCTAGTATATTCCATGCTCACCGAACGCTCGTCCGACGGGCCCGGATCTCTGACCCCCCTCGCCCGCTGGATAAATGAAACCCTCGGACGGCGTTACTACAGACGAGGGCTAAACTTCAACCTGGAAACCGACGAACGGGTGGAAATCGTCCGCTCCATCCTCGACTTCGCCGCGCCCACCAACCAAAAACACCTCGAAATGCTCGACGGCACCGGCAACACGCCCGTCCACGACGCCGTCAAAGCCCAGGTCCCTCGCATCTTCGAACTGATGATCGACCGGCGCCCCGACCTGCTGCACCGCGAGAACTCCACCGGCACCACGCCCCTGGAGCTCGCCGTCGACGCGTGGGTCACCGAAGCCACGGCAAACCCACCTTCCCTGCCCAGCAAAACCTCATCCGACTTCTGGGACGGCCGCGAGGACGAATGTCGGCCTGTGGTCGACCGCGATCCCGCAAGCTTCCTCCCCAAGCCACCGCTGACCAGCGAGCGCAAGACGATCTGCGATATAAGTCGCGCACGGGCCGGCACTAGGTCGGAGAAGCGGAAACTGGTGAGCTTGAACGAAGCCAACGAGGTGGCCAAGCGACTAGCGGTGCAGAGCGAGGCCAAGGCGCGGGCGGCGAGGGATATGGAGCGGCGGAACGGTGATGATTATGTGGAGGAGGTCTTGAGAACGGATGAGGTCATGAAGTGGTATGGAACGGCGAGGTGCTATGGTTGATCTTTTTTATCGAGGTGAGCGACGGATATGGCGGATTAGCATGATGAGGTGAGGATGGGGATTCTGTCATGGTGGTACGATCGACGAGATCAGACAAGACTTTTACCCCGCAGGACAAGCCACTAAATGTATCTTAGCACGAAGCAATCCTTATGGCGGATAAGTATCCTGCGGAAAAATCAGCTGTCCTATTGGATGGGTAGGTATGGTGTGGTCACTTCATCCTTGCTGGATTGTGATTCTCTTCTGATTCAGTAGATGGAAATATCGCCTTCGCATCGCGGGCCTTTGAAATTGTAGAACACGGATCTCATCCGAGGTAAGTACTTTGATATCCCAACTCCATTGAGTGGGTTTGAAATCCTCCAAGCTAGGTAAGTAGTGGAAGAATTGGAAGCTGAATAGACTCGATAATGTTATCAGCATTGCAAATCCACGGGAGGAGTGGATTCAGCATCAAGAAACGATTTTCAACTAGTTACAGCCGTGCCTAACCCTTGTGTGTCAAATCAGTCTGCCAGAGAGGAGCAATCACTTCTCTGTCCCGACACGAGTAGTTGAGCCAGAAAAAGGTCCTCAATCCCAAGTTCCCTCAGCACCGGAATCGCACCAGTTTCCATCAGGCATACCCGACCTTCCCTCGGCCTCAGCTTCAGCCCAGCCTCCATGAGTGGAAAACGGAGCGAAGAAAATATCTTCTTCGCGTGGACCTGCAGAAATTTAGTCAATCAGTCCAAAGCTGAATGGAGTTAAAACTTACAATCAACAGTCACGATATTCCCCTCCCTAGAGCTCCATTGGATGAAGGCACATGGATACGGGATTTCCCCGTCGACTCTCCTCCCCCGATACGAGCCCATCGACGACGGAAGAACGTTGATGAGAACCTCGGACATTCGGCTCATCGCAACGTTCCCGCGGTTGTTGTCGGTCGTGAATCCCATATCAGAAAAGGTATTCGATGCCGTGACTACCCAGTCATAAATGACCACCTTCGCTTCCTTGCCCTGCATGGAGTCCGTGGTGGCTACTTTGGGGAGCTCGGATCGCGGCAAGACCCCCTTCTGCACGAGCTCAAATAGAGACTGTCGATATCTGATGACCTGAGCCTTGTATGGGGTCATCACGACAATGTCCTTGCCCGGATAGCCGTGCGATCTAAAGTTCTGCAATAAGAGCTTTAATACCCACAGGCGGTTCTGGTCATTGTAACGGGAGTTCGTGCCCGCGTCCTTGTTGCAGGTTGACCCAGCGACGCTGACTACGATGTGTCCGAGATCGAGGTTTGGGTTCTTCAGATCGAGGACCGTTTGCATGGCATCTAGGAACTGGGGGTTGACTGTGATCTTAGCCGTCGACGAATGGCTCTTCATTTGACCCTCATATGTCCTGTGATTAAGCTATTTTAGAAAGCAGGGACGGAATCGGAACTGCTCTGTCAACTTCTGCACAGGGTGTTTCATAGCAATAAGTCTCGCGGGAAAGGACATGGTGAGCTGCTGTGCGAACTCATTGTACCGTTCAGAAGACTGACGGGAAGCAGCCACAGGATGCAACTGCTTCGCATCACCGCAGCTTATAATTCCCTGAATCAAGGGTCCTGCTTTAAGCAAGCCGATTGGAACCCAGCCGTTTGGTTCCAGCTCCTTGTGGTCTTCGTCACGGATCACGAAGATTCCCTGCGCGGAATTGCCAAAGTTGCTAGCAATCATTGGATCGCCCATGTTATTGTTCGTAGAGACTAGGACCTTGGCTTCACGAATCACCTGTTTTGAAGCTTTCTTGAACGCTAACACGGCCTTGCGTCGACTAGTGTCGTCGATCTGACGGAAAGTCTGCTGCTCGATGAATCCGACATAGTTGCGCAGGATTGCAAGTACGTCTTCTTCCTTGCCCTCGGGGTCAAGGTCCCCAGCTTCGATCGAGTTAAAAAGATCGTTTTTTGATTCCCGCATTTGCTTCTTCGAAGGGAAACCCTCGATCAGCTCTCGGCCTTCAGTGTATGCAAGGCGGAACACATGCGCTTCCAAGGATTTATCGGGGATTCTAAAATCCGTGTTCATTTCCTGCTCTTTGATGGCCGCGAGCGTTTCAGCCATGCTGATCTGGCTTTCTAGAGTAATGAGCTCTTGAACAAAGTCGTCACTCGTAGCATCAAGAGTCGGCTTTGCGGCCGTGAACTCTTTGGTATCGATGTCAACAGCGTTATCGTCACGACTGTGTGCGATAGGCATTCCGTGCACGCGAAACGCTCTAGCATCGGAGACAGGACGATATACCCTCACTGGATCTAGGTTAATCCCGGTACGCTCGGCCCATTTATCCATTGACTCGCAGATAGCCTCAGCAGCAGAATGACTTGGGGCAGTGAATATCACGTGTATGCCAAGGGTCATCAATATTGAGGCGATGGCCACGAGGGTAAACGTTTTCCCAGTACCAGGGAAATTCTACCAAAAGGACCCTGTTCGGGAGCGACTCGATCGACCTGATGCAGTCGATCTGGCTGGCTGACCACTCTATGCCCGAGCCTAAGACTGCGTCGATGGCTGCCTGTACCTTTGCAGTTGGAATACCTATGGCTGCAAATGGGGAGATGGATTGTCGGGGGCCAGCTTCCTGGTTGAGAGCAACTCTGGAGAGTGCCTCGAGGTGTGCATCGGGTGTGAACAGACGGTTCATAGCATCGACCTGTCTCATTGCACCTGACTGAGGGACCGAGATCGCCAGATTGGCGGGAAGAAAGCGAAGTCGCTGACCGACCTGTACTGCAAATGCAGAGTAAAATGACACGTTTCCGCCTGGGATCAAAAACAATGGCCCGGATGTGTAAGGCAGGTCGAATATATTATGGACCAAAAGTCCTCTGCATCGAACATCGCCAAGAGTCATTTTTTTCGGGGGCCGGAATGCGATTTCAACGGCCGTGTTCTCGCGTGGAACCCACTTATCAATACCCATGCTTTCGGGCATATCGAGCTTCACGAGGCCCAGGATAGTCGACGGCTTGATAAGGATAAATGCGACAGAGTGCCGTCTGTCAGAGAGAGTCTGAACGATCTCGGCCTCTCGCCTCCATTCAAGGAAGGCAGCGTAAGTGAACACGACCTGTGCTTCAGCGCGCGTGGCGAAGGAGGTATACGGAGGAATAGACACGAGTCCGTTGCCTTCGTCTGCGATGATCTGACGCTTGACAAACATGTCCCATTGTGTGATGGGCTTTCCGCGGGCATCTCGATAAGGCGCGAGAATAGGCCTGGCCCGTTCCATGAAACCTCGGAACAGACGGAAGAATCGTCTTTGCTCTTCCTCCGTTCTTTTCGTGCGGGAGCTCTCAGCCTCGTATTGGACATACCGCACGCTAAGACGAAGGATTACACGCTTGACGAAAGTGTCTTTGCCATAATTCTGACTCAAACACCGGGCATACCGAAGCACCTGCCTGCCTTCTTCATCGAGGAAGTCGGCATCAAAGTCAAGACCAATCCCGATGCCCCCTGTGGTCTCAATATGCACGATGACATAACTGTCCTGGCGACTAACATCGTCACCCTTGTTCTGCATGGGACGACGACCCTTGAACTCTTCGACGGTTCTGTCCACGAACTCGTATCTCTGCACGTGCGCGTGCGCGTGGAACTCAAGAAATGCCCTATGGACAACTTTCGAGGCACGCTGGAAACTGAACTCGACGACGAGCTTGCGTGCAATATTGGCACCGCAAACTCTCGTCCTCATGTTGACACCGGTCTCTTTGCGGATGTCAGAGAACGGAAGATTCTCCTCTTCAATGGTCCCATCAGGGCCCATGGCCTGCAGAACAAAGCGAGCGTGTTTCCACGGCGTGCCGCTGAACTCTTTTGCAGCTTCTAAATCTTTGGGCTGAAGCGCGATGAGCTTTTGAGGGTCATTCTGCATTTTCGCAGTGGTCATTCTCGGGACCTGCGAGATTGTTAGCATGGCTCAACTGGGTCAGGATGCTATTGTTATTCAGCAGCGTCTGGATGATGCTGCTACGACTCACGGGATTACGAGCTCTAGGGGCAACAGCCAGACTGAATTCAGAATCGCCGGGCTCGTAGTACTCGGTGAATGGGGCTAATTCAAGCAGGGGGAGCTCCTGAGATGGAGCATTCTTTTCCCTGTTGGACTGTAGTCCTGCGGACATGGTGGGAGGGTCTTGATCAGACATTGAGGTGGAAATCGAGGAGTAATGAAGGATGTATGTGGGTAAGCTGGGTAGGAAACGATGGAGGAAGGATGGAGGAAGAAAGTATGAAGGATGAAGAGATTTTGAATGTAAGATGGAGATAGTGATTCCCAAGCCCGGTGAATGAAGCCTTTATCTTGCTTGATTCACCCCATACATCTCTCTCTGTACAGCTCATTCACTCAGCCAAATCAGTGAAGTATACCCTGCTGGTGGCTGGGTTTGAATTGAGAAACTGGAAACCCGGGCAAAATGTAAAACATAATGATAATACTTTTGATGGACAGGAACTTGCAAATTTGGCATTCTTTCGATGATATAGTATAGATATCTAGGGTCTGTATAGTTCTCCGTACGCTCGATATTGCTGTCTTTACTATGCATCTGCCGTTCACGCGAATCCTGTACCTGTCCTCGGTTCTTCTACGGCGTACTCCATTATCTATATCTTTTGTCCAGAAAAGCTTCCGGTCTAACTTTTTCGTTGGTCGGTGTGCAAGGGAATATGAAATAGTGACTGCTCAATCAATTCACCTTGCTTGTAAGACCTTGCTTCTGCATGCATTATTATGTCACGTCGTCTAAGTGCGGTATAGCTTGCTTTCAAGCTCTCCTACGGCTTCGAAACCAGCGGAGCTTTCGGAGTTAACTCTTGCCGAAACAAGTCCCGATGCATAAGCTACAAGCTCTAGTAATAAGAAATCAGTAGCTAGAGGCGCCACCAAGTCTCCTCAAAATTCTAAAACTACGTAGTAATCCTATGGCGGAAAAGTATCCAGGCGGAAAAGCCAACCAATCCCACCAGCAGGAGGATCCCCACCCCCGGATTCTGAACCAACGTGGGGCCCCGCGCTCCGAGTATCTAGTGTCCTCTCCATCCTTTACACCATCCTCCAGACACAGCTATTTCTTGGCTTCCTTGGCACGGCGGATATCCACGCCATCTGCGCCTCCCCGCGGGGTAGCTTCGAAATCCGCCTGCCTCAAGGTCCCATGCGTCGAGATGGGAATGATGGGGATGTGGAGGTGACAGCGATGATCCCAGCATGAGCATGACCAAGCTTGTGTGATTTACCGGGGTCGTCGAGCATACATAAATACGCAACCCCGGCCGGGGAGCTGCATCTGTCTGTGTCTATCTGTCAAACTGTCTGTCTACTCTCCAGGTAGTGATACCGGACAACGCCAGAATGTCAGACCTTAAACGCAACACGTCGAATTCCCTTGACTGGGGCGACGAAAAGGTCCCCGACCCCGTGCATCATGAAAGCGTGGTCCCTGCTATCGTGACAATTGAGAATTTCCGTGTGCTGGGCATGGATCCGCAGGATGAGGAGTTTTATATGAACTTTTCGATGGAGAGGAGGAAGAAGGTTAAAAGGAAGGTGGGTTTCATTCCTCCATCACTCTGACTAGCGACATTGTCTTGGGTGAACTGGTTACAGTGCTGATGGTTCCAGGTGGACATCCGACTCGTCCCTATGCTAGCAGTTCTATATTTGATCTCGCATCTGGACCGGTCCAATATCGGCAACGCAAAGATCGAGGGACTGGTGGATGATTTAGGTCTGAGTGGAATCCAGTGGAATATCGTGCTCAGTATTTTCTTCGTGCCTTATGTGCTATTAGGTATGTCTTCTTCCCTCCGACCCAGCAGACCCAGCTAACAGACCAAAGAGGTCCCGAGTAACATGCTCCTGAAGAACTTCAAACGCCCGTCAGTCTACCTCGGCATTCTGATCGTCTCCTGGGGCATCATGATGACATTGACGGGGGTGGTCAAGAACTTCGCCGGCTTGATGGTGACGCGTGTCCTGCTGGGTGTTTTCGAGTATGTCCACCCATCTCATCTCTTGACGCAGGCTGACTGCTCAGGGCCGGCTTCTTCCCCGGTGCCGTTTACCTCTGCACATTTTGGTATATGCCGAAAGATCTCTCCACGCGTCTCGCGTGCTTCTACTGTGCTAGTGCGCTCTCTGGCGCATTCTCTGGGCTCCTAGCTGCCGGGATTGCCAAGATGAATGGCGTCGGCGGGTACGAAGGGTGGCGATGGATTTTCATCCTCGAGGGTCTAGCGACTGTCGTGTTGGGCATTTCGTCCTTCTTTCTCCTTATCGACTCCCCGAGGTTGTCTGGGAAGTGGCTCGATCCCGAGGAGATCCGGTTCCTAGAGCTACAGGCCTTCATCAAGGAAGGCGGACGATTCAGGGATGAAACCCAGCCGGCGCAGAAGCGCGTCAAATGGAAGGATATGAAAGCCGTGTTCCTGAACTGGCGGATGTATATCCTCGCATATATCATGCTGTGCCAGTCGGCTTGCACATACGGTACTTCCTTGTCCCCCCCCCCCATCCCAAATCCCAAGTTCTAACCCACCCAGGAAACAAATTCACCCTCCCCACAATCACCAAATCCATGGGCTTCAGCAACACGGAAGCCCAACTCCTCACCGTCCCTCCGTATGTCGCAGGAGCTATCTCCGCGATCGGGTTCTCGCGCCTCTCGGACAAATTCTACTGGCGGATGCCCTTCGTCGTGATCCCGCTCTCCCTGCTCATCATCGGCTACAGCATCCTCATGTCCCTCGACGGCCAGCTCGGCGAACACCTCGGTCTATCCTTCTTCTCCGTCATCATCGCGCTCATGGGCCTGTACCCGATCCACCCCGCCACATCGAGCTGGACGTCCAATAACCTGACGCCGTCTAATCGGCGGGCCATTGGACTCGCGCTGAATATCTGTATCGGCAACACGGGGGGCATTATTGGGAGCTATATGTTCATGGACTCCGAGGCCCCGAAGTATTATACTGGTTTCGGGTTGTCGTTGGCGCTGGGCGGGTCAGCGTTGTTGTTGGCGTTGTTGTTGGAGGCGTCGCTGTGGTGGGAGAATAAGAAGAAGAGCAAGATCTCGGAGGAGGAGGTTAGGGCGAAGTATACGGAGGAGCAGCTGTTGGATATGGGTGATAAGTCGCCGTTGTTTAGGTATACACTGTAGGGGTCCGGATGGCTGTTAGTTAAAAAAGCTAGAAAATAAATCCAGGCCACAAACTACTACTATAAAATAGCAAATATTAATAATAATACTAATAAACTATAGTATCTTATCTGTATAGCTAAAGAAAATAAAAATATATAAGCCTATATCCTGCCCCTGCGTGTAAAAAACATAATTTACTATATTTCTAAAACAAAGACTAATATACTCACAGCTATATTCTTCCCGGCCCTGCCCCTGGCTAATCTATCTAATTTATATAAATATATATACCTAATACTAATATAAACCCTAATTATATTAGCCTAAAAAATATACTTAATAATAAATCAGCTAGCGCCTAACCGCGCCCTGGGACCCAATAATATCCTAAACCGGGTCTTATAAGCTTTAATTAAGTATTATAAAAAATTTATTTTTTTTGTAAGGATCCATATGGGACCCTCCCAAGGATGCTTAGTCAGAACGGGTGCTTAGTTATAGCCTAGTAAATATATAATAAAACCGTGTTCTCGCGGGGGTTCCCCTGAATCCCAGTGATAATATCTTAAGTAAAATATACTATATATTTAATATCCCTAGCTAATTACTTTCACGCTGCCTTACCCTTAAGATACTAAAGTATTTAATCTTATAACTTTATTATTTATATCTAATTAAGGCAGCCTGTTAACAAAATAACTAATAAAAAGGGAGGAACTCACAGATAAAATATCTAACCACTTATTAAACTAACTTATAAAAAAAAGTCTTCGCAGACTCAGGAAATCCCAGAACTAATAAAACCTTATAAAACTATTAAAAAAAAATTATTTAATAATAAACTAGAACTCTCGCGGGTAAAAAAACTACTAATCCTAGATATAAAAACTATTTATAAATAAATTATATTATTAAAGAAATTTTAGGAACTCTAGTATATCTTAATATTATTTTTTAAAAAATATACTTAGACAGAAAATTTAGAAAAAATTATTTCTTTTATAAAAAAAAAATCTGGCCTAAAAATTAAGTCTTCTAGTAAAAAAAAATAATATTTAATATATAATTATATTATCTACTAAGTGTTTATTACCGGATAAAAATTAACCGCAGAGACAAATAGCTAGAATAATAAAAATAAAATAAAAATAATAATTATATATCTAGACTATATATTAAGTAATTTTTAAAAAAATAATTCTTTAAACAGTTATTACTTATGAGAATAAAGGGGCTTTTATAAATTTTTAAAGAACTAACTAGATAATCTAAGAAATTACAAATAAAATATTTAATCTAAAATACTATATTTTAAATCTTGTAAAAATAAAAATAATTATACTTACTTTTAAAAATAAAAAAAGGCTAAATCTGAGCTTAAGGATAAAACAGAAAAAATAAACTACTTATAACTTTATTTATTTTATAAAATATTTAGTTAGGATCTTAAACAAAAAATTCGCGAGTAATCTAAATTCCCGAAATCAGAACAGGAGTTAATCTTACTAATTTTATATTTATATTTTTTTATAAAAAACTACTAACCAGGACCTAAAAGAAACTAATAAGTAAGCTTATAAAACCTAAACCTAGGCTAAAATTATTCAGGATAAAAATCTTTAAAATTCGCGAGAAATAATTAAATACAAAAAGACTTATTTAAAATTTTATAAGGAAAATCACCTAATAAAAAAATAAATCCCGCGAAAAAATAAGATAATTTATTATAAGTTAAGTACTTTAACTATAGCAAGCTAGGCTATAAAATATTTAATTACAAATTAAAAAAATTAATATAACTCTGAGGTCTACCAGTAAGAAATATTAGCTTATTATAAATAAGTAAAAAAGAAAGACCAGAGAAACTACTTTTTATAAAATTTTTATTAATAAAGTTATAAAAATAGCTAATATCCTAAGGCCTTATAAAATAAAATAAGATAATATTTAAGCAAGAAAAAAAAAACTTATTAAAAATATTAATTAATACTAAAATAAAGGTAAATCTAGTACCCTTTAACCTTATAAAAAAATAAAATAAAAAAAATTATTTACCTAGTTTAAAGTAGCTAAAATAAATAATTATAAAATCTTTTTACAAGAGATTATACAGTTTTATTTAAAATTAAAAAACTTATAAAATTATTATAAGATTTAAGTAGGACTTGTGATAATATCTTCTAATATATTAGAAATAACCTTAAAAATACTATAAATAGCTCAGAAAAAACTTACTACCTATTTTTATAAATATTATTTAAAACTCTCCCGCAAAAATTAGATCTGTATTGCTTTAGTATCCGCGGAAAAATAAATAAAAAAATTTAAAAAAATAAATCTAATTAACTAATTATAATTTATATTTAATAAATTAATATAACAAAACTAGAGGGACAAGATATCCCAGAATAATTAGAAAACTTCGCGGAGGTCTTCTCGGAAAATCTCGCGGAGAGCCTATCTCTATATTATAAAAATATTAACTTGAAAATTTATCTTATAAAAGATTTTAAATTATAAACTAGTTTAATTTATAAAATATCCCCCGCGGAAAATAAAATATTATAAGAATATCTTCAGAAAAACTTAAAATAAGAATAAATTTAAATTTTAAAGTCACCTATTAGGGCACCAGTATTATTTATAATAAAGAAAAATAAAAATTTACAGATATATATAAATTTTTAGGATATAAATAAAACATCTGTGAAAAACACTTATCTATTACCAAAGATTAATAAATATATTAACACGCTAGCCAGAATATTATAATTTATATAACTTAATTTTCATAATACTTATTATAAGATTTATATAACCGCAGGCTATAAATAAAAAACAGCTTTCTAAACAAAATTCAGACTATTCAAGTACTTAATAATACTATTTAATTTAATAAATACACCTGTAATATTTCAGGGGTTTATTAATAATCTATTTTAAGATTATCTTAATAATTTTATAATAGTTTATTTAGATAATATTATAATTTACTTATAAAATTTAAAAAATTATAAAAAACAGATCCATAAAATTTTCCGAATTTTACAAAAAACAGGCCTGTATATAAAACTTAATAAATATAAATTTATAATAACAGAGATAAATTTCTTAAAATTTATTATTAACTAAGATAAAATCTAAATAAAAACTTCGCGAGTCCAGATGATTATAGATTAGCTGATATTAAAAAATATTTATAATATTTAATAGTTTATTAGGTTTATAAACTAGTATCAGAGGTTTATCTGGTAATTCTTAGATTTAGCTATAACTCTAACTAAAATAACTAAAAAACTCCTAAAAAAAAAAAGAGAAAATCTAGCCTAGATTTCTTAACCGCAGATATAAGTAAAAGTTTTAAAAATCTAAAAAAAACTTTCGCGAATATAATAATTATATATTATTTTTATAAAAATTTACCCTCGTGAATAAAAATAAATATATTTACTTATATAATTAGTATAATCCTCTCACAGCTAAATAAAGACAGTTAATAAAAACTAGTTATCTTTTTTTCTTGTAAGATAATTCCCGCAGAGCAGAATTACAGGATTTATAACTAGAAATTATTTATAATAATAAAGGGCTTTAAGAAATAAAAATACTACCTAAAAAAAATAAAATACCTTATTAAGGTTCTTACAGACTATAATATATTATATTACTTTATTATAAAGGAACTATTATAAAGGCAAATACAGTAAATATAAAGGCTTATAAGTTTTTTTTTTATTTTAAAATATTATTTAGAAAAAAAAAAACCCAGTAAATATATTCTTATAAAAACCTAATTATAAAAAGTCTATTTATTAAAAGAATATACAGGAGCTTAATACTAAAGCTCCCTAATAACTTATAAATCTCCTAGGTCTAGAGATAAAATAAATAATTATAAGAAAAATCCTTATAAAAAAAACTATTACAGCTGACTAGACTAAGACACAAGTATAGGTTATAAAAACTACTTATAAAAAAAGACTTTATTAAGAAAATTTTTTAGAAAAACTATTAGAAAAGATTCCCTAATTATTTTAAATAAATATTTTTATACAGAAAATCTGCCAAAGGCTTATAAAGCCTGAAAAATTTATTTATTATAAAAGTAAAAAAAAAAAATAAATTAATAAAATAAAAGTTTTATAAAAACTAGCTATACTAAAAAAATAAGCTTTATATCCTAGATAGTTTAGAGTTAAAGCTAGCTATTTTAATAAAGCTTTATAATAACCTATTTACTAGGCACTTTATCTCGCGAAGAACTAATAAATTAGTTTTATAGAGGTTTTATTAGCTATAAATAATAATATTTATTAAAAAATACTATATAACTTATAAAGAGTATCAGGGAGGCCAGAAAGTTCGCGGAAAATAATATAAATTATTAAAATTATTACTAGTCCCTGAGAAAATCTAAAAATAAATAATAATAGATTTTATTACAGATCTTCTCGCAAGCCTACTTATAATAAATAATTCGCAAATCTCTTTTAATTATATATTAATAATTATAAACTAATTTACTAAAATAACACATTTTATTCCCGCGAAAAAAACAATTCACAGGAAAAAATTAGTATAAATACTAACTTATAAGATTTTTAAACTCTATAATATACCCGCAAAAATAATTACTAATTATAGATTAATATTCACAAAAGACTTCTGGTCTGAATTTATATACTATCTATAAATTAAGTAGAGATTAAATACCATATATTATTCTTAGACAGATAGCTAGACAGAGTAGTTAAATAGTATATTAAAATAATACTTACAAGTATATATTAATTTTAATTAAGATAATTAGATTAACTACCTTCCTCTTGCAAAATTTATATATAATAATATTTAATAAAATTTAACCCAGGTGTTATTCTTTTATATATTAATTAAAGAATATCCTAAAATAATTATCCTAGACTCGCGAAAAAGTCCAGAGATAAAAGAGTCAATATAAAAATAAGTCTCGCGAATTAAAAGAATTCGCGAGGTAGCTAAAAAGTTACTAAAATATA